ATAAACTGGACGAGCTTCAAGGAAATGTTTGCTTCCTCCGTGACTACAGAGACTGTTGCGTCATGGCCTTCACGGAGTCCTGGGGCCTGTTCTACGAAGCAGGATTACTGCTTAGCGAGCTAACTTCGAGGGTAAGTTCGGGGTTTCCTGTTCTACGACGCAGGTTCACTTCTTAGCGAGGCGAGTCTCCATAGCAATATATGCTGAACGGCTAATCTGCTCTGGGGCAGGTTAAGTTCCAGATTGAACTCAAAGAGTATAAAAACCCCGCCCACTGACCAATGAGCTCTCTCGAAAAACGGCTTGTCCGTTCTTGGAGGATCCTATAGACCTCGGTGCTCGCGTTGTCCGAGGAGCACTCTGGCTCGCGAGAGTTTACAGGGAGAGTTTTCTCCGGATGACCACCTTTATGAAAGGCTCATATGGCCGACATATTACACAAAACATGTAAACACGATAGGAATGAACAAATGAATGATTCATCTTGGGAATGAATGGGCATGGGCTGCGCGATCAACATCTCGGTACTATTTAGTAGCAGCGCACGCCCCTTATAATAACCCCGTAAATACTGTTGTTCAGGACTGCTTACTTGTGCTTCCTACCCACTGTAACAACCGTTGTTCTTGCCCACATGCAACATTTTTGTTCTCATTCATGAAACGCTTAAATCAGGGACATTTTCGGGGACAGCTTTAGCCGGGGACAGGTCATCCAATTCGGGGACTGTCACCTTAGTTAAAAGCGCATGTTGAACAGTGCTATTTCAGGGTGATAATGGCATCAAAGATTACTTTTCTGCCAGCCTTCCCTCCGTGATTTTGCAGCGGCGACGGTGTTGCTTTTGAGGTTTGTGATAGCTTTCAATTCTTCATACTTTCTCATGATCGTCTCCTGTTCCTCGTTTGTATAGTCTGCGGTCCTTCACTCTCCAGCCTGCTCTGACGCTCCAGACTGATCCATGTTCGCGATTGGTCAGATGCGGCGGGCTCCGCCTTATATGTGTGCACGCGCTCATAGCAGAGCTGGATCCACTTATGAGGTTGATAACCAGCGTCGTAAAACCGCTTAGCGAGACCGCTGGCTACCACGCTAAGTTGAGCGAGGTAGCTCCAAGGCTACCTCGCTAGGTTGAACCTGCTTCGTAGAACAGGCCCCTGGTTTACCAAGGAGTACTCGGACACTGATCTGTCCATTGACGGATTTGGAGCCCCGCTCCAAATCCAAAGTGGGATGCAGAGATGACAGGGAAATCCCGGGGAGGGGGCGTGTGCCTATACGTCAACCAGCGCTACTGTAGTGCGGTGACAGTGAGAGAAAGCCTCTGTTCTCCCGACGTAGAACTCCTGTCTGTGTCACTCCGCCCATTCTACCTGCCCCGTGAATTTCCCCAAATATTCATCTCAGTAGTGTACATTCCCCCCTAAGCAAACCAGTCTACTGCAACAAGCACCATTTTCGAGGTGGTGCAGAAACTGCAATCTTTGTCCCCCGAAGCCCCACATTTTATATTAGGAGATTTTAATCATGTGTCTTTAGATAAGACCTTAAAAATTTTTTATCAGTATGTCACCTGTACAACAAGAAAGGACAAAACATTGGACCTCTGCTACGGTACAGTTAAGGAGGCCTATACATCAATTCAACTGCCTCCACTAGGGTCAGCAGACCACAACTGTGTGCTTCTCCTACCTGCATATAAGACTGTACTAAAAAGTGAGAAGATACAGACCAAAGTGGTCAAAATCTGGTCAGAGGGATCAACTTCCTGTCTACAAGGATGTTTTGACTGCACTGATTGGGAGACGTTTACATGCTCCTGCAAAGACATTGATGAACTAACTGAAGTTATATGTTCTTATGTTACATTTTGTGAGAATCTGATCATTCCTTCCAAGACTATCAAGGTGTACCCCAATAATAAGCCCTGGATGTCTAAGGAGGTTAGGGCTCATCTACAGCAGAAAAATCTCTCCTTCAAACATGGAGGACTGGCTGAACAACATGCAGCTAAAAGAGAGCTGAGAACTGAAATCTTACGGGCAAGAGAGTAAACTAGCAGGGAATAACCTCTCTGCTGCCTGGTCTGGTATGAAGACAATGGCAGGAATAAAACAAGTTAAGAGCAATCACATCACTATCTATGGTTTCGGGTCAAACTGTGAGTTAGCCAGTGCTCTTAACACATTCTATTTACGTTTTGATCAGTTTGATTTCAGCCAGGAAGTCCAGAGTCTGAGAGTTGATCTTGAAAATGATCAACACTTTAACCTAGAACAAAGAGAAGTGGAAAAGTGCTTCCTCTCTCTTAAAACAAACAAAAGCCAAGGGCCTGATAAAATAAGTGGTAGTGTACTCAAGTCATGTGCAACACAATTGAGTCCCATCTTTCATTTTATTTTTAATGTATCATTGAGTCAGCAGAAGGTGCCCAGGTTGTGGAAACAAGCGGAGATCATCCCTGTCCCCAAAGTCAAAAAACCTAAAACTCTTAATGATCTTAGACCAGTCGCCCTCACCTAATGAAAGCCTTCGAAAAACTTGTCAAGAAAGAACTTTTAGAGAAAACTGCACATGCACCTGACCCTATGCAGTTTGCTTACAGGGCTCATAGAGGTGTGGAAGATGCCATTCTTACCCTGCTAAAGCTTTTATTTAAGCATCTAGAGGGGAACAAAAATCATGCTAGACTGACTTGATTTTTCTTCAGCTTTTAACACTATCCAACCTCACATTTTAGCCACAAGACTGATCGTGCACTTTCAACTGGACCAGAATTTGGTGGGTTGGATTTTAGATTTTTTAACAGATAGAACACAAAGAGTCAAAGTGAATGGCATTGTATCTGAGTCACTAAGTTCTTCCACTGGCTCTCCTCAGGGATGCGTTCACTCCCCTTTGCTTTTTATCTTTTACACAAATATGTGCAGAAGCGTGTATGAAAACAGCCATATTTTAAAATTTGCGGATGACACTGTTATTGTGAGTCTGTTGCATGATGTAGAAACAAGCCATGGTCCAGTCCTGCAGGATTTTAGCAGTTGGTTCGATCAGCCCTTTTTGGTGATTAACACATCCAAGACAAAGAACATGGTTATTGATTTTAGAACCCAGACACCAAACCACAATCCCACAGTTATCAAGGGGCAACCTGTGGAATGTGTGTGAAGTTAAAAATACCTTGGGACTGTTATTGACTCAAAACTGTCTTTTAAACAAAACAGTGAAGCTGTGTGTAAGAAGGGACATCAGCGTTTTTTTACCTCCGGCGAGTGACCCGTTTTAATGTTGATAAGACCATGCTTGTTCTCTTTTACCGAGCTTTTATAGAGTCTGTTTTATCTTTTGCACTGGTGTCCTGGTTTGCCAACTTGACTCTCCAGGACAAAAACGCTCTGGGCCAGATTGTTACATGGGCTGGTAGGCTAATTGGGGAGCCTCCACTCCCCATGACAGCTCTCTATGAGGCCCAGCTGCAGCGTAAAGCCAGCGCTATTGCTTTGGACAGCTCGCAACCTCTGCATAGCGAGTTCCAGCTCCTTCCCTCCGGCTGTCGATTCTTGGTCCCCAAGGCCAGGACCAAGCGTTACAGAACCACCTTTGTTCCAGCAGCTATTGCAAAGCTCAATGGCAGGGCTAATAGATGAGGGAGTCTTATTGAACCTTCCGATCTATAGAGATTTTTTGTGATTTTATGGCTCTTAACGACTGGCATTTTTTTGTACTTGATTGTTGTTTTTATGTGTGTCTTATCTGGATGGCTGGGTTCCTACCTGCAAACAAAATTTACTGCAAGGTATAAATAAAGAAACCTTTGAACCTTCTGATTTTGTGTATATTATTTTGTGTAATTTATGTTTATACAGACAATGAAATTGTTGTTCTCTGTGGCAAATGGAAACAAAAACTAAATATATTCAAAAGCCACAAACTTTTTAGTGAAGACTCCAAAGGTTTGCCGGAGGAGGCTTGAGGTCGGAGACTTGTAGTAGCTTTCTCAGGCATGGTCCATGTTTGGTCACAGTTAAAGCAGCAGCTGAAGTTTGTTGGCTGAGGTCAGAGGTAGTGCTTTATGCTGTAATTGACAGCTCAAAGTTTAACCTTTAAACTGTGAGCTGTAATTTACAGCATAAAGAGTCTTTTAGATGGCTGTGGTGGCTGCTCGTGTAAGGTTCGACTCAAACATGGGCTAAAGTTATTACAACCTCAGTTGGCTTGTAGAACCTGTTGTCATCTTTTCTTTGTCGTTGTGAAGGCAGTGGGAGAGGCAGCTGATGTCTAGTAAAGACTGTTATGTGAAGATTGTTGGCAGAGATAGATGGTGAAGTGTTCAGCTGAGGGTGCTTTTGGAGACTGCAGGTGGAGACACTGGCTGATGATGTGTGAGACAGACCCCATTCATAGGTGATGGCTGCTGGTGTCAAGTGGAGGTTTAGGTGTCAGGCACTGGCAGCCCTTAAACAGGTGGAGTCAGCAGATGGATGCTGGTGCTTGAAGGAGTTTGCAGGTGGATGGAGCGTTTTTCTTTCTTGGCCGGAGGAGGCAGAGACTGATGGTAAAAAGTAGAGGCTGCAGGTGGACACAGCCATCTTCAGTTTTTTGTAGGTGAAAGCAGAGGCAGATGTTATTGCTCAGAGGTTGGAGATGGAGGCTGGTGAATGTTCTTCCATGTGCAGCGCTAAGGTGGTAAAAGCTGCTGCACGTGTTTTTTTCAGGGTGGAGGCAGGTTTGATGTTACGTCTAGTTTTAATCAGGTCATATGGTTGTTGTACAAGCAGGAGTTCAGAGGAGGCTTAAGTTGGAGGATGGCTTAGGTATTTGAGGTTGTTTGCAGAGAAGCAGGTGGTGAAGTAAACGGCTTTTCAAATTTTCCTCTTATACTTTTACTCAGACTACTAGTATTTCTATCTTAACTTATACTAATAACTACTAACTACATTATTTACATGCTTTAACTTTGAGTTAAAACAACATTATTTACAAATAGAGAGCAAAAAATTTCATTTCCTTGCTCTCTTTCTGGGTGTGGTCTCCGACTGTGGTTCCAAGGATGTGTCCACATTGTAGAGGGGTGGAGAAACTCCAACCCTGTTACTAATGTCCACATGAACACGTCCGTTCTCATCCACAGTTTCGGTGAACTGTGGACGATCAGATCTTTCCCACCGCTTGTGCTTCACATGTCGTCCCAGAGCAAGGCTGTAGGGACGCTGACGGCGGTTGATGTACCTGTGGATGAGAGAGGAAGATGGTTGAAATCATGATGTCGGACCAAATGTTTCTCATCAGGGTCTGTGATAGTAGTGGGACTTGGTTTTTGTCTTATACATACCAGAGCATGTCATCTACCACGTGGTAGAGCTGCTGGAACTCTTCCACTGACAGATGGTGGATTATTAGTGGGCCATCATCCAGCAGAGGAGCTGTGGAGGGCTGAAACCTGGGGACCACAGTGGAGACTTGAGGCAGCTCAGAAGGTGGAATACTGAGCTGAGGCCCCTGGACCACAGGAGGATCAGCATCTTGAGGGTTGGAGTGCTGAGGAGCAGGATAACAGGTCAGCTCTGTTGAAGAATTAGAAGTGTGGACTTCAGAGGTCCTCTTCTTCTTCTTAGACTGCTTCTCAGCAGGAGCTGAATAGTGGTGCGGGGAATCCTGGAAAAGAAATCCAACAAACAAGACTTGATGCTCGAGTTCAGAAACAAGAAACAAGTTTAAACACTCTGACAAGAAAACTGTCAGGAAAATGTCAGTGTGCCTGTTTGAAAGGAAGAACAACCACTGGTATGATTGTGAAATCCAAACCGTTTTAAGTCTATATGTTTTAAAGAGTTTCAAAGGTTTGTAATCAAGGCAGAATCAGGCAGTTTGATGGGATACAAAGTCATAGAATAAGATACAATACAAAAAGATACAGAGCGATACAATGCACAAGATAATACACAATAAGATACAACACCAAACATAGTTTTGTTTCTTTGCTGTTTATTTAGATAGAAGAATCAGGATAGAAAGTTAAAGTCTAGGTTTTCTTGATAAAAAGTTGACAAAAAGGCACTTAGATTTATTGGAACAACTAAACAGGGCCCAAGCTACCTTGACCTTTACTAATTAGCTAGTGATTAATGAGTGCATAGACCATAATAGTATGTTGCATATGATCAAAACCGTTTTGAAAGAGTTTAAATCTAGTTTTTGTTGCAGAGGTCCTCCACAGGTCAGACCCTTCAGGTCAGGTCATGCAGCAGGTCGTTTGACACTATATACAGTAGCTAGCTAGGCTATTTCACGGCTACACTCCAGCTCACAACTGGAAATAGTTTAACAATTATATTGTGGTAAAAAAAAGAAAGCGCTATTCGTATTTCGTTTATTAAGGATGTTGTTTTTTTTTTTAAAGTACCCAAAACATAATTAATCCGGTAAATGCGACCCTGGACAGTATCAGGCCCACGTCAGCACATACCGAACATCATTAGAGAGTTAAAATCTTACATTTTCCATGGCGAAAGTTTTGGGAGTTTGGTGCAGGGCCACAAACACAATTCAATGTGGCTCTCTCCCGCACCAGGGTCAGGATAGAGTTGACCTTTGGCATCCTGAAGGCTCGCTTCAGCTGCCTGCGTGACCTGAGGGTGACCCCACAGCGGGCCTGCCGCATTATTACATCGTGTGCTGTGCTGCACAACGTAGCCACCATTCGGAGAGAGAGGGTCCCACCCACTGACCCACTCCCCCCGATGTGGTGGATCCAATGACATTAGACCATCCCACTGGCAGGGCTGTGCGGCGGGCTTTAACGGAACAATTTTTTACATGATTTGGCACTTTTTGTTTACAAAGAGAGGAGACAGAGACCTTTGACTTCCTTTTTTTTCTTTTTATTGATGACATTTGTTGACATTCTTAATCATTCAGGCCCCTTCTGTCTCGTTCCTGGAATGGAGAGGAAACTTTTAGTTGGACTACATTTGAAGTTGTGATGTGGCAGCTCTCCAAACATTACCTTCTTTTCTTTGAGCAGGTTCTCCACCTCGAGTTTGGCCTTCTTAACTAGCAGCTCCTTCAACTCGATTTCCAGCTCGAGGTGTCTTTTATAAAGTGCCTTTACATTGTCTCTTGCAGGCTGGGGACAAATAATGCTGCTGAGAACCTTTTACATTCACACATTGTCAGTGATCAAAACTCAAAATCCAGGTTACGTCAATACCTCCTGTGCTCTCCTTGGCCTTGGGCTGGGGCTGGGGGGGAGGGTCACACGCTCCGGGGGGGACAGGGGGATCTCCTCATCCTGCACATCATAGCATGAGAAAAAAATGAGACAACCTGAAGCAACACATGGTCCTGAGTACAGAATGACACTTGTGGTTTTTTCAGGATGAAGCACCGTCTTCAGTGTGGTTACACCCGAAGTGTATTAAGGTTAAATAATAAAAATAGTTTAAGTTTCACCTCTGTTTTATTTTGTATCTGCATTAACCATAGGTCACTTCGATATTTTACTTCAATGTCATGCGTGTGGGAATATACATTGGGTCTTATTATTCACTGCAGTGTACCATTTGTGGCCTTGTGGAGCAAACGGAGACCGTCTCTGTTAATCTGTCATTGTTCCTGCAACCATGATGTGTATTCTTTTTTTAGCAGGTACCTCTGAAGAAGTCAGCCTGTGACTTGGTGGTGGCAGCAGTTGGATGGTGCCAGCCTGGACTGGTGAGAGAGCGAGTATCTGTTATTTTTGACGGGGTGTGTGTATGTGTGGGGCAGTGGCGATTGCTCTAAGACTGCAAGGGGAGCTCGGCTTCCCTTAAAATGTCACCCCCCCAAAAAAAGAAAAAGTGGTGAAATACGTACGGCTGTGTGTACATTTCATTAACTAAATACGCACTAGAAAGCCTTCATCTTTTGTTCAGACACTGTGATAAGAAGCTGATAATCACAGGTAACCGGCATACCTTCGTTCTCATTCATCCTCGCAGCGCCTCAGCGCTTCAAACAGCCGGACGCTGGGCTTCTGCTGACTTCAATGTGGAAGCTTAAAGTGGGTTGTTCCAGCAGCGAAACTAGACGCTCATTGGATAAATGCTGGGCTTTGTCCCGCCCAATGGAAGCTAAGCTTCACTGGAGTTCTATGGCGAGAGGGCGGTCCCGACTTTCTCCCGGACTCCAAGCTTCTGCATTCATGATTGGATGAGCTGTCTGAGGCGAAATCCTTTTTTGATTGACAGCTAAACAAGCGAATCAGCGATCTTGAAGAATAAAACATCTACCAGAGCACTTTCCAAGTCATTCATTCCGTTGTTCTTAACCGCTCCGGAGACTTTAACGATCCTCAGCGACTTTTGTCTTTGTTAAAAACGACTGCCATTGTGTTTGGCGACTCTGTTCTGTTACATACTAATAAACAAATACAATTATGATGTAGGCCAGAAAAATGAGCTTCCCCTCCTTGAAAGACCAGCAGCCGCCACTGGTGTGGGGGGGGGGGGTGATACATGTGTAATTTGCAATTCTGAGTGGATTATTATCTTACCCCGCATCAGTTTGGCCTGGAGGCGACTGCTGCCACTTCCACACGGATCTGAGGAGACGCCCCCCACTACGCCATCTATAAGTGGGCGACCCCGATGGCTGCAGAGGGCCAGCTCCTCTGCAGGAGTGAAATCTGGGGTAGGAGGCCCCCCCCCCCAGTTCTTTTCCCCTCTGCTTTCTTTCTGTTGGCTGGGGGGGGAGTAGTCACTTAATATCTTAATTGTATCTTATCTGATCCAACTGTAAAACAATAAATTAATTTGAATTCAATTACCACTCTGTATGATGTTTTTATACTTCGTGCGCACCTGTTCCCATGTGCGCTTCGTGCCACTTTGATTGGTGCTGAAATGAGAGTCAGATTTAGAGTCACAACACAGTACATGACACTTGCTACAGGTAGTTAAAGGGAATGAAGAACTCTCATCGCCGTAAGAAGATCTCCAATGCAAACACTTCTGTTCCATTAAAATATTTTATTACCTGTCTTAAAATTGTGACAGGAATTCATCAAAGGGTCAAATGGCCTACATATCACACAAAAAATGTAAACATAATAGGAATGAAAAAATGAATGAATTCATCTTGGAAATAAATTAGACATGTCTGGTGCATGTTAAAAGCACATGTTGAACAGGTTGATAACTAGCATCGTAAAACCGCTTAGCGAGACCGCTGGCTACCACGCTAAGTTGAGCTCCAAAGCTACCTCGCTAGGTTGAACCTGCTTCGTAGAACAGGCCCCAGGTTTGGCCGGCAGCATAAGTCATCATGGTTACAAGGCTGGCATTTGTGTTAACCACTTTGATGGAACAGAATTGAGGCTCAGGTTGATGGAACAGAAAGTCAGAGCTTAGCTCCAAGTGTCCGACTTAGCCAGAACCATGTTTCCATGGTTACCAAGTTGGAGCTAAACTTAGCCACATTGGTGAAACTCAACTCTCACTAAAATAAGCGAGACTTGGCCATTTAAGCCAGACTTTGAGCTAAGCTTGATGTATTACCCCCCTGGTGAAACTACTCGGAGTTGCTAAAACTAACTCAAATCAGGTGTTGTGAAGAATTGTAATTTAGGCTGTAAAATTAAAGAAATTCACTACAAGACAAGTTGTAGGCTACAGATAGTGATTTAATCAGATTTATAATCGGAGTTGAAGTGGCTATAATCAAATTGTTTTATATGCAAAACATTCATCACACAATTGATCATGTATTATCTCATTTACCTAATTCCCCCTATTCAGAGGAGCGCTGTTTAAATGTTTGCAGGGGTTAATTGATTCTCTTGTTGCATAAAAAGGAGCTAATTCCTTCATTTACCTTCATGTCTGTGCAGTAGGATGAGGAACTAACTAAAACTCACTCAGCATTCACGGTGTCTTTTATTAACCTCCTTTTACTGTCCAAACAAGAGCAATCTCGGAGGCCAGAAGCGCACCTGGCAACAGGTCAAAATAAAATATAAAAACATCCTTAACAAGATGGTCAGTGATGCATAATAATTGTAATAATGTGAAATGTATTAGTAAATATAACTGTAAAGCTGTGACTGTGTTCCTTGCAGCAACCAAAAAAAAAGCTCAACTGGGAGCCACTGGTGGGGGACCACCACCTGAGGAGTTTACACAGGCCTAATCCCTAGCCCTCAGCTACAACAAGGGCCCCAAAATTGATGGTATTCAGGGGGGGAGTGCTTCCTCTCCTATTGATCCAGCGATACGGGCCACATTTGTTGAAGGTACTGTACTGTCAGCCACTATCCCTCCGCTGCATGGCGACAGCCCCTCAGTTGATTTAGCTGACTGTAAACATGTTTTTTCTTTTAGTAACAGAGGGACAAATAACTTTATTAGAACCCCCGGAAGTTGCAGCAGGGCCCCCAGGAGACCCTGTAAGTCCCAACCTGTAACTGAAATGCTGTCTAGCCTCCTACACCTGCTCAAATAACTGATATTCCTCCATTTGCAGGGTGAAGGACCTAGTCATCAGTATCACCAGGACAGAGATGAAGAGGAGACTCTATCTGTAGAAGGCACTTTACTCCAAGATGTTAAGTCTGAATGTTAAATATTATTCATGTTGTTTGCATTGTCAAAATTAATAAATCAAATCCTGCTGCAGCAGACTACCCCATCCTCAACCAGAAGGAGTGAAGTGAGTTACCATTCTTTTCTTTTTCCTGTTTTTTTGACACATTTTCTGATCATAGGATGTGAAGGTACTCTACAAAAGGTACCTCAAGCTGCAGATCCAACACAAACACCTGCAGATAAAAAAATGTAAACTTGAAATCAACAAGATGGAAAAGGATGTAAGTATGAATCCAGGCAGAGAGAATACGGTCATTGTTTTTACAGTATTTAATTCTGTAACATTCTGTCTCCCCAGCTTGGTGACTCAGGACAATAAATATTCAAAAGCCATTTTGTCTTGTCATTCTGTCTTGTTTCAGTGAGGGTCTAAGGGTAGAGGATGTTATGTTGATATGTAAAGCCCTTTGTGACATACTGTTTGTGAAAATGGGCCATACAAATATGTTATTTATTTTATATTATTCATCTTTATCTATAAGGATGCAATCAAGATAAATGAAAACGGATTGATTTTTATTTTTTACAAAATCATAATACTTACCAAATGCACTTTTTGCTTAGTTTACTAAGTGGATGGAAAGCACGTTTTGGTTTCACAAATTATTTTATCAGTGCATTGTGTATGTAAATGCAAAACAGACATGTCTTTTGGACATTAGTGGAGTTAATCTTCACCTTAATCCTGCTCCAGACCACGTTTGGCCGGCAGCATAAGTCACCATGGTTACAAGGCTGGCATTCGTGTTAACCACTTTGATGGAACAGAATTGAGTTTCAGAATTGTTTCCATGGTTACCAAGTTGGAGCTAATCTTAGCCACATTGGTGAAACTCAACTCTCACTAAAATAAGCGAGACTTGGCCATTTAAGCCAGACTTTGAGCTAAGCGAGCTTGATGGAATACCCCCCTGGCGACAAAACCAGTGGGGCAGGCAACATGGGTCCGTTTCACGTAGGTTTGCGATCGGACCGGCCGCGATCGTCGAACAGGGGGGTAAGGGGCAGCTCCTCTGCCTCCGTTAAAGGTGGGGCTGCTGGACCACCACCCGGTTTTGTGTTAGTTTAATATTCTTAATCATTTAACGGAACATAATAAGAGAGTAAAATTCAGTTTTGAGTGTGAAAAGAGCATTTTTTAAGGGATCAAACTGTCACTTAATACTTACTTGACAACGTAAAACATGATCAAAATGAGAAAATGCCGATGTCTCACCTGAAACTCTGGGTTTACTGAGTTAAACCTGCTCCCGAGCAGGTTAGGTTCACGGAGTCTGTTACTGTGGTAACTGACCGCGAGGTTGAGTTACCTCTCTTTGTGAAACAGGTTAGAGTTACCCCTCTCTCCCTGGTTTTACTAACCCTCCTTTGTGAAACGGAAAACTCAGAGTTTCCCTGATTTCAGGGTTAACAAACTCAGAGTTTCCATTAAACCTGCTACGTGAAACGGACCCCAGGTCATACACAGAGAGCAGAGAAATATCAAAAACGCGAGAGAGCTTGTACGAAAGTGACAAAGACAATCTGGCAGGGAAGAGCTAGTGAGGAGGGGTAAAATAGAGAAGGGGACAAGACACAGGTGAAGCCAATGGAGTAATTAACTAAGGCGGGAAAAAGAACAAAGACCAGAAGTAAAAGTAACCTAATGAAGGTACAAAAATACAATTTTACTGATTTACTGAATTTTTTAAGAGATTTTTTTTTATTTCAGTGATTCTGTTTCTCTCATAGACTGTATAAAAAATGGACAGAGTCTGCCTCCTTGCTGGGTGAAGCCACTCCAAGAACAGCACCCTCTGTTGATGGGCTGCAGTATAGGTCATAAATCCCGCCTCCGCCAGCAAAGCTTATGGAGCTGTGGACAAACTTTAGAAATTTATTACATAGAACATAAATTTTTCTCCCCCCTGCTTGTGATGTTGACATGTAGTTACAGTAAGACTGGTTTGTGCTCAAGTCCTCTTTTTTTCTGTGAAGCTCCTTTTTTAAAAGTTATTAGGGGGTTCATGTTTTCTATGATTGACACTTGATACAGCCTATGGGCGTTCAGGGATTGGGTAGCTCACCAGGGGGATATGCTGTTTGAGCCGAGTATCATCACAGCGACTCACGGTGATTGCGCGCCCGAATGCGTGCATCGCTACTGTGCAGCTCTGGTTTCAGGAAATGAAGAAAAATTCCGGAAGTACCGAGAGCTTTTTGGCTTCAAATATGTATACAGGCGGTAGGCGGAAGCAAGTTGTCCATAGTATATACAGTCTATGGTTTCTCTTATTAAACAGCTGTGTATTTATTGTTGTTATTTTTAATAGTTCATTTAATGTGAATTTTTGATTTTAGATTTTTTTTGGGATCCACCTCAGCAGTGTCACCCAGTCAGAAGTCATGACTTCTCCGATGTTTAATGGATGTTCACTGTCAGTGTGTCTCAGCCATATGCAGGACAGGGACTCTTTTCTTACCTGGTATGTCAACAGAAATTTTTCTTGGTAATTTCTTTCCATCTTTTCTGATTTTTTGCTTCGACTTGCTTTGGTCTGTTTAAAAAACGCACGTCAGAATATATGGATGTTCATACATCATTAGCTGCACAGCATTTGGAATGACGTTACCTGCTAGACACTTAGTTATACTTTTAATGGACTTGTTTTCCCAAAGTAAATAAAAGGTGAGCAGAGCAGTTAGTTTGTGGTGCTGATGATGCATGGATTTGAAGCATGTTTGGTTATTTACCAAACTTCACTTTAAATATTGGTAAGTTATTTCTGCCTACATTCACAGTCTGATCCACAACAACACCAGTGACATAAGTCTGATCCCAAACGAATGGACCTCTGATGTTAGTCAAGTGACTATGCTGAGTTTTCCAGCCCAGTAGCTGGATGTGGACTTAACATTAAAAACAAAACCAAACAACATAATTTTGGCACAGGACTGCTCTAACTGCAGGAAAAGATAAACAATCACTTATTTTTTTATTATAACGTAATATATGTGCATTTTTTCCTCACTAAATCTCAATCTTTCTTACCCTCAAGTATGCACAGACTTGGCATTTTAAATAAAAAAATTAAAAAAATTAATCAGTGGATCCCTGGTAGAAAATTTCAGGGGTAGAGAGATTTTCCTCAATCAGACATGATTACTATGAACTTAGTTAGACAATTCTCCACCGTTGTCCCCGGTGGCTAAATAAGTCTTTCAGCTACAGTTGACTTGCACGGTCCAGCTCTACTCTGGGAATTGAAGGTTAGGGGCTCTATTTTCGTGGGTCGCCAGAGACGTGGCGCAGGCGCTGCGTAAGTTGTAGGGAGGGAGGAAAGAGGGCGTGGAGTGGGTTTAACACAGCCGAGACCTGTATTGACCAATAACATCAGCTCCTCTCCTCGCCTTAAAATCCGCCACCGGCAAGGCGTATTACTATTTTCGTGAAGTAGTCAAAGAGATCAAGAGATGTCTGGAGACAGCAATGCCACAGGATTGCGACAGAAGGCAGCCCCTCAACATGTGTCGCTGTAAGCGCTGCAGAGGGCGTCCTTCAAACTGTCTCATATAAGCACAGAGGGATTTGGTGTGAGTAAGGTTGGACCCACTGGTAGGGCAAACACCCTTTTCCACAAATAAAGACACTCACATAAAGTTGCACATATTTAAACCTCACGTGACAAAGGTGGGTTGTGTGCACAGATCACATAAAAAATTCCAATAATGGCATTAAAATCGGAACCATCTGTGCATAATGACACATCGCGCTCCATGGCCTGGCTCTTTCTTTCATAGATGTTGGCATATAGAATATATTTGGCTCACAAAACTGTGTGTTTATTTTCTAGATATTTAATTTAATTTAATGTGGTTTTAAGCTGTGTTGATTCGGTCAGGTTTTGTGTTCAAACGCGTGCCAAACACGCTCATCAGATAAGATATAGATCTAAATGTATGTGCTGACTCAGATTATTAGTTGTTGATGATTATTTATTGCACTGCCTCACCGGTGGACACGAAAATAGAGCCCCAGTTCTTAAGTGACCCAACACTTGGTACCTTGGTAATTTTGTGGTGATGACAAGAGGTGTTGATTGCTTCTCTCTCGATGTTCCTACAAAAATTCCTATCACTGGTATGCATTGCCTTTTAAACTGCCCAATTAGACTTGAAGCACTTTTTGCTCTCTGGATCTTGTTTCCTCTTGTCAAGATCCCTGCCTGTGTTGTTCTTGTATGTACGTCACTTTGGATAAAAGCGTTATTCTAAACTGAGGTGTGTTCAGAAGAAGCAAATTATGCATCATTTGCACACCTACTGTAAAGTGAAAAAATTACTGTTTCTGATTCTAAATATGTATCGGTTGACTTTTCAAACGTGAAATCAAAACTTCATGAGCAATTACAAAATTTGCTCTCACAAAAGTAATGAAACAACAAACTAGCTTTTGTATTTACTTCATTTAAACAGCTAACAGTTCCAGATCATGTGGAACAATCATTAATCAGATATTGAAAAGTGAAGTTTAAGTACTCGTAGAAAAAGGCTCCAAAGCTCTCAGACTTCAGTCATGAAGACAACAAGAAAAACATGATTTTCATCAGAGTGGCTCTTTAAAAAGCATTTGCAATGTTGTCTTCAATTCTGTTTGTGGACTTAAACGGACTTCCTTTGGACTTATTTGATCCACTGCCATTTGTGAGATCCTGGGTAAAAGCAGGGCATCATCTCTTCTCTTCTTGGATAAAGAGTTGGCAGGCCGAGCCAAGGCCTCTGTGGTCCATTCTTGCTTAAGGTCAGAAAAAAAAAAGTTACAGAGCAAAAGGGTAAGAGGACTCACCTTTGCTCATGCTCAACACATTTTCTGTCTTCTTGCCTTCAGGAGGCACTGTAGATCTTTGTATATAAAAACATCCTGTACTACAAGGAGGTTATTTTCATCTCTGGTAGGTCCTCTGAACTTGAATGTCACGTAACCATAGTAAACAAGAGTAAACATTAGCCAAATAGTTTAGAAATGTGTTAAATGTGTTTTTGTAGAAATTGATGTTTGGTGGCAGGTGTGGCTCAGTAACCGAGCAAATCTGTGGTTATTGACAGTTTTATAATTTAAGTAACACAGCATTTTTAACCAAAATGAGGACATCCTGCTGCATACCAACACAAAGAGAACATGTGGTTTCATACAGACAAACTCTGTCAGTGCATTAACTCTTCCCCCCCCCTCCAAGGTTTAAAGATTTTGTGCAATCAGAGGAGATATGGTCATAGTCTACAAATGTTTTCGATCAAGACATGATTTGATGACCTTGCATTTTTATAGTTTTCTATATGACAGTATGGGATCCTTAAGTCAAGGGTCCAGTACTGAAAATATCAATGTCAAATATTGGTATCAGACTATGATTGATCCCGATGAAGGAGAGTGATATCCCCAGAAAGCTGCACGGTAAAATCTTAATAACATAAACCCAAAATGTGTTTGTGGCAGACTTTTGAGAAACTCTCTACACTTCACACCTCGAAGAAACATCACCAACTTCTTCTTAATGACCCACAATACAGTCAAACCACATGGACTCTCGTGGGTTTAAGTGTTATGTACCCAATGGTATGCTTGCACCAAATCTTCGGTGCTGTACTCTCACGCATAGGTGTGAATGTCTCTAGAATGGCAACATAGGAAAACCCGTGTTTTACATTTTCTTTTTACTGTGAATTCATTTTCTGCTGAGTCCGAGGATGTTTGAAATGTCACTGAGTTCGACCTTCTTTTGAGCCAATCAGATATAACCTAAATTTTGTGCTGCATTTTCTTTGGCTCCTAACTTCCAGTCCTTCAAACCTCTTTGAAGATGTACCTGCTTATGATCCTCTGTGGCGTTTGTAAGTATCTTAATATATGTAACAAATGATATGGATTAAAACTAAAAGTGTAACATTGGCTTGTTTCCTTTCTATCTTTTTGACCCAGTTTATCTGTCAGCAGTGGCCCAATTGGCAGTCAAACAGGACACTGGGATTGTATTTGCCACTGCTGGGGACAATGTGACTTTGAGATGTTTCTATGACAGCCAAGTGGCAATGCACTTCTCCTGGTACCGACAAACTCTTGGAGGTGGTCCTGAGCTTCTGTCTACTGTTTACAAATACGATGAACCATCAAAAGTTTCCCCCTGGATGGAGAAGAACCCGCGTTTCTCTCTGCTGAGGATGAGAGGGTGTAATCATTTACACATCACCGATGTCCAACCGTCTGATTCAGCCTCATACTTCTGCGGGAGTTCACACTCAAATGTTGTGGAATTTGGAGAAGGAATTTTCTTAAGTGTCAGAGGTATTGTGATTTTCTATTTCTATATTTTGTGTCCATAGATCTCGTGAGGAAGCTGCCAAAGAGTGGGCTTGTCCTTCAATCGCCCAGACCGTTCGTAAACACCATTTTTTCTTTGACAGTTATCAATTTGAATTTTACTTGATTTCATAAACTTTAAAGAAAATCTCACAGGAGCTTTAAGGAAAATGTAAAGAAAGATCGTCAGGAGACTTTGGCAGCTATCATCTGTTTGTAGCTGTTATGGCATTAAAAAATAACTGCATATATGTCTTGGTTTTCATACAGATACAGCTGTCTCACTTTTTGTTTTCTGGTCTATGGCTGGTAGTTCCACCTGTTATATGATTTGTCATCAGCCTCATAAACTAATCCATCTTGTTTCAAATGGTCTTTTTTGTTGGAATCAGTAGTTGAGGCACCAGTATTACTTTAAGACTGCCACAAAACCAGATAATAAGTCTGTAGAAAAGCCTTAAAGCTAAGTGTAACAAATGTTTTTGTAGGTGCCAGCCTGAAAGATGTAGACCAAGGACCAGTATCTAAGAGCTTCAGGTCAGGCGGCTCGGTGACTCTGAACTGCACTGTACACACTGGGACTGGGACCTGTGATGGAGAACACAATGTTTACTGGTTCAGACAGGGATTTAAAAAAGGAGTCCTTCACACACAGAAGGATGGGTGTAAACAAGTCCCTGCAGCAGGACCCTCCTCAAAGAGCTGTGTCTACCATTTACAGAAGTCAAACCTGAACTCCTCTGACGCTGGAACCTACTTCTGTGCTGTGGCCTCCTGCGGGGAGATACTGTTCGGTAATGGGAGCACTCTTCTGGTCACAGATGGTGCTGAGGATCAGATGGCACAGATAAGAATCCTGGTCTGGCTTTCCATCATTAGAACTGGGATCCTGTTGTTGTTTGTAATAGTATGTCTTTTGATTTACTTCGGTAAGACCACAAAAGGTAATCAATAGTCAATGGACTGGCTCTTGTGCCTCAAGACTTGGACTTGACTCAAATCTATGTTTAAGTTATGTTATATTTTATAAGACAGAAAAATTATCACACATGCCTTACAATTAATACAAATTTAAGATTCACTTTTTTTTTCTATAACATTTTTTTTCTGAATAAAATTAACTCTGAAAAATCTGTCATTGGTCTCCAAGTGAGAGTGATTTTGTGCGCATAAAATTTTGAAAAAAAAAAAAACCATTTAACACTGACTGTTAAAGCACAGACTGGAAGCCACAGTAACACTGTGGTCTGATAAACAGCGATTAACTTGTGCTTGCAAATATTTCTGGACCACAAAAATGGTTTCTGTGTTTGTTGTCAGCCTTAGAGTTAGTTACACCATACCTAAAAAGAAGACTTCCTCCTTAGAGACCAACATACCAGCACAAATAGAGCTCTCTCTATAAATACAGTATTTCTGTTTTTGAATCACCATACAGCACTGTGATTGAAAGCACTCTATGAATAAGTGTAACATATCGATAAATATAATGTGTATATATCAATCAAAGATTCAGAAAATCTGAATATTTCTCTGTATAAAAGGAAAAAGACTAAAAATTATTTCTGGATAGCTGTGACCTTTAGGCCTCCAGACAACACCACTCTATAAACAAACAAGACTCTATCGTGATGATCACTGCATGGTCTCGAAATCACATGAAAAAAATCATTGTCTGGGATCACAGTTCATCTCTACAGCCACAGATGTAGATTAATTAAGACTGTGCCATGAAAGGAGGAAACCACATTTTAAACATGATTCAAAAAAGCTGGGTTATCCTCTGTGCCTATTTAAAGAAGAGGTGATGCAACACAGTGTTGAGCCCGCCTATGTCACATATATTTTTCATATCTAATATAGAATTATCTAATTATAGGGTCACGCAGATGGCCGAGCAGGCGCGCGGTAGGGGGCGGCCTTTAAACCTATACTGCAGCCACTCACAAGGGGAAGCTCTACAAATTATGGCATTACTGGTTCAACACAGTCTAATTCCCTAAGACAAAACAATCTTGAATATTTAAAGAAGATGCAGCTGCAAATCGAGCAGTTAAGGGTTGTGATATCCTGAATCTTGGTAGTTAGGGTGTTTTGGTTACTTAAAAAGTACGTTTCACTGCTTGCTAATACTATGGAAAGAATCTTAGTATCTGCCAGTATTCTAATTTTCTTAACATTGTGGCAAACCATTAGTTTCTACCTCGGGCTGGTCTTGAGAGTCAGTAAATGATAATGACAGTTCATTGGCAGAGATGTGAAAGCAGCCTGAGCAACTATTGGATCCCAACCATCTCTGATATGTGAAAAAATAGAACCACATTATATCCTGTAATTAAGGCAAGGGCAGCAGAGCTGGTGAGGGCATCTTTAATGGGCTGCTTACACCAAGCACAAATAAAATCATCTACTCGCTTAATTTGCGTGTATCTAGACACATTAATGAAAAGCATTTACTCACTTCATCAATTCGCCCAAATGTGGATAGCTGTTAATGCTAATATCAACAGTGATCCTTGCCAATTCATCCGGCGAGATCAAGTGATAGACAATACTTTTTCACAATTAACCTGATAATCCGATCTTGTCCCTCACTTTCCTTCAGACGAGCTCCTTTTTATTCCTGTTTTTATTAAAAAGGCTGTGGATACGAGAGAGGGGGAGAGTCTCCATCAAGCATGGTCAGAGTGAACCAGGTTCAGTGGATTGCTGCTTTGTTTTTGTCATGTCTGGTTCTACTCCAATAGCTGTGTCTGGATGATGGCCGTTTCCATTATTTTCAGGCACTTTATCCCAGCTGCAGAACGCCTGTACATCTGTCTACTGTGAGTAAAAGGATTTATGTACATATTTTCACACCAGTGAACATCTTCCAGTCTGTTTTCATGTGTCACCTGGGAACCTTTGTGCTGATTGGTTATCCCTATGAGGATATCTGCTCAAGTTGAGATAGTATCAAATTCGCGTCCACTCAATTCACGTCATTCGCACTGCCAGAGTAGTACTTTTAGTAGTATTTTAATCACGCTTGATGTAAACACCCCTTAAGGCAGTGATCATGATGAGCGATTAAAATCATTTGCACGAACGAATTGCATGTTAAATCAATGCAAATACACACTAAAACACTAGTCTGTTTGTTTTTTGTTGGTTGCTGATAGTAAGTGGTTTAATATAAAGTGAGAAGGTGGTTTTGCAAGCTGAATCCCCTCAGAGTTAACTCTGGTCTGCTAATTCTTGATTCCAGCGTTGTTGGTCTTACTGTTGGTCATTTTCACTGAAGGGTTTTAATATCATGGTACCTCTACTCTTAAATAAGACAAGATTTTGTATCTGTGCATACTGATTACAGGGATTAATAAAGGCATGACTGTTCACAGTATTTGCACAGGATAAAGAGCTCAAGTTCAGAGAAGAAGTAAAGACAACCTTCTTAAAACCACAGAGACATAGACTTGACAGAGTGAGTGATCTCCTTTTACTGTTAACTGTGAAGCTCTCCACAAACACTTCCACTTTGCGTTAGTGTGTACAGTAAACAACCCAAAAACAACTCCCTGACGACAGCATTTTTTTGTGTGTAGTTGACCTCTGGGTAAATGAGCTTCACACCTGTCTCTTCTATACCTTCTCATCTGCGCTCGTCTTCTGTCTGTGCTGCTGCTGCTGCAGGCTGCGGCTTAGGGGCCATAGGCCACTCTTCCTGTGTTCAAGCTGTACCTGGAGTTTCCACCAACAGAAACCTGTTTTTAGTTGTTCACACCTCACTCACCACATGAGTCAAAACGAACGTCAGAGCCTGCTAGTTTGAAGGCTGCAGCCTCAGCTCAGGTCAATGCATTTATAGACATAAGGGGAGTTTTGAAGCTGCTCTCTCTATTACATCAGAATCCAGAGATCACTGTGGTAACATGTTTGCTCATAACAGTTTTCGACTCTTTAGTCTGTTCATGACCAGGGGCCTCATTTATAAAGCTTGCTTACGCACAAAACCTGGCTAGAAATTGCGTACGCCACTTCTTACGCAAGAGTTGGGATTTATAAAAGAAAAACTAGTGTAGGAATGTGCGCAACTTTAAGCAAACTCCACACCTTGCTTACGCACTTTTTGGAGACAATCGGAGCAAGGTGAGAATAGTCCGGGTGATGCGTTCAGCACAACGGATGACTCGATGCAGCCTTTCTGTCCTGAGAGCTGCAGCTGCCGTACCAGGCAGTGATGCTCGCAGAAAGCACAGACCCCACTGTGGCGGTGTAGATAGTTTGCCAATTTGAATTTACAAATGTGCAAAAAAAAACAAATTCCATTTACATGCATTTGTTTTAAGTTTATATGACTAAATCTTTTTGGTTTACAAACTTTCACCACATAAGCAGCGGTGGATAACGGAGCGTTTTTTTTTTTTTTGAACACATGCACGAGCGTCACACGTGCTTGTTTTTTCTGATTCTCACCTGTCGCCGCCACGCTCTGATGGTGCAAAGCCACTTTTTTCTTTGCCTCCACCTTTAGATCAGACCACTTCTTCTTGATTTCGGCACAGTTTTGTTTTCGTCTACGTCATCGTCAACGAAAACAAAACTCCACGTGTTTGCGCGCGCGTGCGTGTGTGTCTGTGTGTTGGAGGAGCACAGCAGGCTGATGAGAGCTGTCAGAGCGGACAGAAGCTGCTCCTATATGTTTAGCGTTTAACTGACTGAGTTTTGCAACTCTGGTCGTCATTTTCGTCTCGTCCCATCAACGTAAACGCACTTTCGTCTCGTCACATTTTAGTCATCTCCGACTTATGTTTAGCTTACGTCTTCGTCGTGGGAGAAAAGGGAAATATTTCCGTCAACAAAAACAACCAGTGTTGTTCTCGTTGATGAAAATATTTGACGAAATATGACGAAAACAACACTGTTTCGGCAACGCTGCGCTCAGTGCCAGCCGCAATTGCCACCACGGCAACGGCGTTTTTATTGGTGATGCCACTCGAATGGCCGCCGAATAAGGTCTCCCGTCTCGCCGCCACCTCATTTACAAGAACCTCCACCTCGATCTCTGAAAAGTTTCTTTTTCTACGACTTGCTGATGCCATGGTTAAGCGTGAAATGCCGTGGATCCACCAGGCTTATTTACATGCAAATCACATTCATGAGGTAATTTGCATGACCATACATGGTGAATTTTGGGTGTGGAGAGGGCGGGGAAGAATCAAATCCCTGCTGAGCAACTTTCCAGCTGGTCTGTGATTTATAAAGGGAAAGTGCGTGCAGGTGTGCGTAGGCAGGGTTTTATAAATCAGATTTTTTTTTTGCCTACGCACTTTTCAGCTTTTCAACTTACGTACACTTTTAGTATGGATCCTACGCCAGGTTTTATAAATGAGGCCCCAGATGTTAAAAAGGTGTTCAAAATATTAGAGCAGGGTTGAGGGGATAGGGGCTTGTGATGTAGCATTATGCATCATACCTAGAACTGATAAAAAGTACTAAAATATGCAGCGCAAGGGAATTGTGTGTTTATGTTTGTCGTCATGGCAACCTATGAAATTTGTGTATAGTAGGGCGACCAGATGTCCTCTTTTACCTGGACATGTCCTCTTTTGGGGGTCTGTCCAGCCTGTCCGGAGGGAGTTAATAAAATCCTTAATATGTCAGAGGTTTTGTATGGAAGCCCCTTTTTTTCACTGTTGGAAACAGGCTCGCATAGTCTTGAGTTTGTGTAGCGTGTTTTTCATTGGGGCTGCACAACTTTTTTTTTGTAGGATGGTAGGGGAAGGTCCCGCCCTCCTTCGCCTCTGATTGGCTAGAAGTGCTGGGCTCCGATTGGTCATTCCGTATGGCTGTAAAACGTCATCATCTGTGGAGTTAGGGTTAGGGTTAGGGTAAGGATTAGGGTTAAGGTTAGGGTTGGGAGATTCAATGGCCCAATTCCAAACCACCCCCTCACTGACTCATTGACTTAGGTGCGCGTTCATGTGAGCTCTGTAAGGGCTTGAGGGTTATTCCAAATGAAATCGGTAAGTCAGCAAGGGCTCGGGAATGCCCCTTTCTGCACCCTTTCCGTAAATCCGTGCCGTTGGAGACTTTGGCTAAGAAATTGCCTACAATTCATTGTGTTGTGGGCGTTACCGGAGGACGCCAACGCAGCCGGGGCCAGGATTTAAAAGGGAACAAGGCCACAAGCGTCTCATCATCTGCGACAGACACCAAAAATGACATGGATCATGGCGAAGAAGCTCAAGAAGAAGCAGTTCATATGCAAGTAAAACGTACTGGTCATTGATGAAGAATAAGTATTACCACAAATTTTTATTAGATGTCCTGTGCTAAATTGACTATTCTCATAATTTTATTTGCATCAGATCCAATCTGATTAATATACTGTTTTGTGCACAAACAGGGACCGAAGCACAAACTGTGCGCTTTATCGAGCTACGCACAACGCATGACCACCTTTTTACAGGGGACAAGGGCTCAGCTGCTGAAAGATTTGAGTAAGTTAGACATTTTTATAAGCAAACTTGTGTTTGTGTGTGAATGAGTGACCCTTGATTTGTCATCCTTCTATCTATTGTAAAAGTCAAGCTAGAGCTTAAAAGTGTGTGTGTGTGTGTGTGTGTGTGTGTGTGTGTGTGTGTGTGTGTGTGTGTGTGTGTGTGTGTGTGTGTGTGTGTGTTTATAGGGTACATGTATGTGTCTATATGCTGTAGTGGGTCCACAATTTCTTTTCTCATCAGTTTGATCCTAAAGGAGATGGGGTTGGTGGGGGAGGTGACCACTGCCCAGGCCTCCAAAAAGTGGGAGAACCTAAAAAAAAAAAAGAAGGGTAAATCAATTGTATTTGGTAACTTGGCCCCTGGGGATCACCTGGATTTGTGGACATGGGTGGTTTATTTTACACTGGTAAATCTTCATGAATGGCAGTTCTATGAGTATAATTAAATTCATCAATATAAAGATGTAATGTGGTGTCCCTTATACTCTCACACACAGTACCTGATATTACCCCGAACTGGGTCAGGGACAGAGGCTGGGGAGACGACGCCTGGCACCTGGCCATACTTTCAATTAATGCACAAGGCGTTGAAGGACAAGGACTCAGTGAAACCACTGAACCTGATCTCTACCGCAGGGGATGTAGCAAGGAATCCTGAGCAACAGCCTGATGAGGAGACTCCCCATACCTCATCAGGCTGTTGCTCAAGATTCCCTGCTACATTTGATCCCCCACCAACCACAGCCCCAGGAACATCGAGCACCCCAACACCTGGATCCTCCAAAAGAAAAAGAAATGAGGTTCTAGAATACATCCAGGATTATACAGAAAGGCAGGACAAGAGGCAGAGGGAGCTGGATAAAAAGGAAGAGGAGAGAGAAGACCGTAAGGAGAAGCAGCTCGATCAACTTATTGGAATTTTGGCCAAATTGGCTGAGAATTCAAAGTAGTTATTGTGTGTAGACTTGTCTTTTTCTTTTGTCGTCTTTGAAATTGAAGAACATTCATACAATTGCTGTGTTATGTCTTGTATGAATGTTTAATATTTGTTCTAATGGACATGTGGGTTAGGAAATGTGGTTGAAGGTCAGTCATGAGTCTGTGGCTTGCCTATCCATCACAAACAAATTACAGAGGACAGTAAGTGCATTTTTTTTAACTTTATTTCCACAACATGAATTTGTTCAAATGTAACTGATGTACTTCATTTTAAAAGGTAAATGATATTTGTGGTTGCGCTGTTAAATAAACAAAAAGGAAACAATCAGATATCTGCATAATCATGGTCAGCCAAAACGGTGTGTAACGGTGTGAGGTCTCTGATTTGGTTACCACTGCTCTCTCTGCCCCCTGGGTCAAGTGGAGGGAGACCAGGCTCGTCCGGTTCCTCTTCGTCTTCAGGTTGCTCCTCTTCATCCTCCTCATCTAGAACATCTCTGTTGTCCAGGTAGATGTTGTGTAAGAACCTGCATGCCAAGGCGACCTCGGAGACCAAGGCTGGTTGGACCTCCAGGGCCTTGAGGAAGGTGGCCCCCCAGTGTGTCTTCATTTGCCCAAAGGCATGTTCAACCACGCATCGAGCCCTGCCATGCATTTTATTAAAGCGCTCCTGCATTGGCCCATCAAATGACTTTTTGAATGGCACGATCATGGTGATGGGATGGTCCATACAGGGGTAGCCAGCGTCTCCCAAAATAAAAAAAACAGGTGGCGGGTGTAATGACTGGACATAAACCGGGCTATTTCTCAGTATGCGTGTGTCATAGGCAGAACTGGGATATCCTACAAAAATGTCCAGAAATCTTGCTTCGGAGTCGCAGATGGCCTGGAGCTGGATGGAGTGGAAACCTTTATAATTGTAATAGCACTTTCTATTGTTTTTGGGTGGTTTGATACGGATGTGACAGCCATCAATTGCCCCCACAGCCTTGTTGAATGCCTGATGTCTTGCCAGTCTGGCAAAGCCTTGGCCAACTTCTTCCAAGCTGTGTGGAGGTGGGAAGTGAATGACTCTGCTCCTGGCTTCTCTTATTGCTTTGGCTGTTTTGTGGATTGCTCTTAAAACCGTGGTTTTGGGGATGTCAAAGGTGTCTGCAGTGACCTTATAAGACAACCCATGTGCTAGCCAGTAGGTGAACATTAGGATTTCCAAGTTCTGGCCCCAGCCATGGTCTCGCTCTTGATGGAGTATTCTGAGCAGACTAGTGAAGGCCTGCCTGGAGAGCCTGAACTCAGGCTTCATGCTACATTCAGGATCCAGGTACACCCTTAATACTCTAACATGGATGTTCCGCATCGTGTATGGTGGGCGCTGGAAAGCCAAAATGAACAAGAATGCACTACATTAACATATATATAAGATTATGTGTATATATATATATATATATATATATATATATATATATATATATATATATATATATACACACACACACACATACACATACGCATGCGTTATTCTTATAACAAAGACAATTGATTTTTACTTCAAACTTTTATCTGAATCAATACATTTTATACTGAACTTACACTCTAAAGCAGTGATTACTTTCAGAATCAAGTACTTCAACCTTTTAACCATTCAATATCACTTAACCTATCATTAATGCTGGTTTTATAATTTATCAATCTAATCATTATTTACCAATTTCCTGTTGTCCATGTTCAAGAGCAAGTGTGTGCAAAAGGAGCGGAACAATGTTGGCCTTTCTTTTGCGACGTCGCTGGCCGCGAAATAAATGGAGAATTAAGAGGCCCAGAGAGGCAAGTGTCAGTCGCATCTTTGGTTGTCACGGCAACATTGTCGTCTGTCGTCAAGGTAACGTGGGACGTCACAAAGGGCTGTTCCATTGCACCTCCAAGCTGATTCTGTTAAATCAGTCACAGACAATAATGATCAATTCTTTTAAAGTACAATGTCACCAAAAATTATTCTGCGGTAGTGTTCAACACAAGTTTGACATACCTGCGTCATCTTTGCCACTCTTGCATAATGTCTATGAAAGAGTGAACGTTACAATCCCAAGAATAATGTTCAACAGCACCAGAGCTATAACCGCTGGGCTAAGTTGAAGTGGTTTGGTTTCTGTGTGAGCCATAGGAAAGAAAAAAGAAACTATGCCTGAAAAGTACTCTTTAGATTACTTATTACTCCTCACATATAATAGTAGTTTTCATTTTACCATGAATATTAATCCTGGTCCCGTTCCCAAATAGTATCTGTCCACATGCAGTCACAACACAATTGTAAATTCTAGCATCTTCACTGCTGAGGTTTCTCATGAGAAGGTTGTACACACAAGTCTTGTTACTACTCTCAGTCCTCTCGCAAATCCGGTCTTTATATCTGGATGAGTGGATCATTTGCGGGGCAGAGTGAGGAGAGTATTTCAGCCACATGACACTGGTGTGTTCTGCTGCACAGAGGCCAGTGTGAACAGAACAGCTGACAGTCACAGAGTCTACTGGCTGAACCAACTGAGACTCTGGCAGCTGGACAACAGAGTTGCTTATCATGTTTGCTCCTTTGAAAAGAAATAACACATCTGTTATCATTACAGTCTGTTCACTTACACTTGCTGTATGTTATAAATCATCTTAGTACTTCTTTTTTAAGTAAAACCCCAGCTCATAACAAATATTGTCTCAAGAACCTTTACATAATGAATACATCTGTTCATACTCTGATCTACCTTAAGACCCAACACCAAGGTAAGATTAGATTTTGTACCATCATAAAGGATAAGGATCGGCATTGCGTGCTACACAGCAAATATGTCCCATTTTAATCAATGCAGCATCGCACACAGGAAGCATTGTATAGAATGCAAGTAACACAATCCTTTGGGTTTTTGGCATTTAAGGAGTTACGGTGGCCAGGAAAAGGAACTACGATTTCAGATATAAAGGGCAAATGGGGACCAGGGAAAAGAATGGAACTGCTGAGTGATCGACGTGAATGGAATCACTCCAAGACATGATTTGTTCCTTTCTTAGTTTAGTTGAACTCAGCTGCGAGTGTGGAGTGGAACTACCGCCTTTGACTCTTTGGTGAATGACACACAGCCAGCCAGCCAGCAAGAGTGCAGGTGAAGTCTCATGATTTGCTCACAGTGAACGAAATGTATCAGTCAGACTGTGAATGAAACGAACGACTTCCGAACCACTTGAGGCAGGCAGAGGAGGGAGGGGCGTAGCGTTGTTCGTGAACTGCTGAGCACCAGTTAGTTCACTGAGGCTTAGATAAAACAGTACATTATAGTGCCTTTACATTAATACACATAAAACTCTCCTGCAGGAAAGGATTTATTTCAGCCAATTTAAAGCAATATGCTATATGATATCTTTAAAAGTATCAGAATCCCCGCTACAGCTGCAATGTTTATTTATTTTTAATCTCTCCACTTTTCCGTGATATAAAAGAACAACGACTCGCACCTGTTTAGGGCGTTGCGATGCAAACGTCGGTGGCACACAGAGAGGTGAGTTTTTCAGGGCAAGGGAGTGATTCTTTCTTCATGACTTGGCGGGTGAACGACCTGTGTCACCCAGTGAACGACGTTGTGACTCTAGCAGCAGGGGAGGGGAGGGGCTCGTTCAATGAATGAACTTCTGATCAGTGTTGCTGTGTCACTCACTCATGTACTGCATCCGGCAGGATGGGGCTCTAATGCACTGACTGATTCGGTGAACGAATCTTTTGAACAAACCATTTTTATGAACGGATTCTAAACATTCAGTACAGTCAAAAGAACTGTTCTTCTCATCACTAGAGAAAACTAGAACTCCTGCAAAGTGCACCTGCTGTTGAATTAACGGGATCACCAATCAAAATTATGTAGAACTGCACACCAAATCGATGCTCACTGGTCATTTTGTACATGTATACTCCTGTATAGTTCTTAATACGTGACAGTGCTTTTCTTCAATAGAAATAAAACTCTCTTTTGCATATTCTAAGCACTTTGAAGCTTTCTTCTCAGTCAAGGTTTCTGGTGTCGCAGTGTAGGATTCATCTCAAAAGTCCAGATCATAAATTACATTTTATAGCATTCATTTGATTTCCAAATGTGGACACAACAAAAAATCACTTTACAGTGTTGGTCTAGACCTAAAAACTGGTCTTACATGCATAAGATTGGATTTTTAACATGCACATTCATTTGCAATTCCAGTTAAAAACACATTTAGTTTGACAGTCCCAGTGGTCAAATTGGATAAAATTAGTGTGTAGTTAATTAGTAGATGAAATTCTTCTTGCAGCCCTTTCGAGCCACCCCAGTCAAAAAAGTACAGACTTACCTCTGGCATTGGTAACATTATAATATTGCTGTGATATAATATAAAATAATATATTATTTAAGTAACTATGGTCCAGATTTAAGTTGTGGAGTTGCAAATGTTGTGTGCAAGATTTATTTTCAAAACACGTCTGGGAATCAGTTCTTTGTTAATGCTTTCTGCGAAGGCTAAAACCTCCTTGAAAATGCAAAACTGCTTCTAGTGATACCCAGAGCCTCATAAATCAAATTTAGGACAAAAGCTGAGGAGGTCAGAAATTGTAAATGCTTAAATGTATAAAATAAATACCTTTGGGCATCAAAAAGGTTCCTGATCCAAACTGAATTTCACTTAAGTACATTACTCCACAGAAGTATGTCCCGGTGTCTCTCCATGTTGTTGCCGATATGCGCAGTTGACTGTTGACTCGGTCAAAGTTAAGTGAATAACGTTGACCAACATTCAAACTGGCTTTTATTATGTAAGGTATTGAATGTTGCTACAAGCTGTAGTCTTCTTCCTGGTGTCAGTTTGTACCACACTCCTCTGAACATTTTATGTGGCATTCAACAGTCGCCAAGTCTCCGAGCTTCACTGTTATAAAGGAAACTGGCTGAGGGATGTCATACAACTTTGCCACATCTGAAATAAACAAAGTATATATTATTACTGAAGTGTCTGATAGAAAAAGGAATCCCATATGTGGATTTTTGTTACTCACACGAAGTCCAGAGGAGGCAAACATTCACAAAGTGCGACATCATGCTGTCTGCCATCTCAATGGCAGTTCTGAGTGAGGCACCTTACTCAAAAGAGTCAGCACTTCCTCTTTATCTGGTCTCATCTCTCAGTTTTGTTTGGTTTATTATCCTTACCAACCTCTAACATGATTGGATGGTTTACATTTCACAAGAAAAAAAAAAACAAAAAAACTTTCTCTTGGCCTCTCTTCATTTCAGCATGAGAACATCTCAGAAACCCTTCCCTTTATATTGCAAAAAACAGGTCGACCACAACGTGCTTTGTAAACATCTCAGACAAACTCTCTTTGCTGAATGGAAGCCTCAAAGCCACATAGTGCCATGGAAATAATCTTTACGGTAAAAGGTACAGCCTGAAGGAAAATGTGGGTTTGTTTGAAATGCAATGTTTTGTCAAACCATATATCTGATCAACTCTTTCTTTCACTGCAGCTCTTCTACAGTCGGGTAATATTTTTCTTTGTGCAACTCCTCCCAAATTTCTCAAAACTTACAACCTGCTGGTGTTGTTTGCATACATTACCAAAAGCTGTTGGAACAGCTGTTATGACTGTGACCCACTCTGTTGGAAAATGGGGCATTAGAGTGAATTCTACTGTGAGTGCTGATTATTAGTGTTGACTAGGCTGCAGAATTTATAAACATTTTCACCACTGGGTGGATCTTAAAAATAACATACCTGTACATTTAGTCTGTTAATTTTACCTTCACATTACTATTCTTGTTTTAATCTGGGGTTATATCAGCCACTGTATGTGAGAGACATTTTCTTTTTCTCTTTTTAAATTTTGAACAAGCTGCTCTTTGCAAATGAAGAGGTAAGTTAAATATGCGGTCTAACACTTGAGTTATTTTTTCATGATTTTACAATTCTCTGTAATCCCTCCACCTTTTAGATGATTATCTGTGTGATTATCTTAGCTTTGTCAAACTGAGAGAGCTAAGACTTTGCAGCTCCATGCACCCTAGTTATGTTGCCTTTAAAACGAAATGCACTGAACTATAAAAAACTTTGAAGGGATGATCCACCAGGAATGGATATCTAACACTAATAGTGCCAAGAATGGTGCATGATTTTCCCTTGCTATCTTCTCTTTCTCAAGGTCTAATTAACATAGAAAATAGTCTGCATAATATTCAAATGTTAAAAAAGCCCACTAAATTTACAATCTATGTACAGTTTACTCCACTTTTGTGCTCAATTGAGACTAAGATAGGTGGTAAGCTCCTCCATGCTCTGCTGCAGAGCTGTGCCATGAGCGCTCCTCCTGACAGATCTGTATTCTATCCACATAGGATAGGCTGCATGAAAAGACACAAGCTGACATCCTGGAGCAAGGTAGAAAAAAGCAGGTCACTCAGAACCTCCAATGTGCATATTGGCAAAGCCAGTATGTCCTGGGGTTAAGCTCCTTATAGCCCCTGATTTAACCTTTGATTATCATTAAAGTAGTGATGCCAGACTAATGTTGATTGACTTTGAGATAAGATAAGTTAAGAACTTTATTTATACCCAAGGGGGTATTCAATAAGAAATGTGTAAACTGATATGTATATTTTTTCTTGTCCTCTGGAGCTTGAACTGTTGTCTTGATCACTAGAGAGTTTGAGAGTGATGGTATTAATCCATAACAACCCCAAACCCACCCACACAGTCTCAGCAGCTACTTAATCCAAACTGTGCATGGCTGTTTGCACCAGTGGTTGTCAATGAAGTGTTGGTTGCAATGAGAAAGTTTTTATTGCATTGCTGTAAGGCAATGCATAATGACTCACTTGACGTGTGCAAATAGCCTCACCGCGCACACGGATGTTATTTGCTCAGGGGTGCAGTTTGTGGAGCAGTTAACCCTTTTCATGCACTTTGTGAATTAGTCCAAGTCTTTCTGGAACATTTGCAAATGTTAAGTTGGTGCATGTGATGAATGTTTTCATTTATTTGAATTTGAATGAGGTACTCTTTCTTGAACTGGGTTGGTGAGAACTGTCATGACACCAGGGTTAAACAAAAAGAAAAGGACCCAAATGCAGACAAACAGAATTGAATTAAAAGAACTAAATAAAAAAAGCAACAAAAGGAGAAAAATCCAAGAGGCAAGATCCACAAAAATCACTGGGGCAAAATTACAGGAAGCAACTGGGGACACAGGCACACACATGCATCAACAAACATACAATGAACCAACAAGGACAGAGGGGAAGAAAGGGACTATATACACACTGGGAAATGAGCAACTGGTTAGGCAGACGAGACACAGGTGAGACTCATTAGTGATTAATGAAGGAGGGAAAACTGAGGAGGTAAAACCAGACTAGAAACACAAGGAATCAAAATCTACAAAATAAAACAGGAAACACTGAAAACACTTGGGAAAATACACAGAATGTACTCAAATAAAATCAGGAACATATCTATACAGAACATATCATGACAAGAACTGTCACCTCTCCATTCAGCTCATCATCTGTATGTGGACAGAGTTCGGTGCTGATCAAAAGTCAGAGAAAATCCTGATGACTAATTTCTTTAATAAGTCACAAAACAAGAGTAAATGCATAGAACTCCAAAGCCTCAGTGCATTTTTACTCTAATGCCATGATTGTTCAAATTAGACCTTGACATGGAGCAGCAGATGGCAAATGTTATCTAATTGTCTGTATTCTGTTCACTTTATCTTTCAAGTTGGTCCTGTGGACCTCTTTATCAATGTTGGCCTTCTTGTTACCCTTGGCTTATAATTGCATGAATAAACTTTTCCACAGATGGATATTGAAACCAAAGAGTCGAAGATGAAAGGTAACTAGGAAATAACAACAGCTGACTTATATGTTATTTTACTCAAATCTTTATTATGATTTTACTTATTTTGTCAAAAACTCCCATTAAAACATAGTAAAAAAAGGCTTTTCTTAAAGCCCCTATAAGCAGTTTTCCTTTGCTTATAAAACAGGCTGAAAATCAGCAGGGGGGAGATTTTTCATTTTATGTTATTTTTGCCAGAAGACTCAGTTCAAGCAGTAAAGGAAAGACCGTACAAAAACCAAAAGTTTCCTCATAGGATAAAAGCCAAATTACAAGTTGTAGTGTGGCTGGTTAGTTGTGAGGACCCAGAAGCAGACACAGAGACTGAGATCAACTTAAAGTGTAATTTAATGTCCAAAAAAAGGGGAGATAGTGCAACAGAGGATGTCCGGTTGGCTGGTTGGCTGGCTGTCGTGTGGGCTGGAGACACTGCAGGAAAAAACCAGAGGAGATGGAAGTTATTGTACATGAAAAGAGTCACGAGGCGCAAAGTTCTGATAGGGATACAGGGGGAGGTTGGCCAGGAGACGCGTCTTTACCGCTAGGAAGGGTAGACAATACTCAGGCGCTGAGACTGAGGGCTGCAGGCTTCTTAAAGTGCCTTGATTGGAGATGTGGAGCAGGTGTGTCGACTCACTCAGCCTCAGCGCCGGGGGAGGGGAGGAAGCCCTGGAAAAGAGTAGAGCCAGACCAGGCAAACAAGGAAACACAGGAAGTCCAGCCAAAATAAAACAAGATGAGATGAGGAGGTGTCTCACCACACAAGTAACACTTAAAAAAGACATAGTATAAACCCAGGTCCTCCTACAGAGACACAATATAAAAAAAACACGAAAAGATGCCCCGTTTCATTGCCTTACACTGGAGTACACACACATACTTTCTGTTGTGTTGCTATGTCTTCCTGACCTCCTGGGCTTGTTAACACTTAAAGCAGCGTAATGGAGGTCATCATCATTGCTGCTCCCCTGGACATGGAAAACAAAGCGAAAAAGGCAATTCACAGTTTGTTCACAACAGTATTACAGATTATATTAAAATCCCTTCAACTGAAATCTGTGAGAGAAAAACATGAGAATAAAAATTGGGACGAAAGTTTCTTTAAATTTTGCATTTTGAGATAATGTCAAATGAATTAAAAGGTTTCAAATCATAAAGAGTAAAGTCAAACTAAAAAAAAACTTGTACTTAATGAAAGGTCATATTTTTCAGTCATTTTGACTTTATAATAGTCATTCTGATAAATTCTGATGAGCTTCATTTAAAGTTCAGTGTCCCTCTGACTAAAACCTTTTTATCTTAAACTAAGACATGTTAGAAAAGGGGCTTTCAACATTTCTGCGTAAACCCCACCAAAAACAAGGTCTTAACAAGGGGACAAGTAATTTCATCCCCTTCAGCACACTGTGGTTCCGCTGCTGCAGCAACTTGTAGCTGCTAATAAACAATCTTAAAGGCTAAATCATAAAGTACATTTTGTAACATTCATATTATTCCCAATTCAAACAATGGTAAGAACTGCTTTACATTTTGAATACAGACCTCAAGACTGTCGTGCATTTCAGAGCACAGAGATCTATAAAATGTGATAGATTAAAATGTGCCAAAAAACATGATTTTTCAACAATAATCCTGATAAAAAGTTGTTTAACAGTTTTTGTTTCGGCTATTAAAAAATTATAATCTTGGGAGAAAATACCTGTGCAGTTGTTGCAGATCGAGCTGACGTTTCTAAAAACCAACAGAAACCATATCAGGCCATCGTTAAAAGTTTTTAGTGATGCATGTTTAATCAAACCTTATAGTGTTATTTACCTCTACAGTGGCAGCTGGTTTGCTTCCATTTGAGCACCAGTATGAAAGCAAGTAAAATAGTAAGAATGGTGGTGAATGCTAAAGCTCCACTCAGGAAATACACCTCGAAAAGAGAGAACTCTGAAAAAGACATCGGGAGACACTGAGTCTACTGTCTGATTATATAATCTCAAGTAGAGATGCAAATATAAATTAGATGATAGATTTTTATTTTGAGTTTGAAGTCACTTACTCTCAATTTCCAGTTCAGTTCCGTTTCCAAACAAAATTTGTCCACAGAAGATGACAGCGCAGTAGTACATCCCATCATGAGAGTGATTCACATTCCTCACCGGCAGGTTGTAGACACAGGTTTGTTGGTTTAGATCTCTTACACACTGGTCGTTCTTACTTCTAGGGCTGTAAAAGAGCCCTGGTTGAGAACCTTCAGAGGTTTTGAACCAGTAAACACTATGCCCTCCACCACCGGTCTCAGTTTGGACTGTACAGTTCAGAGTCACTGAGTCTCCAGGCTGGATGGTTTTAGATTCAGACTGATGGATGAAGGTCGAGGTTTCAAAAACTGAAGTCTTTACAATGACCGAAACGCTACTCAGAAATTCAAATGTAATTGAAAAGCTACTCACGCAGTAGTAAGTAGCTGTGTCTGACATTTGTAAATCTGAAATTACCAAGTGGTTTCCCCCATTCTTAGTATCCAGTGTGAAGCGTGTGTTGGTTTCCCATTCATCAAAAAAATTGAAGTTTCTCGTGAAGACATAGAGGTTAGACATCAGTCTTGGTCTCTGTCCCAGAGGTTGCTTATACCAGAAAAGTCTTTTCACCATGTTATCTTTAGAGAAGCATTGCAAAGTTATGTCATCTCCAACATTAACTGATATAAACCTTCTCTCTTGATGAACAGGCAAGGACAGATTGGTCACTTGAGCTGAAGTGAGAAAAGACACACAAGGAAAGTACATTTATATCAAAGTCAGAGCTACTTTTTCCACAGTGAAACAAGAGAAATCTGTATGATGTGGAGCAAACTCACCAGACTCACCACTTCTCCCCAAGATGAAAAAGGTCAGATAGATAATTGTCTTTAGAGGTGTCATTGTGTTCAGGTTGCAGAGCTGACTGAACAGTAACTTGATCTTTTGTCATCTCTTGATAGAGAGGACTATCTCTGATTGGTTATAGTGCAGTGACACGGCATGCCCTATTATGGAAACTCATCATGTGTTTGTTGTCAGCTACAGTCTCACCATACTTATCAGCTTATAGTATCTGAGTACAGTGTCAACATAAAGTAACCTCAGCCTCTCTATCAGGTGGGGGTCTCTCTCTTTTTCAGGTTAGGAATTGATTGTGCAATAGACATTCAGTTACAGATAGTCAGTTGTGACGATCTATGCATAGTTTTTATCCCTGGTTGTATTATAAGAATGGGATGTGTAACCAGGGTTTGAATTAGAGATCGCTTTTTTGTGCACAATAACTCCCCAAATCACATGCACGTGCACACAATTAATTTTGTGGCAGACTGGTTAATATCAGGATTAAAATGGTAGTTTTTACCATTTAGCTGCATACAGTTAAAACAGTCAGTAGACAGTGACACAAAAATCATGTAAAATGTTTAAAAGCATAATTAAAACAGACAAAAATCACAATCTTAAAGCAGAGGGACATCTGTCTGCTTTGTATGCACACTCCTTCAAAGCTCCCATATCATGCAAATTCACTTTCCAATGGTTTTCTAACAATATGCATCCCCAGCTTGTCTACAAACCCCCTCAAAATGAGAAAATTTCAAAAAATGTCTGCTAAAACAGGCGGCTTGAAACCACCGCCTTCCATGACGTCATGGGTGGTGATAACTCCACCCCTCCAGGTTGGTGACACTGCCCAAGATGTTTGTTCTGCCCCCACGAAAATGTTTACTCTGAAACTATTTTTCTAACTTGCAAATGCTGGTGTGAAATGGTAAAGGTGTGAGCAAGGCATGGCAGTTGCTCTGTTGTTGGCTGCAGGAGGCAGCACAGACATCTGTTTCCATAGACTGCAAGAACATAGTTAGGAGAGATAATTATACTTACAATATTGCGCATACACTAAAAGAGCTCCAAGTAATGAGAAGACAGCAGAGATGTTACTGTTAGCAGGAGCTAACGTCACGTAGCTGCATGTAAGTTACTGTTTCCCAACACTTGAAAAAAGTAAAAAGAAAAATATGGAGACACATCATATTTGTAAGTAACCACTCAGAAACGTCCTGCTGCAGCCACAGAGTTGGAATTTCTTCAGGAGCCTCTCCTTCTGGGTCAGACTCTTTATCAAACTGGTACGGCTGAACCACAGCGCTTCTATGCACTCTGTGCAATCATTAGTGCATGGTACTGTAGCTCAAGCCACAACACTTGAGCACACAGCGAGCATGAGCGAGAGAGCGAGCATGAGCGAGAGAGCGAGCGAGTCCCTACTCATGGAAAAGACTGAAGCGCTTCACGAAGCTAACAAAACAATCACCAAACTTAAACTCCGCATTCAAAAACTCTCCGATGAGCTTAAGTCAAAATCCACTCTCCTCACAACCTGCATTGATGTGGCCCACCAGCAATCCCTCCACCTATTCTCGCTCCAATCAACCCTCCAGGACACGCTACCCTGGGAGCCTCAAAGCCCGTCCACCACGTCCAAACCGCCATCCACCGCTGCATCCAACCACGACTCAACATGGACTGAAATAACCACACGCGGCAGGAAAATCACTAACACCACCCCCTGGAACTCGGCCGGGCCTACCTCAAGCTCCACTCCAAGCCGCTTCGAGGCTCGTGAGAATCCTCCTGAGCCTGCCAACACCAGCATGGACCAGTCCCTTCTCGACGGTGACGTGGTGGCGTCCTCTGCAGCGGCTGCCGGAGCTCCCATGGCTCCTACACGGTGACCCGGCGGAGCCCCCGGGCCTTCGTCCACGTCCTCCGGTGCCCTCGCGGCGTGCCGGCTCGAGGACCGGGTAGCCTCCGCTCTTCTGGCGACCAGCTCCCGGGCGTCACCGGGCGCTGGCGCTAAGAACACCTCCCTGCCGGCGCACAGTGGGATTCCCGTGTGGCCTGGCACTGGCGGAGGGGACCCTTCTCCGTCGGTCCCTGGTCGCGCGCGGTGTCCCGGAACCCGCCTTGACCAGCGCTCGGAGAGCCGGCCCGCGTCCTCGGCCGCCCGCAGGAGGTTTCTCCGGGACGCAGTCTGACGGAACTCCGCCGGGCCCGTTTCAGCTGCCCCGGACCGAAGTGGCAGACCATCCCCGCAGCCGCTGGCATCCACCGTATCCACCGCACCGCTGAGTCCCCGTACCCCGACCACCAGCCCTGCTTCGGACACAGGAGCAATGCACCCCCCGCCGCTGTTTCCCCCCACCACCTTGATCATCGGTGACAGCATCATACGAGGTATTCGTTATTTTAATGCCATCACTCGCTCTTTCCCCGGTGCAACTGTCGCCGACATCACAGCTAAACTCCCCGGTCTTCTCCAATCACTTCCTGCCTCTATTCACCGCATCATTGTCCACGTTGGCACAAATGACACGGCTCACCAACAGTCTGAACAGACAAAAAAAGACTTCAGGACTCTTTTAGATAGCCTTGAGCGCAGTGGCAAAACTGTTTTTATAAGTGGCCCTCTTCCAACACTAACACGCAGCATCGATCGTTTTAGCCGCCTCCTCAGCCTAAACTCCTGGCTTCGAGCCCTCTGCAGCACCCTCTCCACCCACTTCATAGACAATTTTAACCTGTTCTGGAACCGACCCCCATTCTTTTCTAATGACGGACTTCACCCAAACAAACTGGGCCATCAGACACTTGCCGCTAATATCCAACACCACATACACACCAACTGACTATCATTGTTTACATACTCCCTCTCATTCTCTCCCACTACCCCACCTGGAAACAGCGCCCCCCTGAGGCCCCCTCCGGAACCCTCGCCCTCACCACCCTCACCACCGGCTCCCCCAGCAGGCCCCAACTGGTACTGCGCACCATCCCCATTGCCCCCACCACATCAAGCTCCCCCTCCTGGTCCAAACAGCTACTACACCCTTCAACCATAGACTCTCCTTGCAAACCATTGCAAACAATTAAAACAATTACAACTACTGGAACCTCCCGTTCAAATCCCATGCATCCAAAAAGAAGGACAAGAAATCTATCAAATCTCCGCTACCTTCCCCCTGCCTCACTGCCCACCCCACAGCCCCCTCCCCTGAAGATGGCCCTTCAAAACACCCGCTCCCTCAATAACAAAGGACACATCCTAGCTGACTTCATAACAGACAATAACCTGGACTTCCTCTATCTAACTGAAACCTGGCACAACCATCTCGACCTCTTTCCACTCAACCAAGCCACCCCCCCGGTTACTCCTATCTGCACCAACCCCGCCTCACTGGACGAGGCGGAGGCGTCGCAGTTATTTACAAACAAACCCTCAAGACCACCCCCGCCCCCACCCTGTCCCTCCACTCATTTGAAAATATCTCTGTCAAACTCCCTGGCCCCACCCCTCTGGTCATTGTTACTATCTACCGTCCCCCAAAGCCCCACCCATCATTCCTCTCGGATTTCTCTGAATTTGTCACCCACCTAAACACCATCTCATCCTCTGTCCTGCTGCTTGGAGACTTCAACTTTCACATTGACAACCCCACCTGCAAACAAGCTTCTGATTTCCTGGATCTCCTCGACACCCTCAATCTCACCCAGCACGTGCACTCCCCCACCCACTCCCATGGCCACACCCTCGACCTCGTCTGCTCCACCGGCATCTCCATCCACCATCTCTCCACCACCAACCTCTATATATCAGATCACCTGGCTGTCACTTTCAACGTCGACCTCCCCCTCTGCCCCACAGTGAAAAACGACAAATTACCTTCAGAAACCTCAAATTCATCTCACCACAGGACCTCTCCGCTTCCCTATCTGCCACCCTCACTGCATCCCCTCCCTCACCATCTGCTAAACTTCCTGACCTAATCAACTACTACAACAACACTCTATCCTCCTGCCTGGACCAGCTCGCACCTCTCAAAACAAAAACAGTTTCATTCAGACACTCTGCCCCCTGGTATACTTCTGAACTACACAAAATGAAATCCCATAAACGCCAACTGGAACGTCTATATCGCAAAACCGGTCTCACTGTCCATCTCCAAGCCTACACCGACCACCTCCACCTATACAGAACAGCCCTCAAATCCGCCCGCTCATCCTATTACTCCAACCTCATCAACTCCGGCTCCAGCAACCAAAAGGCTCTTTTCTCCACCGTCAAAAAACTGCTCCACCCCATAGACAGTACCTCCATCACCTTCACCCCGGAAAAATGCAACACATTCCTCTCCTCTTTTCAAACCAAAATCAATGCAATCTATAACTCCCTTCCCCCCACCCTCCATTCCCTTCTCACCTGCTTCTCACCTGTCTCCTCAACCGACGTGACTAATATCATCTGCTCCATGTCTTCATCCACCTGTATCCTCGATCCCATCCCGTCCTCCCTCATCAAGCACTGCCTCCCCGTCATCTCCCCAGTCATAACACAGATCATCAACTCCTCCCTCAACTCCGCCACTGTTCCCCCGTCACTTAAACTGGCTGCTGTCACCCCCATCCTCAAAAAACCTGGATTCAACCCCGATGACATTAGTAACTTCCGGCCCATCTCAAACCTCCCTTTCCTGTCAAAAATCCTCGAACGTGTCATCACATCACAAATCAAAACCCACCTCAACAGTAACAACCTATATGAACAGTTCCAATCAGGATTCCGCACCCACCACAGCACCGAAACTGCCCTCATAAAAGTGACAAATGACCTCCTCATCTCCGCTGACTCTGGCCAACTCTCCATCCTCATCCTCCTCGACCTCTCCGCTGCTTTCGACACCATCGACCATGCCATCCTTCTGTCCCGCCTACACTCCCTCCTCAATATCACAGACACCGCTCTTAACTGGATCCACTCTTACCTCACAGACCGGAATCACTTCATCCATATTAACAACTGCTCCTCCACAACCGCCCCCGTGTCCCAAGGTGTCCCCCAGGGTTCGGTGCTTGGTCCCCTCCTCTTCATCATCTACCTCCTCCCTCTTGGCCACATCCTCCATCAACACAACCTCCACTTCCACTGCTATGCTGATGACATTCAATTATATATCTCCTCCAACTCCATCACCCCCCAGACCCAACGCTCCCTCTCAAACTGCCTCTCTGACATCAAACACTGGATGGACAGCAATCTTCTTAAACTCAATTATGACAAAACAGATCTCATCATCATTGGCCCAAACTCCCTCACCCCCACAGTCACAAACTTTCATCTCTCCATCAACAACTCCATCCTCTCCCCCTCCTCCCACTGTCGCAACCTTGGCATTCTCTTCGACAGCAACCTCTCCTTCACCCAACACATTAAGCAAATCACTAAAACAGCCTATTTCCACCTCAAAAACATTGCCCGCCTCCGCCCCTCCCTCTCCTACCCTGCAGCTGAAACCCTTATACATGCATTCATTTCATCTCGTCTAGATTACTGCAACAGTCTCTTTTATGGCACCACCTCCACTCTCCTCAACAAACTTCAGCTTATCCAGAACTCAGCCGCCCGCCTCCTCACCCACACACGCTCCCATCAACACATCACCCCCGTCCTCCAAAACCTTCACTGGCTCCCCATACCCCACCGCATTCAATACAAAATCCTCCTCCTCACCCACAAAGCACTCCACAACCTCGCCCCCCCCACCTACAGGATCTTCTCCACCCCTACATCCCCTCCCGCACCCTCCGCTCCGCCAATGCCAACCTCCTCACAGTTCCCCTGACCAAGCACCGAACCTGGGGGGACAGAGCCTTCTCAGTCGCCGCCCCCACCCTCTGGAACTCACTCCCACTTGAACTCAAAAACTGCACTGACCTCACCAGATTCAAAACCCTTCTCAAAACCCACCTCTTCCGCACTGCCTTTCATCCCTCCTAACCCCCCCCCCCCCCCCCCCATTAGATTTTACCTGATTCTACATGTTTTTATTGACATTGTCGTAAATTTTATTACTCATTTATGTGTGTTTTATTGTTATTTGATTTTACCTGATTACATGTTTTTATTATATTGCCGTAAATTTTCTTACTTATTGATGTGTGTTTTTACTGCTTACTCTGTACAGCGTCTTTGTGTCTTTGAAAAGCGCTTTACAAATAAAATGTATTATTATTATTATTATTAACCTCCTCTTCCAGAGAGACAGGGAGGGGCATGGCTTGCGCTAAAGGAGGCATGGACAGGCGCAGCACACAGAAACAGCGTGTTCTTGGTAGAGCTCACTAGGGAGAGTTGTCAGGCTGGCTGAAGTCCTGGAAAAAACTGTGTTTTTAGACAAGAAACTTCAAATTGACTGTTGTGGGACCTCTGAAACAAATTGAACCTGCTGAAAAGGAGTATAATATGGGACCTTTAAGAACAACACATCTTTAATGATGTTAAATGGTAAATGGGTTATGTTTATATGGTGCTTCACCCATTCACACACCACTGGTTGCAGCCAGTGAAGACAGGTGGAATCAATGACACCTCAGCACATGAACAGCAGGACCTGGGATTAAACACCTGACCTTTTGTTTAGGAGATGACCAACTCTACCACTGACCCACATCCACAATATAAAAAAAAGAGCATTATTCAGCAGACTTGCTAAGGTAAAGTAAAATAGGCTTTCCACAGCCTCCTCTCTCACTCTTTCTGTCATTCTGATGTTGACTGTCATTGTCTGTTTACAACCACAAGCAAACACGCCAAGAAACAAAAGGCAGAGGCCTCCACTGAGGCAGCACACAGCCAACAGCACACAGAGCTGTCCGTGGTGCTGAAACAATAGTTTGTGTATGAAGTCCCATAAAGACACAATGGATCAGTCACATCTTGATTAGGTGATGAACAAGACTGTTTTACACATAAGAAACAAATCTACAAGTTTACAATCCAAATCAGGAGGCTTTAGGAGGCTGTTTTCTTTAGATAGATGTTTAAATCTTTACGAAAAACCAGATGGTCTGGCATAAACACAACAAAGCTCACAGACGGAAATCAACTTTATTAGAAGTGTGTAAAACATTAAGTTTTTATAACAGACTCTAGATTTTTAACAATTTCCTAAGTGTCTAACCTGGCTCTTTAGCTATGACAAAAGGACAGGAGAAGTGCAAATTAACAAAAGTGATTGAATTTATTTACAAATTAAAATAAAGGAAGCGAACAAAAACTACATGTATGGGGTGTGTTAGTCTGGTATATTAGTAGTGTGTATGTGGTTGTGTGAGAATGATGTGGTGCAAGGTGTTGAGAAGTGCACTAACAAAACTGATTAAAATGAAATGTGCATGGTGATCTGCAGGCAGCTGAGCAGAGCAGAACAGCGAGCATCATGGCAGACAGAGCCAGGCAGGATGAGCAAGAGAAAGAACAGGCCACAGGAAGCTAATATGTAGGAGGTAGAGCAAAAGGCCCAGGTGCTCCATATCAGAGCAGATTTCAATCAGCCACTCCAGGCACCTCAAAAGAGAACAGACAGATATGTCACATCTCCAGTTTAGACATCCACACAGGGGCAGTCACATGAGTCAGCAGGTTAGTGTTGTGTCGTTTGCTAATGAATTGTTCAAAAGAACCAAATCTTTTAAATGAAAGTACTGAACTGAATCACTTCCTCATTCGTTTCACACGCGCCGACACCTAAATCACTTGGTGAACGAATGCAGTGAACTACACTCGCTGGAATCATTCTTGTCTGAGGGATAAACTTTCTTGGCGACTGTTTTAATAGCAGTAATAAGAAGAGAGTGAGACTTACCAGCTGTAGCAAGCTCTTGACAGGAGTTACAGAGGGAGATAGGGATGTGTTGTGTTCAAGTGTACCTCAGAGAAATATAACTAATTTGCCACCACAACAACTTGGATACAGTAGGACAAAGCATGTAACAAGTAGTGTATAAAACCTGCAGTTTGAGAAATGTGTCACTGTCTGAGCCTATCATTGCTGCGATTTGCAAGGGAACGGTGCATGGTCAGTGTGAATTCTTCACTGATTGTACTGTGGGGCAAACATTCAGTGAATTAATCAGTCACTGAGCCCAATTTACCGAGTAGACCAGATAAATAGCATACCATTAAACAGTACACTTAAAACATCATGATTTATAAACAAGTTAATTTTTACAAACCTGTTTGTCATAGCAACAAAGCCACATCACTCTTGTCTCCTGATTACAAAAGCTATGATCTGAACGTAATCCTGAACAACTCAGCTGTGTATCAGTTCAGGAAGTCTAAGTCGCAGGCTCCTCCCACCAAGTGCTGAATGATTCAGTGATTTAAACAGTACATCTAAAAGAACTGCCATGCCCATCACTACAGCAGGATGATTTTATCTGGAAAGGACACTGCTCAAACGTATAATGGATAAGATTCTCCTTTAGGTGGTAGCAATAGTCCAGGAGCCATGGGGGTGAACGTGGTTTCGTCGGTTAAAGTTTCTTTCTCAACTGATTCTTGCTGCTGGGGGTCCCCTCTTAAGGATTCAAAAGGGTGCCCAGTGAAATCCCTTGAGCATTTTTTGTTATTGACCCCTTAATGCCCAAAACACTAAAAACTCACCCAAAATAGACTTCTATGGTATTTCATGCAAAATACCTGATCTAAATGCATAAAATTAGCTTTCTACAGTTTGTATCCATGTAAATGGATGTGTACAGTGCGTTAGATTTAATATGTATGCATTTTTTAGTATAATAATAATAATAATAATGATAATAATAATAATAATAATAATAATAATAATAATAATAATAATAATAATAATAGATTTTATTTGTAGTGCACTTTACATTTAAAAACAAATCTCAAAGTGCACAACAAGACAACAATAACAGTAAAAACCAAGCAACAGGGCAAAACAATAAAAAGCAGTCAGCAGATAAAATCAGATAAAATTAGTCCGGTTAGGCTTTCCGAAAGAGGAAGGTTTTGAGTCCTTTTTTAAAAGCATCCACCGACTGTGGAGCCCTGAGGTGGTTGGGGAGGGCGTTCCACAGACGGGGAGCAGCAGCCTCGAAGGCCCTGTCACCCATGGTCTTGAGCCGAGTCCTGGGCGGGCGCAGACGGTGCAGTTGGCCTGACCGTGTTCTGGCTGAGGTATGTGGGGTGAGGACTTCGGTGAGGTAGGTGGGGGCTGCACCGTGCAGACAGTGATGGGTGTGAAGGAGGATTTTGAATTCAATGCGGAGGTGAACGGGGAGCCAGTGCAGAGTGCGAAGGATGGGGGGTGATGTGCTCATGTTTACGCACTCTCATCAGGACCCGGGCGGCGCTGTTTTGGACATGTTGGAGCCTTTGTAAGCTCTTGCCTGGGATCCCAATGAGAAGCGCGTTACAGTAGTCGAGCCTGGAGGAGACAAAGGCATGGACGAGTCTCTCTGCTGCAGGACAAGAGAGAAATGGCCGGAGTTTGGTGATATTACGGAGGTGAAAGAAGGAAGTCTTGCAGATATGGTTGATGTGATAGTCAAAGCTAAGATGGGGGTCAAACCTGACTCCCAAGTTAGTCACAGAAGGAGAGAGGGAAAAGTTGTGGCCGAGAAAAGAGACGGATGAAAAGTGGGTAGAACGGAGCTGGTGGGGAGTACCGATGTGAATGGCTTCTGTTTTGGAGCTGTTCAGCTGTAAGAAGTTTTCACACATCCAAGCCTTTATCTCCTCCAGGCAGGAGTCCAGTTGGGTGACAGAGGAGGGGGGAGTGGAGGAGGGCGTGACCTTGAGGTAGAGTTGTGTGTCGTCAGCATAGCAATGGAATTGTATTCCATGCCTGCTGACGACACGACCAAGGGGGAGCATGTAGATGGTGAAGAGAGTTGGACCGAGCATGGAGCCCTGGGGGACCCCACAGACAACAGTGTGAGGGCGGGATTTAGCATCCCCCAGGGCCACGAACTCGGTCCTTCCCGTGAGGTAGGAGTGAAACCATTGAAGGGCGGTGCCAGAGATACCAATGTCGTGATGGAGGCGATGAAGGAGGATGTGGTGATCAACAGTATCAAATGCAGCAGAGAGGTCGAGAAGGATGAGGAGGGAAGTGAAGCCGGAGTCAGAGGTCATCAGGAGGTCATTGGTGACTCTGATGAGAGCTGTCTCAGTGCTGTGGGAGGGACGAAAGCCAGATTGGAATATTTCATATAGACTGTTTGATTTAAGATGGTTGTGAAGTTGGATGGATACAATTCTTTCAAGAGTTTTGGAGATGAAGGGGAAATTGGAGATAGGTCTGTAGTTTGACAGGGAGCTAGGATCAAGAGTGGGTTTTTTGAGGAGGGGCTTGATGATAGCTGCTTTGAGGCTGACTGGAACATGGCCGGTTTGAAGAGAGAGATTTATTATGTTTGTTATTAGTTGACTGATAGAATGACAGTGTGTCCTTTCCCATTTTTTTCCCCCCAAACTAGAAGTCTAGTGCGTGACATGTTGTGGCTTTTCTGTATGCCAAAACAGGCTGATATGAATGCAGTGGCTTGGTCAATTACTTTCTGGACTTTAATGACTGAGCCTTTTCCCAACCCATGGAAGGATGTTACAGTGTCACATCCTGAAATGGCGTGGGCTGGTAAAATGTTCTTGGCAATTACTGGATCCTTTGCCAGTGTTGACTTTATGTCAAATATTGCCTTTTCCTGGCTCGGGGATTCCATAGTGAGAGATACATCCAGTCCTGACTGTTGATAGTGGTGAAGGAGGAGGACGAACACATCTGTGTCATCCGAAACCACAGAGATTTTATGGGCTTCTCCAGCACACACAAGGACTTGTTGGGCAATGATTGTGTCAAGGAATCAATACATTAAATGAAATAGTTACAAAATGTGTGAGGTTAGAAAGAGTTAAAACACTTACCATATCACTGTCATCCTAGAAAATAACTTACACAAACAGTCTTAGCTCATGATGAGGAGAAATAGCTGATTCTGCTTATCAGTTGAAAAAGCAGGAACAAGTTACACATGCAGGAATTGTGTTTTTCTTGTACACAGTTATCAATTGATAATGTATAAATAAAACAGCATAATAAAAATACCATTAATTCAGGCTAAATTAGTCAATTCCCACCCAAAGAAATGAAAGAAGAGATGAAAGAATAAATATGTATTAATTTCTACATCTACATATTCCCCAGCGGGGGAATATGTAGATGTAGAATATGTTCTGTAGATGTTTTTGTACAGTATGCTCAAGATGGAGGGCCTGAAAGGGTTAAAATGCATTCATTCATTCAAAAGGAAAAACATGCTTTACATGACGAGTTCCACTATTAGACTTTGTAGAAAGCAGATCTAATGCATTTGGTTTGATTTCTGTGCATGTACAACATCACGGTTTAAAGATTATGTTGTTCTGGGCAGGAAGGGGTTAATATTAAAAAAATGCATACATATTAAATCTAATGCACTGTACACATCCATTTACATGGATACAAACTGTAGAAAGCTAATTTTATGCATTTAGATCAGGTATTTTGCATGGAATACCATAGAAGTCTATTTTGGGTGAATTTCTAGTGTTTTGGGCATTAAGGGGTTAATAACAAAAAATGCTCAAGGGATTTCACTGGGCACCCTCTTAATTCCTTAAGAGGAGACCCCCAGCAGCAAGAATCAGTTGAGAAAAAAACTTTAACCGACGAAACCACGTTTAGCCAAAAATCACCCTTTGGCTCCTGGACTATGAGGCATAAAATGCGTTTTACTGCTGCAGTCAATGTAACAAAATAGATCTCCACCATTGCACAGTTATATTACTACACAAGTATATGATTTTAGATAACGTTCATGCAATCCTGGGGCAAAAGAAGGAAAAAGATGTGCACAACTGCACCAGCATCACACAAATCAAGCATTGCAGCCCCTTGTCCAGTAAAAATGACACCTGGCACACTTAGATTATTATTATTTCTTTTTAAATACAATGCAGTAAAATTTGCAGTACAAGAGCAGCCATCAAAAAGTGTAGATCATCGACTTGATCATAGTCTTACATAGTTTCTCATTTAGAAACAATTTACAGAATACTGGAAAGCGCATTGGGCAAATGCATAAAAAACAAACCAAAAAAAAAAAACAAAAACACAAATTCACAAATTGAACTTTCAGAGTCAGTGTGCAACTGTGACATGGAACATGAGTTTAGCTTTTATCTCGAAGCAGTAAAAACTGACATCACCCTATGCTCAAAAAGTAAAAAAAATCTTTAAAAAGTAGGAAAAAATTAAAGGTGAAGACAGATGCAACACTGGTTTCTACTATCAGTACTAACAAAAAGGAAAAAAACAACTTTATTGCATGACCTTTATGCCCAATAGGAACACGTATATATATATATATTACTGCATGCAGTTTTACAGTTTTATTCTTGAGTACACACATTCAGTCTGGGTGTTGTATCCTTGTCTTCTGGATCTGTTGACCCTGTGTTCCCTCAAGGCAGCGTAATGTATGTTTTCCTCATTGTGTTCACCCTGATAGAATAAATAAGACTTTACAAAAACAGGTAAACCCAACGGAGACACTAAAAACTTCTAATTAATAATTAAAATGATTGAACTGAAACCCAAAGTGGAATCTATCACAAAGTACCTGTTCATTTGTTGATGAAGAGGCTGGAGGTCTTGCATGCGACTCTGAGAAAAGAGTGAAAATAACTCTTTAAAGTAAGGCTGTATCAAGCAACTAAACTGAGTCAATTATAAAGGATGGTAGTTAAAGTACCTTCACATTTGCAGTTATTTCTCTTGTTGATCACAAATAAGACTACAGCCAGTATTATGATCAAGAGGACGGTAAATGCCAAAGCCACACCTAAGACATACACCAAGACAGGCGAGTACCCCTGATCTAAAGAGAGGCAGACAGAAACCAGAGTTATTAGAGAAAGATATAAGATAAGCATTTTCTCTCACTTAGATTAAAATGAAGTATAAAAGAGTGACTTACCTTCAAGATCCAGCTTGGTCCCATTTGCAAACAGTATGTGTCCACATGAGACAACAGCACAGTAGTAGGTCCCAACATGAGAGTAATTCACACTCTTTATTGGCAAAGTGTACTCACAACTTTGTTGGTTATGTTTCCTCTGAGATTGAAAACTTTGGTTTCCATGGATATAAATGAGTCCTGGATGAGATTCCTCCGAGTGTTTAAACCAGTAAATGCTGTAGTCTCCGTCAGATGTCCCAGTGTGAATATTACACTTCAGATCTACAGAAACTCCAGGCTGGAGGGTCTCTGATGCAGATTGATTGATGAAAAGCTGGTAGTTTAAACTTGGACCTTTTACATTGAGGGTTATTCCCTCCATAAATACAAATACATATGAATAGCTACATGCACAGTAGTAAGAAGCAGAGTCTGACACACGCAAATCTTTGATGGTCAAATGATTTCGACCGATTCCAGTATCCAGAGTGAGGCGTAGATCATTCTTAAATTCTCCGTGAAAATTCACATTTGTTTCATACTTGTAATAAGTAGAGACAAGCTTTGGTTTCTCACCCAGGCTTTGCTTGTACCAGTAAAACCTTGTTGCTATATCACCTTTAATGAAGCATTGCAAAGTTATCTTCCCATCAACATTGGCTGATAAAATTCCACTTTCTCGGTGCACAGAAGAGACAGATGCGAGAGCTGAAATTAGACAAAAAATCTTTTAATAAAAACAAAAAAAACTAAACAAAACTACATCAATTCAACACAACATATTTAAAACAAATGACATGATCTGACCCACAATTTAAAAAACAAACTCACCCATTTTCTCCAAATAGAGACATGTTAAACAGAACGTCAGCATTAGAGGACTCATTGTGACTCAACCACTATGTAGATCTGAGCACATCTGACTGCTCCCTTCACTTTTAAGAGCCAGGATGAGATCTGATTGGCCACACAGAAGAGACGTACACTATACCCCACAGAGGAAACATGATCACATCCTCACTTACCTGTCTACTGTGTTGTTATTTTGGTCTTAACATCAAAAGAAAGAGATTCAAAGAATACTGCAGCTCTTCACTAACAAGATTTCCAAATAGTAAAAGATGTCTGTATTTTATCTTTCATTTTATTTTGTAGTCAACATGAGTGCTCTCACTCTGCTCTCAATTTGAGTACTCTGAGCATTGTAATTTTCCAGTTACCCATTAAATCGAATCAGTTTTAATGAACTTTAAACTGGGCTATGCTGGGGTTTTATACATCTAATCAACCTTAAATTTCAAAAATTCGCTGAAGAATGCAAGCTGTGCCTTATCAAGGAGAAACCTAAGACACAGTTACATGCAAGCAACTGTGGGATCCAGTTTTCACTGTTTACTAAGAGGGTTGTGATGAGACACTCAGCCCTAAAGATGTGACGGGATGTGGCGTGGTATGGCATGACTTGACGTGACTATTTCTATCAGTAATGTGTTCTTACATTGTTTTTATGCTGTTATTAATTTGAATTGTTTTAAAATACCTGTGTATGACAAAGTTTTCAAATCTCTAGCTTATACGCTGTAATAAAGATGCAAGGGTGCTGACTGTAAATTTGATCAATCAAACATACTGACAGTGCTAGAGACAACACTACAGACAGATAAAAACGTAAATGTGGAACTATAAAGTCCTAAACAGGACATCTCCATCTGTGCTTCGCGTTCTTTTTGTCCATATTTCTGCACTAGCCTCGAAGTTTACGGATACAGGCCGGACAGAGCAGTACCACCGCTAAACCGTGAAGGCAGTGTTGCTGCTGTCACTACATGATACGCATCTCTAGAGAGAAACAAAGAAGACAATGGTGGAGCTTTTTGAGGATCATCGTCAATTTCTCTCATCGGTACAACTGGAGAAAAGACTTCTCCTTCCTCGAACTGCGAGGCATTCAGTGACCTGACCGACCTCCGCCTCCTCCAATGCTGCCTCCGTTTCTGTCTCCTGTGCAAAATATACATTATCACTAGATCCTCCACACTTGCCATGTTTCATTTTGTTTGTTGTTGTCAGAAACTTTTGACCCCGGCCTGCCCCCCTGGTGGATGTAATGGATTACATCCATGCCAACGTAACGGACATATGGAAGTATGTGGGCAGTGACAGAACCATTGTTTGAAATGGACGCGTACATTTTCATATGTATGGCGGGCATAAATGAGCCTTTATATGTATGGCCCCTTTAAAAGTTGAAAGCAGTGTTTTATTTAGGACAGAGGGGGCAGTAGTGACATCCACACCTGTTTTTAATCTTCACCATTAACAAGGATTTTTCTGTTGCCGTCCTCATGTTTGTGTAGCCAATACACACCCTGCAAAAACAACGCAACCAATTTGGTTGATTGTTGGAAGTCTTTCAGCTGCACCTTCACTGATCAGGGAGACAGTAGATGTGTTTTGATACTCTGCCATAGTTGGAGGCCAGGAAAGTACTGGTGCATGAACTGGCTCCAGAAGTGACCTGTGATGATATGACTTTGCCTCTATTGATTATTGGAAAAATCACTTAGAACATGGACGACATGTGGAAGGGAGGCATCCTCAGCCCTCATCAACAGGTGATTTGATGCAACAGGGTTAGGATCTGCAATGTCTGACAAGGCTTAGCTAAGGGGCTTATGTATGTCTTCCACTTCTACAAGTGCACAGAGGAGGACTTCCTCCAGAACAATTTGATCTTTAAGGACAACATGAATGGCAGACTTACTCCCCAGTCCCATGTCCCACCAAAGTAGGGAGAGTGCAATGGATTAAAGTGGAGGCAAATCCTCTGCTCTGTCAACTTCTACGGGTTCCATATCAGCAAAGGCCTCTTACAATGCTTTTTCTCCTCCATGAAAACTTGAACCCTGATAGACCATAACTCATGGTTTCTGCAATGAGAAATAAGTCTAAGGAGTGTCATCAAGTGGGACCTGGGACCAGTTGCAACAGTGACGATTGCTCTCAGACTGCTTCTTATCACAGTGTGATAAGAAGCTGATTCTGCACAACTTCGTTCTCATTCATCCTCGCAGCGCCTCAGCACTTTAAACAGCCGGACGCTCGGCTTCTGCTGACTTTAATGTGGAAGCTCAAAGTGGGTTGTTCCAGCAGCGAAACTAGACGCTCATTGGATAAATGCTGGGCTTTGTCCCGCCCATCGGACACTCAGCTTCTCTGGAGTACTATGGCAAGAGGGCGGTCCCGACTTTCTCCCGGACTCCGAGCTTCTGCATCCATGATTGGATGAGCTGTCTGAGGCAAAATCCTTTTTTGATTGACAGCTAAACAAGCAAATCAGCGATCTTGAAGAATAAAACATCTACCAAAGCATTTTCCAAGTTATTCATTCTGTTGTTCTTATCTGCTCCGGAGACTTTACCAATCCTCAGCGACCTTTGTCTTTGTTAAAAACGACTGCCGTTGTGTTTGGCGACTCTGTTCTGTTACATACAAATAAACAAACACAATTATGATGTAGGCCAGAAAAATGAGCTTCCCCTCCTTGAAAGACCAGCAGCCGCCACTGAGGTGCAAGCATTCAATTGTCAAACATTTAAATATATGCCCTACAGTTTCTCGTACCCTTGCCTAGCATTTATTGTTATGGTAAGGGGCCTAAGCAATCCACACCCATGTACCAGTAGGTGGACTTCTGGATATAAAGTCATGCTGTGTGCACATCTTTGATTTTCGTAATGGTGCTAAAGTCTACTGATCAGTTATTGGCCTCCAAAGACCCAGGTGGAGACTCGTTATGATGCTGGACAAGTTTAAAAGGATGCTACAGCTGTAACAGAGTGGGTTGTTGTATTTCAGACTCAAGCCCTTCTTCTGCCTGTTGTAGTCCTTCATCAACCCTTCTCAGTTCTGTAGCAGAGTCTTACTTGGGTTGAAGTGCACTTAACAGGGCCACTAAGCCACACAGCTTGACTCTTTGGTGTTCCTCTGCTATAAATATTGTGCTGAGCTGACTTGAAAAGGCCTGTATGTGTTTGGATGTGTTCAGCTACTGTGATGTTAGAGGAAGCTGCCTCATGGGAGGATCAGTGAGAGTCCTTCAGAAGCTCCTCCCAGGTTGTGAACTGGCTTGGGTACAGAGTAGCAGGCTTTGTTACCATCACTCAACCACAGATCACCTCTGTGTGTAGTTCAGAGCAGTTTACAGGAAACTAAAGAGCAGTCTAGCACTGAATAGACTTGATTCTTATGGTATACAAAGTGAAGGTGCCAGAATTTATTCAACCAGTCCTGTAACAATGCTAAAGCCCATACAGTGTTGCAATTTGTGGTTTCTTTGTGTCTGTTTTTTTCAGTTTAGTTGAAGACTCTTTTACTCAATTTCAATAGACTCTCTTAATACAGCACTTCATGATCACTTTAGGTCACTAAAACCTTTACTTGTAGTTAAGTTAGTTTTTCTTGTGTGCTAGAGAGGAGTAATGTTGGATGTGTCTGATGGGGCATTTTTGATTTACACTGAACAAAAAAGACATTACACTCAGCAATATAAAAAAAACATTTATTTTATATTATATTTTTATTTCAGCTTGACGTGCTTCTCAAACATAGATGCACTGGTCACACCAATATTGGACACACAGCAACAATTTTTATACAAAACGCTTGTCACAATGGAAGTTTGATATCAAATTGTACACTGTACATAATTTAGTAAGCCTGCTAAAATGTTGAACAGTCCTGAATATATTACTGTGTAACTCTACAAACAAGAGGGAGAACACTGACAGGAGAATACGTGAAAAATCAAAGCAACCTCTGTTTTCAGAGACACATTAATAGACAGTATGAACAATAAATAATTATGGGTTTAATACTTCAGAATGATACATGACCCAAAACATTTATTACTCAGTGGAAATTCAAGTAAACAGAGGGCTAACTTACCTGTGGCGCTGACTCATTTACTTCTGGGATAAAACTCAAAGAATTTAGCACAACAAAGACTTATAGAATTTTCAAAATAAAACACTCACAATAAAAAGATCTGGAGTTTTGGAAGTCCCAAGTTTAACAGGAATTCAATTATAAACACAGTTAATTTAAAACACTTTTTACACATCTACAATGTAGGTTGATCCTTTTATAATACCGGACTTTTTTTTTTTAACATACAGTGATTTTCAAACTAAAGAGTGCTGCTAATCAAATTTATTCTTTTGTTTGAAAGATTAAGAGGGTAAGAGGGTAGAGGAGGAAACGGGGAGAGCAGGAAGAGGCTGCAGGGTGGAAAGAAACCCGGCGGCCTGAAAATTCGGGACTCATTGAGACCACTTGTCTGTCTTCCCTCAAAAAATTCAATTAAAGTTTCTGACATCGATTGTAATTGACTATAACTCATTGTTAAAATATACAAAGTTTGCTGGACAAATCTTTAAGATTCAAGGTCAGACATAAAAGTCAAAAGAAGGAGCAACACTGGCTGCTTCTATGAGGGAAAAAAATACCTACTGTGTGCCTTGTGGAGTTGCCTATAAGCATTATTATTGACCCTTTATTGCCACTCAGAAACATTCAATATGTCTAGTATGATTGTTTTATCTTTGAGTACACACATTCAGTCTTCATTTGTCTTCTAGGGATGTTAGGTCTGGGTGCCCTTACAGCTGCATAATGGATATTTTCCTCATTGCAGTCATCCTGACAGAAGTAATAAGCATATGCAAATATATCAATTCAAAATAAAGAACCTGAGAATGGATGAAAGGTCACATGTTGAAATAAAAGCACAAGAATGACTCTAACACAAAGTACCTGTTCATTTGATGATGAGGCTGGAGGTCTTGCATGCGACTCTGAATAGAGAGTGAAAAAAACTCTTTACAGTGAAACTGTATCAAACAACTAGACATTGTCAACTAGAAAGGATGGTAGTTAAAGTACCTTCACATTTGCAGTTGTTTCTCTTACTGATTACAATCAAGACTACAGCCAGTATTACGATCAAGAGGACGGTAAATGCCAAAGCCACACCTAAGACATACACCAAGACAGGCGAGTACCCCTGATCTAGAGAGAGGCAGACAGAGAACGGAGCTATTACAGGAAGATTTATACTTATTTTTAATTTAAGTGACACAAAATACTAAAAGAGTGACTTACCTTCAAGATCCAGCTTGGTCCTGTTCGCAAACAGAATATGTCCACATGAGACAACAGCACAGTAGTAGGTCCCAACATGAGAGTCATCCAGACTCTTTATCGGCAAAGTGTACTCACAACTTTGTTGGTTATTTTTCCTCTGAGATTGAAAACTTTGGTTTACATGGATATAAATAAGTCCTGGGTAAGATTCCTTCGAGTGTTTAAACCAGTAAACGCTGTAGTCTCCGTCAGATGTCCCAGTGTGAATATTACAACTCAGATCTGCAGAGACTCCGGGTTGGAGGGTCTCTGATCTGGATGTATTGACAAAAAGTTGGTAGTTTAAACCTGGACTTTCTACGTTAAGGGTTATCCCCTCTATAAATTCAAGTACAGGATAATTATTAAATGCACAGAAGTAAGTGGCTGAGTCTGAGACCTCTAAATCTGCTATCTTTAAGTGATTTCTTCCTTTTTCACAATCCAGAGTGAAGCGTGGATTGTCCTTAAATACACCGAAGAAAAGTGCACTTCTTTCATACTTGTAGCAAATAGAGATGATCTTCGGCTCCTGGCCCAGACTTTGTTTATACCAGTGAAACTCTATTGCATCTTTATTGGAGCATTGCAAAATTACCTCTCCACCAACATCAGCTGATACACTCCTATTGTCCTGGTGCATGGTGGAAAATTTCAGACTGCTTGTCTGTGCTGAAATGATACAAACAAATGTATTGGATATGTTTTTAAGTGTATTGTGTATTATTACACAAAGATATTTAAAAAAAAAGACCTTAATGGTCATTAAATCTAAATCTAAAAGTCAAAAGATTAAAACCCAGCTTACCTGTTTTCTCTAAGCACAGACATGTGAAATAAAATGTAAGCATTAGAGGAGTCATGGTGTTTCACTCACCGTGCTGAATTAACCACACCTTTGTTCTCTGTTCACTCTTTTAAGACAAGACAAGACAAGACAGGATTTGATTGGCTAGATAGAGATGACACACACTAGACCTCATATTTCTGATCCTGCCTACAGAGTGATTCGGGTCTTGATACTAAATACAAAGAAAAACAAAAAGCTAGCAGCTCCTTTTTCTGCATTCATTTAACATCTGTGCCCAAGATTAATGCACTTGAATGTGCAGTCAATCTCAATACTGTTAGCAATGACATTTTCAGCAACATTACAAATACAAAAACAGATTTTTAACTTTGTTAAAAATTTAATTTGGTTTAACTCTCGGACTGCCACTGAAAAACACAAAACCAGAGTCAGGGAAAAGTCACTGCAGTAAGGCAACAGGCTGGTTAAAACAAAGTTCAAATGATAGTGCCACGTGGGGCAAGTAACAACTGAGGGAGTATAAAAGGACAAAGTGCAACAGAAATGTAAACCAAAAATCTCCTCAACTGGAGGGAAAAAACATGAACACAAAATCAACAATGCAAAGAGGCAGGCTGGATACACGGGCAGGAGAACAGGGAGCTCGGTGTGGCAAGATACGTGTTGCATGACTGGGTAATCATCCAGCACAGAGACGACAGAGGAGCCGGCATATAAAGCCAGGTAAATGACACCAACGAGCATCAGGTGCGTGCAATCAGTCCAGGCCAGCCCCGTCTCCCGCTTTGTCTCCAGCGCTGCAGAGAGAGAGAGAGGGAGAACACACACAGAGGGGAGGAACACAGGAACCCCAACTGCTGCATAAACTCAAATCTGTGGTGAGACGCCTCCTCCTCTTGTTTTATTTTGGCTCGACTTCCTGTGTTTCCTTGTTTGCCTGGTGGGTATTCCATCAAGCTCGCTTAGCTCAAAGTCTGGCTTAAATGGCCAAGTCTCGCTTATTTTAGTGAGAGTTGAGTTTCACCAATGTGGCTAAGATTAGCTCCAACTTGGTAACCATGGAAACATGGTACTGGCTAAGCCGGACACTTGGAGCTAAGCTCTGACTTTCTGTTCCATCAACCTGAGCCTCAATTCTGTTCCATCAAAGTGGTTAACACGAATGCCAGCCTTGTAACCATGGTGACTTATGCTGCCGGCCAAACCTGGGGCCTGTTCTACGAAGCAAGTTCAACCTAGCGAGGTAGCCTTGGAGCTACCTCGCTCAACTTAGCGCGGTAGCCAGCGGTCTCGCTAAGCGGTTTTACAACGCTGGTTATCAACCTCATAAGTGGATCCAGCTTTGCTATGAGCGCGTGCACACATATAAGGCGGAGCCCGCCGCATCTGACCAATCGCGAACATGGACCAGTCTGGAGCGTCAGAGCAGGCAGGAGAGTGAAGGACCGCAGACTTTACAAACGAGGAGCAGGAGACGATCATGAGAAAGTATGAAGAATTCAAAGCTATCACAAACCTCAAAAGCAACACCGTCGCCACTGCAAAAGCACGGAGGGAATGCTGGCAGAAAAGGCATCTTTGATGCCATTATTACCCTGAAATAGCACTGTTCAACATGCGCTTTTAACGAAGGTGACAGTCCCCGAATTGGATGATCTGTCCCCGGCTAAAGCTGTCCCCGATTTAAGCGTTTCATGAATGAGAACAAAAATGTTGCATGTGGGCTAGAACAACGGTAATTACAGTGGGTAGGAAGCACAAGTAAGCAGTCCTGAACAACAGTATTTACGGGGTTATTATAAGGGGCATGCGCTGTTACTAAATAGTACCGAGATGTTGTCTGTGATCACACAGCCCATGCAGATCATTGCCCATTCATTTCCGAGATGAATTCACTCATTTGTTCATTCCTATCGTGTTTACATTTTTTGTGTGATATGTCGGCCATATGAGCCTTTCATAAAGGTGGTCATCCGGAAAAGTAAGTGGGTCCGTGCGGTAAACTCTGTAACTGTAATCTCTCGCGCGCCGGAGTGCTCCTCCTCGGACAATGCGAGCACCGAGGTCTACAGGATCCTCCAAGAACGGACAAGCCGTTTTTCGACAGAGCTCATTGGTCAGTGGGCGGGGTTTTTATGCTCAGTGAGTTCAATCTGGAACTTAACCTGCCCCGGAGCAGGTTAGCCGTTCAGCCTATGTTGCTATGGAGACTCACCTCGCTAAGAAGTGAACCCGCGTCGTAGGACAGGAAACCCCGAACTTATCCTCGAAGTTATCTCGCTAAGCAGTAATCCTGCTTTGTAGAACAGGCCCCTGGTCTGGAGCAGGATTAAGGTGAAGATTAACTCCACTAATGTCCAAAAATGTCCAAAAGACATGTCTGTTTTGCATTTACATACACAATGCACTGATAAAATAATTTGTGAAACCAAAACATGCTTTCCATCCACTTTGTAAACTAAGCAAAATTAAAGGTATGATTAAAACACATAGAGGAAGCCTACATCAGTCACCTAAAATGTCCTCCAACCGACTGCCCCTCACAGTCAATGATGGCAAGGTGTAGATTATTAAGCAGAGCAGTCAAGACAGGCAGGGGGACACACATTAGCAGAGACAAAGACTAAGGCCCGAACTACCCAAATGCGGATATATTTCAAACCGCACATATTTATGTCCGATTAGGCCTCCCTACCACACCAAAACAGAAAGTTTGGAACACTCAAACAGGATAAATCTGAATCTGGAAAAACAAGTGGAGAAATAAAAAAATATCCGTATCCGTAGTGGATTCATGTGGTTGGACTTTTACGGATCGATGACGTCAAACCGCAGCTCGCGCATGCGAATTAAAAAGAAAAACAACAACAACAACGATGGCGGACAGACATGGTATTCTTTACGTTTGTTTTGCCCTTCTGGGGCTAATTTCAGCCTTGCAAGTGAACCTTGTTTTATACAATTACATCCACCAGTCAGCCAGCTCACAGACGCGTCTGCTGCGGCCAATACTTTTATTGGTCACATGGTCCGTCACATGGACCCGACGCACTAGCGTAGCTTCCGCAAACAATGCATGACGCATCATGCTGTTACGATTCATTGGCCAATCAGTTAGCTTTGTTCCTGAATTTTTTTAAGCGGCACCAGATAGGATTGAGTTTAAAGGCTACGTGTGGACGCAGATATTTTTGAGAACTAACACGTGTGGACAGATACATTTATTTAGACAGGAGTACAAAAATATCCTGATAAATAAATATCCATATATGTGTAGTTTGGGCCTGAGAGAACATGGCATGTCCATTCATTGAGGATGAGGAGCCAATTGATGAAGGGGCACAAATAATTCAAAGGGCCTTCTTCAGGCGACCACCAGCCCCGAGGGTCTTCCAGAAGAGGACTAACCCACTGGAACAAAGTGATTATTTCCTGTGGGAGAGGTATCGATTCAGCCGGCAAAGCATAGTGTATTTATGCACTTTGCTGGAGCCACACATAAGGAAGGTCACTCGCCGCAGCCAATCACTGACCCCTGTGCAATCTGTATGTATTGCACCGCGGTTCTTTGGCAGCGGTACATTTCTACTTGGCCTACTTGGATCAGTTGGATTATTTCTTACATCACCAAACATCATACATAGGTTGCAAGATGATCACATGACATGGATATGAATTAATAAATGAACAAAAAAAAAAACCTTTATTACAGGTAAGAACAGTCTGTCTTGCCCTTAAAGAGTTCCTCAATATCTTCATCACCTTCCCAAGCCATCATGGAATACAAAGAATCAAAGAGGGATTTTATGCAATTGCAGGTAAGTGACATTTAAATGCATGCAATGTGAAGTTAAATGGTCCACAGGTTGACATATGGCACTTTTATCCTCTCACATAGGCTTTCCCAATGTCCTTGGCTGCATTGACTGCACACATATCCAGATCCAGGCCCCACCTGGACCTGTGGAAAGGGACTTTGTGGATCGAAGGAATAACCAAAGCCTGAATGTTTAGGTACATAGCCTATGGAACTACTGTACATGTCCCACTGCGAGTGTCCAGTGTCACTGATGTCACCCTGCATGCTGACAGATGATCTGTGATTCAGAGTTGCTCATCACAAACATGGAGGCCAAATGGCCTGGCGGTGTCCATGATGCTAGGATACTAAGGGAAAGCTATCTGGCACAAAGGCTTGCACAAGGTAAGACAACCTTCATCATGTCTCAACACTAGTATGGATGAGGGTCTGCAAAGATGAATGAATGAATCATGTAATTCATAGCCACTGTTTTCTCACCTTTCAGGGGGTTTGAGGGGGTCCTTCTCGGGGACAGGGGTTATCCCTGCCTCCCATACCTTTTAACCCAATATCCTGAGCCAAGGGCTGCAGCTGAGGCAGCCTTTAATAATGCTTTCAGCACCACCAGGGCACGAATTGAGAGGGTTTTTGGCCTGCTCATGTCCAGGTTAAAGGCTGCTTTGATCAACCTTTAATGCAGAAAATATCTTTGGACAAAATTTTATTGTAACATGTCGTCTTGTTCCAATCTCTGCAGGTTCCAGTGCTTAAAATATCTGAGGCAGGCTCCTGACCGGGCCTGCGACATAGTGGTTGCATGCGCAGTACTCCACAACATAGCCACCATCCGGAGGGAGATGCCTCCACAGCTTCTCCCCGAAGACAGATGGGAAGAGCCTGCCCCTGTACAGGGACCCAGAGATGGGAGGATCCTGAGGAATCTGTACAGGGACACCTATTTCTCTTGAACCCAACCCCACTATTTTGTTAAATTCCTTGTCATGTTCGTTTATTTGGCCTAGCCACTTTTTTCCCCCACCCCACATTGTAGAGGCAAGGCAAGACACATTTATCTGTATGGCCCATTTTCACAAACAGTATGTCACAAAGGGCTTTACATAGCAACATAACATCCTCTACCCTTAGACCCTCACTGAAACAAGACAGAATGACGAAACAAAATGGCTTTTGAATATTTATTGTCCTGAGTCACCAAGCTGGGGAGACAGAATGTTACAGAATTAAATACTGTAAAAACAATGACCTTATTCTCTCTGCCTGGATTCATACTTACATCCTTTTCCATCTTGTTGATTTCAAGTTTACATTTTTTTATCTGCAGGTGTTTGTGTTGGATCTGCAGCTTGAGGTACCTTTTGTAGAGTACCTTCACATCCTATGATCAGAAAATGTGTCAGAGTGCAGCCAAAATGCAGAAATGGTGATTTTGAAAACAGGAAAAAGAAAAGAATGGTAACTCACTTCACTCCTTCCGGTTGAGGATGGGGTAGTCTGCTGCAGCAGGGTTTGATTTATTAATTTTGACAATGCAAACAACATGAATAATATTTAACATTCAGACTTAACATCTTGGAGTACAGTGTCTTCTACAGAAAGAGTCTCCTCTTCATCTCTGTCCTGGTGATACTGATGACTAGGTCCTTCACCCTGCAAATGGAGGAACATCAGTTACAGGTTGGGACTTACAGGGTCTCCTGGGGGCCCTGCTGCAACTTCCGGGGGTTCCAATAAAGTGATTTGTCCCTCCGTTACTAATAGAAAAAACATGTTAACAGTCAGCTAAATCAACTGAGGGGCTGTCGCCATGCAGCTGAGGGATAGTGGTTGACAGTACAGTACCTTCAACAAATGTGGCCCGTATCGCTGGATCAATAGGAGAGGAAGCACTCCCCCTCTAAATACCATCAATTTTGGGGCCCTTGTTGTAGCTGAGGGCTAGGGATTCAGCCTGTGTAAACTCCTCAGGTGGTGGTCCCCCACCAGTGGCTCCCAGTTGAGCTTTTTTCTTGGTTGCTGCAAGGAACACAGTCACAGCTTTACAGTTATATTTACTAATACATTTCACATTATTACAATTATTATGCATCACTGACCATTTGTAAGGATGTTTTTATATTTTATTTTGACCTGTTGCCAGGTGCGTTTCTGGCCTCCGAGGTTGCTTCTGTTTGGACAGTAAAAGGAGGTTAATAAAAGGTAAATTAGATAATACATGATCAATTGTGTGGTAAAATGAAGGAATTAGCTCCTTTTTATGCAACAAGAGAATCAATTAACCCCTGCAAACATTTAAACAGCACTCCTCTGAATAGGGGGAATTAGGTAAATGAGATAATACATGATCAATTGTGTGATAAATGTTTTGCATATAAAACAATTTGTTTTAAGCCACTTCAACTCAGATTATAAATCTGATTAAATCACTATCTGTAGCCTACAACTTGTCTTGTTGTGAATTTCTTTAATTTTACAGCCTAAATTACAATTCTGTAATATCAAACAGGTTGTATCATTAACATTGAGACGGGATTATCATCCGAATAATGAATGGATGAAACATCACTTACGCATTCAGCCTGTCGGCAATTGTCTTCCATGCTGCCTCTCTCGCTTTGTTTATTTGAGCGGTGTTACCTTTTTTAGTTATGATGTCCCGGTAATCATCATATAACTCCATAAGGAGGTTTTGTTCAGCAGCAGAGAAAATCTCTGCCCATGGTTTTGCGGCATTCTGAGCCATTTTGCAACACTTTCAGCACTCAAGTTGTTGGGTCTTTTTATATTCTGCGGGGAGGTGCTCAGTGTGAGGCTGGAATTAGCATCAAGTGGAGCCAGCTGATCTCGTTTGATGGAACGGGTTGGGGCTTGGTTTGGAGTGGCCGTTAATTCAAGCTTCAAGATTACACCATAGTCCCGATTTTCTTAGCGACTTTGATGGAATACCCCCCAGGTCTGGCTTCACTCTCTTCCAGAGCTTCCTTCCCTCTCCCGGTCGCTGAGGCTGGGTGAGACTACACACCTGCTCCACATCTCCAATCAAGGCACTTTAAGAAGCCTGCAGCCCTCAGTCTCAGCACCTGAGTATTGTCTTCACTTCCATGTGGTATAGACGCGTCTCCTGGTCTCCTTTCTTTGAATTTGAAATCGTAACTCTGATCCTGATTCATTGTATGCTCACTTACCTCCCTCTCCTCTGGTTTTTCCTGCAGTGTATCCAGCCCACATGAAAGCCAGCCAACCAGCCTACCGGATTTCCTTTTTTTGCATTTACAACCCTTGTTTGGACATTAAATTACACCTTAAGTTGATTTCTGTCGCCGTGTCTGCTTCTGGGTCCTCACAACTCACCAGCCACAACCCAAAATCCTCACAGCATCAAGCAAAAACAAAGAAAAAAGGGTGTAAACATGCTGTAAAGGTGCCTATGCACAGTAAGATTCATGGTTATGTTTTTTCAGGGTGCCAACCTGCACAAATCTTTGAAAGCAAACATTGGGCTCTATTTTCGTGCCTCGCCGGAGACGTGCAGCGGTGTAAGTCAGGTCCGCCACGCCGACAAGGCGTCCCAAGCACAATTTGGTATTTTGGTGATCGGCGCAGCCCGGCGTAAGCATCCCCCCTCCCTAACTCAGCTCCTCCCAGTGGAGTAAGTTGTAGAGAGGGCGTGGAGTGGGTTTAACACAGCTGAGACCTTTATTGACCAATAACAGTGCGCCAGCTGATCGTGTCGACACCTCCCTCTGCCACGCCACCATGCCCAGCTTGGCAGACCTTGGTGCGCCTCAGTCCACAAAAATACCAAACTGGCTGTACGCCTGGCTCCGCCAGACGAAAATTTCACTGCGAGGGGTCTGCCACCCTCCGCTGCCTCACCGGTGGACACGAAAATAGAGCCCTTTGTGTAATCACAGTTTGACAACAAAATGGTTGCAAACAGCTCCTGAGGGCGTGTGTTTATCAACTCAGGATCAATAAAGAGGCTTTAACAATAATGCAACTGGAAGAGTGTTAAATGGTTGTGATGTAAATCGTAAAAGTGATTGCCACAAATAAAACATACACACTATGTATACATCTGAACATTTCGTGAGATAAGTTGTTCTGTCATGTCTGCATGAGGCAAGTTCATGTTGAATATGTGGGTGCCCTGCCTTGGCATTGACGGATAAGGGTCTTGGTTAGGATATAGGTCATCTCCATCTTTCTATTAGTTTAATCCTCATTCACCCTTTCACCTGGCATACCTACGCTCTGCCTGTCTTCCACCCCCACCCCACCCTAATAGTAAGAAGTTTGCATGGACTACTTAATGTGTCACCCTGTGACGAGACTTCTGTCTATGAATAGTAGATAAATTTATAGACATATTATGTGAGACAACAGACAATTGAATTTACCTTTGGGGATCAATGAAGTTCTTCTTCTCTTCTTCTTCTTTTCCTGGACCACAGCAGTACTTTCAACGCTATCAGGCTGGTCTTCCTAAGGGACAAGCTCTCACCAGTGGACCAACACCTCACATGCTAGACTGTGGACTACTCCACCAACCACCCATAGTATGTGAGGACCCGGGACTGTGTGTCAAAAATTCGCCTTTGTAGAACAGGGGCCCCCAAGGGAATGATGCTGGCACTTTTCCTCTTCACCCTTCACACTGCAGATTTTTCCCACCTGTCAACCACCTGCAGAAGTTCTTGGATGACTTTGCCATTGTCAGCCTCATCACTGACAGGGACAAGGGGTTATACAGAAAACTCTTCTAGGTCTTTGTGGACTGTTGCTAGCAGAACTACCTCCAGATGAACGCCGGAAAGACTAAGGAGTTGGTTGTGGACTTCCATAGGTGTCCCCCCCCCCCCCCCCTCGCATCATCATCCTCAGTAAACATTCAGAGAAGGGACATTGAAATGGTGACATCTTATAAGTACCTGGGTGTTCACCTGAACAATAAACTGGACTGGATTCATAACACCAACATGCTTTATAAAAAAGGACTAAGAGGCTGAGGTCTTTTGGGGTGCGGGGGCACTCCTGCAGACCTTCTATGACTCTGTAATGGCCTTTACTATTTCATATGGAGTTGTCTGCTGAGGGAGCAGCATCACAGCAGCTGACAGGAGGAGGGTGGACAAACTCATAAAGAGGGCCAGCTCTGTCCTGGGATGCCCTCTGGAACCTGTGGATGAGGTGGGGGAGAGGAGGATCACAGCCAAGCTGTTCTCCATGCTGGACGAAGACTCTCACCCCCTCCAACACACACTCACTGCACTGAGGAGCTCTAAAAATGATAGGATGCTCCACCCGAAGTGTGTGACGGAGAGGTATTGCAGTTCATTCCTTCCTGCAGTTGTCAGACTCCACAACAGAAACCTCAGTGTGCAATAAAACACATTTATACGTATATTCTGTACATATGTATGCTTATTTTGTGTATATAGACCTACATATAAATATCTTCTATATCTATATATTCCAATATACAAATATATTCCAATGATAATATAAATATAATAATATATAATATTCATATATATATAATATATGAAAAACTGTACATAACAGCTGTAAGTAACACTCATGTATTTATCTTTTTTTTAACTTGAAGGGATATTCCGGCATAAAATTAATTTAGGGTCAAACACACCGTAACAATGGCCCCGTTTACATTGGTCCAAAAATCCTATTTACAATCAGATTGAAAGGTCAATCAGATTCAAAATGTCTCATATAAACACCTTAGCCAATCTGATTCACCCAGATCTGATTGTATTTCGGGTCAGATTGTAAGAGGTAGTCTACACCGATTGATAATCCGCTCCTTGCTCCATATGTACGGCTGACTGGAGCGGATTGGGTCTACAGAGAGGCTTGTTCGGTCTGCGCAGGCGCTCGAGAGCGCGCCCAAATGAAAACAAACATGGCGAACAAACAAAAAAACTGGACGGTTGAGTGTTAAAATGTGTTATTTCGTGCGACTGACGAAGCGTACACTTCTTGCTGTGTAACCCGGCTGAATTATACTTATATTAAACTTCAACACATAGGGTTCCTTACTCTGTTCGGTCTGGTAACTCCGGTGGTGTCACACACAAACACGTCCGTGCGCAACTCTAAAACGAAACTAAAACAATGGTTTCTATTAACAATTCCCATTGATACAATACAACTGGATTCAGCTGGGGCCATGAAAACGCGGACTGAACGTGTCTTAGAACGCATCTTATTCCTTATTATTCCTAATGTCATCAGGGCACTGAATGATAGTTGGCCTGTGTTTCATTAGATCTGCCTGTTATGTACAGTACATCCCACTGTTGTCCTCCCTCTTTTGGTGCCAAGATGTTTTGTGTGTAGTTGTTTTGTGTCTGTTGCTGCTGTCCTTGTTGCTGTTGATCTGTTTTTTGTACACGATGAGACTAACTAACTAACTTTTCTTATCCCACACTCTGATCTCTCTTAATTTTTGCATATCCATGGGGACCCTGTTTGTACATAAGTATGAGTTCCCTGCCTGCTTAATGAAGGTTGTAAAAGTCAAATGATTTATTTCCCTCTGGGATTCATTAGTTAGTCTTTTTATAAGCTGCTGACTGTAATTAGTAACATTTCTTCACATTAAGCTCTTTAAAATCTTTTAAAATATGATGTGATTTTATTACCTAGGCAAAAATCGAAATGTTAGACCCTAAATGTTAAATCTAAGTGTCACACAGTAGACCTAAATGTTAACTTTAAATCCAATTGTTAAATTCTAAAATAAAAATCTAAATGACAAATATTCAGATAATACGGTAAGTGTTTTTATCTAAGCTTGACATTAAATCAAATTTGTAGGAATTAAACGATGTGATGCTTGGAAATGCTTAATACTTGGCTAACATGTAAATTCACTCTGGAGCCAAACACTATCAGCACAACAACATCAGCTTTAACCTGATTAATAAGAAACTGTCAAAACACTGTTTTCTGTAAGAAAATAGGAAGAAAGACTTGGGGACATACTTCAAGTTATTAGGCCACGACAAATGTTTGTATTTGTCCACTTCAGTTTGAGACTCGCAGATACGACAGAGCAGGCCTGTATTCAAATGATGATAGCCATCTTTAGCATATTAATAACAGCCTAGTGTTTAATTAACTGGATCTATTGAAGCTCAAAGGGTTATAATAACCATGTAGCTGCCTTGAGAAGCTTTACTGTATTATCACATTATCATTATTATGATTGGACATTCAGCATTTACATTTATTTAACAGTAAGATTTAAATGCACTTGGAGCAATATGACTCAATAGGTCCTTGTATGTCTCCATCCAAAAAGTCCAGAACATTGAAATCCAGAGGACATCAATTCTTTACTTAACCACAGGTTTAATGTTGTAACAAAAAATGAAAACTTGAATCATTATCACCAGTTTTATGTAATTTTCCCAAAATTGCAGATGCTTTTGTCTTGAACTGCAAAAAATCATTTGTAGTCTGTAGCAACTAACAACGGCTCAAAATGTAATAACTAAAATGTAGGAAAAAAAAGAGACGATTTTATTACATTATGAACTTTTATTACATTTAAGTTATTACATTATGAGTCATTATTGAGCCGTTAATACAGTATGAGTTGCTACACAGCTGAATATACTTAATAATTATAAATATAATTATAATGTTATCAAGTTATGGCTAATAATAAAATAATGTAGTATTCCACTTCCCACATGCGGTCAACAGTTACAATATTAACCACTGTGATGAGAACACACATGAACCATCACTTTAATTTTAAATGTACAACATATATCCAGACATATAATGAAGCAGAAATGTCATGTCATCCTCTAAAGCTTTACACTGGAGTACACACAGTCAGTGTTTCTGTCACTCCTCTGCCTTCCTGGTCTTTTGGGCTGATGAACGCTCAAAGCTGCATAATGGCGGTTTTCTCTGCGACCCTGGTAACACACACACACACACTGACTAGTTAAACCTCAAAAGATTTTAAAAGTATCCACAAAGTATGAGTTGACTTTAAATTTACCTGTGAGTCTGCAGCTGCTGGGGCTGAAAATCTTGGTTGAGCCTCTAAAATATGAAACACAGGATTCAGCTTTGTTCCAAGCTCTATACTTCAATTTGTCTGCTTTAGAAGAATGTCACTTACCTGTGCATTGGCAGGGATTTGACTTGATTTTCTTGTATATGGTGAAAGACAGAAAAACAACCAGGATGGTGGTGATTGTTAGGGCTCCACTCAGGATATACACCAAGACAAAGGGGTCTATCTTATCTGCATGGAGATGAACAGTTGGAAACAGAAATGTCGAGAGTTTTTGCCTTTTTTTCTAATTCATTTTTTTGGAATGTACTGTCACCAATAAACAGCCATTCAGCAAATGACAGAAGCTCTCCTGTAATATTACCCACATTCCGAGTCCAGCTTGGTCCCGTTTCCAAACAGTATCCGTCCACATGAAGCTACAGCGCAGTAGTAGATTCCAGTGTGGGAGAGATTCAGGCTTTTCAGAGGCAGATTGAAGACGCAAGTCCTTGTTGATCCTGTGTTTGGTTTCTTCTCACATTGGTTATTCCTGCCTCTATTGGTGTAGATAAGTCCTGGTGAATGAGACTCTTGAGAGTTTTTGAACCAGAAAACACTGTGTTCTCCTTCACAGGTTCCAGGTTGGACTGTACAGTTCAGAGTCACTGAGTCTCCAGGCTGGACAGACTCAGATTCTGACTGATAGACTGCAGCTGGGATCTTCAAACCTGAGCCCTGTACATAGACTAAAATGCCCTCTGTAAAATTTAAGACAAACGTGTAGCTTCTTGCGCAGTAGTAATTCGCTGAGTCTGAAATGCGTAAATTAGAAATGATTAAGTGATTGGTGCTGTTTTCAGTGCTGAGTCTGAAGCGTCGATCATCCTTAAATTCATCCTGAAAAGTGATTTTTCTATCATACACGTAGAATATAGAGATGAGCTTTGGTGTCTGACCCAGACTTTGTTTGTACCAGTAAAGCCATGCTGAATCACCTTTATAAAAACACTGCAGAGTCAAAGTGTCTCCAACTTCAGCCGACATAAATCGTTTCTCTTGACGAAATGACATGGACAACTCCTGAGAGGTCTGCTGGACTGAAGTAATAAAAGAGAAAACAGATTCACAGTTAGTTTAATCTAAACAATGTAATAAGGACAAAAAGTCCCAAACTAAGTATAAAAAGTGGACCCATCAAAACCAAACTCACCTTTTTGCCCCAAGAACAAACACACCAGAGCGCAGAAAAACTGAGCAGCTGTCATGTTTGAATTCTTGTGTTGAATGAACAGATTCTGGATACTTTCTCCAGTCTTCAAATACAAGAGTGTGCTTGATTGGCCAGCATGATGTGACACTGTGTGTATGTAAGGAAACAAGGTCACATGCTTGCTGACACCTATGGGGTTTGGTTTGATTCATGGGAGGATTCTCATCTTAAGAGCAATGTGAAGGTGATCATAACCCTTGTATGATACAAGAACTTGTAGAATAATGACATACAATTGTGTCGAATTAATCTCTTAATCGTAACTTTTTGTAATGTCCAGTAGATATAGATACAATACAGGTGTCCTAATTTAAAATAGTCAAAACATGTTCAGTCATAATTTTGAAGTTTATTAAAACTATATCATTTCTGGTTATGGCAATTTTACAGAAAAAAACAACAACACATTTTGCATGTCAGACAGAAAATGCCCCATGCAAAAAGCTTCTTCTAAACACAGTTTTGGCTGTTTTGACTTTTACAAGTATCAGCATGTTCCTTAAATCTTTTTACTCAAGATAAAACAGTTTTTTTTTGTTTTTGTTTTTTTTATTTGTGATTTTGTGGTCTTTGACTAAAGGAGCATCTTTGTGGGAGAGCTACCACTACTTCTACTTCCTGTTGAAAACCACAGAAGCTGCTGCACTGACAGAAACAAAGAAAAAACACTGGAGTAAAGCCATCATACCAGCCTGTGCACTCTGCACATGCTCCAGGGTAAAAAGATGAAGCAGTTGTAAAGTACATATAAAAGGTACAGAGAAAGTGTTTTCATCATTGGATGTACATCCTGTTTACCACTTACTTATGCCTTTGTTGATTGTTTTGGTACATTACATGGCCGGTATCTGTCACTGTTACTTTCAAGCTAGCTTGGTTACACAAACTTGTGAGGGTCAAACATGTTCATTTCCTCTTGTTTGGATTACAGTGAAGTGATATTTGGTGGTGTTAAAGTTGTTTGAGATGTCCAAAGAAAACCAGTCAAGAGTAGATCCTAAGGCCAAAGCTCAGAGAGTGTGTATTCAGCCCTTTTTCAGGCCTTACAGTGTCCTCCACGTAGCTTTCTCAGCAGTTTTACAGCTACTTATCCCAGTTTGGCATCTTTCAGCCGTAGCTGTCAAGTATCCCATTTTGGCCAGGAACCTAACGTATTTTACCCCTCTTTCCCGCTGTCTTCTGTCTCCTCAAAGCATTCCAGAGCCCAAACACTCTAGAAGACTCCTCCAGTGTTGCCATGCTTATCATTATTGAGTTAACCAGTGTTTACAATGACTGATAATAAGACACTGCCACTGCTGAGGCGGCCTTTAGGTCCCTCCTTTAACAGCTACAGTATGTTCGCCTGTCAGTGAAGTCAGCTGTGCCTCTAACTTTGCAAAACTTGCAACCTAAGTATCTTCACATTTACTGAGTTATTAAAACGTTCCCCCCACCTTGTGTGTGCATTAAAAGTAATCAAGTAATTGATTTCTGAACCAGCCTGTTTACGTGTTTCCTTTATTGAAATAAGTTGGTGGCTTCTGGTGCCTCAAGTGGGCATTTGAGAAACTGCAGTTAGTACCTCTTCTGCATTAGCTTTTTTTTTCTTATGCAATGTTCACATCAAATACAAATAAACAAAGGGGCAATTTCAATTAAAATGAATGTAAAGAAGTGATTAGATGGGAGTCAATGATCAATATCTATATCGTATTAATCACTTACCTGGCCTCGGGTCGCAACAGCCAACCAGCATGAAGATTCCCTGGTGACGTATGTCAACATTAGCCTTGTGGAGATCTGGCAAATAGAGGACCAACTGATAGTGATGGTTCAGGGTGTAGGTACCAGATGTGTGCCAGATTGGCTTGGAGCCTGGCGCCTATTGATGACATCATGCTATGTGATTGGCTGGAAGTTGGTTTGAAGGACTTAGAAGGTTGTGGTTGGTCCGGATTAATAAAGAGGCTTTGACAATAATGCAGCTGGAGGAGTGTGTTAAATGGTTATGATATAAATAGTAAAAGTGACTGCCGCAAATAAAACATACTCATTATGTATACATCTGAACATCTAGTGCATGTTGGATATGAGATGAGTTGTTCTGTCATGTCTGCATGAGGCAAGGTCATGTTGAATACTTGGGTGCCCTGCCTTGGCATTGTTGGATAAGGGTCTTGGTTAGAACTTACGTCATCTCCATTTTTGTATAAATTTAATCCTCATTTCACCTTTCACCTTGCATACCTGAGCTCTGCTTTTCTTTAACCCCCACCCCCACCCACCCTTATAGCAAGAAGCTTGCATGGACTACTTAATGTGTTACCCTGTGACGAGACTTCTGTCTACAGCAGGATGGTACTATTGGTCCCACATAAACTATTGTTAAGTGTGTACATGAGTCATCTCTATGCAACCCTCTATGTTTACACTCTGGGCTTGGCCGAGGGGCGCAAGTCAGGTCTGCTGCGCCAATGGGGCATGTCCAAGTGCACTTTGCTAAATTGAGTCCAATTTTTACCAATCCCATCAAGTCCGCCCTTCACCTTTAAATGCGCCATGCGCGAGCCATATTGCGAAATTCGTGAAGTGGTCAACAAGATGACTGAGGGCAGCAATGCCAGATGGCCACACTTCTCCCAGAAGGAGACTGACGTTCTAGTACGGGAGGGAACCTCAAATAAACATGCAGGGATTGGGTGTGTGTGAGGTTGGGCCCATGGATAAGACAGCTATCCTTTTCCACAAATAAAAACACTCACATCAAATTGCGTATATTAAACCCCATGTGACTTTAATGTTTATAGTCTATGATGTTTTTTTCAAACTATTATAACTGTTTCCAACTATTTCAATTGTGCTTGATTCAGGGTTTTTCCAATGGCGCACTGCACTAGAGAACTGCTAGCTTACTTTCTTGCTCTTGATCAAGGCACTGGAGGATGAACTGCGCAGGCTGCCTATCCCTATGCTGATTCTACACTGCAGTACGCGTATCAGACTGGCATCGGAGCGGACACCATCATCTTCCTCCTCCAATGAGTTCTGCCTTGGAGCTCTGTTGGGGTCCTTTTCCTGGACCACAGCAGTACTTTCAACGCTATCAGGCTGGCCATTGTAAGGGACAAGCTCTCGCCAGTGGAACCAACACATATGCTGGACTTTGGACTACCCCACCAACCACCCATAGTATGTGAGGACCCGGGACTGTGTGTCAGAGACTGCCCTCTGTAGAACAGGGGCCCCCAAGGGGCACTCCTAGAGACCTTCTATGACTCTGTAATGGCCTTATTTCATATGGAGTTGTCTTATTGGGTAGTAGCATCACAGCAGCTGACAAGAAGACACTGGACAAAATCATAAAGATCTAAATCTAAATGACAAATATTCAAGTTATATGTTAAGCGTTTGTTTGATCTAATCCTGACATTAAATCAAATTTCTAGGAATTAAATGATGTGATGCTTGGAAATGCTTAATATTTTGCTTACATCTAAATTCACTCTGGAGCTAAACACTATCAGCACAACAACATCAGCTTTAACCTGATTAATAAGAAACTGTCAAGACACTGTTTTCTGTAAGAAAATGGGAAGAAAGAGTTGGGGACATACTTCAAGTTGTCAGGCCACAGCAAACATTCGTATTCATCCACTTCAGTTTGAGACTCACAGATACAACAGAGCAGGGGTGTATTCATATGATGATAGCCATCTTTAGCACATTAATAACAGCCTAGTGTTACATTAACTGGATCTATTGAAGCTGAATGTGTTATATTAACCATGTAGTTGCCTTCAGAAACTTTACCATAATGCCACATTATCATGATCATAATAGACAGACATTCAGCATTTACATTTATTAACAGTTAGATTTAAATGCACTTGGAGCACTCATCAAAATCTGTGAATCTATGATGATTTAACCTTTTAAATATGACTCCATAAGTCCTTGTATACTCCATCCAAAAAATCCAGCACCACAAAATCCAGAGGACATCAATTCTTTACTTAACCACAGGTTTAATGTTGTAACATTGTTAAAAAGAGCAAAACCCGAATCATTCTTACCGGTTATATGTAATTTTCTCAAAATTTTTCTTGAACTGGAAGGAAACATTTGCAGCCGTTAACAACAAATAACGACTCAAAATGTAATTACTTAAATGTAAAAAAAAGGACATTACTTTATGTGCTCATGATTTCATAACATTATGAACTTTAACATTGAAGTTATTACATTATGAGCCATTATTGAGCCATTATCAATTTTTAGTTGTCACACAGCCAAATATACTTTCATTATGTAGTATTCCGCTTCCCACATGCGGTCAACAGTTACAATATTAACCACTGTGATGATAACACACATGAACCATCACTTTAATTTTAAATGTACAACATATATCCAAACGTATAATAAAGCAGAAATGTCATGTCATCCTCTAAAGCTTTACACTGGAGTACACACAGTCAGTGTTTCTGTCACTCCTCTGCCTTCCTGGTCTTTTGGGCTGATGAACGCTCAAAGCTGCATAATGGAGGTTGTCTCTGCGACCCTGGTAACACACACACACACACACTGACTAGTTAAACCTCAAAAGATTTTAAAAGTATCCACAAAGTATGAGCTGACTTTAAATTTACCTGTGAATCTGCAGCTGCTGGGGCTGAAAATCTTGGTTGAGCCTCTAAAATATGAAACACAGGATTCAGCTTTGTTCCAAGCTCTATACTTCAATTTGTCTGCTTTAGAAGAATGTCACTTACCTGTGCATTGGCAGGGATTTGACTTGATTTTCTTGTATATGGTGAAAGACAGAAAAACAACCAGGATGGTGGTGATTGTTAGGGCTCCACTCAGGATATACACCAAGACAAAGGGGTCTATCTTATCTGCATGGAGATGAACAGTTGGAAACAGAAATGTCGAGAGTTTTTGCCTGTTTTTCTAATTCATTTTTTTGGAATGTACTGTCACCAATAAACAGCCACTCAGCAAATGACAGAAGCTCTCCTGTAATATTACCCACATTCCAAGTCCAGCTTGGTCCCGTTTCCAAACAGTATCCGTCCACATGAAGCTACAGCGCAGTAGTAGATCCCAGTGTGAGAAAGATTCAGGCTTTTCAGAGGCAGATTGAAGACGCAAGTCCTTGTTGATCCTGTGTTTGGTTTCTTCTCACATTGGTTATTCCTGCCTCTATTGGTGTAGATAAGTCCTGGTGAATGAGACTCTTGAGAGTTTTTGAACCAGAAAACACTGTGTTCTCCTTCACAGGTTCCTGGTTGGACTGTACAGTTCAGAGTCACTGAGTCTCCAGGCTGGACGGACTCAGATTCTGACTGATAGACCATGGCTGGTATTTTCAAACCTGAGCCCTGTACATAGACTAAAATGCCCTCTGTAAAATTTAAGACATACATATAGCTGGTTGCGCAGTAATAAGTCGCTGAGTCTGAAATGCGTAAATCAGAAATGATTAAGTGATTGGTGCTGTTTTCAGTGCTGAGTCTGAAGCGTTGATTATCCTTAAATTCATCCTGAAAAGTGATTTTTGTATCATACGCATAGAATATAGAGATGAGCTTTGGTGTCTGACCCAGACTTTGTTTGTACCAGTAAAGCCATGCTGAATCTTCGCCTTTATAAAAACACTGCAGAGTCAAAGTGTCTCCAACTTCAGCCGACATTAATCGTTTCTCTTGACGGAGAGACACGGACAACTCCTGAGAGATCGGCTGTACTGAAGTAATAAAAGAGAAAACAGATTCTCAGTCAGTTAAATCTAAACAGCATAATAATGACAAAAAAGTCCCAAACTAAATATAAAATGTGGACCCATCAAAACCAAACTCACCTTTTTGCCCCAAGAACAAACACACCAGAGCGCAGAAAAACTGAGCAGCTGTCATGTTTGAATTCTTGTGTTGAATGAACAGATTCTGGATACTTTCTCCAGTCTTCAAATACAAGAGTGTGTTTGATTGGCCAGCATGATGTGACACTGTGTGTATGTAAGGAAAAAAGGTCACATGCTCGCTGACACCTATGGGGTCTGGTTTGATTCATGGGAGGATTCTCATTGTAAGAGCAATGTGAAGATGATGATAAACTTTCGTATGATACAAGAACTTGTAGAATAATGACATACAATAGTGCTGAATTAATATCTTAATTGTAAGATAGACGTTTGTAATGTTCAGTAGATGTAGATACAACACAGGTGTCAGAAATTTGAAATAATCAAAACATATTCAGTCATAATTTTTAAGTTTATTAAAACTATATCATTTCTGGTCATAGCTATTTGAAAAAAAAAACACATTTTGCATGTCAGACAGAAAATGCCCCATGCAAAATGCATTTTGTCCACGGTTTACACAGTGTAGTAGTGTTTGTTTTAAAAACTTTTACAATCATCAGCATGTTCCTTAAATATTTTTACAAAAGATAAAACTGTTTTTATTTTTTTATTTATTTATTTTTTTTAGTGATTTTGTGGTCTTTGACTACAGGAGCATCTTTGTGGGAGAGCTACCACTACTTCTACTTCCTGTTGAAAACCACAGAAGCTGCTGCACTGACAGAAACAAAGAAAAAACACTGGAGTAAAGCCATCATACCAGCCCGAGCACTCTGCACATGCCCCAGGGTAAAAAGATGAAGCAGTTGTAAAGTACATATAAAAGGTACAGAGAAAGTGTTTTCATCATTGGATGTACATCCTGTTTACCACTTATGCCTTTGTTGATTGTTTTGGTACAATACATGGCCGGTATCTGTCACTGATACTTTCAAGCTAGCTTGGTTACACAAACTTGTGAGGGTCAAACATGTTCATTTCCTCTTGTTTGGATTACAGTGAAGTGATATTTGGTGGTGTTGAAGTTGTTTGAGCTTTGGCCTTAGATCTACTCTTGACTGGTTTTCTTTGGACATCTCAGAGAGTGTGTATTCAGCTCATTTTCAGGCTTTACAGTGTCCTTTAGGTAGCCTTCTCAGCAGCTTTACAGCTACTTATCCCACTTGAGTGTCTTTTAGAACCCTCATTTCAGCCATACTACCTCTCCAAACTGAACTCTGTGACTAGCGCATGCTAAGTACCCACCAAGTAGTAGTAGCGAGTTATCATCACACAGATGATGAACTAAATGATGAACTAGCATTCCAGAGACTCCTCCATTGTCGCCATGCTTATTATTATTGAGATAACAGGTGTTAAAAATGACTGATTAAAAGACACTGCCACTGCTGAAGCAGCCTTTAGGTCCCTCCCCACCAACAGCTACAGTGTGTCTGCCGTGCCTCTAACTTTGCAAAACTTGCGACCTAAATTTCTTCAAATCTAATAAGTTATAAAAACATTACACCCAGCTAGTGTGTGCATTAAGAGTAATCAAGTAATGGATTTCTGGACTAGCCTATTTACATGTTTACTTTATTCAAATGAGTTAGTGGCTTCTGGTGCCTCAAGTTGGCATTTAAGGAACTGCAGTTACTACGTCTTCTGCATAAGCTTAATTTCTCATGCAATGTTCACATCAAATGGTAATAAATTAAAAAAAAAAGTGAATGTAAAGATATGGGAGCCAATGGCACACATTCATGTCGTATGAATCACTGTCCTGGCCCCCAGGTCGCAACAGGTAATCAGCATGGAGATTCCCTGGCGACACTTGTCAACATTAGCTTAGTGGAGATCCAGTAAATGGAGAACCAACTGATGGTGATGGTTCAGGGTGTAGGTACCAGAGCTGCGTCCGAATTGCCAAGTAGTAGTCGAAGTAGTAGTCGAAGTAGTATCTAGCATGTCCGAATTGGCCACCGGAGCGAGTAGCATGCTACTTCAGATACTACTTCAGATGCTAGACACGCCTACATTGTAGGTTGGTCTCGGTGCATCCTACGGGCATGCTACTGACCCAAAATGCACCGCGGGCTTCTTTTTCGTCCTCTTAAAAGTTGTAGAAGCGCATGTGATGCTAGCGCCACCAGCTGCTCTGCCTATTCAAAAGTGTCGCGAACGCCGGCTGGCCACAGCAGCGCGCACCATGTCGGAGCAGCAGCAGCAGGCAGGACCGCAGCAGTACAGATGTGAGTTTCATGTAACTTCACACACTGTCCTAAAAAATGTGCGGTTGTATCTCTTTGTCATGTCATGGTGTCATATTTGCCCAAGTAATTATTTTATGAGCAAGTGGCGACATCATGGAGGTAAAGCTCACTTATTCCATCATTAACCTGCACAGCTGCAGTACTACAGCCAGGCCCGCAGATGAGGGGCTTCAGTTACCACTGTCTGCACGGGCGCAGTACCTACTCTCTGCCTGCGGGGGTCGTCTTTCCCCACCGCTCGTCTAGTGTGTCCGAATTGGGCCAACGTTTTTAGTATGTAGGAGTAGGATCTAGCAGTAGCACGTAGCAGTAGCATGTAGTATCCGAGCGGGCAGTTCGGACGCAGCACAGATGTGTTTGGGCTGCCAGATCGGCTTGGGGCCCGGCGCCTATTGATGACATCATGCTATGTGATTGGCTGGAAGTTGGTTTGAATGGCGTAGAAGATTATGGTTGGTCCGAACATTACAGAAGCGGTTTTCCCTGGATTAGGTTTCATGAGATTGCAGTTCTTCTGAGAAAACATGGAAGAATTTTATGAAACAATCTATCACTATTTATCAAAGGGGACTCAAGACAGCCAGACTACCGCTGCCTTAAGGTTGCCAAAGGAAATGTGAATTAAAAGCATAACTATCAATTGATAAAAGGAGATCCTGTGTAAAACATTTTTCTTTTTGCTTTAGAAAAATAAACATATACAATTAAAGCAATCTAAAAATTACAGTACAGTAAGTCGTAATTCTTTGTATTATATGGAGAGAAAATTTTTAGCTCAATTGAATGAACAAACAGAAATAAAGAAAACCGTGAGGTGCTTTTAACCGAGCACATTGTTAGGTGTTGTGAATAGGTGGACCCAGAGCAGAGGCTGAATCAGATCAGGATTTCAACAAACAGTGATTTTTATTTACATGTGAGTAAAAAGTGAACAAAGCAATGATGGTGGTGGTGGCGGGAGCTCGTGGAGACCTGGAAAAAACGAGAAAGAGAGAAGGAGTTAGTCCAGGGGTAAAACGAGCATGAATCCACAACAGTCATCAAAAAATGAAGCACAAGATAATCTCCGTGAGGGGAGAAGAGGCTTAAGGCCAGCACAAACGTAGTGAACGAACCACTTAGTCAGGCAATCAGCCGGCACTGAGAAGATTCCTCCCTGGGCTCTTGTAGGCAGGTAATCAGACCGGAATTAGCAGCAGGTGAGGTCTCCAGCAGGTGATCAGCTCCCGCGGTGCCACCCATGCAGGAAGTGAAGAGAGGGATCCTGAGCAGCCTACAGCGCCGCTCAGGCGAAGTGGATAAAGGGGGGAAGACAGCCCGAGAGGGGAGGGCAAAGAGGAGCAAAACTGGAGGACTGGGGACCAGTCCTCACACACATTTGACTTCTTGAGGGGTTTTTAACCCAGTACATTTGACTTATTTAATGGAGCGCAATGTAATTTGTCTGAGTGGAATTGCCGTAGTGTGACATCTTGAACAGGCCTTAAGCCGAAATGGCAGCCCGAACCGATCCAGTACCTACAACGGTTATCTGAGCTATTTTATGGAAACAGAATTTAAGGGGGGCTCGCCTTGAGGAATAGGAACAAGGAGGTTATCTTATCTGGTATAGCATACAAATGCAAAAAACAACAACAGAAACAAAAAAACAATAAACTCACAATGTAGTCAGCCTCAACCATGTTTGATGGAATCAGAATGAAATGGCATGAAGGAGCGCAGATCTACATCTGTTTTTTGTTGTGTATCCTGATGAACATTTTTTATACCAGCACAACCATTAAAAATACACACCTTCTGACTGAAACTATCATTGTAAAATCATAGCACTTTCAGAGCTTGACAGGCCATAAAAATACATTACTTTTAGACTTACTTGTGTCAAATGCTGTACTTCCACTCAACGTGGACTTCTGAAAATGTCTCTTTCAATCTGGAGGTGTATGTCACACCCACTGTCCTTCTCTGTAAAAAAAAATAAGTGACGCAACTTAAGAGACTCAATCAAAACATGTAGTCACATGACCAACTAACAAATCAGACAGCTTGTCCAATCACAAACAGCCACCGTCTCCTTCATCTATCAGCACAGAGGCGACTTACTGCAGAGCTTCAGACATGATGCCACTTCACTTTTTTCTTCTTCTCCTCAGCGATATAGGTTTGTATTTTACCATCTTTTCATTGTTTCTAGACACTGATATATATATCAGAGGTTTGACAATACTAAGAGATACTAATGTAATAAGATAACGAGAATAATAAGAATAATAATACCATGTTTGTTCTCAATCCTTTACAGCTGAAATCACTGCAGTTACCCAGGACCATGGGCTCATAACAGCCAGAGTTGGGCAGAAAGTGACTTTTAACTGCACCTTTCAGGATGAAGCTGTAACTTATCTTTACTGGTACCAGCAACGCTTGGGAGGTAAACCTGAGATCATATCAAATCAGATGAAGCACAACCAAGACGCTTCTATGTCTCCAGGGTATAAAGAGAGGTTTCAAGTCAAAGCACAAAAAGGCACCACCAATCTCACAATCCGAGACCTTCTGCCCTCTGATTCAGCGTCGTATTACTGTGGGATTTTAGGATTCAACACAGTTGAACTTGGTGAGGGAGTCTTTCTTCATGTTAAAACATCCCTGACAAACATCTCAGCTGTTGTCCACCAGCCAGCATTAGAGCCTCTCCAGGTGGGAGGCTCTTTAAATTTAAGCTGCACAGTTTTCGCTGAAGCATGTGCAGGAGAGCAGAGCTTCTACTGGTTCAGACATGGTGCTGCTCAGTCTGCTGTCATGTATCACAAAGAGGGACACTGTGAGACTGATCAGGAGCCCCACATGAAAAACTGTACCCTGAACCTTGCTATAAAGTCAGTGAGCTCCTCTGATGCAGGGATGTACTACTGTGCTCTGGCTCACTGTGGGGAGATTGTGTTTGGAAATGGAACAAGTGTGGAGATTCAAGGTAAGTGATAAAGAAAACAAAACTGTTAAAGAAATACACTTTTCAGGTTCATTGACTGAAAGAGTTTATGAAAGGTTATGAATCTTGTGATATAACTATCTGGGGACATGTCTATAAAAAACGGGTCAAGTGTGTATACATTTTGCAGATCTCTATGAACAGTACACAATCCGTGCTGACAGATTTTGACTTCTGAGAAAGGCATTTGTAATCAATGTGCACTAATTTCACTAAATCAAACTGGTATGCGCAGTTTGCAAATCTGCACAAACAGGTTTCAAATCAGTTGAATTAGGAATCTGTCCTGAAGGATTTTATGATTTTTGTTTATTGAATATTAGTCATTATATTTATATGGAACTACCCGGGGTTGCCAGGTTCAAGACAAAAAGGACCATGTGTAAATTGCTGTGCATGGTTTGCCAATCTGTGTGCACTTTTTAATGGCCTATAGTTAAGATTTCTTAACGGCGGTGACAAATTTCAGTCTGTGTGTATTATCTGTGCAAGCAGATTTGTAATTTGTGGAAATGAATGTGTGCTTCTTGCACAGTTTGCAGATATATGCGTAAGTTATACAATCATGCGTAATAAGTTCATACAGTTACATAGTGTATCATGATTTTTGATTTTCTTTCTCTCTGCTGTCTCTTAGGAGGATCTGCAGGTTCCCCTGTCCTGGTGTCTTGTCTGAGTGTGGCATTGGCAGTTTCCATTACAGTGCTACTCTTCTTGGTGTTCATTGTGCACAGGTTGAAAAATAAGTTGTGCCCCGTCTGCAAAGGTAGGATAATTTTTAAGGATGTTAAAGAACTTTAAGTTGCTCTGTTTTTGATCGACTTGATCATACAGGTGCTTTGATTTACAGGAATGGTTTCTCATCTGGTAGGCTCTGAAACATCTGACGCAGTGGTAGGTTGAATGGCAAACTTTCTTAAATATACGTACTCACACTTATTCCTTAAATATGAGATTTCCTACAACATCCGTCTTTGTCTTGTTGTCATTATCAGGGCCAGGATGCAGATATCCATTATGCAGCTCTGAATCTGAACAGAAGCAGTGAGCGACATCACCAAGTGGGAGGTGCAGAGTTAGATTGTGTGTACTCCAGAGTGAAGAGTAGGAAAGAGTAAAGAAGTGCTTAGCCTTTACATTTATTGCTTTTTAAGGTAGTTTGACAAATCAGTCACTTTGCATGAAGAGGTGCTTTTGATAATACTGACCAGTTTCCTCTGGTCAATGTGTCTGAAGTTGTTGCTTTGTAAAAAGTGTGAATGAAAGCAAGAGAGGTCTGCACTTAGATTTTGATACCAGAGACAAATAAAGACAAGCACGCTCATGAAAATCCCCCCGCTAATCTATAAATAACTTCTTGAGCTGTGTACGTGCACTCAAGTAGCTTCTTTCAGTCTGCAGCCAGCTCACAGAGCCACTTCTCGGCTCTGTGGTAAAAGTAGTGTGAACTGCAGTGTGTAAGTTTCCATCGATGGAAACTTGTCCTAGCCAAGGTTAAACACAGGAAGACCAATCTGCTGCCTTCAGGCCACAACATCTGACACCTTTGCAAACCTTCTCTCACAGACCCTTTGTGAAAACAAGCTCATGAGTGAGATGCCGGAAACAAGCTGTGGACACCAAGTGAAAAACAGAGAGCAGGCAGTGTATAGTTTTTGTAAGATCTGCAGGAAATCAAGATTATATCACCCTTAAAGTCTTTGTCCCCCCTTTTTTTTTCAGAAACCCTAGTAAAAAACATTTTAATGTCAAATGTGTCTTTCTTTCTGTCTTTCTTTCTTTCTTTTTTCATACTAGCTCATTAACTGGAAAGACCTCTCACCCTGCATGCTCTGCATATGAAGCTTTGAACCACACTGAACCTGGTCAGCAAATGTTTTGATTTCTAAACTTTTGCTTAAATGCAATAGATAAAAATATGGTTGATTTGACCTTTTAATTAAATTAAACGTCGTTCTGACTGGTTCTCACCAGCCCGGTTCAAAACAACCCAAGGGCTCATGAACCAATGAGAGGCTCTTCCAGCTGAGGCCTGATTTGTACTTTTGCATCAAATCTAAGTCATATTAAGTCTATGGATGAATTTGCATAACCCTGCCATTGTGCATGACCCGATGTGTGCATCAAAAACATCCCGACTGCAGGCCCTGTGATTGGTTCTCCGGATAGCGTTATAGTTACTGCATTTCCAACATTACAGTTGTCTACTCTGATTTAGAAAGCTCCCCTCTGTCTTTTCTTCATTGCAATAACTGCAACATCATCAGTTGCAGCTCAACAATTTTTAGCTCCAGCTCCCATAAAATGAAATTAATGTCAGTTGCCATGGTTTCCTTTGCAAAAACAAGCAGAGGCGTGATGAGACCAAGAACCGACAATATGAATAAAAATCGCACGACCACCTAGTGTGTGTTGTACAGTGACATGGATGCTCCAGTGGACAAGTATGCAGTGCTCACAATAGGGTGAATTCACACAGAAGTATTGACCACAGGCCCCTGTCCACTAATCTAAGAGCACTGAAGAAAAACATGAATCTTTACTGCTGTTAAAAATAGCATTAAAGGGATATTCTGGTGTAAATTTAAGCCAGACCGAGACACTAAGGCAGAAGAACTACCGCCTCTGCAGTGTACATACAAGATACACAGTAACTCTGATTGTATTTCTATGAAGTAAGAATCATAATTTTTCGCTGCACTCAGTGATCAACTTGTCAGGGTTCCCCCACAAACAAGCGGCTGCTGGAGGAGAGTGGGTGAGTCGTGTTTGGTCACTTTGCTAAAGAAACCAGGCAAAGCTAAAAAGATCTTTGGTGCCTGTACTATGGCTGGGACCCTATATGTAATGTTGATGAAGTTAGGTGCTGTTCTGAGCATCATTTGTGGTTATAGAGTGGCTTTTTGGTTGAGGTTTGTGCATGGAGGCGTAGACCGCTGTCTATTGCTGTCGTGCAGTCATTACTGAAGTTGGTTTGACTAGAGAAGCAAGCACCGGAATATCCCTTTAAATGTTATCAGTTCAAGGCAACATGGCTGCCAAAAGTTTTAATACTGTGCCATAATATATATCATTAGCATTCTACTGTAAGAAGGTCAGAGGTCAGTGTTGGAAATGTGTGCAGTTGTGTGCTTAACCATTCCACTCTTGATGCTTACTCACTTATTTCTGTGTCTCTTGATACCAATGACATCACACATGGCACGAGGCAGTCAATGTTAACGATGACCAAGCAGTCGAGGAAGTAATCATGGCAGAAAGGGACAGGAGACCATCTCAGTCGCCATTGTTAGCCGCCATAATGTCAGCTTTAATAATATGGAAGTATGACTTACTGACTTAATGTAAAATTCTCTTGCTCTGTGAGACCGACAGCTCTCTGGTGATAAAATGTCTGTTTCAGCGATGATTTATTTGACAGGGAACATCAGAGTTGAGACTGTGCAGATGCTTGTTCTTTGTTCAGATTGTATCTATGATCCCATCAAAAGTGATATTAAAACTGCCGTAGACCTGTTCCATAACTGAGGATCAGACCGCCAAGGCCCCCGCCTTTGTCAGCCACCCAATCCGTCAAGCACCGGACCCTTCAAGTTCCTCCTGCGGGTGGTGGGTCCACAGGAGGCTGTGCCCATATGGTTCGTTCGGGCTGAGCCCGGCCGGGCCCCATAGGTGCAGGCCCGGCCACCAGGCGCTCGCCAGCGAGCCCCAATCCAGGGTGGGGCCCCGGTGTCACTCCGGGCCGGGTACACTGTTTCCCTTTGTTGTTTTCCATGAGGGTCTTCTGAACCGTTCTTAGTCTGACCCTTCGCCTCTGGTTAGGATGCCTTCTGGACGCCTCCCGTTAGAGGTGTTCCAGACATGTCCCACCGGGAGGAGACCTCGGGGCCCGCCCAGGACCAGGTGGAGGGATTATATCTCTCGCCTGGCCTGGGAGCGCCTGGGAATCCCCCCAGAGGAGCTGGTGGAAGTGGCTGGGGTGAGGGCCTTCTGGGCTTCCCTCCTGAAGCTGCTGCCCCCGCTACCCGGACCTGGGTGAAGCGGAAGAAAACGACGACAACGTAAACCTGTTTTGACCTACTTTTTCCACATGTACAATCCCACAAAAATATTAAATAATGGCATTGGTATCATTAGTTGCGTTTTCATTACCCATGAAACCGGGTAAAACGCAAAACCTAAATATCGCAATCGAAAACTGGTAATGGAAACACCTAAATTTCGAAAAACCTCTCAAATATCCCTAAAAAGTTTTTACGCTCTCATGAGGTGGTTTTTCAGACGTGTCGATATAGAAGTATATCGCAAAAGTGTAATGGAAACACTATTCTTGCAATTCTCTGTCACCGGACGTGACGAAGCGGGTCATGTGACCAGTTCATTTCAAGCAAAGATGGCGCGGTATGTGTGGACGGGGGAGGAGACAGAGTTATTTCTGAAGTTTTGAATTGTAATTGTATTTTTCTGAAGTTTTGAATCCACAATTCGTCTGTGAATTCCTCATTAACGATCCTCTCCCAGAAATCCCTCATACGTGTCTGCTCCCATACATACGGGCTTTGCCTTTGAATTATCACCCGCTGCCTTCGTCTTTTAATGACAGCAGGGGCAACAGCGGTAATGGTCACAGAAATAGCTGCTCCAAAACGCAAAATGTTTTGTGTCTCGTCCATGTTGGTGTGCAAAAAGGCTTAAGGAATACAAGGTCGCACGGGCAGGAAGTTTACCTCGTTGCCAGGAAACGGCCATTCAAACACGGCTCGCGAGAGGCAGAGGGCTCGCTTATGCACTGAACACCATTCAATGGAAACACCTGCAAATCGCAATTGTACTTTGTCGAAATTTGATAAACATCGCTTTTATTTTGCGAAAACATTTAATGGAAACACAGAATAATACATAATAACATCTCCTTAGTTCTCAATGCTGTGTGTGCTATGGTCACCACTTTTTCTAGTTTGCCAAAAACTGTGTTTCACTGGGTAAATGGACTACACAGTGTCTCATATAAGCATTTTTGCGAAGTGGTTGCTATGGATCACATCGTCATTTGTGATGAGCTCCAAGCTAACTCTGGTCCAAAAGCATCAAAGACACTATTTTGATTCGTTTCAAACCTTATAGAAAAAGGAGATAAATCCCTCATAAAGTCACGAAGAACAAAAATGGACAAAGATACAGCCTGTGATAGAAGTGAGGTCTACAGCAGGGGGTCTGTACTTAAAGTCTGGTCCCTCCTCTACTGACACTCAAAACCACGCCCAGTTGTGCTCTATTTTCAACAGTATTCATCAGTTTCAAAAGATAAAATACCCCTCTGTTTATGATTCTAGAATGCGCATGTGTGTGCATATCTGCATGTGATCACTTACCATGTGACCTCCTCTGATTGGCCAGATAAATGACATCGTGTCCATAAAGAGTAGACATCATTTGTAGATCCTCTCACAGAACTCCAGCAACTTTGACAAAATGACACCTCTGAAGTTTGTTCTGTCTGTGGCATATCTGCTCATAGGAAATGTGGGTAAGCAGTATAATTTCAAAGAGCATTTAGTCTCTTTTCTGCATGTTTTGATGTGGTCAGTTACACTTAAGTGTTGTAAAAGATGCTGTCACTTATTATATGGACTTACTGTACACACTTACTTGGTCTGTATTTTCTCCTCAGTAGGATCAACACCCATGGATCTGTCATCACCTTTGCATTTCCTTTCAGTGAATATCAATGAAGACGTGACCTTGAAATGTTTCTATGAGGAAAGTGTAGCGGTGATGTTTTACTGGTACAAACAAACTCTGGGACAGAAACCAGAGCTTGTGTCTAAATTTTACAAGCATAACAAAAATGGCTCCCTGATCGGCGAATTTAACAACAACCCACGCTTTGAACTGGATACTGACGTTGGTAAAAACCACCTGAAGATCTCAAATGTTCAAAATTCTGATGCGGCTACATACTACTGCTTGAGTGGCTATTCTTACAGATTCAAATTTATTGGAGGTGTTATCGTCCATGTAAAGAGTTTAGGTTTAAAGGTTCCAACCATCATCCATCAGCCAGGATCTGAGACCATCCAGCCAGGGGGCTCTGTGACTCTGAACTGTACTGTCCAAACTGAGACCTGTGAGGGAGAACACAGTGTTTACTGGTTTAGAAACTCTGAGGAGTCTCATCGAGGACTCATTTACACCCATGGAGGGAGAAACAATCAGTGTGAGAGGAGATACAACCAACAAACCTGCGTCTACAGCTTGAATCTTTCTGACACTGGGACCTACTACTGCGCTGTCGTCTCGTGTGGACACATCCTGTTTGGAAATGGGACCAAGCTGGATTTTAAAGGTACGCATTTAATGATTGAAGTGTAACTGTGGAGATTTGACTGAAAAAGCTAATGGTTTCCTCTGTTCATCTGCAGATCACGATCTTGCTTTGGTGTATTTCTTGAGTGCAGTTTTGGCCTTCGTCACCATGCTGGTTGTTTTCCTGGCTTACAAAGCTTCAACATTGTACAAGACAAGCTGCTGTAAATGCACAGGTAGGCTTAACAGTTGTTGTTTTAACATCTGATAGTAATTGTTCAAAGAACCACTTGACTGATTTGGTCTGGACCATACTCTATTTAGAAAGAACCAACGTAAAGATGGGATGAAATTGAGCACTGTCTTCTGTCCCATCTTCAACCATGAGTGAAGCATTTTACAGCATTTAGCAAGTTACAGTGGAGAGGACTCATGTTAGTCATCTGCTGAAACTGAGCTGGGTTTAGATAGAGGGAGATGGAGAAAGAGACAGATGGACTGAGGAGAGACTGATGCACGTAGTTGAGGCAGCTGGAAAGTCGGCAGATCCACAGCAGCTAAATGTCAGCGGCAGTGATCCAGAGGAATCAACAGCATGATGGAGCTCAGGGACTCCCAGAAAAAGACTATGTTTTAGAGAATACAATAAGACTTGATGATCCAAAGTTAATGACATAGACGGAAAGGGGATGGAGAAGGACGGAAATGTGCTCAATGTACCAGTAACCCCAGCAGTCTAATCTATTGCAGAATAACTAAGAGCTGGACCAGGACTGGACCATGTCTAACAATAAGCTTTATAAAAAATAAAAAAAAAGTTTAATCTACTCTTAAAGTAGAGAGGGTGTCTGCCCCCACACATACCTCGACTGGTACATGATTCCAGAGGAGAGGGCCTGGAAACTGAATACTCTTCCTCCCAGACCACTTTAAGAGACTTTATGTATAATGAGCTGGCCTGCATATAGGAACCACAAAGTCCTGGAAGGGTGAAAGGCACACCTGACTCCTAAAGGGAATGAGAGTGGAAACATTTAAAGTCCACCTAATAATAATTAAGGGCCTTAATCCAATATCTTTAGCACAGAGTCAGGCGTAACAGATGTGTTTTTAATGGAATTTCTGTTCCACAGCAGACCATCAAGCAGGAACTCCAGCGGCCTCAAATGTCAATGTAGCAGTGAGTATTTCAAAAGTTCTCCCACTGTGATACATTTTAAAGCAACACCTGTATGATTTTTAGTTCAATATATCAAAAACTGCATTCAAAGCTTTTACGATTTTGCCAAACCTATGAATCTACATACTCTGCAGCAGTACCTTATATTTACTGTTATGGATGTTGATACTTTCAATATTTTCTTAATCTGTTTTATCTGTTTATTTTATATCATTACCAGGATGAACAGGAGGCAGACAGCCTCCATTATGCTGCTTTAAGGAAGGGCAAAGTCACAAGGTCAACAAGACCGAGGGAGGACGTCAGGAGTGAATGTGTTTACTCCAGTGTCAGACAGTAAACCTGGACATCTTTACAACTGTACTTAAAGCTCCTGTGAGGAGTTTTTTGATGTGTGTGAATTAGACAGAAATTCAGGTCTATCTCCTCTTATGATAAAGGAAGGCAAACAAGACCCTCTGCAAAAAGGTTTGAACGATTTTCATATTGTAATTTTTAAACTGGTGAGAGGGCAGCCCTGTGTTTTTAGTTTCCACAATTCACAATAAATGATGCATTCAATTCTTAAAGTCAAAAGGATAAAGATTTTTTTTTCCAGAAGATGCCCTTTTATTACACAGCTGGCAAAAAGCAAATATTTGGCACAATTTGAAAGTTCCTCACAGGGTTTGAGTTTGTTTGATTTAGGCCCCATAAAGCTAAAGTCTGATATGCACCTATCACAGCTGCAATGAACCATCACTGTGGTCACTGTGGGGACAAAAGAGTGCAAAATCTGCTTCACAAGGCATGAGCACTACTTTAATATTCAAAGAATAACCATCATCATTAAGCTCTTTGTATACTTGTGGTTTCAGTAGATACAGTATTCTGTGTGGAAACTACAAAAAGACTGACTAACACTGATCTCACAGTTAGCAGATCATGGTATATGGGGACGACACCTTCAAACTGTGCTCAGAAATGTCTGCAGAGTGACAAAAACAGCTGCAGAAGTGATGTTGCAAGCAGCACCAACAAGTTTGTCTGACAGTAAGAGCCCATGAACAGAGGACGGTTGTTCAAACCGCAAACAACCACAGAGGATTGTTTTTTGCTTCAGTGTGGAGATGAGTCCTCAGCCTATTTTGGTCATTTCTGCTCCTCCACACTCTGATGCAAAGAGATGAAGTGTTAGCCGAGTGTCATTGCACAGCGACTTTTACTGATGGTCTCTTACAAAAGAAGACAAACGTGCAGCTACAGTTGCAGCCCTCGCACACCTTAAACTCCTCCTTCACTCCTCCTCCAGAATTTCTTCTTCATTGTGATGTGATACACTAGTTCTCATGCATCATTTTTTTGAGTAATCATCAAGCTTAAGAGTGAAGATCAATGCACTAGACCGAGTGCATGGTGCAAAGCAGAAGTTCATGAGAAGCAGCTGAAACAAACAAACAAAACCACATAGACATCCTGTCAGAGAGGGAGTGGAGGGGGACAAAGCCACTTCGGTTGCAGTTGACGTGAGTGGATTTGACCAGAGCGGGAACCCAGACTTTTTTTAACCTCACCTGACTTAGACACACAGCTCTGTCTTCATGTGTGTTTGTAAAAAGTCTCTAAAATGCACACAAATGTACTTTTATTCAACTTTGTTTTTTTATTGATATCGAGGGGAGTTGCAGTACTTGATTTGCAACTTTGAAAATACAAACCATGATTAGATATAGTGACTACAGGTGGTGTAACTCCTTTGTTGTTTCTTTTAAAATTTTGATCAGCTGTTAAAAATAAAGACAGAAGCAGCACTGACTGTTCCTCTGAGCTCTGATAATGCGAGACAAGACGTTTACCAATAGTGACCATGAAATTTCCTCCACACACGTCAATCTTTAGAGCCAGCAGGACAAGTCTATGAAACTGCTCTGTCTGATCTTTTTCTGCGCACAACGTGGCCCCCCAACAGCCATGAGCTGAACTGCAACTGAGCAGGAAAGCTTGAAGTTGAATTTAAAGGGCCAGTACACCCATTTTACAAATTAAGCACAGGCAACTTTACAGTCTATTTTTATATAAAATCTGTCAAGAAAATAAACACTGGCTAAAGTGACCAAAACATCACAAAACACAGTAACACAGTGACTATAGTATATCCATCTTTGTTAACTCCATCCAATTTTTTCTTATTGTTGGGGTTTACAAAAACATTATTTGCAAATATTATCCAGGGGAAACATGATGAGACAAATCAATCTTTACTATAAGACTGCGGTTCATTGAATTATCCAACAGCCTGAAATAATATGAACACATAATGTTCAGGATTAATGTTTATTTTTTATTTTGCACATTTTACAGCACAGGTCATTTAAAAAAAACACTGCTAAGCAAAAATGACAAAAATATGGTCTATAGAGAACTATAATTGTAATTCAACACTTTATGGATAAAAACTGGTTATAGATAAAAGCTGTGTTATAAAACGTTCATTTATGTATTTAAACTTAATGGGGCAGAGTCAAAGGGAAATGTCTTTCCTTACAGAAACAATGATGGTAGACGGTGAATCAAATCTATGCTCTTGACTTGTTGACAACTTTGAATTTAGAGTCTCTAGTAGACTAATAATAACAACAAAAAGATTAAAGAAGCAAATTAGAGCAACATTTTGTAACTTAATATTAAAAGACAAAATGTGTAGATTAAAATTTAACTTGAAGCATTCACTGATGTTAAGAGATATGGACTTAACACAAACCTTTTGCTTCTTATTATTACTGTGCACAAACAACCCCTATCGTGTTTGAATAGGGTCAAAAGTGACTTGCTGCGATGCATGAAAGTAGCCTGTTCAAACCCTGCAGTCAAACAGAGCAAAGTAGCTTCAGAGAGCACATAGCACAGCTGATTAAATGAGTAACCGCAAACAGTGACCAAAAGACAAGGGTGGGACTTTTCATGTGTTCATATTGTCCAGATGAGGGTTTTATTTGTGAAAAAAAAAGGCGTCCATGCTCTGAGCAGCATGCATTGACATTGTTATACCAGCCCACAGTAACCCCAGATATTAGCTATGTAAGTTGTGTGTCTGAGAGGAAACAGAATCAGAGTCATTTCAGAGAAACATAGTTTAGCTGTAGCTGGAGGAGTTTGAGGTCCTGGAAGGGGAATCTATGAGATTCTTGTCTTTCCCTGAAACTCTGGTACCAGTCCAGTTTACCGCCTGAGTGTGTAGTACACACATTCACTCCAGGTGGCATCACCTGCATCTTTGAAACCCTGGGAATGAAATTTAAACAACTAGTTATATCATTCAGTATCATGATCATGAGCATGTTTATCAAGCCATGAAATGATAAAACGATCTGAATAAAGAACTTTTACTGTCTTGTTTTCATCTTTGTATTTCAAGCTGTAGCAAAGAAAGGTAGGAATGTAAAACTGAAAAATGGAGCTTAGTGCTGATATTTTATCTATTAAACCTGATAATACACAAGTTCTCGTTCCTCATTGTTCTTCACACTCACCTCTGCTTTGAGGATGGAGCCACTTGAAGGCCTCACCTGAGCGTCTGGTGTCAAAGAATTAAAAACACATTTTTTGATCTTGTGGTTGAAGGATTTCTTCGTTACAGTTGATCATTTAATGGCAGAGAAACAGCATTTCTAATCTAGAGGCATTTTGGTCACACTTCATACTATGAGACACATATCAACATTCAGTTAGTCACTTCGTAGTACGTAAAGATGCAGCATGTTGGCTCTAGATTAGCCTCTTAAAGGCACTTTTGACCTTGTTTGACTATATTTTGCTACAAGTATGTTATTAATCAAGTTGTTTACTTTTGTTACCATCTAATTACTGTTGTTAAAGGCTATTAAGAAAGTTGTGCACGAATTACCATCTTTATATAATTTGCTGAATAAGGGCTGATTAAGGTGGAAGTACCACTAAAGTCATTCTTCCTTTATAAATCTTGATAGATATAGCTTATTCTTATGTCACAACAACACAACTTAAAATGGAAATTCATTGTTAGTATGATACTATCTTATCCACACTGGTCCCCTACTCCGAAGTTGCGTCCTCTTAGTTGATCCAGTCAGCACACAGCTATTGCGCAGTTGACCTGTTGTCTATTAAGATACACAGACTCTATTCCTATTCAGTGGAGCAAGGTTATTGTCCTTAATGTAAAGTAGAAAATTCCAAAATAATAAAGTGTCAAAAACATTTTCATTAACAGAACTCCCCCCCTGCAGCTTAACAGAACAGGATAAACTAAAATTGTATTGAACCTAACTAAAATGAGATAAAATTACAGACAGGGGCCCTTAACTTTCAGTTTCTGACACAGAGATATTCGCACCCTGGAGCAGCACCCTTTTTTCAGCATGGATCTGTGTGTTGATGAGCTAAAATTACTCAAGATGAGGTACCAAACAAGCAGGGGCGCATCAAGATCTTTTTGACTGGGGTGGCCCATTTGACTGGGGTGTAAAGCCAAAAAGATACATGGTTCGTGTTGAACCTGTTCCATCGGCGTCGTGTATCTGCTCCATCGAACAGCGATGTCTATCGCACACAGGGTGCGTATTTGGAGCATGGCAGCTGCGTAGTGCAGCAACAAACAAACAACATGCTCACAGCAGGTTGTTTTGCCTTTCTGTGGTATATTTCCTGCTAATTTGGATACAATTAGGTGACTGTTGAGCCTCTAAAATATGTGAAAAAGCAACATGATTTTAAAGTTTCAGTTTTTGCAGGTTAACTTGTGTTTAATAAAATAAACTTAGCATGTTTGAAAGGCACATGCAAACTGACACAGCATTATGCACGGTCATTGTGGGGAGGAGGCAGAAGTGCCATGATACATGCCATGATCCTTGTCCAAAAGCTTGTGATTTATTTCATTTTCCCAGTAAATGATGATTTTCATAAAAAGTAAGGTCAAACATGGAACAGATGAAAAAATTTATCTGTTTGTCTTATTGATTTTTAACCCCTTTAGTCCCTTTTTTGATTTCTAGAATATCGTCTTGTATCTGTAAAGCACTTTGAATTGTCTTGTGTATGAATTATGCTATACAAATAAACTTGCCGTGCCTTTTCTGCAGTTCCCCAAAATGATATGTGCAACTCCATGGCTTCAAACCATAGACTGTATATATTATGGACAACTTGGTTCCGCCTGCCGCCTGTACACGGATTTGAAGCCAAATAGCTCTCGGTATTTCCGGGATTTTTTCTTTATTTCGTGAAACCAGCGCTGTGCAGTAGCGTTGTGCGCATTCGGCCGTGCAGTTGCAGAGAGTCGCTGTGATGACGCTCGGCTCAAACAGTGTATCCGCCGGGAGAGCTACTCAATCCCTGAACGCCCATAGGCTGTATCAGGTGTCAATCATGGCAAACATGAGCCCCCTAATAACTTTAAAAACGGAGCTTCACAGAAAAAAAGAGGACTTGAGCACAAACCAGTCTTACAATAACTACATTTCAACATCACGACCAGGGGGGAGAAAAATGCATGTTCTGTGTTATAAATTTCTGAAGTTGGTCCACAGCCCCATAAACTTTATGACCTATACTGCAGCCCATCAACAGAGGGTGCTGTTCTCGGAGTGGCTTCACCCCGTGAGGAGGCAGACTCTGTCCATTCACAGTCTATGCTTTAAACACTCTGCTCTCACAAACTCTCCATGGTTATGGCCGATAGCTTACGCAAACATAGATCCTGTCTGTATTAGGTTTAAGACTCACCATATACTGTAGTTAATTTTAACATGTCTCATTTCTGACAAGGGAAAACCATCCCTGGTGAGTGTCCCATCTTAAAAAAATACCAAAAACAAATGAAACTAAAGAATAACAAACAAAAGTTAAGCACTCTTTAAAAATAAAATAAAATAAAATTTACAGAAGCAAAATAAAACTGCTGTAGGTGTGCAGTGGAAGAAAAACAATGTCACCAAAAGAAGAAATATCTCCTTTAGTGGTGGTCTAAACTTGTGATATTATTACAGCTGACAATTATTGGTGTGTGCAGGATTACAAAGATACTGAACTCTGACCAGTTCTAATAATAAATTGCCTCCCGGGCAACCTAATGCAACCCAATACAACAGCTCTACTCCAAATTCATCTGTTCACTGTGGATTAATAAGAGTCAAACTAACAGTGAATCAGTCTCTTTAGAATGGAAAACATTAGATATTTTCTATTAATTTCAAGTCATTAGGACTCTGTTAAAAATCGTAATTGTGTTCTATGACATAAGAATTGACCATTTTTATTGAGTCTTACGAAGGAAGAATGACTGTCTCGTGGGAATCTGAACATAATTAAAATGGGTTTTATTGTATAGCAGCTTTATTTGCCATGAATACGCAGTAATTAAAAGCTTATTGAGAGAATAACCATTACTTTAAAACTTACTAGTTTAAAAGAGACTGATAAGTTAATCAGCTTTAAGCTAAGGAATTAAGGGCCAGCTTCCTCTTTATATAAATACTAGTAAGACAAGAGGGCATCAGACCTGCAAATCATGTGGCTGTGTATATATAGGGCTGAAACATATTTTCTGAATTTTATGTTATTTTAATGATCAAACATCATTAATTCAGTATTTTTCTTTTTAAATACACAATTAGACGTGCTTGTTGGATTAACCTACCTGTACCCAGGCAGCAGTTTGTGTTGTTGTCTGAACAAATATGTGTTAATGACACCAGCAGACCAAGCAGCATGATGGTAAATGCCAACGATCCACTCAAGAAGTACACCAAGATGGGAGAGAATCGGTCATCTGCAGAGGATGTTACAAAATATTTAAGCTTAGCCTTATTCATTATTATTGAATATCCAACTAACTAGACTGATTATCACTGTGTCCGTTCGGAAGAGACTCACCTTTAAAGTCAAGCTTGGTCCCGTTTCCAAACAGTATCCGTCCACATGAAGCTACAGCACAGTAGTAGGTCCCAGCATCAGACTGATTCAGGTTGTCCATTTCCAAATTGTAGACACAAGTGTGTGATTTTGAGTTAAGTTTCTTCTCACATTGGTCACTCCTGCCTCCGTGTGTGTAAATGATTCCTGGATGAGACTCCTCTGAGCTTCTGAACCAGTAAACCCTGTGTTCTCCATCACAGGTCCCAGTGTTTACTATACAGTTCAGAGTCCAATGGTTCTTATCCTGGGTTGTTTTAAGGACCATGCTTTGTATATTTAAACCTAAATTCTTCACACTAACAGTTATACTCTCACAAAATTCAAGGTTGTACAAAGTGCTCCCTATGCAAAAGTAAGTCGCTGAATCTGAACTGTGAAAACCTGAAATCCTCAAGTGAGGATTTTTAGGGCCCGAGCGTAGCTGCTAAGCAGCTGCGAGAGCCCTCTTGTTCCTGTAGTTTCCTTCTTTTGTTATTAGGGCCCGAGCGTAGCTGCTAAGCAGCTGCGAGAGCCCTCTTGTTCCTGCATGTTTCCTTCTTTTGTTATTAGGGCCCGAGCGTAGCTGCTAAGCAGCTGCGAGAGCCCTCTTGTTCCTGATGGATTCTTCTTTCGTTATTTTTCCTCCGCTTTAAACTGGAAAATGGCCCACTTCCCACTGGCGAAAACTCAGGAAATTTGGCAGGACGACCGGGCCTGGTGAAAAATTCGATATTCTGAAGTCGCCAAAACAAAAAAATGAAAAATGGCTCCATAGCGCCCCCTATGGTGAAAACTCACCTGACGCCTGTACGCTTTGTCAAAATGACACAAAATTTGACACACATGTGTATCTCAATAAGATCTACAAAAAAGTCAGTGCGGGCGTATCTGTCAAATGTACGGTTAAAGGGCTATTTCGCATTTTTTGCCGATCCGCACACATTGGAATTTCGCTAACTCCTCCGAAGGCTTTCGTTCCACCGGCAACAAATTTGCTCAGGACAATCTACACCCCATGGCCATTAAAAGTTGTACAAATCATGACGCTGCACCCCACGGTTTACATTCTAGGGGGCGCCAAAGATAACCCAAAAATCCACAGTCTTAAAAGTCTTATAACTTTTTATTTTTGTCCTCACTGGCCTCCAAGTTTTCTAGGATGATGCAATGTCCAGCCATCAACACATTTGTGAAGGAATTTTTACTCCCCAAAAGAGCGCCCCCCCATGGCAGGAGAAAAAAGTCCATTTTTTCTTGTCCCCTAAGGTGAAATACACATTGTTGAGTGTCATGCCTGAACGCTTTGTCATATTGACACAAAATTTGACACACACGTGTATCTCAATAAGATCTACAAAAAAGTCAAAGAGCGCGTATCTGTATAATGTACGGTTAAAGGGCTATTTCGCATTTTTTGCCGATCCGCACACATTGGAATTTCGCTAACTCCTCCGAAGGCTTTCGTTCCACCGGCACCAAATTTGCTCAGGCCAATCTACACCCCATGGCCATTAAAAGTTGTACAAATCATGACGCTGCACCCCACGGTTTAGGTTCTAGGGGGCGCCAAAGATAACCCAAAAATCCACATTCTTAAAAGTCTTATAACTTTTTATTTTTGTCCTCACTGGCCTCCAAGTTTTCTAGGATGATGCAATGTCCAGCCATCAACACATTTGTGAAGGAATTTTTACTCCCCAAAAGAGCGCCCCCCCATGGCAGGAGAAAAAAGTCCATTTTTTCTTGTCCCATAAGGTAAAAATACAGATTGTTGACTGTCACGCCTGTACGCTTTGTCAAAATGACACAAAATTTGACAATCACGTGTATCTCAATAAGATCTATTAAAAAGTCATGCGCAAATATCTGTAAAATGTACGGTTAAAGGGCTATTTTGCATTTTTTGCCGATTCGCACACATTGGAATGTGGCTAACTCCTCCTAAGGCTTTCGTCCCACTGACACCAAATTTGCTCAGGCCAATCTACACCCCATGGCCATTCAGAGTTGTAAAAATCATGACGCTGCACCCCACGGTTTACGTTCTAGGGGGTGCCAAAGATGACCCAAATATCCACATTCTTAAAAGAATCCACATCCCCCCCCCCTCCCCCCATGGCAGGAGAAAAAGTCAAGTTTTTCCTGCCCATCGCTCAATGGCTCAATCGCATCGCTCTCTCGGCAAAAGCGAAAGGAGGAGCAACTTGCCATTTGGATATATCCTAGCTGTGTTTGTGCCCTCACTCATGGTCCAGACTTTTTTCAAATAGGACATGTAGTTTGTCTGCAGCGAGTGTTTTGGTAGAAGATGCGCCTCCCATTTATTATAATGGGAAATGACCACAGACAAGTGCGCACTCCATCTTTGGACCTAGAGTGTGACGCGATCGGGAGGTGGAGGCGGTCGCGCTGGGGGCGGCGCGACGCGGCTCGGGCCCGACAGTGCCCCACCGGGGCCCTAGTTAGGGCCCGAGCCAGCTGCAGAGCAGCCGGGCGTAGGCCCTATTATTCCCCAAGTGGTTTTTCTTTGTTTCTTTCTTTCTTTAGGGCCCGAGCGTAGCTGCTAAGCAGCTGCGAGAGCCCTCTTGTTCCTGTAGTTTCCTTCTTTTGTTATTATTATTATTTTTCCTCCCCTTTGAACTGGAAAATGGCCCACTTCCCACTGGCGAAAACTCATGAAATTTGGCAGGACGACCGGGCCTGGTGAAAAATTTGATATTCTGAAGTCGCCCAAACAAGAAAATGCAAAATGGCTCCATAGCGCCCCCTAAGGTGAAAATTCACACTATTCACTGCCACGCCTGTATGCTTTGTCAAAATGACACAAAAATTGACACACACATGTATCTCAATAAGATCTACAAAAAAGTCAGTGCGGGCGTATCTGTCAAATGTACGGTTAAAGGGTTATTTCGCATTTTTTGCCGATCCGCACACATTGGAATTTCGCTAACTCCTCCGAAGGCTTTCGTTCCACCGGCACCACATTTGCTCAGGCCAATCTACACCCCATGGCCATTAAAAGTTATTCAAATCATGACGCTGCACCCCACGGTTTAGGTTCTAGGGGGCGCCAAAGATAACCCTAAGATCCACATATTTAAAAGTCTTATAACTTTTTATTTTTGCCCTCACTGGCCTCCAAGTTTTCTAGGATGATGCAATGTCCAGCCATCAACACATTTGTGAAGGAATTTTTACTCCCCAAAAGAGCGCCCCCCCATGGCAGGAGAAAAAAGTCCATTTTTTCTTGTCCCCTAAGGTGAAAATACACATTGTTGAGTGTAACACCTGTACGCTTTGGCAAAATGACACAAAAATTGACACACACATGTATCTCAATACGATCTACGAAAAAGTCAATGCGCGCGTATCTGTCAAATGTAAGGTTAAAGGGTTATTCCGCATTTTTTGCCGATCCGCACACATTGGAATTTCGCTAACTCCTCCGAAGGCTTTCGTTCCACCGGCACCACATTTGCTCAGGCCAATCTACACCCCATGGCCATTAAAAGTTATTCAAATCATGACGCTGCACCCCACGGTTTAGGTTCTAGGGGGAGCCAAAGATAACCCTAAAATCCACATATTTCAAAGTCTTATAACTTTTTATTTTTGTCCTCACTGGCCTCCAAGTTTTCTAGGATGATGCAATGTCCAGCCATCAACACATTTGTGAAGGAATTTTTACTCCCCAAAAGAGCGCCCCCCCATGGCAGGAGAAAAAAGTCCATTTTTTCTTGTCCCATAAGGTGAAAAAACACATTGTTGACTGTCATACCTGTACGCTTTGTCATATTGACACAAAATTTGACAATCACATGTATCTCAATAAGATCTACGAAAAAGTCAATGCGCGCGTATCTGTAAAATGTACGGTTAAAGGGCTATTTCGCATTTTTTGCCGATTCACACACATTGGAATGTGGCTAACTACTCCTAAGGCTTTCGTCCCACTGACACCAAATTTGCTCAGGCCAATCTACACCCCATGGCCATTCAAAGTTGTAAAAATCATGACGCTGCACCCCACGGTTTACGTTCTAGGGGGCGCCAAAGATGACCCAAATATCCACATTCTTAAAAGAATCCACCCCCCCCCCCCCCCCCCCCATCCCCCAACCCCCATGGCAGGAGAAACAGTCAAGTTTTTCCTGCCCATCACTCAATGGCTCAATCGCATCACTCTCCCGGCAACACCGTAACGAGGAGCAACCTGCCATTTGGATATATCCTAGCTGTGTTTGTGCCCTCACTCATGGTCCAGACTTTTTTCAAATAGGACATGAAGTTTGTCTGCAGCGAGTGTTTTGGTAGAAACTGCGCCTCCCATTCATTATAATGGGAAATGACCACAGACAAGTGCGCACACCATCTTTGGACCTTGACTGTGACGTCACATTTTGAGATACAAATGTTATTTGACCTCTGACCTTTGGTGGAGACCCTAACCTTTCAACCTGCGAAAACAGCGTTTCAATAGCTCTTACGGCTTTCCTACAAATACACTTTGTTCGGCTGCTCCTCCTGTCTTTCAAGCTCTGGTCCATAGATCATCAAAGAGTGTGCACGTGTGTAATGAGCGCATATTGAAAGTTAATTATGTTAACTATGTTACTTATTAGAAGAAATAACAACAACAGTCTTTTTGGACAAAATTTCTTTTTATTACAGAATTAGAATAATGGAAGCATAGTCCAAGGAAACCATTCAAGTGATGTCATACCTCATAATTTATTAAGATGTTGGCAAGTGTGGGCATTTCTTCATTCATCAGGTTTCCTGCATGCTTACTAACAGAGCACATCAGTAACAGTGAATGATAAGTATGAGTGTGTCATTGTGTAAGAAAAGAAAGTGGTTTACTTAAACATCCATAGAAAATAGGAGCACAGCACGCAAACAAAGCTTTGCCACGACGGTGGGACTTCCCAAGTAGCCGATACCAAGGTCACACAATCATGGTAAGCAAAGGTCAAACCAGGCCAGGCACTCACGAGGCTGGCTGTGGCAAGTGTAAGTGAAAGCGACAAGCACTGGCAGGAAGAATAGCAAACGCCGATGAAGGAAAAGGGTCTTTGCAGTGATGGGCGTTACCAGAGAGGGCGATGGCCAGGGGACGCGAATGGGAGGGGGAGGCGATCGCGTTGGGGGCGGGTGCGACACGGCTCGGGCCCGACAGTACCCCAACGGGGCCCTAGTTCTTTCTTCTTTTTCCTCCCCTTTGAACTGGAAAATGGCCCACTTCCCACTGGCGAAAACTCATGAAATTTGGCAGGACGACCGGGCCTGGTGAAAAATTTGATATTCCGAAGTCGCCCAAACAAGAAAATGCAAAATGGCTCCATAGCGCCCCCTAAGGTGAAAATTCACACTATTGACTGTCACGCCTGTACGCTTTGTCAAAATGACACAAAAATTGACACACACGTGTATCTCAATAAGATCTACAAAAAAGTCAGTGCGGGCGTATCTGTCAAATGTACGGTTAAAGGGTTATTTCGCATTTTTTGCCGATCCGCACACATTGGAATTTCGCTAACTCCTCCGAAGGCTTTCGTTCCACCGGCACCACATTTGCTCAGGCCAATCTACACCCCATGGCCATTAAAAGTTATTCAAATCATGACGCTGCACCCCACGGTTTAGGTTCTAGGGGGCGCCAAAGATAACCCTAAGATCCACATATTTAAAAGTCTTATAACTTTTTATTTTTGCCCTCACTGGCCTCCAAGTTTTCTAGGATGATGCAATGTCCAGCCATCAACACATTTGTGAAGGAATTTTTACTCCCCAATAGAGCGCCCCCCATGGCAGGAGAAAAAAGTCCATTTTTTCTTGTCCCCTAAGGTGAAAATACACATTGTTGAGTGTAACACCTGTACGCTTTGGCAAAATGACACAAAAATTGACACACACATGTATCTCAATAAGATCTACGAAAAAGTCAATGCGCGCGTATCTGTCAAATGTACGGTTAAAGGGTTATTCCGCATTTTTTGCCGATCCGCACACATTGGAATTTTGCTAACTCCTCCGAAGGCTTTCGTTCCACCGGCACCACATTTGCTCAGGCCAATCTACACCCCATGGCCATTAAAAGTTATTCAAATCATGACGCTGCATCCCACGGTTTAGGTTCTAGGGGGCGCCAAAGATAACCCAAAAATCCACATATTTAAAAGTCTTATAACTTTTTATTTTTGTCCTCACTGGCCTCCAAGTTTTCTAGGATGATGCAATGTCCAGCCATCAACACATTTGTGAAGGAATTTTTACTCCCCAAAAGAGCGCCCCCCATGGCAGGAGAAAAAAGTCAATTTTTTCTTGTCCCCTAAGGTGGAAATTCACACTATTGACTGTCACGCCTGTACGCTTTATCATATTGACACAAAAATTGACACACATATGTATCTCAATAAGATCTACAAAAAAGTCAACTCGCGCGTATCTGTCAAATGTACGGTTAAAGGGCTATTTTGCATTTTTTGCCGATTCGCACACATTGGAATGTGGCTAACTCCTCCTAAGGCTTTCGTCCCACTGAAACCAAATTTGCTCAGGCCAATCTACACCCCATGGCCATTCAAAGTTGTAAAAATCATGACGCTGCACCCCATGGTTTACGTTCTAGGGGGCGCCAAAGATGACCAAAAAATCCACATTCTTAAAAGAATCCACATTCTCCCCCCCCCCATGGCAGGAGAAAAAGTCAAGTTTTTCCTGCCCATCGCTCAATGGCTCAATCGCATCGCTCTCCAGGCAACACCGTAACGAGGAGCAACCTGCCATTTGGATATATCCCAGCTGTGTTTGTGCCCTCACTCATGGTCCAGACTTTTTTCAAATAGGACATGAAGTTTGTCTGCAGCGAGTGTTTTGGTAGAAACTGCGCCTCCCATTCATTATGATGGGAAATGACCACAGACAAGTGCGCACACCATCTTTGGACCTTGAGTGTGATGCGATCGGGAGGGGGAGGCGGTCACGCTGGGGGCGGCACGACGCGGCTCGGGCCCGACAGTGCCCCACCGGGGCCCTAGTTATTATTTTTCCTCCCCTTTGAACTGGAAAATGGCCCACTTCCCACTGGCGAAAACTCATGAAATTTGGCAGGACGACCGGGCCTGGTGAAAAATTTGATATTCTGAAGTCGCCCAAACAATACAATGCAAAATGGCTCCATAGCGCCCCCTAAGGTGAAAAATTCACCTGACGCCTGTACGCTTTGTCAAAATGACACAAAAATTGACACACACATGTATCTCAATAAGATCTACAAAAAAGTCAGTGCGGGCGTATCTGTCAAATGTACGGTTAAAGGGTTATTGCGCATTTTTTGCCGATCCGCACACATTGGAATTTCGCTAACTCCTCCGAAGGCTTTCGTTCCACCGGCACCACATTTGCTCAGGCCAATCTACACCCCATGGCCATTAAAAGTTATTCAAATCATGACGCTGCACCCCACGGTTTATGTTCTAGGGGGCGCCAAAGATAACCCTAAAATCCACATATTTCAAAGTCTTATAACTTTTTATTTTTGCCCTCACTGGCCTCCAAGTTTTCTAGGATGATGCAATGTCCAGCCATCAACACATTTGTGAAGGAATTTTTACTCCCCAAAAGAGCGCCCCCCCATGGCAGGAGAAAAAAGTCCATTTTTTCTTGTTCCATAAGGTGAAAATTCACACTATTGACTGTCACGCCTGTACGCTTTGTCAAAATTACACAAAAATTGACACACACATGTATCTCAATAAGATCTACAAAAAAGTCAGTGCGGGCGTATCTGTCAAATGTACGGTTAAAGGGTTATTGCGCATTTTTTGCCGATCCGCACACATTGGAATTTCGCTAACTCCTCCGAAGGCTTTCGTTCAACCGGCACCACATTTGCTCAGGCCAATCTACACCCCATGGCCATTAAAAGTTATTCAAATCATGACGCTACACCCCACGGTTTAGGTTCTAGGGGGCGCCAAAGATAACCCTAAAATCCACATATTTAAAAGTCTTATAACTTTTTATTTTTGTCCTCTCTGGCCTCCAAGTTTTCTAGGATGATGCAATGTCCAGCCATCAACACATTTGTGAAGGAATTTTTACTCCCTAAAAGAGCGCCCCCCCATGGCAGGAGAAAAAAGTCCATTTTTTCTTGTCCCATAAGGTGAAAATACACATTGTTGACTGTCATACCTGTATGCTTTGTCATATTGACACAAAATTTGACACACACATGTATCTCAATAAGATCTACGAAAAAGTCAATGCGCGCGTATCTGTAAAATGTACGGTTAAAGGGCTATTTTGCATTTTTTGCCGATTAGCACACATTGGAATGTGGCTAACTCCTCCTAAGGCTTTCGTCCCACTGACACCAAATTTGCTCAGGCCAATCTACACCCCATGGCCATTCAAAGTTTTAAAAATCATGACGCTGCACCCCACGGTTTACGTTCTAGGGGGCGCCAAAGATGACCCAAATATCCACATTCTTAAAAGAATCCACATCCCTTTCCCCCCCTCCCATCCCCCATCCCCCATGGCAGGAGAAACAGTCAAGTTTTTCCTGCCCATCACTCAATGGCTCAATCGCATCGCTCTCCCAGCAACACCGTAACGAGGAGCAACTTGCCGTTTGGATATATCCTAGCTGTGTTTGTGCCCTCACTCATGGTCCAGACTTTTTTCAAATAGGACATGTAGTTTGTCTGCAGCGAGTGTTTTGGTAGAAACTGCGCCTCCCATTCATTATAATGGGAAATGACCACAGACAAGTGCGCACACCATCTTTGGACCTTGAGTGTGACGCGATCGGGAGGGGGAGGCGGTCGCACTGGGGGCGGCGCAACGCGGCTCGGGCCCGCCAGTGCCCCAACGGGGCCCTAGTTATTATTTTTCCTCCCCTTTGAACTGGAAAATGGCCCACTTCCCACTGGCGAAAACTCATGAAATTTGGCAGGACGACCGGGCCTGGTGAAAAATTTGATATTCCGAAGTCGCCCAAACAAGAAAATGCAAAATGGCTCCATAGCGCCCCCTAAGGTGAAAATTCACACTATTGACTGTCACGCCTGTACGCTTTGTCAAAATGACACAAAAATTGACACACACATGTATCTCAATAAGATCTACAAAAAAGTCAGTGCGGGCGTATCTGTCAAATGTACGGTTAAAGGGTTATTTCGCATTTTTTGCCGATCCGCACACATTGGAATTTCGCTAACTCCTCCGAAGGCTTTCGTTCCACCGGCACCACATTTGCACAGGCCAATCTACACCCCATGGCCATTAAAAGTTATTCAAATCATGACGCTGCACCCCACGGTTTAGGTTCTAGGGGGCGCCAAAGATAACCCTAAGATCCACATATTTAAAAGTCTTATAACTTTTTATTTTTGCCCTCACTGGCCTCCAAGTTTTCTAGGATGATGCAATGTCCAGCCATCAACACATTTGTGAAGGAATTTTTACTCCCCAAAAGAGCGCCCCCCCATGGCAGGAGAAAAAAGTCCATTTTTTCTTGTCCCCTAAGGTGAAAATACACATTGTTGAGTGTAACACCTGTACGCTTTGGCAAAATGACACAAAAATTGACACACACATGTATCTCAATAAGATCTACGAAAAAGTCAATGCGCGCGTATCTGTCAAATGTACGGTTAAAGGGTTATTCCGCATTTTTTGCCGATCCGCACACATTGGAATTTCGCTAACTCCTCCGAAGGCTTTCGTTCCACCGGCACCACATTTGCTCAGGCCAATCTACACCCCATGGCCATTAAAAGTTATTCAAATCATGACGCTGCACCCCACGGTTTAGGTTCTAGGGGGCGCCAAAGATAACCCTAAAATCCACATATTTAAAAGTCTTATAACTTTTTATTTTTGTCCTCACTGGCCTCCAAGTTTTCTAGGATGATGCAATGTCCAGCCATCAACACATTTGTGAAGGAATTTTTACTCCCCAAAAGAGCGCCCCCCCATGGCAGGAGAAAAAAGTCAATTTTTTCTTGTCCCCTAAGGTGGAAATTCACACTATTGACTGTCACGCCTGTACGCTTTATCATATTGACACAAAATTTGACAATCACATGTATCTCAATAAGATCTACAAAAAAGTCAATGCGCGCGTATCTGTCAAATGTACGGTTAAAGGGCTATTTTGCATTTTTTGCCGATTCGCACACATTGGAATGTGGCTAACTCCTCCTAAGGCTTTCGTCCCACTGACACCAAATTTGCTCAGGCCAATCTACACCCCATGGTCATTCAAAGTTGTAAAAATCATGACGCTGCACCCCACGGTTTACGTTCTAGGGGGCGCCAAAGATGACCCAAATATCCACATTCTTAAAAGAATCCACATCCCCCCCCCCCCCCCCCCATCCCCCAACCCCCATGGCAGGAGAAACAGTCAAGTTTTTCCTGCCCATCACTCAATGGCTCAATCGCATCACTCTCCTGGCAACACCGTAACAAGGAGCAACTTGCCGTTTGGATATATCCTAGCTGTGTTTGTGCCCTCACTCATGGTCCAGACTTTTTTCAAATAGGACATGTAGTTTGTCTGCAGCGAGTGTTTTGGTAGAAACTGCGCCTCCCATTCATTATAATGGGAAATGACCACAGACAAGTGCGCACACCATCTTTGGACCTTGAGTGTGACGCGATCGGGAGGGGGAGGCGGTCGCGCTGGGGGCGGCGCAACGCGGCTCGGGCCCGACAGTGCCCCACCGGGGCCCTAGTGGTTTTTAGTATCCATTGAGAAGCGTGGATTGTTTTCAAACTGACCAAAAAATGGGGCATTAGTGTGATGCATATAGAATGAAGACATCAGCGCTGGTGTCTGTCCCACAGTTTGTTTGTACCAGTAAAAAAACCACATTGCTGCTTTCTCTTGACAGACACATTTTAAAGTGACATTTTCTCCAACATTAACTGACCTAAACTGTACTGATGGAGGGTTTAAGGTTAACATTCGAGCTGAGGAGAAAATAAACACAAAATTACACAGAATTATATTGAATAAAGCACAAATACATAAAAACACAACATGATTATGGTTATTGTTCCATAGATAGATACTTTATTGATCCCATAGGGAAATTAAAAAACAACTTAACTTAACAACAACTCATCAACTTACCTGCATTTGCCATGAATAGGAATGTGACATACAGAGCAAAAGCTGAAGGCGTCATCATGGTTCGATTGTGCTGATGACTGACGAGGATCTCTGCAGAGTCTTCACCCTTCACAGAGAAGACTTGGTTTGATCAGCCAATCAGGTTGGCTGTCTTTTTTTGGAAATCATGTTCACATGATCATTAACCCATGCCTTAGGTTAGTGAACATGCTAGTACTTGCAAATACACAAATAAAAAACAATACCATCCACCTTTATAACTGCAGCAATTGTAACTCTATTGTGACTCTGGCTGTGTCTTTGTTATTTTTCATAGAATGCACTCATCAGTTTCACTTCCAACCCCCCACACTGTTGCATCCATGCTAACACCTGTGGGTGTGTCGATTTTTAGAAGAGGTGTGATTGAGCTCAAAAGTGGTGTGTTTCTATTTTGAGGAAGCAGCAAGCGTTTACACTTTAGACCCGCAGAAACTTGGTCTAAAGATTGAGGTCAATGGTGCAGTGACTTCCTGATATTTAGAGGGTGCAATTGTGAGAGTAAGAAAGGCATTGGAGTTGACAATGTGCTTCAAACACAAAGAGAGACACAGCCGTGCTCCCATTAATAATAAAATATAACTGTGGCAGGTAACATAGTGCTATTCAGCTCTTGAACACTAAAGTCTTTGGGGAAGCATTAGTGGTGGGCAAAACCGTTCATTTCAGTGAACCGGATCATTCCGGGTCGTTAAGTAAAAAGACCCGTTCATTTCGGTCCTTTCGGTCAATCGGTCGTTATTCAGTCCGCTCATTCATGTTGTTCACGTTCGTTCAGACGCTGAACGAAAGTGATGAGCGAACGGACTGACTGCACTTCAGACTCAACAGTGCACATGTGATCTTGAAATCTGAAGCATTACACCCCTCCGGATCCGACGTTGCGAGCGTCTCAGCTCCCCGGTTCGACGTTACAACCCCCCCGCGGTCCGACGCTTTGACCGCTGCACTCCCCACTTCCCACCCCCGGTCAAATGCTGCACTCCTTGTAATATAAAATTATAGTAGGAATAACAAAATATATAAGGTTTTTAATGGTTTTTATTATTTTGAGGTGCATTAAAAACAATAATAAAAAGTACAAAATGTCAACAGACAGTGCAAATGCGTATTAATAGTTGTCTCTCTGCCTCTGGCTGCAGCAGCAGCTGTGTGCCTTTGCGTGTGTATGACTGTCCCGCTTGCTCGGGCTCAGCTGTCGGCTCTTGTGGCGACCAGTCAACTCGGTCTTTTAGTCAACTCGTTCATCGGTCTGGATCTTACGTTCACTCGGTCTTTCAGTCAACTGGTTCATCGGTCTGGGTCTTTCGTTCAACTCGGTCTTTCGTTCATTCATTTCGTTCATTCTTTCAGTCAACTCGGTCATCCCGGTCTTTCAGTCAGCTCAGTAGTACTGCTGCTGCTTCTCTAAGCCCCACCCACACACAGAACGAGGCGCGACGATAGGATAAGACAGACAAGCATGGAGATAGTCCCTCAAATAGAGATAGCCAATCAAAAGAACTGAACGGTCATTTAGGGGGGGTGACCTGGTTCATTTCGTTCACCAAAAAGAACTAGTTCTTTTGATCCGTTCATTCAAGACCAACACACCACTAGGAAGCATGATGAAGTCTTACATTAAATAAGCTTCCTTACAAGCATTGCAATCTATTACCACAAACTGCAAATACTTGTTCTGCAATCATCCTCTCTATTTCTCGGGGTCTGACCTGCAGAGCACGGCTCCAGGAGCGGGGCTTGTATTTGTGATGTAGAAAATCCCACTGTGTCTGAGCCTGCTGTTTGGGTCTGCCAGAGATTCACAGTGATTTGAATGCAGAAATGCAATTTTGCACTTAGTTTTCTAATGATGTGACCTGTAGCATTAGAAAAAATGACATAAGAATATGCAGACAGGTCTTTAAAATAACTGTTGGGGACATTGACCATGGTGGTCCCAGATATTATACTTCCATTACACTCAATAAGTGTCGGTGTGAACTCATGTAACCTGGCTGCTAAAAACAGTAAATAAAGACCAACAGACCACTGCTGGCTTGAGCTTGGTGTTTCTTAAGTAAAAAGACTATCATCTGATTTGGTAATAGCAATGTGCCTGTCTGGAGACAAGAGGGATGCGGTGGTAACTGCAAAAATGAAGCAGTGGTTCAAAGTGAGCTCAAGGTTGAGGAATACTGCAATCACTGAGATGTAGTAAGGTGTCAAAACGACTCCTTAAATGTATATTATCTGACCTCAGACTGGACTTTTAAATTATGTTGTGTCCAAACAGTGTTTATGTCCCAGAATCACACATCTGACGACACTGATGAGGCTCTCTCTGTCTTAAAAAAGAATACCAGCACCTTTTTATTTCAATTAGATGATTACATTTGCTTCAAGTTTAGCCTAAACAGTATGACTTTATTATTTTGCTGCACAGATAGAAATTGATATCATAGGAAAATATTGTCAGACACACCCTGCTTCACCTCACATATGTTTTTGACCCTGACTTGTTCAAATAGTCAAGGAGAGAAAACAAGACAAGGAAACACTTCATAAAATGTTTAATATTATTCAGAACATTTTGCAGATAAAACAGGCCTTTACAGGAAAGTTGCTTTTCTTCATTAGGATACAATTATAATGAGTCTGATCACATAAAAAAGTTTCACACTGACACTTTCATGTCCCCAGATAAGTACCATGAAAAGGGGGTTAAGGACTCTGATACAACTTCACTTTCTTCAATGGTTCATGGAGAAGGACAAGGAGTCTAAAAAGGTAAAAACTACATCACCACTTGTGACAAAAGCACAATTTGATTCTTTGACCAACATGTTTAGGCAGTGGACTTTATCAGGGCTATTACAAAACATACAAAAGGCAAATGACAATTATACAGGGAAGGCTTAGATAAGAAATAGAGAAGATTATGCAGATGAATTTAAGCCAAGAATGATATACAATATTTACAAGTAATGGTTAAAATCTGCTGTTTAATGAAGATATGTGTGGCATGTATCGAGATCGATGAAAGTCTGAAAGAGTTGATGAAAGTCAGGTTACACCCAAATCATACCAAATGCTTATTTAAGGGTTAAACAGGTTCACTATATTTTTTTAATTAGTGAACCCAAACTGACAGAGACATACACAGACTGTCCATGTGTTTTTACTCGATGATGGAGAGAGACGTTTATGTTTTAAGCTCCAGGCATTCACTTTTTTGTTAGATTTATTTTCTATCTTTGCAAGACTTTAGCCCACAGTAACCTCAAACATCTGATATTGGAGATGTGTGTGTGTGTGTATATGATGTTGACACTGAGCACAGGGTGGAAATAAAGCACCTACATCATATCAAAGAAACCTGGTTTGGCTTGAGCTGCAGCAATGTGGGGCCCTGCAGGGTAAAACAAGTATATCATTTGTAGCAAAACCTCAACAAACCCAGTTTACTGCCTGACAGAGAAGTACACACATTCACTCCAGGTGTTGTCTCTCTGCGTTGCTGATTTGTTGCCTGCCTCTGAGTGACCCTGAAAAGTTATTCAAATACAGAAGACTTAAACATTCAATATGACAAAGCATTAGGGCCACTTTCAAGATTTTTTTTTTAAGATCTCAAGTTGTATTAGAATGAAGTAAAAAAAAAATCAAGTCATATCGCGATGAGATTGAAGTCTCGGCATGGTCAAATGGGTATGAGAATGAGGTCTATGTAAAGCCATTATATCACTGGAATAAGTCTGAATTAAATTATCATATTGCTATGATTAAGGTGCAACGTTATAAAAACAAAGTGGTTTCATGAAAAAGATAAAAGCCATATTATTATGAGAATGAAGTCATAATTAGGTCGTAGTGATATGATAAGCCATAAGCCTTTGTATTGCTACGTTACAGTTGTGTCTAAATTGACTGAAGTCTTACTGTTATAAGAATAAAGTTGCTGTTAAATTATGATGTTACAGAAATAAAGTTTAAAGATTTGAGTAAAAATGAGAATCAAAACATTTTAAAACCAGATTAAAATCAGTGTTGTGAGATTAGATTTGTCATACTAAGAGAATAAAGTTGTTAAAGAGTCTTATGATAACAGGAAAGTTTGTTCTAAAATACATTGTTATAAGTGTAATAAGTTGAGTTGTTGTAAAGTAATTTTATTATGAGAATAAAGTCATACTTAAAAAGTGGTTAAAGTCACTTTTTTAAGAAAATGAAGCCCTTCAAAAGTCTTTTTATTACAAGAATACAGTAGTTATCTAACAAGATGAAGTCACACTGAGAATAGAGTTGTGATTAAGTCATGATATAAGGAGAGAAAGCCTACAGTAATTTCATTTTATTTCAAAACTAGAGTCATTAAATTCTGTGAATTGTGCGTGATAAAACTGTGGTTTTGGTTCACGGTGGTTAATCAGCTGTCTGTCCTAAAATGAGGAACGTGGAGCGTCTTGTTTATTACCTTGGCACATCACATTTTTATAACAAACAGGACCCTGAGTAGTTCTAATAATGTGAGATCTATGGTGTCCCCCTTCAAAGCAGCTGACTCAATGATGACCGTATTTTCAGAGCATAACAAGATCAGTCTTGTAACAGTTACACTCTAAATCGTCATGACAGATATGAATGGGTTTCAACATGTGTTTAGCCTACTTACCTCCACTTTGAGAATAGGGACAACTGAAGGTCTTACTTGAGTATCTGGTGTCAAAGGTTCAAAAACAGGAAAATTACTGTTCTTTTTAAAGACTAAAAACAAGCAGTAAAACTAGACCAGAAAGCATTACACCACAAGCCAATCAAGCGTAAAAATTAGGACTTCTGAGCTTTAAATAAAATGAAAACACGATCAAATATTACTAATGAAGTTCTATATGACTTACATTTAGATAGACATTTAGATTTATAATTGTTGGATTAACCTACCTGTACCCAGGCAGCTATCTGTACAGATATGTGTTGATGACACCAGGAGACCAAGCAGCATGATGGTCAATGCCAAAGCTCCGCTCAAGAAGTACACCAATGTGGGAGAGAACTGATCATCTGCAGAGGATGTTTCAAAATGTTTTAGCCTAGCCTTTTTTTTACAGTTCAGTTTTACAATAATTTTTAATAAATATCTAACTGATTACACTGATTATGACTGTCTAAAAGGAAGAGACTCACCTTTAAAGTCAAGCTGAGTCCCGTTTCCAAACAGTATCCGTCCACATGAAGCTACAGCGCAGTAGTTGATCCCAGCATGAGAAAGATTCAGGCTTTTCAAAGGCAAATTGAAGATGCAAGTCCTTGTTGATCCTGTGTCGGGTTTCTTCTCACATTGGTTATTCCTGCCTCTATTGGTGTAGATAAGTCCTGGTGAATGAGACTCTTCAGAGTTTTTGAACCAGAAAACACTGTGTTCTCCTGCACAGGTTCCAGGTTGGACTGTACAGTTCAGAGTCACTGAGTCTCCAGGCTGGACAGACTCAGATTCTGACTGATAGACCGCAGCTGGGATCTTCAAACCTGAGCCCTGTACATAGACTAAAATGCCCTCTGTAAAATTTAAGACAAACGTGTAGCTACTTGCGCAGTAGTAAGTCGCTGAGTCTGAAATGCGTAAATCAGAAATGATTAAGTGATTGTTGCTGTTTTCAGTGCTGAGTCTGAAGCGTGGATCATCCTTAAATCCATCCTGAAAAGTGATTTTTCTATCATACACATAGAATATAGAGATGGGCTTTGGTTTCTGACCCAGACTTTGTTTGTACCAGTAAAGCCATGCTGAATCACTTTTATAAAAACACTGCAGAGTCAAAGTGTCTCCAACTTCAGCGGACATAAACTGTTTCTCTTGACGAAGTGACATGGACAACTCCTGAGAGATCAGCTGGACTGAAGTAATAAAAGAGAAAACAGATTCACAGTCAGTTAAATCTAAACAATGTAATAAGGACAAAAAAGTCCCAAACTAAGTATAAAAAGTGGACCCATCAAAACCAAACTTACCTTTTTGCCCCAAGAACAAACACACCAGAGCGCAGAAAAACTGAGCAGCTGTCATGTTTGAATTCTTGTGTTGAATGAACAGATTCTGGATACTTTCTCCAGTCTTCAAATACAAGAGTGTGTTTGATTGGCCAGCATGATGTGACACTGTGTGTATGCAAGGAAACAAGGGCTGTGTGTCACTTTAGGGTCTGCATACAGTCGAGTGCATTCCTCTGAGGACTTAACTACCCTGGGTGAGGTACTTACCCTTTTGTAAACTGGGACGATCTACCCTTCAGAAGACTTCCTGGTTAAGTTGCACAGTGTCCCCACCCTTAGGCTCGCGTCACGACTGACTTGAAGAAAAGCCGCGAAGCGCAGCAGTTGTTTTTTAATTTTTAAACCCTTCATACACAAAACAAAAGACACAGACAAAAAAATACATACATACAAGCACACAGGATTTACTATATACAACAAAGTGACAACAAAAAAGAGGAAGGACTTTAAAGATCATTTCCACAAAATTCATCCAATGATTGTATGTTTTGTACGAAGGAGTATGAGGGCCACATTGAGCATTTTTTTTAAAGACTTTTAAGTACAGGGAGCTTTTTACAAGCTCCCTGTAGTAGCTTTGGCATGCAGTGCTAGTGTCATTATTTTACATCACACGCACTCATCAGTTTTACTCCCAGCATCCATCATATACATCATGTACATCATGCACTTGTGCTGGTACTTGTGACTGTGTTGGTCTGAAAAAGAGTTGTGGTAAGGCGCAGGGGTGACTTATTGCTATCTTGAAGAAGCAGGAAACGTGTGTACCTCTCTTGTCCAATCACAAACAGCCACCATCTCCTACTTAAAGTTGAGGGTGTCAGTCAGCACAGAGGCGACTGACTGCTGGGCTTCAGACATTATGCAAATTTACTTTTTTCTTCTTCTCCTCAGCGATATAGGTCTGTATTTCACCATCTTGTCATTATTTCTATACACTGTTAAATATATATATAATACGTTTTAAAGGAAGAGATAATACCTTGCCTGTTATCAATTCTTTTCTTTACAGCTGAGATCGCTGCAGTTACCCAGGACCATGGGCTCATAACAGCCAGAGTCGGGCAGAAAGTGACTTTTAACTGCACCTTTCAGGATGAAGCTGTAACTTATCTTTACTGGTACCAGCAACGCTTGGGAGGTAAACCTGAGATCATATCAAATCAGATGAAGCACAACCAAGACGCTTCTATGTCTCCAGGGTATAAAGAGAGGTTTCAAGTCAAAGCACAAAAAGGCACCACCAATCTCACAATCCGCGACCTTCTGCCCTCTGATTCAGCGTCGTATTACTGTGGGATTTTAGGATTCAACACAGTTGAACTTGGTGAGGGAGTCTTTCTTCATGTTAAAACGTCCCTGACAAACATCTCAGCTGTTGTCCACCAGCCAGCATTAGAGCCTCTCCAGGTGGGAGGCTCTTTAAATTTAAGCTGCACAGTTTTCGCTGAAGCATGTGCAGGAGAGCAGAGCTTCTACTGGTTCAGACATGGTGCTGCTCAGTCTGCTGTCATGTATCACAAAGAGGGACACTGTGAGACTGATCGGGAGTCCCACATGAAAAACTGTACCTTGAACCTCGCTATAAGGTCAATGAGCTCCTCTGATGCAGGGATGTACTACTGTGCTCTGGCTCACTGTGGGGAGATTGTGTTTGGAAATGGAACAAGCGTGGAGATTGGAGGTGACAGTCAATCAGGTATGCAACTGTTTTTTGTCCCTTTGGAACAATTTTCCTAATAACTGCTCAGACATTTTAAAATCTATTAATGCAACAACATAGAATAATGTTAGACTTGTTTTCATCTGACTGAATGTTAGGAGGTTTTCTCCGCATCCTGGTGTCTTGCCTGGGCGTATCATTGACAGTTTCCATCATGGTGCTATTCATCTGGACTTACATTATGTCCCTGTGGAAAAATGTGTGCTCCACCTGCAAAGGTAACTTATTTTTAATCAAATTGTTGAAAGGAGATCAGAGCTGACTTAATGGTAACACTTTACTTGACACTTACCTCTATAACCCATTATAAATATATGTATAATGCTTTTTAATCACGTGATAGCATCACATAACTATAGTTATAAACACTCATAAATGATCCTAATACTTTATCGCAATAATCACAACACCTTATAAAGCATTTTATCATGACTTACAAGGTCAGGTATTATGTCAGGTATTGTAAAGTGTTATGCATATTGTTATAAAGCCTTATGATAATTAAGGAGTGTTTATAATGATAGTTATACAAGTTTATAAGCAAATTATAACACATCATAAATAAACGTATAATGCATTATCTATGTGGGCATTGTCAGTGGGTTGTTAACAATTACAACACATTTATGATACCTGACCTTGTAAGTCATGATAAAAGCTTTATAATGTGTTATGATTATTGCTATAAAGCATTATGATCATTTATGAGTGTTTATAACTGTAGTTATACAGAGCTATAACGTGATTATAATGCATTATACATAAACCTATAATATATTATAGAGATAGGCGTCAAGTAAAGTGTTGCCAACTTAACATAATCTGTCATGCTCTTCTATTTGCAGGAACTGTTTCTCATCTGGGGGGTTCTGAAATAGCTGACATTGTGGTAGGTTAAATAACTGTAGAAGTAAAAAAGCTAATCAAAGAAGAACCAGCAGTTCACTGTTAGTTTACTCTGTCATTACCAGAGCCTGGATGCAGACATTCTCCATTTAGCAAGTGATGGAAGACTCCACCAAGAGACAAGTCCAAGGAGTGTCTGCGTCTACACCACGGCTAAGAGGAAAAGAGAGTGAAGTTATACTTAGCCTTAAAATGCTTCTTTTAATAAGTTAATAACTTGTCTTATCTCTTACACTTGTCTGTGTAAAAAAACAAAATAGTTTGAGGAAAATAGAATATATATGTAAAAATATATATATATATATATGTGTGTGTGTGTGTGTGTGTGTGTGTGTGTTTGTGTGTGCGTGTGTGTGTGTGTATACATACATATGTGTGTGTATATTTATATATATATATATATATATATATGTGTGTGTGTGTGTGTTTTACACGATTGCTTCTTCTATTAAAACTTATTATGTTTCATTGTACTTGATTTTATTTTTAACAAGAGACAAAAATCTTTTTCTGACTGCTATGAAAGACAGAGGCTCTTGCTGCCACACCGGAAGGGAGTCAGCAGACATCAGAAAAACCTTGTCTCAGTTTCTGAAATCTGGATACTGTATGATGTTTAAATGTGCAAAAAATAAACCAAATTCTTAAGACTATGTTAACACATCACCATAACAGCCGCATGTCCTTATTGCATTGTCATTATTAAATGAATAGAATTACAGCCTATGAATGATAGATGCTAATCAAGCAATAATTTTGACTATCAACACACAAGACAGAAAAGATGACAAATATAAAACTTGTCTGTGCAAACGTTACACACGTGTGTCACTTCACTGTATGCTGCCTCCAGTCTCTCTTTAACCATTAACTGCTGCCTCAAGTTGAAGGATCAGTTAACAGCATCTTGCTCAGAAAATCCTGCTGTCATGACCTCAGTCACCAAGACCGCAGCCTAAGTACCTTTACAATCCTATGACCCCTGACCCCTATCACAGTGTCACAGATGTTTTGACACTGTGGTACTTAAATAAATGTTTTATACCATATTTTGAATTACTTCAGACCTTTTGTGCATTTAATTTTGTCTTGTTACATTTTTTCCATTATTCCAATTTTGGGGGGCATGGTAGCAGTTTAACTGACTTTCAGCCATTTATGGCCATGATGTGCTGTTTATATTTTATTGCTTTTATTACACAGTAGGTTGTGTCATTTTCATGTATGAAACATAAGCTTTTCGCTAAATTTACAGTATATATTTCATTGTGCTGGGTGCAAATCATTTGAGTTGAGACGTTTTCTTCAAGAAATTTGCTACATTTCATAATCTGAATTCACTTATGCCAGGCATGTCCAAAGTCCGGCCCGGGGGCCAATCACGGCCCGCGGTCAGATTTCATACGGCCCGCAGCTTCAGTCTTACTCACTTCCTGGAACCACCACTTGCACAGTAGCATTGTATGCATGCAGCAGGAGAGTCACTGAGATGACGCTCAGCTCAAAGAGCATATCTCCAGAGTGACTTGTGCAATTTTTACACCCATAGGCTGTATCAAGTGTCAATCATAGAAAACATGAACCCCCCAATGACTTTAAAAAATAGAGCTGCACAGAAAAAAAGAGGACTTGAGCACAAACCAGTGTTACAATAACTACATGTCAACATCACAAGCAGATAAACATTTATTCTGTGTAATTAATTTCTAAAGTTTGTCCACAACTCCCTAAGGATTGCTGAAGGAGGTGGGATTTATGACCTATACTGCAGCCCATCAACAGAGGGTGCTGTTCTCGCGGTGACTTCACCCAGCGAGGAGGCAGACAGTGTCCATTCTACAGTCTATGGGTGTACCTCTTCCCATCTTTACTAAGATACCGTGAAGTGTCCTTCTTATATTCAGTCATGTTACTGACCTGTTGTAAATCAAACTAATTTCTCCAGGTGGTTTTTGGTTTTCAACAACATTTTAAATGCTTTGTTGTTCTTTACCATTTTATTGGAAATGCATTCCTTGCATCTTTTATTTTTCAATAAAACAATATGTTTTTCAGTTTTAACACTAGTTATGTTGTCTTTGCATCATGTTCAATTACATATGAAATTAAAATGAATTGCAAACTGTCAAATATATTATATAATATTTATAAAATAATATTTAATTCGTCTCCCCTCTTTTTCTCTCTTCCTCTTCTTTCTTGTGCAGCTCAACCCAAACACTTCTCTGTGTCTTGTCCCCATCCTGCTGCTGCTGCGGCAGCAAGGCTGAGCAGATAGTTTGTTTAAGTGATCAGATGAACTTAAAATTACTTACAGATTACTTAAAAAATTGAGAAAATTTTCATTCAAAATAACCAGTTTTTCTGATGTTTTCTTTGAATATTCAATCAGGAGTTAGGCTTTATACAAATATTATAATATTCAGTTGCATGAGCCAAATTCATTTTATATTCCATCAATGAAAGAAAGAGCCAGGCCACAGAGCACGAGGGGCAGCCTCCTGCCGCCATCATATGACGTTGCCGTCTTTAGCCATCTCTTGAGCTCTTTGACTACTTGACGAAAATTATAATATGCCTCGCCGGTGGTGGATTTTAAGGTGAGGAGAGGCGCTGATGTGATCGGTGAAAACAGGACTCTGCTGTGTTAAACCCCTAACTCAGCTAAGAGGAGCTGAGTTAAGGAGGGGGGATACTTAAGCCGGGCTGTGCCGCTCACCAAAATACCAAAGTGTGCTTAGGAACACCTCGTCGGCACAGGGGACCTCACGAACACCGCGCCTGCACCATGCTGCCGACAGAACACGAAAATAGAGCCCCACTTGTGTGTCACTCCACTGTATGCTGCCTCCAGTCTCCCCTCAACCACTAACTGCTGCCTCAAGTTGAAGGATCAGTTAACAGCCTCTTGCTCAGAAAATCGTGCTGTCGTGACCTCAGTTACCAAGATCGCAGCCTAAGTACCTGTACAATCCTATGACCCCTGACCCCTCTTTTGACCCATGTTGGATCTCAGCTCTAGATTCTAGTTTATTTTTCTTTGGATGATTTTGTGACATTGCAGATGCTTGTACTGTAGTGTAGGTGCAGACCTCCTGACCTCTCCATGACCTCTGTTGCACATATGCACCTTATTTGATCATTCCCACCTGGTTTTACTCTGTTGGTGTTTCTAGATTCCTGATCTGCAAGAACCTTTACACGTGTGACAGTTATTTAGGTCCCCTTTGAATGTTGTTGTTTTGGCACATTACAAGTCAACCCAGAGACAAGCAAGTTGAAACAAGCTAAAATGCAGCATGTTGCTTCTTTCAGTAATGGTAGCATGCTTCTGACAATAGCTTGGTTCTTGCTCAGTGCCTGAAACTGGGACAGGGACAGCAGTTCAGTTAAATCGCCCACTTAAGCTTGAACTGTAGCTTGACTGAACTGTGCATGTACCAACTTATATCTTTGTGCAGTTTAGGTCACTTTAAGATACATCAGTTATCCTACTTAGTTAATGACCTTTGAGGGAGTTTGTATTGCAGTCAAATATCAAATCAGGTCAGTTATAACCTAAACAGGAAGGGTTAAATGAGGTTCTCGCTCACAGGTTTTTTTCTTTCAATCTGCAGCCAGTAACCTCTCTGCCTCGTGGTGAAGGAGGCGTGAACTGCACCATGAAAGTTTCCATCAATAGGTACAGGAAGACTGGGCTGTAGCTCTGAGGCCACAACAACTGACACCACTGCAAACCTGCTCTCACAGAAAGGCATAAAAAAAACCACCATGCCTCAAACAGAGAACAAGGACCAGTAAAACCACACTCTACCTTTCCCTCTTCAGAGTAGATGTTGTGTATATTAGTATGATGCATCCCATACCACACTGTGCATGAATTACAACAGCAAAGATGTAGTGGAAGAATCTGGAAGCTAAACTGGCCCACCTGCAGTCCTCTCTTTTACTCACTGAAAATATTTGACAAGTCATGAAAGAAATACATACGACACAGAACCTTGACTGGAGAGGTGTTTTGCTTTTGGAGCAATAATGAACACATTTGTAAATATGTGAATGCACAAAGGTGCAAAGATGGTAAAAGCAGAGGTGCATGTGAAACTGTTGAAGTAGAGAAACACTGTCGTAAACAAAACCACATAGACAGCTTTTCAGATGAGGGAGAGGACTAAACCACTTCTGATGAACTTGACGTGAGTAAACTTGACCAGAAACTTTTTTTTCTCTCTCAGAAGACGTCAAAACAGACTTCTGTCTTCATCAGGGGCTGGAAAAAGCAACTTATGCAAATTATTCAAGCTTATCTAACAGCCTCAAACTTTATCTCTCTGTGTTGATAGAATGTGATGTTTAATTTGTGAAAGCCAATGTGTCAGTTGAAAAAAAATGATGATATAAAACCTGGGTGCTGAAACCTCTTCATGTCGAGTGTGCTCTAAGGTTCTGAAAAAGAAACAGAGAAACAAGATTACTATCTTTGTGACCTGTGTTACCTCTGACCACATTAAACTGTGGGCTGAACAAATGCAGCACACTTCACAAAGTCTTACTGATGAGAGTTTTTCAGATTCAGGTTGGGTTTACCTCTCTGACCAGATTCAGCTCAGTTAACATGTGCTCAGGATCATACAAAAGCAGTGGATGATTTCAGCAGTAGATGGACTGCTGCCCCCTTAAGACTATGAGCCAAACTGCAGACACTGAACTGAAAGGACAGGCCTGGAAGTTAATTTAAAGCAGTGGTTCTCAAGTCCAGTCCTCGAGGCCCACTGTCCTGCATGTTTTGGTTGTTTCCCTGCTCCAACACACCTGATTCAAATGATTCGCTCGTCATTAAGCCATTACAGAGCTTGATAATGAGCTGATCATTTGAATCAGGTGTGTTGGAGGAGGGAAACATCCAAAACATGCAGGACAGTGGGCCCTGAGGACTGGACTTGAGAAGCACTGATTTAAAGGGACAGCACACCTGGTTTACCAATGTTAAATTTCACTGTGCTAAACAGCTGTAGTGATGTAAGCGTAGTTGAAGATTTCCTCTGATTCTTCAAATCTTTTGAAATTTTATGTTAAAATCTCCCAGTTCCTTACTTTTTTTTCTGTGGAGAACAAAATTCTGCAGTTATTGAACTTTTGGCTCATTCACTCTCTCACAAAGAGGTGCACCCACAGACTGTATATACTATGGACAACTTGGCTCAGCCTTTCGTCATTATACGAATTTGAAGCTAAATTGCTCTCTTATTTCTGGGGTGTTCTCCACTTCCTGGAACCACCACTTGCACAGTAGCATTGTACGCATGCAGCGGGAGAGTCACTGAGATGACGCTCAGCTCAAAGAGCATATCTCCAGAGTGAGTTATGCAATTTTCGTACACCCATAGGCTGTATCAAGTGTCAATCATAGAAAACATGAACCTCCCAATGACTTTTAAAAATGGAGCTGCACAGAAAAAAAGAGGACTTGAGCACAAACCAGTTTTACAATAACTACATGTCAACATCACAAGCAGATAAACATTTATTCTGTGTAATTAATTTCTAAAGTTTGTCCACAGCTCCCTAAGGATTGCTGAAGGAGGTGGGATTTATGACTTATACTGCAGCCCATCAACAGAGGGTGCTGTTCTCGCGGTGACTTCACCCAGCGAGGAGGCAGACAGTGTCCATTCTACAGTCTATGGGTGTACCTCTTCCCATCTTTACTTCTAAGATACCGTGAAGTGTCCTTCTTATATTCAGTCATGTTACTGACCTGCTGTAAATCAAACTAATTTCTCCAGGTGGTTTTTGGTTTTAAACAACATTTTAAATGCTTTGTTGTTCTTTACCATTTTATTGGAAATGCATTCCTTGCATCTTGTATTTTTCAATAAAACAATATGTTTTTCAGTTTTAATACCGGTTATGTTGTCTTTGCATCATGTTCAATTAAATATGGAGTTAAACTGAATTGCAAACTGTCAAATCTTATTTTAAATCTACATTTTTCTCAGCATCCTCATGAAACTTCATTTTTTAGGTGTGCTTTAAAAGAAAAAAGATCTCTTATAATTGAGCTAGGTTGGCATATTCCCTTTCTGAATCATATTTAACTGAATCCTTACCTTAACCGAAATGTAGTCATTATCTCAACATAATTAGAGTCCTTTGCGGCCCTATATTAAGTACTTTGATTGCCATAACTCCAGACTCTAGACAAATTAAAGACACTGCAACTATTCACCCCAACTTAAACACTGAAGCTTTCACCACAGTACATCATTCTTGTTTTTTATTCACTGTAAATGGGTGAACCTAGCCAAAAAGTTACTTTTAAGCTGCCCTGAAGTCTCAAACCTGCCTCGAAGTAAACTGAACCTCCTTAAAACTGCATAACAAGTGAATAAAATGTATTACACCACCTCTTACTTCCTTTGTGAGAATTGAGACACCAAATGTCGCCAATCATCTGGGTCGAGTGCAGACATTTCCTAACCAGTGGTGCGAGTTTTGCTTTTGACCCCCTTTAGAAGAGCATCATTGAGGTCTGAAGACCACAGAGACCAGGATGCTCAGCTTTCACCTGCTCTTGATTCTCCTCTATAGAGCCTGTAAGTCGTCTTTCCATGTCAAAATTAAGTCATGTGTGTTATGTCTTAACTTCACAGCCTGATTAATCTGTGTTTTTAGATGGTGCTCTCCTGTATGCCAACCGTGGTGACAATGTGGTTTTGCAGTGTTTCCTCACCTCCAATGCCAAGTATCTGTCCTGGTACAAACAGGTTGCAGGGGGGCAACCCCAGTTAATCTCCTCTTTCTACAAACACTTACCTGATGCCATCCACTTCCACAACCAGTTTAATGATGGCAACCGTTTCTCCGCTCTAACTGGAGAAGGAGTCTATCATCTAATTATTTCTGATGTGAAGGACTCTGATTCAGCCTTGTATTACTGTGGACAAACCAGCATAACAATCACTGAATTTCAAGAGGGGATACATTTAATTCTAAAAGGTATTTGCATGAGTTTTACAGTGCCGATGATCTATATGTTTTTGTTTTTTTTTTTTCTGTGAAATAATTTTCCAAAATGTCTATTTTTCAGGGTCTGGTAGCTTTTCTTACATTGTGCAGTCAGCATCTGACCCTGTAAAACCAGGGGACTCTGTGACTCTGAGCTGTGCTGTCCAAACCAAGGCATGTGATGGAGAACACAGTGTTTACTGGTTCAAAAACTCAGAGGGACTTTATCCAGGACTTATCTTCACCCAAGGAGGCACGAGCAATCAGTGTGAGAGGGAGCCACTCTCACAAACACACACCTGTGTCCACAACCTACCATTAGAGAGCCTGAATCGTTCACATGCTGGAGACTATTACTGCGCTGTTGCTTCATGTGGACACATACTGTTTGGAAACGGGACCAAGCTCGAAATTAAATGTAAGTTACTCTTTTGCCCTGAGGATCACACTAAAGATATGCAAAATCATGCTAAAAGTTTTATTCCTGATGTCCAACTCTCAGCAGATGACATGACCTTCATAGGAGGAGTTGTTACATCCTCCACCATCCTTGCTGTTTTGCTGGCAGTAGTGTGTATAATCAAAAATATAAACACATGTCGATCTACAGGTAATTTGTGCTGTTTGTGTTTTTCTGTACAGTTTGTATTTATCGAACAATTTCCCCTGAAATATAGCTCTTTTTTTTCTACCATTAGAGTCTCGAGCAACTTTTTCAGCTCCATCAGCAACACATGCAGAGGTAAATAATGAAGTTCACCATTTGGACGAACATTAACAGGTTTCTTCTGGGATTAAAATGACATGTCATGTAATTTGTTCCCCAGATTTACCAAAACCCACACACCCTCTATTATCCTGTTTGTATCAGCCTGAGCGACAAGTTGGGACAACAGAAGGATCAAACCTGGAGTGAATGTGTGTACTTCAGTGTGAACTGGGAGAAACAGTGACACTTAATTTACATTTGAATATCTGTGTCTGCAGTGTTGTATTCGGTTAATTTTTAGAGCATTCATGATATTTAAGCTTTTAGAGCTCAATTTGAATGGCTTTATTACAACTTTATCTTGTCAGAAATATTCCAGCAGTTATCATGTTAATGGCTTTACATCAAAGACTTGTCTTATTTTTATATTTTATTTACATCAACCTCGTAGTTTCTTATTAGTTTTACAGTAAAACCTTTTCAACGTATTAATAATGTGCTTTAATGCCTTATAAGTGGTGAGCTTGTATAAAGTGGTACTGATAAGTTTTATGTAAATGCTTTTCTTTGAAAAAAATATTTTACCAGAAATTAATTAAATTAATGGCTGCATTAAACACTGAGAACTCTGTGTGTGCATGTGGTTAATGTAAGTTAATCTAAACTTTTTTCTTGCATGACTCCGGTTTCTTTTGTGCATCAAGAGTGTTATATTACCCTTTTCATCGAGCAAGTGGCCAGCAATTTATTATTTTTTTTGTAACTTACTAGGATTGGAAAAATTTAGGGTTGAATTTATATGCTGAAGAAATGTCATGTAGCATTTCTGGTGGGTTCCCTAAATATGGGAAATTAAAAAAACAACATCAATAATGTATTTAATGGATTTTACACCAAACTTGGTGTAATAATAGAAACCCATTTAGTTATATAAACTCCATCACTATTCATATTCTTTCTGGTCATGTTTTAGAGTAAAATATTCATCTAATATCAATCAAACCACCGTCTTCAACTACAGCTACTTCAAAATGTTGAAACGCTGTGATGAACCTGAATAGAACCAAAATGATAGCCTGACGTAAAATAACATAGCTCCACATGTAATTAAAAAAAGGCTTAGAGGATGCATATTGAAGACTAAAACTGAATTGTTGAAATGATCTCCTTATGTTGATTGGATGACAGTAACATATCAAAAATGGAATGAGGTCATCCCACCACACTGTTTCATCACCACTTCCTTTAACAACTCTGAGGTGAAAACTGAGGGGACCAATAAACTTATATGGTGGATTGCTCCATCATTGATATAACATTTCTATTGATCAACATTTATTAGTTTCTTTTCTTTAATTTAAGGTTTCACATAGACCAAAGACAGGCCAGATTAAGACAGAGGCTCTTTAACTGAGCCATACTTCGTGCTTAGACTGGTTTGGTATTTTCTTGCTGAAATATACAGCATCATTGTACATCAGACAGCATACGTTGCAACAAAACCCATATACAGTGTAACATTTAGCGCTAAAGGTGGTTGTACAAATATGCAGGTTACCTATCATGCATGTGCTCTGATGCACCCCTGTATCATCACAGAGAGTGGCCAGGAACAAGCTCTTCTCAGGTCTTCTTCCCCCATGTTTACATTTGTGCAGATGCAACAGCTTGCTGCATCTGATGTCATTGTTATTGTTCTTTGGCATATGCAGGCAGTTACAAGTCGCAAAAAGTTCACATTGGAATCTGATACAGGTCATATAATAGATGATAGTGTGAATAGCCAAACAAAAAATCTGATCTGAGCAAAAAATTGGAATTGAGCTTTAAGTCTGAGCTGCAGTTCAGAGAATCCCCCAGCTACTCTGAATCCTCAATTTGTTGCTATAATGAACATAATTCTTAATTTGCTCCACTATTTGCAAGCTCAGCCTCTCACAGATTTAGCAAAAAAAAAATTACTATCTTCAGACTCCACCTCTCTGGGATGTTCTTTTAAGGATGCCACTAAACTGTTGCCAGGTAACCGGATTAACTATAAAATGTACCACCAGGCATTTTCTTTAGCATTTCACTGTGTTTCCATGTCCTATCTTTTATTAAATGTGTTGCTAACATCAAAATATTGCTGCCTTTCTTAAATTTGTTCACAACCATGATTTTGTAAACAGGGTTGTAGCTTACCTTGACCAAAATGTGCTTGTTGCAATTACAAACCACTGTCCTTTCTTGACCTTGAATCAAGTCTTCTGTTGCCCTTACTATCTAGTTGCAAAAGTGGGCACACTGTGGTTTGAGTTCAATGCTTGCCATGCACCACATCCCTCCAATGTTACATTTCGGTGTCTCCATCACAGCACAGAAATATAGAATGGAGTACGAAGACAGGTTCAGTGCAAATCCAGTCGAATGATGTTTTAAGTACCCTGACCTCACAAAAATAAAATTATATCCATAAGTTGGCAGAGTACCCCTTTCTATACAGACTTAAGATGAAACACTGGAAAAACTGCAAAATAGCAGATATAAATAAAATAACTGTCACCATCTTTCACTCCCTTTCATGCTAGAATTGACACAAAAAGTGGCCCCTCACCGGGGCAGATTGAGACATAGTTCTGCTGATGGTTACTAAACGCTTCATACCAGTCTGAACACCTCAGAGTGAGGGATGCTCGAGTTTTAACCACTCATGACTCTTCTCTACAGATCCTGTAATTCATGACTGAGTTTTGAATGTTTTTTGTTTATTTGTGAATCCAAAGCCTGAGTGGAGATATTTGAGTGTCTTTCAAATGATGCTCATATTTAGTGGTCTTTATCTCTCTCCCTGTGTTTCAGACGGTATTCTGCTGTATGTGACCATGGACAAAATGTGACTCTACTCAGTTTCTCTGCTTGAGAATCCTCACATTTCAGCTGGTAGAATCAGGTTACAGGGAAGCAGCCCCAAATAGTTTCCACTTCCACAGATTTTCATCCAATCTTAAAATGAAGACCTCTTTCCTGTTCAAACTGGTGAAAGAGTCTAATACCTGATGTTTTTGAATGCTGAGGACTGTGGTTCAGCCTGGTATCTCTGTGGATACATCACTTCAACAGTCACTACATACGACGAGGAAATAAATATTTGGTTTATAAGGGCAGTTTTAATTGTTTAGTAAGATGGATGATTTACATACTAAATTAACTGTTCATCTCTTTAAAACCATTTTATAAATTCTGTGTTCGTCAGAGTCATTCTACCTGCAGCCAGCATCTGACTTGAGGAAGCTCAATGTGCTGTCCATATTTAGACTTGTGATAGAGAACACAGTGTTTGCTGGTTCCAGAGCTCAGAGGAACATTGTCTAGGACTTATCTGAACCTAAAGAGAAGGAAATAATTAATGTGAGAAGAATCCACGCTCACAAATACACACCTGTATCTATAACCTGCCATTGAAAAGCCTGAATCTTTTACATGCTTGCTCTTTTGACTGCCCTGTTGCTTCACGTGAACATATACTGTTTGGAAATGGGGTCAAGCTGGTGTTAAAAGGTAAGTTAGTGCTCTCACATGGTTACTCCATTTGATACCCATGTTTTCTTTCTTTTCCATGTAAATCTTTAACCAAACCATACTAAAACTTCTGATATCCAACTCTCATCAGATGAAATACATTTCTTAAGCGAAGCTTTGACATTGATCACCATCCTTGCTGTTTTGCTGGCTGCCTCATTGGGCATAGTGAAAAAGAGTAACAGCTGTTGATCGACAGGTAACTTGTGCTGTTTGAATTCTCTTAACACAAGTTTATCATGAATAATGGCCAAATCAGCTGTCTGAAATAATCTACTGTTGTCTGTTATATACCTCTGAACTAGTTAATTTCCTCCTCTTCCTGTGCTCCTCTCATTTGTAGAGTACCCCAGGGGTCTATCCTGGGCCTCTTCCTATTCTCATCAGGCATATCCTGCATAGGGATGGTATAGACTTTCACATATGACACTCTAGACTGTGTCTTACTAGAGCTTTGTACTACTGATCATATTATATCCTGTCTGGGTGAAATCAAGAATTGAATTTTCACAAGTTTTCCAAAGCTGAGTGACTCCAAATCCAAAGATTTTTCCATTACCTTCTCTCCCTCCACTTAAAGCTACAATAATAACCATTATTACATCTACTGTATGTAGTAATATTTATAATCTTATTAACAATATCTAATGATATTTGTGAGGAAGCCTGCAACCAAACTTACTAATAGCACTATACTTTTAATTTTAATTTTTTTGTGCTTTTAATGTAATATTATTGTGTGGTGTGTTTGATGTATATGATGTTGGATGTATATTTTACTGATTTTAATTCTGTATTAAAGCTTTATCGTGTTTTAATTCTCAATTCAAAGGGCTATGGCACTACTTGTAATCCAATGTCCAACACTTCAGACTCTAAAATTACCTCTTTTGTAAACAAGAACACCCCTGTGCATGCTGCAGTATATACAGTATGTATGTGTGCATGCATCTCCCTCTCTCTCTCTCTCTCGCTCTCTCTGTCTCTCTCTCTCGTTCTCTCTGTAGGGCTTGAAGCCTACAAAGAGTTACCCTACACTAATGTGGGATCTGGTTTCTCCTTCAGAGTCACACTGAAGGGATAAACTTAAATGTTGTTTCTGTAAAATGGTTTGTCTGGTCCACTTCCTGAACCCCCCTTTAGCCTGTTGACATTTTTTCCGCCTCTTTATTCATCCAGGGAAAAACAATGTAAATTATATCATCACACGTCTCATACTGAACTCCTTGAGACCAACAAGAAAGCTTATTTTGAAAAGCTGATTCCTGATGATCAAACTAATCTTCATGTGTGCATGAGTTCAACTCTTCATACAAAGCTTTCGGAGAGAGATGGAGAAGCTTCAAAACTGTTATCTTTGCATTTTTTTAAAAGATGTGAACACTTTTGTTACGTCTTCTCAGAGGATGCGGGTGGGCTTTGTTAAGTGGCGCATTTCACAGAAGAACTTGAGATAGACATCCTGTTTGAAACCACGGGGACGAAGACAAGGTGGGGTCTGGTATGTCTTTACTGTCACATTAAAAGAGGTCACAAGCAGCCTCCTACACTTCGAGTGTGTGGTGGCGTGTAGGACACAAAGCCTCCAGAGACATTTCAGACTTTGGCCTGATTTAGTACAAACTGCAGAGGTGTCGCAACAAATGTTTTACATGCCTTCAAAATAACCACAAAAGCACAGCACACCTTTTTCATTTAGTTTACAGCATTGTCAATATCTACTGAAGAAGCTGGATTTTTAAATAGCAGGGTTGAAAACTGTTTACGGGGACAATGTGAAGAAGGCAGTCCAGTTTTACTGCCTCAAACTAGAGTACACACATCCCCTATCAGGGTCCTCACTTTCTCTTCTTGATCTGTTGATCTGTGTCCGCAGATTACTCAAGGCAGCATAATGCAGGTTGTCTGTGTCTTGAGAAAGCTGGTGAAAGAAAAAACAGCACTTGGTACAAATGAACAGCCCAAGTTAACATAGTTTATTATTTAACCAATTTAGTACTTACTATTGTGCTTGGACTGGCATTTGCTGCTGGGACAGAGAAAATAAAAAGTTATTTATTTACCTGCAAATGCGCTTGATAGGCTGTTAAGTTATGGGGAGATAATCACCTGTGCACTGGCCCTTTTTCTTGATCATCTTGAACACTACGAAAGCCAATATTATGACCAGGATGACAGTAAATGCCAAAGCTGTGCCCAAGATATACACCAATACAAGCTGAACATCTGAAAACAGACAAGAAGATGAGCAATTCTTGCCACAATTTTGACAGTTTTTTTTTTTTTTATGTTGGTTCAAGAACATCATAACATAACATAACATAAAACAACAAAGCGTAACATAACATTACATAACATAATGTAAGATATTGGGAAGAATTTGGATGGTTAAAGGACAGTATCATTAGCATACAAGATGATGTTTATAGTTTTGCATTTAAAAGCTTCAGCTCAACTAACCAAACTCTTCTCTAAATCTTCACAGGTTGTGGAGAACAAACTGTGATCTTGTTACACTCCTGATGTTAAAAGATAATGTGAGCAAAAGTCAATAAAAATGCATAGTCAGACCTGTAGATTTCGTAACCATAGACATTCACCTGTTTGTTTGTGAAGCAGTTTTGAATACTATGGGTGGCAGTCATCATATTGATAATAGTGACTCAACCTAACCTTGGTTAACCAACCAGAGACCTACCTATAGTCAGTTAAGTAGACGTGCCTTTGATTTACCAATCTTGTGGCATTGGTAGCTGGGAAATGAACCTGTTGCAGAAAATTCCTGCTGTTGGTATTCAGACTGAAAGAAAATGCAATAAATATCTTTGTGTGTACCTGGTTTTGGTTGTGTCTGCAGCAAGCCTCAAATGGGGGGGCGTTTTTAGAACTTCTGCATCAGCTTCATTTCTCAACATTGGAGGTTGTTGCTAAGTTAATGCTGGCCATCTTTTGACAGATGGATGAGACAAAAAAAATAAATAAATAAATAAAATACTAAATGCTGAAGATAATTTGCATAATAGTTAAGTCCCGTATTTCAAACTTTCATCTCAATCATTTTGTATTTGAGAAAAGCACAAAGTCCACTTCAGCAATGCCAGCAATTCTTCTGTTTGAAGATTTTTTAAAGCTTATTTTTATTTTTTTTTGCTTTTATTAAGAAGAACAGCTGAAGAATGGCAGGAAATGTGGGGAGTAGAGAGTAGGGGAGGTTGTGCAGCAAAGATTGTGGCTTAAAATTGGACCACAGACCACTGCACTGAGGATACTAGCCTTTATCCATAAAGCGCTGACACTGCTATTTCACCAATACCCCAATGATAGCAGGTCCTATTTAAATAAACACTGCTACACCAGTGCAGTCTAAAACCACAACTCAAAGGTAGGAAATGACTTTAAAGTGCTAACTCTGCCCAATTCAGTTTTAATTTGTTTTTTTGAAGGAGGACAAAGTCACATGTTAAATCTGCTGGAAAACAAAAATGTCTATTCAATGTCAGTATTAGTCTGGTGTTAACCTGGAATATTTTCAACCACTCACTGAAGTCCAATAATTCCATGTTAATGCAAAAGGACTTGAGTAACTTTATGTGTTTCATGCAGGTTCTTTGTGTGTGAAACATTGTTCCCACTGATGGTTTCCTACCTGAGGATTTCTCCTGGACCTGAGTCTCTGCAGTGTTGACCCCACACATGCTATATTGCAACCAAGACTGACATACAGTACAGGCCAAAAGTTTGGACACACCTTCTCATTTAATGTTTTTTCTTTATTTTCTTAAAAGACTATTTACATTGTAGATTATCAATGAAGGCATTAAAACTATGAATGAACACATGTAGAATTTTGTACATATAAAAAAAAATAACTGAAAATAACTGAAAACATGTTTTATATTCTATTTTCTTTAAAATAGCCACCCTTTGCTCTTGATGACAGTACTTAGTAACTGACTCTGGTAGTCACAAAGCAACCCTGACAAAGCACACCTGTTAAGTAATAAACATTTCAGGTGACTACCTCATGAAGATCATTGAGAGAACAGCAAAAGTTTGCAGCGCTATCAAAAAAGCAAAGGGTGACTACTTTGAGGAATCTAAAATATAATACATGTTTTCAGTTATTTCACCCTTTTTTCTTAAGCACATGATTCCACATGTGTTCTTTCATAGTTTTGATGCCTTCACTGAGAATCTACAATTTAAATTGCCATGAGAATAAAGAAAATGCATTGAATGAGAAGGTGTGTCCAAACTTTGGCCTGTACTGTAGCTACTGCAAGTGTTTGTACATTTACTAACTTTTGACAAAACAAGGTGAGATAATTAAAAAAAATAGGGCAGATCAAATTTTTAACCCACTTAGGGCAAACAATAAATCACTTTTTTTTTTTTTTGGCTTATTTAGACAAAAGGGATAATGACCAAAAAACTTTTACTGGAATAGGGATTTTCTTATCACTTTGTTTAAATAACTCAACCTTTGATGCAGAGTAACTTACCTTTAGATTCAACCTTGGTCCCATTTCCAAACAGAATCTGTCCACATGAAGCTACAGCACAGTAGTAGGTCCCAGCATCAGACTGATTCAGGTTGTCCATTTCCAAATTGTAGACACAAGTGTGTGATTTTGAGTTAAGTTTCTTCTCACATTGGTCACTCCTGCCTCCGTGTGTGTAAATGATTCCTGGATGAGACTCCGCTGAGCTTCTGAACCAGTAAACACTGTGTTCTCCATCGCAAGTCCCGGTGTTTACTGTACAGTTCAGAGTCCAATGGTTCTTATCCTGGGCTGTATTACGGACAACGCTTCGGATATTTAAACCTGACTCCTTCACACTAACAGTTACACTCTCACAAAATTCAAGGTTGTACAAAGTGCTCCCTATGCAGAAGTAAGTCGCTGAATCTGAAATGTGAAAATCTGAAATCCTCAAGTGAGGATTTTTGTTTTTAGTATCCAGTGAGAAGCGTGGATTGTTTTCAAACTGACCAAAAAATGTGGCATTAGTGTGATGCATATAGAATGAAGACATCTCCATTGGTGTCTGTCCCACAGTTTGTTTGTACCAGTAAAACCACATCGCTGCTTTCTCTTGACAGACACATTTTAAAGTGACATTTTCTCCAACATTAACTGACCTAAACTGTACTGATGGAGGGTTTGAGGTTAACATTCGAGCTGAGGAGAAAATAAACACAAAAAGAAAACTGAATGGTTACATCATAGTCTATTCTGTGCCAAATCTGTGCAAGAAAAAGCATTAAACATGTCAAGAGCAAACATTTGGTTAAAGGTAAGATTATTATTATGCTGTGAAATAGTCAACAACTTACCCACATTCACCATGAAAAGAAATGTAACAATCAAAACAAAGTTTGGAGGTTTCATCTTTGCTGAATGTCTTGACTCTCTGCAAGTTCTCCACTCTTCACAGAGAGGACTTTGTTTGATTAGCCAATCAGGGCTGAATGTCTTTTTTTGGACATGTTTTTGGTACATATTTTCAGTAACCCCCGCCTTGACTACGCTTGTACTTGAGAACAACCAAACAACACCTTAACATCCTCACTTGTAATAAAGCTGAAGATATATGCCGGAAAGCGTTCAGATTTTTTTTTTTTTTGAACACTCAGTTGCTACTGAACGCATGAATGAAACCAAGCGTGGCTGAAACATAACTGATAACTGCACTGATGACAAATGTACAACACATATTAAACATTAAACAAAACCAAAAAAAACCGAAAATTTAGCAAAACAGTGCACTGTCATCAGTTGAGGAAAGGACAGCATAGAAACAGGTTCCATGTTCAAACTTTTAGAATAATGCATGAGTTGAAGGATGTGATGTATGAATTAGTCTGCATCCTGAATATGCTGTACCTGCAGGCTGAAGACTAAATATCAGAGCAAAAGGGTAGCAGTGGGTCTGATAAGGTTTTGTGTGTGAGTCCAGTGTGAACTGGTCTGTCCTGAAAGTACTTGTGATGGAATAACCTGTCATGCACCTCAAAACAAAAGAGGCCCTGAACTGTCATACACCTCAAAATGGCCCAGACATGCAGAGGTGTTCTAGGCATGCACCACAGTCCAAACACTGGCTTTAAGCAGCACAGAGGTTCAGAAAAGAGCAGTATTCATATGCTGATGGTGGAGGATGTTATGCAAAGAGCCCATCACTGTGAACTAAACCCTTCCACAAACCAATGTCAAATCCTATGCATGGAAGCTAGCTAGTAGTAGTCAGATAAGAAAAGAACAGTTGTCCAATGAAACTGCCGTATCAAGCTACAACTGCAGCTCAACTTAACTGTGGATGTCAACGTTCTGACTGTCCCTTAATACATCTTGCTTAATGTAGCGGGGATATGTGACACCAGCAGTGTTTACATTTTACAGTCATGTGACCTGCAGATAGAGACAGCACCCACACTGGCCAGTTCCCTGTGTGTTCAAGGGAAGAGTAGCTGTGAAAGGGAGGGGGCGTCAGAGGGTTTCAGGTAACATGGCTAATGCTCTATGTCCATCAAAGACTTCCAGAGTGATCAAAAATTGCACACTGAAATTGTGCTGATTGGCTGAAAGATGACAGTAAATGTTACACTAGTCTTGTTTTGATGTGTGATCCACTTTAATCCTTTGAAAGTAATAATGAGCCCTTAACAATACATGAAAAGGAGTGCCACATGTTGGTAGCAGAAATGGTTTATTACCATGAAAACACTTGTCTAAAAAAAAAGTGCTTTGCTGTCCCTGTGAGATCTTGCATTTTCTCACATGTGATCAAAGCCTGCACCCTGCGTATGAGTTGACCGTTATTCCATTCAGCTGACCTATTTAAGTGGCTTTTTTCACTCATTACTTTTGTTTGAGCAGTTGCAGGCTGTGGCTTGGGGGCCACAGGCTGTAGTCTTCCTGTTTTTAAACAGGGTCTGAAGTTTCCATAGCAGAACCCAAGTCATTATAGCTCACACCTTAGTCATTGCAAAAGTCAAACACTTAACGCTTGCTACCTTACGGCTGCATCATAGCAAACAATTCTGCTTAAAAGTTGGTATTTATAGACCAGAGGGGACTTTTTGGTGATGCTCTCTACATGTCTGCACTGAATTCTGTACATCTTGCGTATTGAAGGAAATCTTGTTGTGAAAAATGTATTGACACCAAGGGAGACCATTTACCTTTTAAAGTTCTTTTACGGCTCAAAGTTGAAGTGGGCGATTTTACGTGTGAATTCTGTATCTCAGAGGTAAGAGGGTTAAGAAATGGAGGTGAAACGATTGTGTTGCTAAAAGCAAATACTTTGTTCTAAATCAGTTCTTTCACACATACACATGTGAACGTTTGTGGTGTTACAGGAGCTGCACGGCTGCTCTCTTGGTCAGACCACAAGAACTATTGCACGTTTGATTTCAGAGATACTTTGCAAGTTTTTACAATTTTTTCCCATGTTCTTTAAGCGCACGTCACATGTAGCAAATACACAAAATCAATTAAGGATGGACTGTAATGCTGTGGATGGCAGCATCCTTGGGTTTGGAACCAACAGGGGCATTTTCCAGTTTTTTTGCCCAGGGTAGCTTAACTGAGACACTGACTACTGCAGGGGTAGCATGAAGTATGTGTACACACATACCTATACAAATGGAAAGTTTTTCTCTAACTATTTTGTCTCTTTTAGTCTGTAACTGCTAATATGATAGCCTCTAAACATACACATTATATCCATATTTTCTTAACTTTAAATGTCCCCTATTATGGCATTTTCATCAAGTTTAAATCGTTTAAATTTTAAATTTGAAGTTTGTTGTCTAAAAAACAGTTTATTTGTGGATATCAGCCAGCCTGTACCCCCCGTACCCTCCTGACCAAGAGGGAGAGGCTCCCAAGAAACTCAAACTCTACGGCTGCAACAAGAATAGTTGGTTACAAATATTGTGTCTTTATATTAGTGTTTTTACTCAGTGTGTTATGTTACACTGCTAGGTGGGTTAGCTCCTCTGATGCCTACATCAGTTTCTGAATGGTTTGTTACAAATATGTCTTTATATTTGTCTTTTTACTTTGTTAATGTGTTATGTTACAACACTAGGTGGGTTAACTTATCTGACGGCTACGTTTCCGCTGTCACGTCATTACTTGGAGCTCTTTTGGTGAATACCCAATATTTTGAAAGGTGGAATGTTATAGTTATCTCTCGTGACTAGTGCTGTTTGGCATCCGTCCATCCATAATGTCCCCCGCTTCTTGCAAAAAGATAGATGGAGTGATAAGATAGGATGGACAAAATGTTCCATCCATATCCGTCTCTGGGGCTTATGCGTCATCATAACTGCGCAGCTTTTCTATTCGCCCGTTTGCGGCCATGTTTTCAGAAAGGAGGGGAAGGCAAGAGAGCGAGAGAATGACATTTTTTCATGTGTGTGTGTGGGGGGGTGTCAGCTTTGAGGGGATGCATATTATTAGTTGAAAACTACACAAAAGTAGATTTTTCATAATAGGGGATCATCGAGGTCACAACCAGTTTTCCATCCCATGTCTAGGGTCACCCCTCCAACCCTAAACCTGTAACTCTAAATAATCCTGCATGTCATAAAGAAGTGCAAGTTCTGGCAGCTATATTAGGTTTGGTCTGAGTCTTCTTAGTTTTAGTCATAATGAAGTCAGTTTTGCCCTTTATCACATTTGTCTTGTTTTAGTTGACAAACCGTCTTTATATTTTGGTCATTACTTAAAGTCTAGATGTTTTCTATATTCAAACCAAATCAACTTCCTGATTAAGTAACCACACTTTCACAAGTCCAAGATGACATCAGCATTGATGTCATCTTGGACTTGACAGCATTGAAGTTCACTATAGGAGCTATAGGTGTTAGATGCTCCACCTAAAACAAGTCACTGTCAAAATCCAGTGTGGGATGCAGAACTTTCAGTTGTCACACTCCAATTTGGATTTCACATCTACTTTTATCTTAAAAGCCGCACACAGAGTGTGCCATTATTACCAATCTTGATGTATTTGCAATGACAGCACGGGCATGTTCCCAGGCCTACCAAAGCAAATATCTGTTCTGCCAGACATGCAGCATTAGTGAGTAAATTATGTTGATTCAAAAGCAATGTGTTCCTACTAAGTAGACTTCCAGCTGGACACCACAAACACACAATGATGAGGAGAAAAAAAAAATTAACCTTGATTGTAGTTTGAGGAAATCCTTCGGCCTTTTAGAGGCATAAAGGACACGAGTAGCTCTTGTGCCATTTATTGTCTATTAAATTATGAAAATCATTTTAGGCTACAACAAATCATCAAAAACCTCAGTTAACCCATTTAAACTGGGACAGCATGTACGCATTTCAGCCTTTTAAGCCAGAAGTGCTGCTGCACATTTCTACTCAGGAAGCTGGGAGCATGTATGACTGCCACTTGTTTTACAGAAAGCAAATAGTTTGTCATTCTCCAGTGCAGAGCCTTTACTTTTATTCATACTTTATTTCATTTCAGTATGTGTGTTCAAAGTTTTCAATAATGTAATGAAGGTTTGGAAAAATAAAAGACAGTTATCTTGAAAACTTCATGTGTAAGCTATAAAATACTTTTTGAATTTTGTTTCTATCTGCTACAGAGGCTGAGATATCAGCTTTCTTTGTAAATCTTAACAATTCAGAAAACCTCAGGATCTAGGGGCCCTTCTCAAATCACCCTCAGGATTTCAGACTCATATCTTAGACAGGGTTCAGGTCTTAATGGGTTAATTGTTTTGGAGCAGGGACACTCTTTACATGGTCAGGGCACTAACTACCTCTGATAAGGCAAAGAAGAGCAAAATCCTATTCTGCAATCCATGCAAGTCAGACTCCATACAGGGTGAGCACCTTAAAATTATTTCAATTTGCATAGCTACCCAATCACTTTACATTATCATTTACATAACATATGCTCAGCTTTACTGTTGTACACTAAAAAATACACATTCACTCCAGGTGTCATCAGTCCTTCTTTTTGGTTTGCTGATACTGTCTTCTCTTCCAGCAGCACGGCGGACATTGGATTCATCTTGGATATTCTGCACACAAGGAGCAGATAATTACACAATGGGACTGTACTTAATGGATAAAATCCCAACCATCCAAATGTGATATTGATGTTCTCCTTAATAGCCAATACCTTAGCAGGGGTTGAGACAGAAGCTAAGAAAACAAAGAAAATAATTAGATTGTGGAGTGTGCAACAAAGGAAATATAAAATATATGAGTATATGTTACCTGAATATTGATCACAGCTTCTTCCAATGATCACACACAAAATAATGAACAGTGTAACACCCAGGATCACAACAAGAACCATTATTTGTGTCACAACAGGTACGTCTTCCCCTGAAAAAGCATTTAAAAACATTTAATTCTTCTCACATGGAATAACTAATAGTTTGGAGCAGTATTTTTACCCTGTGATCAATTTTAGTTTGATTAAGCATCACCATAACCAATGAGACTATACTTGTGTCACTTACTCCAAAAGTGCAACTTAGTTCCATTTCCAAACAATGTGTGTTCACAAGCAGTCACGACACAGACGTAAGTTCCATCATCATCAGAGCTAAGGTCCGTCATGAGGAGGTTGAACACACATGTTGTGTCCCCGCTCTCAGTCCTGTCACAGATGTGCGTCTTTTGTCCAGACAAGGAAAGTATTTGTGGCTCAGAATAGGCAGATTTTTTCAGCCATGTGACACTGGTGTGTTCTGCTGCACAGAGGCCCGTGTGAACAGAACAGCTGAGTGTCGCAGAGCCTCCATGATACACTAACAGAGACTCTGGCAGCTGAACAACAGAGTCACTGGTCATGTTTGCACCTTGGGAAAGAAGTCATACAACTCTGATCATGATGAAAAGCATGTTCAATTGCACTCAGAAATATTCACACAAGAGGCAAAAAAATTGAGTTGAGACATTAAATTACAGTGGCCCAAGAGGTCAACTGCGCAAAGCATTTCATGTCCTAAAAAAATCCACTAGAAACTATTTCACTGAACACAGAAACACATAACATAAATGTAATCATAAAATACCAAAAAAGTTCAATACAAAACAAAAGAAAAATTAATAAAAGGTAAAAAGAAAAAAGAAATCTTATGTATAATAAAACAATTGTTTTAAAAGCATAAACTAAACCGTTAAATCCAAAACATCTTAGGAAATACTGTAAACTTTCCCTGAACAACAAAATCATTTCACTGTTAAAATAAAACAAAAACCATTTCACTGAACACGTGTATTTAATTAAAATTAAATCAAACATCTTACACTAAAAGCAAAAACATGTTCAGAACTATTTTTACAAAAAATTCCGGTTTATAAAGTATTTTGGAATCTGTGATTTTTTTATTCCTGCATTTCTAGAACATTTCAATGTCCACTGCAAAATGTGGAATATAAAAAATGTGGAAATTTTTTTGTGTATTAAGACTTTATATATATATATATATATTTATATATATATATACATATATATATTATTCATAATGTTTAGCATTTTATAAGCTATCTTTCTGATGTTGTTTTTAATTTGTCATTTTTTCTATATAAACCAATGTTTCATGTTTTTGGAAAATTTGTTCAGCTGACCTTTAGGGCCACTGTAATTTTTGCTAATACTGACCTTTGAGCATCAAAAAGGTTCCTAATCCAAACTGAATGTCGTTTGAGAGATGGACTCCACAGAAATAGGTTCCTGTGTCGTCCCACGTTGCGGTAGATACTCTCAGGTTGCTGTTGCTTGCGTTAAATCCGACAGAATAACGGCCATGGAATTCATTAGCTACTTTGCTCAGATTATGTTTGGGATTGAATGTTGCCACAAACTGCAATTTCTTCCCCATAGTCAGTTTGTACCACACTCTTCTGTGCATTTCACTTCTAATGTGACACTCAATAGTTGCCGAGTCTCCGAGCTGCACTGATTTGAAGGACACTGGCTGAAAGATGACATTTAACTCTTCTGCACCTGAAACATACAGACAGGATATCTCATCAGCTAAGCTTGTGAACAAAACATTTCCATTAGTGGATTTTGGTACTCACATGAGTTACAGATCAGGAAAATAATCACTAAGAACAGCTTCATCTTGTCTGATTTGTCTCCACAGTGGTTGTGTCCTCCTGAGGCACAGACAAAGCTTTGTAAGAGATACACAACTTGTCCTAAATACGACAAAATCTGATTGGTCCGCCACTCTCAGCATGCAGAAAAAAATAGGCCTTGTGGTTATCAGCATTGTTGTACCGTTTGTGGCTAATTTCTCACAACACTGTAAAATTTTATTGCTTATTTTTAGAGCCTCACATTGACGTGATCCACAGTATACCATGAACCAACCAATGACACACAATCGTGGGTCTTTGATTCAAGGTTTTCTCAGTGTTTTAAAACTAACATACAACAGATCAGCCATTTTGTCAACCACAGAGCTGATATCTCTTGAATGTACTGTATATACAGACTTGGGTTGAAATCCCCCAAACTCATCATGTCAGTTACATGGTTTCAGTCTCTCACAGATCCTTTGTTAAATTACGGTGTTGTCTCTGTGACATCCTCAGCTGTTGACCTAAATCTCACCTGTAGCAGTGTGATAAAATGTACTCAAGATACGCAGAATGTTGCAGAATTTAGCAAAGCAGTTAAACACAGTTTAGTCATCTGAATATAACTATCACTTTGTTTTTGAGCACTTGGATTGAGCCTTCTATCCCTACACAGCAGGGGTCTGTTTCACGTAGGTGGTTCAACAAACTTTGAGTCAAAAAGGAGGAAATTGCTGCTCACGTCAATGCGTAAGTTTAAATCTAGTCTTGTGCAATCACAATGACAGACTGTTGCAGGGGAAACTGCTTGCATGGAGCAAATTAATTTATTTTATGTAGGTGCAATCCAGCAGGACAAAAGTGCACTTGGCACGAGCTGAAAATTAAATATAAAAACATTGTGCAAACAGGTGAGACATCGGCATTTTGATCATGTTTTACATTGTCAAGTAAGTATTAAGTGGCAGTTTGATCCCTTACAAAATGCTCTTTTCACACTCACAAATGAATTTTACTCTCTTATGCTGTTCTGTTAAATGATTTGGAATATTAAACTAACACACCACACGCAAAGGGATCAAACTGCCACTTAATACTTACTTGACAATGTAAAACATGATCAAAATGAGAAAATGCCGATGTCTCACCCGAAACTCTAGGTTTACTGAGTAAAACCTGCTCCCGAGCAGGTTAGATTCACGGAGTCTGTTACGATGGTAACTGACCGCAAGGTTGAGTTACCTCTCTTTGTGAAACAGGTTAGAGTTACCCCTCTCTCCCTGGTTTAACTGACTCTCCTTTGTGAAACGGAAAACTCAGAGTTTCCCTGATTTCAGGGTCAACAGACTCTGAGTTTCCATTAAACCTGCTACGTGAAACGGACCCCAAGTCCACATGGAGGCTGTCATCTTACACAGTTCGGCGGGAGCACAGACCCGACAAACAAATAAAACAAACTTTGAGTGTGTGAACTGCAGTTACTAGAGGATGAAGAAAAAGAAAGTGTTAAAGTATTTTTTGTTGTTGTGCACATATTTGAATTGATAGTTGTTGTTTTTTTAAATAGCAAAATCTGGCAAATGAAAGATCATACCCACTATGCATTACAAGAGTTTCTTGTCCTCAAAGACCATCCCTTTACTCATGAGAGGGGTGAGCAAGGGGGTGTGAAAACATGCTACAAATATAGTTTCAAGCTTAATCTGCACAGGATCATAGTTAAGTTTATTACTTTTTGAAGGTACAAATTGAACATATAAACACACAGACAAGCATGAAGATAAGGCGTGAAGACTCTGGGAAATGAAAAGTAAAAAGACATGTTTCTCAAAGTTTAGTTTAGTTTATTTGATCATCATCACAGTGTCAAATACAATCACACATATACAAAATCATGCTTCATCAAAAGCAGTCTGTAACACTGTTAGGTGATCAAAAGGAATAGGAAGAAGCTCGTAGCTTGTAGATGCCTATCCTACTTACTCATATTTTTACCAAAATAAGTTTAGTTACTCAGTATGTATAACGAGTACGTTTGACTAGCTGAGCATTCCAAAGTAAAAGCAAAGCAAGAACAGAACGAAAAGGAGCAGCAACCAGAGGAAACAGGAAGCATGTAATTTAATTTAGGATCAAAATAGATCCAAACTTCTAACTTATTTAAATCCTACATATTATTTATTAATCGTTATCGTATGGATTATTATAATTATAAATAAATCCATATATATATATAAAGTCTCATATATATACTCAGATATACCCATAGATACATATATACCTACATATATCTATATATAAACATATATACATACCTACATACATACACAAACACACATACACATTTTCATATGTATATACATACACATGCATATACACACATACATATATATATATACACGCATTCACACCTTATTAAGCTATGGCATGTTTGTGTATTTATGCAGGATATTACATTTAAGCCGTTTTTTAAACTGGGTGAAAGTAGTACTATGTTTAACCCCCTCAGTCAAGCCATTCCAAATCTTTACACCACAGACAGACACGCACATACTTTTCCTAGTGGTATTAGCACTGCGTTGTTTTAAATTCAATTCCCATCTTAGATTTTAACCTCCTTCCCTATCCCTGAACATTTCTAGGATGTTCCTGGGAAGTTACACAAGCTGCGAAGTTCATTGGGTGATCATATGAAAAGTGCAGGACTGAGTCACAGCAGATCATTTCACTCAAAAAAAAAAAAAAAAAAAACCTTCAACATTACATCCATGTGTATATCACTTTGTCCACAGAGGACACCATATCCAATGCAAACAGACAGTTTCACACAGAAGCTTTAATCAAATGTAAAAGCTAAAAATTGCAGATCTATTTACAAACTTGAATCTAAATTCCATTTCCCTTTGGAAGAGACCTTCATATTGTATGTATTATATTGTATGTATTATATACAATTCTACCTCTTTGAGCTGTAATAAACACATTCACTCCAGGTTTGATCCCTCTGTCGTCTTGATCTGCTGGTCAGGTTGGTGCTCAAAGCAGTGTGATAGAGGTTGTGTGATTTTTGGTAGCCCTGGTAGCAAAACAGAGAATGATAATACCTTATGAGTTAAAATCAATACATATAAGATGATCCGTTTAGTAAGAGTTACTTAATTTCACCTCTGTCTCCGTGATAGATGAAGCAGGAAAACTTTTTTCAGATTCTGAATGTGAAACACAAAAGTTTTCATTTATTAACTTGCCAATCAGTATGAATATCATTGATCAAAAGTTAATGGTAGGAGTTACCTGCAGGTTGGCAGATGTTTCTCTTCATCATCAAACACACTGAGAGGGCAAGCAAAGCTAACAGGATAGAGGTTGACATCAAAGCTGCCCTCCAGAAGCAGGGATAGTCTGCAGATACAAATCCAATTTATGGGATTAATAAAATAGCAGCAGCCCAATGTTTAATATTAACTGTTATGAAAGTGTTGAATTCAAATTCCCAACCTCTAAGCAGACTAATAAAAGTATGTTGTCAAGGAAATTGTACCTGCAAAACCTGGGGGTCTATTATTTTTTGCTGTAAGATTTCCCATACATTTAAGTCATCATGACGTCAGTCAGATTCAGTTGAATTTGGTGTTCCACAAGGCTCTGTACTTAGACCACTTCTTTTTCCATATTTATTAATGATCTTTCACTAATTTGTTCAAACCGTCACATTCATCTCTATACCGATGATGCTACCATTTGCCTGTCAGACTCTGCCATACAACAGACTCAGTATTCCTCACAGTCTGTTTCTTAATCTGTCACCAAACTTGTTCTATAAGCACAAGACTCCTTCCTTTCCTGTCCAGGTCCTGTTCTCCCCATCAGGATTCTAATCCCATAAAATTAACTCCCTTTATAATTTTCCTTATTCATGAAGTACTTAAACCAAAGCAAAAAGACTAACTTACCTTCAAAGTCCAGCTTGGTTCCATTTCCAAACAATATGTGTCCACAGGATGCAACAGCACAGTAGTAGGTTCCAAAATGAGAATTATTCAGGTGCTTTATTGACAGATTGTAGACACAAGTTTGTGTTTGTGAGTTTGGTTCCCTCTCACACTGATTCTCTTTGCCTCCACTGGTGTAAAGGAGTCCTTGATGAGACTCCTCAGAGTTTTTAAACCAGTAAACACTGTGTTCTCCATCACAGGTCCCAGTTTGGACAGTACAATTCAGTGTCGCAGAGCCTCCTAACTGGATGGTCTCAGAGCCTGCCTGATGGATGATGGCTGAGACGTTCAAACCTGAGCCTTTTACATTGACTGTGGTGCTTTCCAAGATTTCCAGTGTGGATAAGTAGCTGCTTATGCAGTGATAGGTAGCTGAGTCGAATACATGCATATGTGTAATTGTCAAATGATTTTCACCATGATGAGCATCCAGTGAGAAGCGCTGACTTTCCTTGAATGTACCATGAAAAATGCCCTTTGTTTCCAACGTGTAGAATGTAGAGATGAGTCTTGGTTTCTGTCCCAGTGCATGTTTGTACCAGTAAAGCCTTGCAGCAACTTGACCTTCATAGAAACATTTCAGGATCAATGTTCCTCCAGTTTGGACTGAAACAAAACCACTCTCTTGAAAAGCAGATGAGGTCAAATTTAGCCCAGTTGCTGTATCTAAAGAAGAAGAAGAAGAAGAGACAGTGTAAACGTGGATTTATTATAATCACAAGCTCTCAGTGTACCCTGTAAATGATGATACGTAACACTCACCAGTTTCCCACAGGAACAAACAGATGAGACAGAGAGCAAACGCTGATGACGCCATCATGCTTAATCTTCAGTGTAAAATGAAGGGAACATTGGGAGGTTTCTCTTTATTTAGGTGACAAGACCGAGCCTGATTGGCCAGCTGAAGTAACATTGCATGTAGATCAACTCAGGAAACTTCACCAGTTTGCTGCTGCACGCAGTTTTTTGTTTTTTTTTCTTGGTCACAGTACAGATGCCTATCTCCAGAGATGCACTTCATATTTGGTAAAAACCCAAAAAGTTTGTTACTGTGTCAGCTTGAATATCATATTAACTCATTTTAGTCTGTTCATCTCCATCTTGTTAGACTAGCACCATGTTATATAAAATAAGTTTAATGCAACTCTAAGTAAACATAGGATAAATATTTGAAAAAAGTAGCCCACACACTTGTAGAATCTCCAATGTTTCATTTGTTCTAAAGAATTATAACACTGATTCTTTGAGCGTTTAATTGATTATGGTGAAATAGACTTCTTGTAAAATACAATACCCATGCATCCTGTCAAAACCACAAACATTTTTGCGCCGAAGGAGACACAAAACCACACATATGTGACAAAAGATGAACAGGTCTGAGCATAATGATGGTGTAATTTTTTTTTCCGTGTCCTCACACAGTAAACATGGTGACAAACCGCTGAAGTAGTCAACTGTTCTTTCTCTGAAAGGGAGTGCTGCTGTTATGCTTTACAAACACAAGCTGCTTTGTGATTGCATAACAAAGAAGTCCATCAGAATCAGAGAGCAGAGGTGTGTATGAGAAAAGAACACAAAAAAAGCCAGTAAAGCTACAGATACATTTTCTTAAAGGTAGTTGGGTCTTAGTGCATGTGGAAAATCAAATCAATTTATTAACCAAGGAGCAATAGCTCACACAATGACACAAAGAAAACAACAAAATTACAGATAAAAAATAGAACGGAGCTGAAAAACAAACAAAAAAAAAACAAAAGAGAAATTGCTTGTTCTAAAATATATACTTTATTTTTTTCAGAGCATTTGGACAAAAAGGAAATGGGCCTTGCATAGAGCCTTGAGTCATCCCAACAGACACTATTCAACATCCAACCCATTCTGAAGGCCTTAGAGTAACTAAGATAATATGATTAATAGTGGCTTAGGTTTGCTTATAATAGACAGCACATTTACCAAAACATACAAATACAGATAAGAGCAGAATGAATTACTATTAGCTGCTGCAAAATTTATTCAAGATGCTATGTTACGGGTCCTAAGAATGGTATCACAGTGACAAAATGAATCACAGTTGAATGATGTTCATTATGTCTTAAGTGTCTTAGAAAAAGTTTTCTTTTTTCTTTTATCTCAGACATGTATTCTTTTCACATACTTTGACGTTCCTTCTGAGGAAGGCAGTAGTTTCCGCCGAAACATGTCAAGGTATGTAAAAAGAATACATGTCTGAGATAAAAGAAAAAAAGAAAACTAAGGGCTCCATTTTCGTGGCCGCCGGCAGTGCGGCAGACGACGGCGCACCCCGCGCAGTGGTATTTTTGTCTGGCAGAGCCCAGCGTACAGCCAGTTTGGTATTTTCGTAGACTAAGGTGCACTGAGGTCCGCCAAGCTGGGCGTGGTGGCGTGGCAGGGGGAGGTGTTGACAGAATCAGCTGGCACAGTGACATTTATGTGCTCGCCGACGGTGTGGAAAGTGCGCTGAAAGCTCGCTGATTCAAACCTGGTCAGCTTTCAGCACAGCCCCACAGGCAGGTTTCCACAGTGTGAGGCTCATTTCAGTGCGATAAATAGTCAACAACAACCTATATTCAGTGTAACTATCTGAGCCAGCACATATACGTTTAGATCTATATCAATAAAATCTGATCTATATTTTATCTGATGAGCGCGCTTGGCACGCATTTGGACACTCAACCTGACTGAATTAACACAGCTGCTAAAACCGCATTAAAGGTCCCATGGCATGCCAATTTTACACAACTTAAAATAGTCCCCTGGTGTGTTAAAAGCATGTCTGTGACGTCCTTTGGTCAAAATTCGATTTGGATCAATTATTTTAGTGCTCTTTTTATCAGCTAAAAACAGCCCCGCTCAAAATCCTCCGTTTTGGGCCTTGTCTCTTTAATGAAATGAGCTGCACCTAAGCCACGTCCACTTTACACCCATCTCTCTGGAAGGGGCTGTGGCTGTGCTCCGATAGCCATGTGCTAATGTTTACACTGGCTCGGTCATGGCTGCAAGAAGATCGTTTGTACAACCCTACCAGTTTGAGCCAGAGTCTGACCCAGAGGGAGAGGCTCCGAAAAAAAAACTCTTAGCCGCGTTCAGACCAAACGCGACTTGAAGCGACCTAGTTGACACATTCTATGTATTATTCAAAGCCGCCAGGAGGGTCACGCTTAAGGAGGAAGATATAAATGTAAAAAAAAAATTACAACCAGAGCTCTGCTACGATGTAAGATTTTGGTGCTCTAAAACTTCTCTGCTAATTAATAGGATGGCCCACCGTCCAGCATTAGCCGGGACTTCCCGTATTTGAGCCAAAAGAGGCGCGTCGCCGCACGGGTAAATGCTAAAGCTACATGCTGCTCCAGAGGGGGATTTTGTCCCCTGCCGGCGGAGTTGTCGGGGAAGAAGCGAGCGGCTAAAATACGGGAGGATCCGGTAAACCGGCACGGATCCGGTGTGTTTATCAAAGCGTGGTGGCCGTGCTGAGGCACCGGGGGGAATTTAGGCTAAACAGTAAGTCAAAATAAAACGTTCATACTTACAGATACCACGTTTATAGTAGGGTCACGGATAGTTGGTACGGATCCATTCTTTATCTTCAGACGTCTAGCAAATCCAGCGTTGAACTGTCCCTCATTGATAAAACTGTCCGAAGTGAAATGGTGCGCACATACGTACAGATATGTTGGAAGTGCCGCAGGTACATTCCCATTATAAATAAAATCCACCCATTGAGTCCTCAAATCCTCCGACGAGGGAGTTTTCAAAAGAGTTTTGTGCTTGTTTGTGCAGCCAACAACAGAGCAAACGCTGCCTCTTTTTCAGATCGTACTTTCGCCATGGTTCTAACCGGAGCAATGCGAGCGAGCAGCTGGGAATAATGGCACTGTGTTGATAATTCAGTGGGCAGGGCAGTGGGCGGCTCCATGGGCAGTATCATCAACCCGCCAGCACTGACATGACGTCATGTCAGTGGAGTTTTCAGAACGGCCGGCTCTGAGCACACAGTTCCTAAATACAGAGACTGGATGAAATTTTTTCGAACTTGGGGGGATTGCACCGATATGTACCCCCCTCCCGGCGGTTTTTCATGCCATGGCCCCTTTAAATACAATATCCAGTTAATAGTCACACATGATGACGTTAACAAGATATTAAATTTGTCTCCCCCCTTTTCTCTCTGCCTCTTCCTCCTTTTTCTCGCGCAGCTCGACCCAGACATGTCTCCGTGTCCTGTCCCCGTCCTGATGCTGCGGTGGCAAGGCTGAACAGATGATTTATCTTAGTGATCAGATGAATAATTTACCTCGAAAATTTGAACAAAAAAACTAAAAGAAACTTCCATTCAAAATTACCTGTATATACTTTAGTAACAACTGCACAGTAGCAATACACAGTGGTCTACGTCTCCATGTGCAAACCTCAACCAAAACACCACTCTATAGCCACAAATAATGCTCAGAACAGCACCTAACTTCATCAACAGTACATATAGGGTCCCAGCTATAGTACTAGCCACCAAACATCTTTTTAGCTTTGCCTGATTTTTTTAGCAAAGAGACTAAACACAACTAACCCACTCTCCTCCAGCAGCCGATTGTTTTTTGGGGGAGCCCTGACAAGTTGATCACCGAGTGCAGCAGAATCTCACAGCTCAGGGAAGAAAAATTTATGATTATTACTTAATGGAAATGCAATCAGAGTCCTTGTGTATCTTGTATTTGCACTGTAGTTCTTCTGCCTTAGTGCTTCGGTCCGATTACATTTCCATGAAGTAATAATCAGAAGTTTTCCACTGCACTCAGTGATCGACTCGTCAGGGCTCCCTCACAAATGTTGATGTTTGCAAAGGTCACAGATGTTTGCAAAGGTCACTAAAGTTGAGGTTTGCTGAAGTTGGTGTAACTTGAGAAGCAAGCAGTCGGCAACGTTCATCTCTCGAGGGGGTGTCTAAGTCAGTGCTACGGTGTGTTTGACCATGGTTTAAATTTAGGCCAGAATATCCTTTGATTAGACAGGACGGATTATACTGGAGTATCATCGGTGACCCCTCCTTAATGACTGATTTAAGGTCGCTGAATCAGTGTCAGATTAAGAGTGCAGAGACAGATTCTTGTCAATAGATTCAGTCACCAGTGTTTCCAGACGTAGTATCATGGAGCTGTCTAATTCTGAGTATTTGAACATGCATATTTACAAAAAAAGATAAAGTATCAAGCATCTATCATTTAAATTTTTATTACATGTATGAATTTATTTTCCTGCAGCATGAGCTTGATGAATGTGAACAGCTTAACACAGCAAACAGCACATCTCTTCTCTTGTCTGAATGGCACTCTGTACAAAAGCTGTGCAAAACATATTTTGTGATTTCACTAATTTAAATTAAAACTGTACAATGTTTAGGAGATTTAAAACTTAAATCTAAGAGGGGAACAAATTCTTAAAAGATTAAAGAAAACCCTTTAATGATTAGACAGCAAAAGTTAATATTAAAAATAAATAAAATAAAATGAATAAAAGCTGCATTAACTTCAGTAAGTTTTGCTGCAGTGCAGGAGAAGTTTAGAAGATCGATCAGTCCTATCACTCTGAAATTTTGATAGTCCCAGGTTGACTGTTTGATTTAAAAAAAAAAAAAGACAATCACAATTCACTTGAAGCTCAATCAAAAATATGAGTTAAAATTTTCAGAAAGATTCCATTTGACTTCTACTGCTTTACAGTGGAGTACACACTCTCATCTGCAGTGATGTTTCTCTGTCTTCTTGATGTGTTGGACATGTTCACACTGAGGGCTGCATAGAAAAGGTTGTCTGCTTCTCTGTGACCCTGAGAAAAACATGCAAAAGTCTATCACAATATGGACCATGACTTATAGCTCCTTTCTTCTATGAAGGCCTGCAATGCGTAACATTTGCAATATTTTGAATGATAAACATACCTCCAGATTTCTCGTAGAGGGCGCTGAAAGTCTTGCTCCTGCCTCTGATTGTAAAACATGAAAATCTCACTTAAACTTTAAAAAATCAAACTGAGCAGACACAGGCAGAAAAAGGAAGTGCTAGTTTGCCTACCTTGAGATTGTAAACTGATCCTTTTGTTCATCTTGTAAAGAAAGATTGCCATGACAACTATCAGGATAGTTGCAAATATCAACGCTCCACTCAAAATATACACCAAGACCAAAAGGATCTCTCTGTCTGTGGATAGAGAGTCAATATATTGGATGCAGAGCTCAGAGATTTTTTTTCTCTGTTTGTATTAAATTTGATTTAACAATCCATGAGTATAACTTTAGTAGTACAGAGACTCACCTTTAAAGTCCAATTTGGTCCCGTTTCCAAACAGTATGTGTCCACATGAGATGACAGCACAGTAGTAGGTCCCAGCATCAGACACATTCAGGTTCTTCAATGGTAAACTGTATTCACAGGTGCGTGTTTGTGAGTCTGGTTCTCTCACACACTGCTCATTTCTGCCTCCATTGGTGTAAAGGAGTCCTGGTTGAGACTCTTCAGAGTTTTTGAACCAGTAAACACTGTGTCCTCCATCACAGGTCTCAGCTTTGACTGTACAGTTCAGAGTCACAGATCCCACATGCTGGATGGTCTCAGATCTGGACTGATGAATGAGGGCTGGGATGTTCAAATGTGAGTTCTTCACACTAACTAGGATGGTTGCTAAAATTTCTATCATGCAGTAACGGCAGCTCACGCAAGAATAAGTTGCTGAGTCTGACCTTTGCAAATCTGAAATTATCAAATTGTTCCTGCTATTTTGAGTCTCCAGTGAGAAGCGAGGATTGTTCTTGAATTCACCTTGAAAACTATCGCCAGGTGCATATTTTTGTCTGGATGTCATGAGCTTTAGTTTCTCTCCCAGACTGTGTTTAAACCAGTACACCTGTGTAACAGTATCTTCCTTATAAGCACATGGTAAAGTCAGCGTCTCTCCAGTTTCCCGGCTCTCTTGATGGACAGATGGAGACGGTTTCACAGCAGCTGTCTGAGCTAAAGTGAATGAGAGACAATGCAAATCCTGATATTCTTAGTGTCAAAGTAAACTTCACCTCAGAAACAGTCAAAAAAGTTTAAGTTAAAGTGAAAATACAGAATAATAAAGTCAAAGAAACAAGGTGAAATACTAACATGACTTACAAATTTCTCCCAGGATCAAACATGTTACATAGAGGACGAACTTCAGAGATGTCATCATGCTTCAGTAGGTTCACTGAATGGAAGAAAAATGACACCTCCTCACCTCCTTACAGACCAGACTGCTTTTTCATTGGCTAACCTGAAATGCAGCTCATGATAAAGGAAACAATCACATGCTCACTGTAACAATGTTGTAGTGCAGTGTGTGTGTGTTGTTGGTTCATTTCTTCTCTCTCTGTCTTTCTCCTGTAGTCACTCAGTGGTTACTCTGCCTTTGGTAAAAAAGTTTTCCCAGAAACTTTTACACTGACTTTAGACTAGATATGGAACAGCTGCATCAGTTGCTGCAGACAGCCTCATATCTCCCATAACTTTTACATAAAACAAGCTCATAAATGACTCATTCATATGTCTTTACTACATCAAATAAAAAAAATAATACCTTTGCTCTGTATATACAAACATTAAACATGAAATATTACAAAAATATGAACAAGCTTAGACACTGAACTTGTATATACACAAGACTATGTGAGGCTGAAGTGCGATGATGAGGGGTACAGATGAATGTTGAGTTATAGAAAACACACATGGGTCATCAGTATTAATATTAAATATTAAACTATGGTGTGCAGAGGTACATGTCAGATGAAAGGATGAGGTCTGGAGTTAAAATATATGGGGGAGTTGTTATACTGTAAATGATGGTAGTTATAAGGTGATGCAGAGAAACAGTTCTTTACCATCATAGCTAATGGCTATGTAGAAGTGAATTAGCAGCTCCTGATGTAGGTTCCTGAATTTCCTGAACTGTCTTAGGAAGCACAACCTCTGCTGGGCCTTTTTTGAGTCTATGTGAGAGGTTCCTGGAGACAGTGGATCCCAGGAACCAGAGTCAGTCCATAGTGGACACAATGCTGTTGAAGACTGTGCTTAAGGGTCGAGTGCAAGAGGGCTCCTCCTAGAGTCCAATGTCATCTACACAGTCTTGAGCCAGTTCAGCTCCAAGGTTCTGACTGGAATGATAGTCCAGGTAGAGCAGGATATGATGTTCCCAAGCCTCAGTTGCTGCCTCCTATCAGTCAGGAAGCTGGTGATCCACTGACAGGAGGGGGCTGGCACCGTGAGCTGGGTCAGTTTGTGGTAGAGAAGCTCAGGAATGATTGTGTTGAGAACAGGATCTGCAAACTTTAGGGGGTCCAGCAGGGGGCCTATGATGTCCTTCAGGTGGTCCAACACCAGTCTTTCTAAGGTTTACAGGCCTCCAGTCATCATGGTGATGGGCCTGTAATAATAATAATAATTCAGTCAGGTACACTTTGTCAAAATTTTTAGCTTTATTGTGCAAGTTAAATTTGGCGGCATGATTCTGTTCTGGGTCCCTGCCCTTCCACACGCTTGCGTGGAAGCCCTAGGCGTGAAGAGCCCCTTCCTGCCTATCACGAGCCATTATGAAAGGCAATAGCAGGGAGCGCACGCGAGGTTCTGTTCGGAGCCCCCGTTCTCCACGTTGGCATGGGTGAAAGGCCAGCGGCGGGAAGAGCCCCTTCCCGCCCACCACGAGCCATCATGATGGCAAAGGCGGCGGGGGTAGAGCAGCGATCAACAGAACCCCCCCAAAACAAACAAGCCGTGCAGTCTAGGAGTTAGCAAGGGGAGGTGAGAGATCTATGTGCCAAGTTATGGTTACTCATGGTTTTCTGAGCTTCTAGAATGTCCCGAGCCTCGGGGCGCAGATAGCACTTGTGTGCGGCAGACGACCATCGGCCCATGGCTTTGAGGGTGGACACTAGAGCTGTCATAGCTGCGGTTGTAGCTGCGCCTATGTGAAAAGAATGAGCCATGTAGTGATCTGGAGGAAGTCCGCAGGACTGGCAGAGGAGGCGGAGGCGGGTCGCGAACCAGGCTTTGGTCATGGGTTCCCCTTTCTCTGTGGCAAACAGCGGCTTGTGCGGGCTGGCTCGGGGACGGCTTCTCAGATAGCGGGTCATGGAAGGAAACAGACAGAAAGGAGAATTTGTTTGAGCTATGAGAACTGTGGTCCCTTTCCTGTCTCTATCTGTCTTGGAATGCTTAAGAAAGACACTGAAATGGTGACTGTGGACTGTAACGTCGGCTATGGAGAGGTCGTGAGAAGGGTCAAAACGTTTAGTGTGAGTAGTAAATTCTCCACCTCTAAGGAAACCGTAAAAAACTGTGAGAAAGACTGTTTCCAAAAGTAAGTCTGAATATGGCCCAAAACACCCCTTTTTCAAATGCATGATTAATTTGTGCAAGAGAGGTAAAGTGAAAGGAAGACGGATATCTTGGCCTTTGGGTTTCTCTTTCTTAAATCCGTTCAGCAGGAGCTGGATTGAAGGGTTTCCAAGCAGGCTACTGGCAGAAGGATCCAAACACCACAGGTGGAACTGTACTCCTGCTAAAAGGCCTTTGATAGAAGAAGGTTGCATCTTCCGAGACTCAAAGCACCGTCCAGATTTATCATTGCGAAACGAGCGTCGGTTCCAGCGCTAATCGACGCAAAGTGAGGAGGTGGTGTAGAAGTTGGCGTTGAGCAGATACTTGCGTTGACGGCACTTTGGCGACGCTGTGTGGCGGTGTTTGGTGACACACTATGTGACAAGCGTGCACCACATCCCCGTGGCCAAGCAGCACGTCGCCCCACATGACAAACCAGCAGCAGATGGAGGAATGCGAGCTGATCCCTGCCGGACTGCCGTCCTCGCGCGGGAGAATCTCATCGCCACAATGTGAATGGGTAAGAAGTGAATACACAGTTCAATGAGCCAAATTAATTTATTTTCGCCACCAGACGCTCGAGGACATTTACGAGCCGGTCCAGCCGCTCGTTGATCCCCGCGATCCCCCTGATGATTTCTTCCTGTGATTGCAGGACCGCCTCCGTGAGGAGCCTTCCACTGCCTCCGGATGGTCCAGCGGAAGCGCCGCGGCTGGTGGACTCTCCACCGCTTGTCGGCGCGCTGGTGCTGATGCTGGTGCTGGTGCTGGGGGCCGGGGTGGCCCGAATGCCGCTGGTCCTGGCCGACGACTCCGAGCCGGCGGACGGGCTGCCGCGGGCCGGGGTTCCGCGAGCCGGCGACACGGCCGACACATTGATTTCTGTGACACAATAAAAATATTGGTTCATTTCCTGCTTCTGTGTATCTGTTGCGTTAACATCTCTCTCCACGGTATCATAGGTAATGTTATCCAGTATTTAGAGGTCAGTTATGCACGTTACAGTTGTTTATTGCATAAAAAGTTATCGAAAAATGAAGTTAAGGGCGAAGTATAAAGCACGTCTAAAAATAGATTGAATCCCGACGTTGAAATGAAGTATAAACTTAGACTAGACGTCTAATATACGTCTTTTGCTCAGTGGGATGGCAAAGCATGTGGACATTTGTGTGACACGCCACTTACCCTGTAATAATAATTGCCACCACCCGCTGCTCAAACGGCGTGAGGGTCTCCTCCCCCGGAACCCCACCTGTCTGGCCGGTACTCCTCCGGAGGGCAGCTGTACGCCGCTTGACCTCCACCTTGAGGTCCGACCACTTTTTTTTTATCTCTGCGGGGGTGCGTGTCTCGGAACCCACCGCGTTCACCCTCTCGCAAACTTTCTCCCACTCCAAGCGTTTTCGTTTTGCACTGACGCCACTGGACAGGCTGCCAAACAAAACACGCTGTCGCTCTGCCACCAGCACCTCCACCTCGCACGCCGTAAATTTAGTTTTTCTTGTCATTTTGTCTGCGTGCGAGGACAGGGAGACCCTATTTAAATAAATCTGCATATTTATAGGTGTGCGTAATGGGGGCGGGCCCGGTCACTCCGAAATCTGCGCTCAATTCCAAGCTGACTGGGATTTATCAAGGAAACACACGTGGTTTTCGGCGCCCGCACACCTTGATACATACGGATTTTTTCAGCGTGACAGACCTTGCGTGCGCTCGTTTCTGGTATGAGTCTCATGCAAGTGTTGATACATAAGGCCCCTGGTCTTGGAAAGTTGGCGTTGTGGATTGGAACAATGTTGAAGTTGGAACATTAGCCTCAAGGGTCTGGATCCTGGCGTTCATGGAAGAAAGGGAGGACTGGATGGTCGAAGCTGCGAGGTTGTCCGTTGGAGATGCGTGGCTGACCGCGGGGGCCGTAATTCGCACCCTCTTGTGCGTCTGGGCTGCGCCTACTGCCGAGGCTGTACCGGAATTGCTGGTGGTATGTTTACGTTTTGCTTCGGCTTTTTGAGGAGCAGAAGGTGGAGGAGTGCTTGCAGATGGACGCTGGGGCTCGGAGCAGCTCAGGAAAAGCCCGAACAATTCCTGGTGAGAGGCGCCGATCGGGGCGGGAATGTTGTTCAAAAACAGAAACTGTAGCAACTTTGGGATCGGGCAATTGTTGATCGACGGATCCAGCGTCTTCTTTCGTGCCAACCTGGAGCTTCTGCGGAGAGAGGAAGTTTCCTCCGGGCCAATCACATCCTCTGCATCGGACTCTTGAGGTGACTCCAAGATGCAGTCGACCTGCGGTTGAGGTGGCTACTAGCCATTGGCTGCAGATCAGCGCTTGACGTTGTGTTATTATTATTATTATTATTATTATTATTATTATTATTATTATTATGCATCTGATTTTTTTATATAGTTATAGTTTTTTATAGTTAGTCAGCTGTTCATTCTTGCTTGATCCACCAAAAGAAGGGCAGCAAGTTTTCTCTGCTTCATTATTTCTCCTGTTTTACAGGAGCATTATCTGTTCACATGCCTCAAGCCTGGGGCCTGTTACAAGTGCCTACACAGCAAGAACACAAAGTTAATACTGGAGACTCTGGTGGAACAATGGACACTGAAAAAGGAGGTAGCCCACCCGGACAAGAAATAAAAAGCCAGGTCCAGATTGGTGAAGCTTGATTGATGGGGGACGCTTAGACATCTTACAGACCCTGTAACCTTTCTGCTTGACAGGTAGGCTGCTAAGTTTATTTTATCTAGTGTCCTGTAATGTGTCACGTTTTCGTGACACATTACAGGAGATGAAAGCATTGTGCTCCAGTAACTCCAAAATTTATCCCTGTTGTTAAACTTCACCAGTCTCTCAGCTATCGCCTCACGCCCCCAACTGAGAACTTCTCAAGCCACCTCAGGACCGCCAAGAGACTGATGTAAACAACAGTACACTTATTACACACAGATTTACACCAGGTAGCTAAAAGCACTCCCAGCTGCATAACTGAGATCTACAGATGACTTAGCAGCGGTTAACTCACATTTGTTTTGTGATAGTAACATGTAGTTATGCTGTTTCTGCATCTGCTGCACCTTTCTCCTGATGAAGATCTTTTAAGGTCAGTGCAGATAATTTGCCTTGTCAGCAACTATAGGGCTTAGCTCGTTAGGTCAAAGAGAACGTGAAGTCCAGAGAGGATTTGGTGCTGCAGCTAGAGCTTATTTTGTATGCTAACTGTGTGTACAGAAGTAATTGTGTATACTGCTAAATTAATCCATGTAAGACTTCAGTATACTAGAGTGACAGATAGAGGGGACCCTTTATTCCTACAAAGGATCTCACACTCTGTATATAGCCTTTGGGCTCTACTTCTGTGCCTCATCAACGGCATGGCGCAGGTGCGGCGTAAGTCAGATCAGCCGCGCCGATAAGGCATACCCAAGCACACTTTGGTATTTTGGTCAGCAGTGCAGCTTGGCGTAAGTATCCCCCTCCCTAACTTAGCTCCTCCTAGCGGCGTAAGTAGCAAAGAGGGAGGGGAGAAGGCGTGCAGTGGGTTTAACACAGCCGAGTCCTGTTTTCACCAATCACATCAGCTCCTCTCCTCGCCTTTAAATCCGCCACCAGTGAGGCGTATTACAATTTTCATGAAGTAGTCAAAGAGATCAAGAAATGGCTGTAGACAGCATGCCACACGATGGCGACAGAAGGCAGCCCCTCAACAAGTGTCACTGTTAGCGCTGTGGAGGGTGTCCTCCACACTCTCTCAAATAAGCACAGGGGGATTAGGTGTGTGTAAGGTTGGACCCGAGAGTTAGACAAACATCCTTTTCCACAAAGAAAGACAATCACATCAAGTTGCATATATTTAAACCCCATGTGACAAAGGTGGGTTGTGCGCACAGATCACAACATAAACAAATGCCAATAATGGCATGAAAATCTGAACCACCTGTGCATAAAGGACACATCATGCTCTGTGGCCTGGCTCTTTCTTTCATTGATATTGGAATATAAAATAAATTTGGCTCACACTATATAGTATAATAGTATCATAATAAATTCACAGAATTTTAAGGATCTGAGAACTGGGTGCGCCAACGTTGGCGGGCACGAAAATAGAGCCCTTTGTCTGAAGTTTAACATGAGCTTCAGTTTATTTTGAGCAGAACTAACTTATTTACTGCTATCAAGTTAGCTTCTGAATGGCTGAAAAATGATCAGAGTTACATTTTTGGTTTAACTGTGCCAGTCTCTGTAAAAGGCCAACCCCCTCGTTTCTTTAAAAAAAAAAACTTTTATAAAACCAAGAATTTTTTAAAATAGGTGGTAAACATTTTTCTGTTGTACATGGGAAAGGTTGGCAGAATTAACTAACGCATCTGTTTCACATGCAGCCTGAAACTGATGTCTGGCATCCAGGTACACTCTTCAGGTCTTACACACCAGCAAATTTGTGGAGCGAAGCGAAAAAGTGAGACGAAAATGCGAAAATATTTGCCGGTCCGAAAAATGGCTTTCGCTTATACATATTGGGTGACCACTCTGTGGTACACACTCTCTCCCATCGTTGCTCTTGGTGCCAGTGGTGGTGTGTGTCGTGTGAACTGCAGCCACATGGGTCTGTGATGTCATCAACAACCTGACTTTTGATTGGCCAGAGGTCTAGCAGGTCCAGATATTCGCCTACGAATCTCCCAAAAATTCAACATGAGCGAAAAAATAAAACACGCTTTTCGCCCCGTGGAAAAATCGCCGCTGGTGTGGAACCTTGCATTGACTTTATGCTGTTTTAAAAAAAGGCGAATAATGGCAAATAATTCGCCTGGCGATTTCGCACCTGGGGCCTTATGTATCAACGCTGGCGGCGCCAGAAAACCTTGCGTACGCCAAAATCGCAGCCACGTCCAGATTTATCATTGCGAAACGAGCGTCGGTTCCAGCGCTAATCAACGCAAAGTGAGGAGGTGGTGTAGAAGTTGGCGTTGAGCAGATACTTGCGTTGACGGCACTTTGGCGACGCTGTGTGGCGGTGTTTGGTGACTCACTATGTGACAAGGCCGAGCAGCACGTCGCCCCACATGACGAACCAGCAGCAGACGGAGGGATGATAGCTGATCCCTGCCGGGCCGCTGTCCTCACGCGGGAGGATCTCATCGCCACAATGTGAATGGGTAAGAAGTGACTACACAGTTCAATGAGCCAAATTAATTTATTTTCGCCACCAGACGCTCGAGGACATCTACGAGCCAGTCCAGCCGCTCGTTGATCCCCGCGATCCCCCTGATGATTTCTTCCTGCGATTGCAGGACCGCCTCCGTGAGGACCCTTCCACTGCGTCCGGGTGGTCCAGCCGAAGCGCTGTGGCTGGTGGACGCTCCACTGCTTGTCGGTGCGCTGGTGCTGATGCTGGTGCTGATGCTGGTGCTGATGCTGGTGCTGGGGCCGGGGGCCGGGGTGGCCCGAATGCCACTGGTCCTGGCCGACGACTCCGAACCGGCGGACAGGCTGCCGCGGGCCGGGGTTCCACAAGCCGGCGACACGGCCGGCACATTGATTTCTGTGACACAATAAAAATATTGGTTCATTTCAATTCCTGCTTCTGTGTATCTGTTGCGTTTACATCTCTCTCCACGGTATCATAGGTAATGTAATCCAGTATTTCGAGGTCAGTTATGCACATTACAGTTGTTTATTGCATAAAAAGTTATCGAAAAATGAAGTTAAGGGTGAAGTATAAATCACGTCTAAAAATAGACTGAATCCCGACGTTGAAATGAAGTATAAACTTAGACTAGACGTCTAATATACGTCTTTTGCTAAGTGGGATGGCAAAGCATGTCGACATTTGTGTGACACGCCACTTACCCTATAATAATAATCGCCACCACCCACTGCTCAAACGGCATGAGGGTCTCCTCCCCCTGAGCCCCACCTGTCTGGCCGGTACTCCTCCGGAGGGCAGCTGTACGCCGCTTGACCTCCACCTTGAGGTCTGACCACTTTTTTTTAATCTCTGCGGGGGTGCGTGTCTCTGAACCCACCGCGTTCACCCTCTCGCAAACTTTCTTCCACTCCAAGCGTTTTCGTTTTGCACTGACGCCACTGGACAGGCTGCCAAACAAAACACGCTGTCGCTCCTCCACCTCCGCCACCAGCACCTCCACCTCGCATGCCGTAAATTTAGTTTTTCTTGTCATTTTGTCTGCGTGCGAGGACAGGGAGACCCTATTTAAATAAATCTGCATATTTATAGGAGGGCGTAACAGGGGCGGGCCCAGTCACTCCAAAATCTGCGCTCAATTCCACGCTGATTGGGATTTATCAAGGAAACACACGTGGATTTCGGCGCCCGCACACATTGATACATACGGATTTTTTTCAGCGTGACGGACCTTGCGTGCGCTCGTTTCTGGTATGAGTCCCACGCAAGTATTGATACATGAGGCCCCTGGTGTGTAAGGACCTTTAAACCCAATGCAGAGCGAACACTGGTGCAACAAGACTTCTCTGTCTACTCTTCGCTGTGATTGGTGATTAGACACGTGAGCTGTCTCTGCAACTGTGGAGAGACTGCAGCATTCTGAGTGACCACAAGAAGAAAAAAAGAAAAAGAGTAGAAGTTACCTAGTACTAAGCAAGTTATTGTTTCCTATATTCATGTTTCCTATATGAGCTGCATTTCAGGTTGGCCAATGAAAAAGCAGTCTGGTCGGTGAAGAGGTGAGGAGGTGTCATTTTTCTTCCATTCAGTGAAACGACTGAAGCACAATGACATCTCTGAAGTTTGTCCTCTATGTAACATGTTTGGTCCTGGGAGAAATTTGTAAGTCACGTTAGTATTTCACCTTGTTTCTCTGACTTTATGATTCTGTATTTTCACTTTAACTTAAACTTTCTTGACTGTTTCTGAAGTGAAGTTTACTCTGACATTCAGAATATCAGGATTTGCATTGTCTCTCATTCACTTTAGCTCAGACAGCTGCTGTGAAACCATCTCCATCTGTCCATCAAGAGAGCCGGGAAACTGGAGAGACGCTGACTTTACCATGTGCTTATAAGGAAGATACTGTTACACAGGTGTACTGGTTTAAACACAGTCTGGGAGAGAAACTAAAGCTCATGACATCCAGACAAAAATATGCACCTGGCGATAGTTTTCAAGGTGAATTCAAGAACAATCCTCGCTTCTCACTGGAGACTCAAAATAGCAGGAACAATTTGATAATTTCAGATTTGCAAAGTTCAGACTCAGCAACTTATTCTTGCGTGAGCTGCCGTTACTGCATGATACAAATTTTAGCAACCATCCTAGTTAGTGTGAAGAACTCATATTTGAACATCCCAGCCCTCATTCATCAGTCCAGATCTGAGACCATCCAGCATGTGGGTTCTGTGACTCTGAACTGTACAGTCAAAGCTGAGACCTGTGATGGAGGACACAGTGTTTACTGGTTCAAAAACTCTGAAGAGTCTCAACCAGGACTCCTTTACACCAATGGAGGCAGAAATGAGCAGTGTGTGAGAGAACCAGACTCACAAACACGCACCTGTGAATACAGTTTACCATTGAAGAACCTGAATTTGTCGGATGCTGGGACCTACTACTGTGCTGTCATCTCATGTGGACACATACTGTTTGGAAACGGGACTAAACTGGACTTGGCGAGTAAGTACAAAGCTTTGGAGACAAAATTGATAACTGAGGCATAAACCTCTTTGTAATTACAGTCATTTCCAAGAGACCTTTTTTTTTTTTTTTTTTTTACATAAGAGGCATAGGAGTGTATCTTTATTAATTATATAAAACTGAGGACAGTATCACACAGGAACAAATGCAAACCAGCATTTTGATAAAAAATATACAGGCTATAAATCTTTGAATCACTTTTGCTGCTTGATGACTTGGCTGTATTTGGTGCTAGATTTATATTGAAAAATGTTCTGGGGTACTGTGGTCATTAGCACTGAGAGTTATTACTAAAAGATGGTAAAAGAGATGTACACGGCTTAGCTATGCTCGCCTGTTTCTGCTTGCATTCAAGAGACCACAAATGCAGAGTTTGGTGGTGACTCAGACTATTGTTTGTAGGTCATGCGATACTCAGATAAAGCAGGTGTTTCAGGAACATCCTGAGGTCAGAACAATACCGGCACCTCCAAGCCTTATCTAAAAATCTCAAGACTGTTGTACCGATAAAACAATCTTGAGATTGCGTACTGAAGACCAGCTTATTTGTGGTCTGAGGTGTAGATGTCTTCAGCTTCCTCAAGACAGCACTAAACCACCTTTGCACCTGAGCACACTTCAGAATAGGGGGAAAAAATAACACTTGCACTTCTCAGAAAGATACAGAAAAGTTCAATATAGATGTGTGTGAGCCTGACATGTTAACTGCTCATGACTCCTGATATCTCACAATCAACAGAAAAGGTGTACTTTCCCTATCTACTGGTGTATTTTCTGAGTGGAGGTTGGACAATCACCACCATACTGCTGGTTTTCTTGGTGTGCAGGATGAACAAAAGAAGCCACCAATGCAAAGGTAAGTGGTAATGCACATCTGTTATCTGCAAAGAAGTATTTACTGAAGATGGCATGTAAATGTTCTGAGGTTTTCATTTTTTATTTCATAACAGAGTGCAAGGAAACAAGAGCCCCCATCACATTTTCAAAGGTAAATACCATCTGTTTAAAGTAACAGCTGATTTTTGCAGTTTTTCCAGACTTATTTGATATGAACTGTCTCATGATTGAGTCAGGGCCACTTTTTCAAAGTTTTGTGTAAAGAGTTTGTGATCTCATGGGAATCTACAGGTTTATTTTGAACCCATGACTCTGACACACACAAAAAAGAAGAGTGACCGAGAGGTTAAATAAGTAAATACAGACAAACACTTTCATGCTCTTTTCCAGGTTTACAAAGCCCACCGATCAAGAGTGCAGAGGAACAACACCTGGAGTGAATGTGTGTACTTAAGTGTTACAGAGTAGAGGTGGACAAGTTTGGACTTTTTATGTCGAGTTGAAATAATTTTTGAAAACTATTCATCTCAACTATAATCATCTGGTGGAAATTCATGTCCCCTGAGTAAGAAACAAAGTGATCAGTGCTCTGTGTTTCTGAAGTAAGAGTGAATCCTTGCATCACAGCCACACTGAGTTTTAAGCCACGCTATTATGTGTTTGCAAACCCATTTTTTTGTAGCTGTAGTAAGTAAAAGTTGAATTTCTTTTTTTGACTTGCCGTGAATTTTTGACTTTGAGTGAAACTTGCTAACTTTCAGATTTTTAGTTGGAGAAGGTGAAACTTGCTGAGATGCTGTAAATGGCTCCACAGTCACGCTGCAAGAGGCTCAAGTTAGAATAACTGGTTGATTCAGCAAAAAGGTAAAGAGCAGTGCTTCATAGAGATTTACTGATCTTCATAGACACTGTTCCAACTTTAGATCCAGTTGCTGCAAAAGTGCATTGTCAACATTTAATGTTATTAACTGCTTAATAAAGATTTATTAATCCTTACAAGACATCAATAAGGACATTTACTGTCACATCCATGTTAAATTACACCTGATTGAAGTGAAAAAGTCTTTCCATTAACAAGACTTCAATAAATGCTTGTAGCGGGTTTATAAACCATTATACATTATAGTTATTATTCTAATAAAGGTTCATATAGTTGTAATAATTGTGACAAATGTTGAATTAAGTTGAAGAAGCTGTTTATGCTGTTATTAGTGCTAAGTTTTCTGCAATTGTGTTACAGACTTATAATAAATATTAATAAATCTTTAACCCTTAAAAAGTCTAATTAATGTTAATAAACCTCCCATTGATGTTTATAACAGGTATATAAGCTGTTAACATATTACTAATAAGAGCTTATAAGAATAGTATAAGACATAATAAAGCTGTTTATCATACTTTTATTAACACTTAACATTCATAAATGTTTATAAGCACCTTATAATGTCTTAAAAGTGGCTTTTTAACTATAACTAATGCTGACTAAAGAACCTCTCTATATAATCTGTGTTATTCATTCAATGAAAATCAACCATGCCTGTAATATTTAAATGAAAAGTTAAATGTAAATTACCTCCCATATTTCAGGACACACAGAGGTCCTCTGATAATATTCATTCAGTCCCAATCCACACCTCAGTCACTAAGGGTAGTAATTTAGTTATAAGAAGGTGACTGCAGCTTTTTCAAACTCTTTTCTGGTTAAAAAAAAAAAATGATCAAGATATTAAAGGAAATGAAGTTTTTCATACTATATTGGTGCAAATGAAGCTAAACCATTTTGTTATACAAGAGTGAAATGATCTCTACAGACTGCAATGGTGATTAGTAGTCTAAATTTTACGATGTCTTATTGAAATGATGAAAACTAACATGTTTTTGTTTCCTCTACTTTGAGATAGCCTTTAATATTGTGGGCTGTTACAAAATATGCATTTCAACCACAAATAAAATATATCTGGGAAACACCATCACTCTGTATGTCTGAAAATATATTTACAGGGTTCTCTCTTCTCCTCTCCCTGTCGGTGCAGCAGGTTTGTACACAGTATACAGTATAAATATTGCATAAATTCTAATTGAAAACCCTTTTTTTCTGACTCCTCAGCATTCATTTTCTTAATTTTTTTTTCTGCAGTCCAGGGCTCCTGGCACGAAATACCATCTTTACCAAGTCTTTATTCGACCACCTGGTTACACCCAAATATTAATGCACATTTTCTTTTATCTCACTGTGTTGATGACCATACAGTCCAGCAACAACAAAAACAATAAAACTCAATTAAAAGCAAATTATTTTAGCTTGTCAGTCGAGCTGGGAGTGTTTAAAAAGAAATATGTCATTTGTGGTGTCTTTATTTTTCCATCATGGCGACAACAAAATCAGAGAGATGGAGCCATCAAAACTTGAGCATGTAAAAAGGCAGAATAAATTGGTCAAGATTTATATCAGTTTTGGATCTCAATTCCATCACAGATAATGTGTGAACACTGACAGCCCTGAGATGATACACTATAATCACACAGAGACAAAATATATTTATATGAAAAACAGAGAAAAGGGCAAAGTTTTAACTCTTATAATCTTAAGCTTGTTTCATACTGCTGATATAATCAATAAAATTGAGTAAAAACTAAGGAGTAGAATTGACACATTGGCTTCTACTGCTTTACACTGGAGTACACACACTCCTCTTTGACCATGTTTCTTTGTCTTCTTGATGTTTTGGACATGTTCACACTCAGAGCAGCATAAAAGAGGTTTTCGGCTTCTCTGTGATCCTATGTGTTTTTCGCAAGATGAAACAGGAAAAAATGTAGGGTTAGGGTTAAGACAGTTTAAGAGAAGATGAAATATATTTAAGAATTATATGTGTGAATAAAAGTGGAGATACAAATATAACTAACCTCCAGATTTCTCGAAGAAGCAGCTGAAAATATTGCCTGAGCCTCTGTTTTGAAACAGAGAGAAAGATCTTTAACTTGCAGCTTACATTAAGAAAACACAGATGAAGGAAGCAGCATAAATGACCATACCTTGAGATAGGAAACTGTTTCTTTTGTTCATCTTGTACATACAGACAGCCATGAAAACTATCAGGATAGCTGCAAATATCAACGCACCACTCAAAAAATACACCAAGGCTGGATAGTCCACCCCACCTGGAGGTAAAGAGTCAGGAAATAGAGCTTTGAGCAAAGGATATTTTTGGCATTTTATCAATATTGGCAAATATGAACATTTAATATATATGTCTTATAAATGTGCATGCAATGACAGATTATGTGTGCTAACATGCATGTATGTAATATATTCTATACATGACTGTTTAGATATATTTATGTATGGAAACACATTACTGAGTAACTTTTATATCAGAACAGTTTTGTCTTGTTTTATGACTCTTTCTAAAACAAATGAACTGTCACAATGAGAGTAACAGGAGGTCAGTATTCTACTACAGGAGTGATCTGCGTCCACATGAAATTAAGAAAATTAGTATCACTCTAAGCCAAAATGAGTTTGGAAATATCAGCATATTCATGAAAAATCTAACATTTTGCACCACAGTTTGAAGCTTTAAGCCCTATGTTCATGTCTAGTTTTATAACAAAGTCACAGTTTATCATTTAAAATAACTTTAGCGGTACAGAGACTCACCTTTAAAGTCCAGCTTGATCCCGTTTCCAAACAGTATGTGTCCACATGAGACAACAGCACAGTAGTAGGTCCCAGCATCAGACACATTCAGGTTCTTCACTGGTAAACTGTATTCACAGGTGTGTGTTTGTGAGTCTGGTTCTCTCTCACACTGCTCATTTCTGCCTTCATTGGTGTAAAGGAGTCCTGGTTGAGACTCGTCAGAGTTTTTGAACCAGTAAACACTGTGTTCTCCATCACAGTTTCCAGTTTGGACTGTACAGTTCAGAGTCACAGAGCCTCCAGGCTGGTTGGTCTCAGACTCTGAATGTTGGACCACAGCTGGGATATTCAAACTTGAGCTCTTTACACTCACTTGGATTGTTTCCAGAATTTCTATCACGCAGTAACGGCAAATTATGCAGTAATAAATAGCTGAGTCTGACCTTCGCAAATCTGAGATCGTCAAATGATTTTTACCATTTTGATGATCCAGTGAGAAGCGAGGATTTTTCCTGAAGTCACCATGAAAGCTATCATTTGTTCCATATTTGTAGACAGAAGAGATGAGCTTAAGTTCTTTCCCCACTGTCTGCTTGTACCAAAGAGCATGTGAAGTATCATCATCTTTGTGGCCACATTGTAAAGTCAATCTCTCTCCACTTCTGTGGATCTCTTGACGAACAGATGAAGATGATTTTTGCGCAGATGCCTGAGCTAAAGTGTAAAGAGAGACAAAACGAATGCAGTCATTTTCTGCAATTTAATTATTATCAGAAGATTTTCTTAACATTAGAAATAACTAAACATTAACATTTGACCTTTAAGTAAACACACATTAAATTTAAGGGGTAACAAAGTCAAATAAAAGCACAATTTACCAATATTCACCAGGACCACACATGTCAGGTAGAGGACTAACTTCAGAGATGTCATCGTGCTACAGTCCTTGCACTGAATGACAGAAAAATGACATCTACTCACCTCTTCACAGACCAGGCTGCTTTTTTATTGGCTAACCTGAAATGCAGATCATGATATAGGAAACAGTCACATGATCTCTGTTGTATCCAGTGTCTCTCTCTCTCTCTCTCTCTCTCTCTTTGTCCTTTCATTTACTCACACAGAAGGCAGATTGAACTCATTGGTATAGTCCATAGGTCTTCTCGAGGTTCTCTGAGTCATTTGCATCCATTCAAGAAAAGTAATTCATTTTTAGCAGTTGACCAAACAGCCTCTCTCTTTTTCAATCTTTACAGCATTTTAGCAGCCCAGATATCAAACCGATAACAAGATTTGCAAGATATGTCATGTGACTCTGCTCATCCAATCAAACTGTACATTTTGACAAGACTAGGACCAACTTAGGGCATTCAACAAACAGGGGCTTTAGGGACATGTGGAAGAACCAAACACAGCTACAGCAGCCTGGGACCTCCTCCTCATGCTGGTCACATGCTGCTGTGGGTTGGCATCCCATCCTTCAACCAGCATTTGTCAAAAGTCAGCCAGTTTAGTTGTGTTGAATCGAACTCTTGAATGAACAGCACGCCCAAGCTGATCTCACGAGTGTTATGGTTGTAGTCAGGACTGCTGGCAGACCCCCCCATCCTCTCCACTCACAAATTCTGGAGGTAGTCTCTGATAAACTCTGTTGTGTAGCATTGTCTTCTTGTAGGCAGTAGCTGTTCTAGGCACGGGCGAACAGGGCAGCCGCCCAGGGCGGCATTTGTGTCATGACTCATGGGGGGCGGCACGAGCACTTCCAAAAAAATAAAATAAAAGATAATGATAATAAATCTTAACTGCAAAGCATTTTTTTGTTGTCAAATTGGCGCCCCCCCCGCTGCTGTAGGCGCCCCTGCTTGCTGCGAAGGTGCTGCACAGAGGCTGACAGACTGTGTGAGACGAGGCGGTGAGAGAGTCGCGGGGGGAAAGCTCTGCTCTGTGTACACATGTCAGCATATCAGCGGGAGCGCGGCTGCGCATTGCTACTCTTAAGCCGGAAGCGCGGAGACCTCATTTTGTAGTTTTTTAATCATTTCTGGAGTCGTGGTGAATCCAATCACCATACCCGTCTGCCTCTGATAGACGAATAAAGCGCTCGGATCTTGCTATAAGCGCTTCGTGAGTAAAATAAACAATGACGGACGCAGAGAGCAGCTTCAGAGAAAAATTATCCAGCAGTGTGAACAAACTCTTCATATGGAGTGCTTTGGCTCACACTATCGCAATTTCTGAGTGTTGCATGACTTTGGGTGAGAACAGAGATGAACACACTGTCAGCCACATATTTATTCTAGTTTTTAGAGCTGCTTTTGTACTGGCACTATACTGGGGCAGCTGTTTACCCTTTCAACACCTTATTTTCTATATTTACATTTGTATTGAATGGACACTTTATCATGACTGCCACTTGTTTTACAGAAAGCAAATTATTTGTCATTCTCCAGTGCAGAGCCTTTACTTTTATTTATACAGCCGCTTTATTTCATTTAAGTTTGTTTGTTCAAGGTTTTCAAAAATGTGATGAAGGTTCATAAAACTAAAAGAGAGCTTTCTTGAAAGCCACATGTATAAGCTATCAAATACTTTTTCAATTTTGTTTCTATCTACTACAGAGGCCGAGATAGCAGCTTTTTTGTAAACCTCAACACTTCAGAAAACCTCAGGATCTGGGGGCCCTTCTAAAAATGGGGGGTTGGAGGGGTGCTTGCCTGGGGAGTAATTTAATCTAGAACCGCCACTGCTTGTAGGAGAGAGTTTGGTCCCAGACTTTGGAGATATGAGTTTATGGCTGGTTGCAGAATCTCATCTTGATATCTCCCTACAGTGACATTTCCCTCCAATGATCGCAGGCCTTATTTTCCAGTGAAGGGGATGCCGCCCTACAGTATTACACTGCATCCATGATCAATGTTACCCTACTGATGTCGCAACCAGAATGTCTTCTCAACCATTTCACTCTATTTTGCGTTGAATCACCAACACCAATGAATACAGGCGTGACAGTAAAGAACAGCCCTGTGAAGAGAAGAGATAAGCTGTGTGCAGTCTGTTTCAGATTGTCTGGGCAGAGAGCTGTCTGCCATACCATCCTGGAAACCTCTCTTTAGAAGAGAGCCGACAGTTCCTATGTGCTGACAGGGTAAAGAAACAGTATTCTTGAAAAGCCCACTTTGTGGTCATGCCACGTTTGACATGTTGACAAAAGCAGCACTGGAGATTGTGCTTCTTCAGGCTCCAAATTAATTGAACATTCATGTATTTAAAATGATCTTTTAACAGTTATTATTCAGTTCTGTAATGCAAGTTCTACCTGAAGTAAAGTTTACTTCAAAACAATTTAGTTTTAATATGCAGGAAGTGACTCAAACAAAAAACAAAACAGAGAAAGTTTCAAAATAAAAGCACGACAACAATCATTTGATTTGATATTGTTTTCTCTAAAGGAGTTTCAGTTACTCAGCCAGTGACAAATGACATGACAAAGGATCAAATGTATTCATCTTGAAGTGGACATGAGTTCAAATGAGAAAAGAAAAGGCAACTTACAAATTTCTCCCAGGACCGAACATGTCAGGTAGAAGACTAACTGTAAAGATGCCATTGTGCTTCAGTTGTTGTAGTAAATGATAAAAAACTGACAGTTTCTCAATTCTTCACAGACCAGGTTACTTTTTATTGGCCAACAGAAAAAAAGCAGCTTTTAATATCAGAAAAACAATCACATGCTCACTGTGACACATTCTTTTCATGTGTGAGTTGTTGTTGTTGGGGTGTTGCTCACTCACTCTTTCCTGTTTTTCTCGAGTACTCCCCCCTTGGCCAAAAATACATTTGACACACCTCGAGCTGCATGTTTCTGAGGTGTTTTTACTCTGTTGCTGACTCTTTGGTCGAAGGATGTCATCACTCTGTACCTCCATGTTTCTAAAGTTGAGGCTAGTACATTAGTCTAGTTTACTGTACTGGTTAGTAGAGCCAACCATCAGTTGGCCATCTGGCTGCTTGTGTGTCTGGCCTCTCTTTGCATCAATGCATGCTATTGGCTGTAAGTTTTTCTCTGTTGAGTTGATGTACATTTACAGTATATAACCAATAGAAGAAGAGAAAAACAATAAGGGGTGAAGTGGAAAGATAGCTGAAATTAGCAACAGTGACACTGAAGAAAATACCAACCAGCATAAAGCGTGGCAAAAACACTGTCAACATTACCGAACACTCAGCTGCAACAGTTCAGATAGTATTTTGTCTATCTACAAGCTAACAAAAGCAACACTGATTAACAGTAGAGCTGGATAATTAAAAATACTGACAGTGCGGTGCTGCCTGCTGTGTCTCACTCATTTTGTCCTGAAAGATAAATAAAGCACACCCTCTCTTTCTTCTGTAAAACCAGAATGTGTGCTATGCTCCGCCCCTTTTGCCTTACTTCATCAACAAGAACTCAGATTTATGTGCAAGAAAGTTTTAGAGTGTGAGGAAATTGTGGCCTAAATTTTGGATGCTGGATCTTCAACTGAAACTGACGGTGGAGAAAGGAGAGATGGGAGAGAAGCAAAGTTGGCAGATGAGTTGACTCTATTTTTGTGCCTGCCGATGGTGCGGTGGAGTGTGGCGCTTCCTGCACAGTGGTATTCTCGTCTTGCAGAGCCAGGCATACAGCCAGTTTGGTATTTTGGTTGACCGAGGCGTACCGAGGTCAGCCAAGCTGGGAGTGGTGGCACGGTAGGGGGAGGTGGCGACAGAATCAGCTGAGGCAGTGACATTTTTGGTGTGAATGAGCCAATACAAGCTAACTCCCTCAAGAGATGAATGTTGCCAACTGCTTGCTTCTCTAGTTACACCAACTTCAGCAACAACTTTACAATAGTAAGACACAGCAATGTTTGTCTCCATGTGCAAACCTCGACCAAAAAGCTACTCTATAGCCACAAATAATGCTCAGAACGGCACCTAACATCATCAACAGTACATAAAGGGTCCCAGCCAAAGTACTAGCCACCAAACATCTTTTTAGCTTTGCCTGGTTTCTTTTGCAAAGAGACCAAACACAACTCACCCACTCTCCTCCTGCAGCCGCTTGTTTGTCAGGGGAAGCCCTGATGAGTCAATCACAGAATGCACGAGAGTTTCACAGCTCAGGGAAGAACATTTATGATCATTACTTCATGGAAATACAATCAGAGTTCTTGTGTGTCTTGTATGTGCACTGCAGATGTGTAAGTTTTTCTGCTTTAGCCTCTCAGTCTGATTGCTTTTCCATGACGTAATAATTATAAATTTTCCGCTGCACTCAGTGGCAACATTCATCTCTCAAGGGGGAGTCTAACTCTGTGTTATGGTGTGATTGACCATAACTTAAATTTACACCAGAATATCATTTTAATGTGCATTTCATTGTCATTTATTTATTAATTTCAAAATAGCTCAAATTGTTTAAGTTTTAAAGAGTTTTTATTTATACTCTTACCTTATTTTTTTTAAACATAATTTTTGTATGATTCTTAAATCAATAAAAGTACAATGAATCAACACAAGTATAATTTTATTAAACCACAAAAAAGCATCCACCCCTCTCTCTGTAGATGGTTTGATCCAAAAGATGCAGCATGAGATCCTTTCTGGAGGCAGATAAACACAGACAGGCAGGTAACAGGTAGTTGTGTGTCTTGTGTAGTTGAACTGTTAATTGTAGAGAATCAACCCATTTTTTAAGGTTTTCAAAGGCTTGATCCATCCCTCTATCAGGGAGTTTAGCTCTGTCCTCATTCACTAATCTGATTTATTACGTAGTATAATGTAGCAGAGAGTTTAGAGCTGAGTTAAATCTTGTGACAATGAAAGTGCTGACATTAAACTGATACATAACGAAAGTAGAAAAATACCGAATTCAACATGACAACTTGATCTGAATGCAGAGATAAATCTCCTCCTTTAAGTAAAGAGTACACAGCACCAGATGGTAATAATACGGACAAAGGAGAGGTAGAAATGAAAGAGATAAAAAGTCACACTTTTAAAAAGAAATTAAAGAACAAAGTTCAGAGCTAGAAGTGGGGTTTTGCATTTAGTTATGTATTGAAATAATGGTATCACAGCATTAACGTCTAAATAAGGTTTCACCATAAGAAAAATGACCTGTGAAGTCAACTGGCACGCATTTGATTTATATGTGTTTAATTCATGTAAGAAAAAAATCAGTTACAAAGAGTGGTTATCACAGATGAGTTACAACTGGTAAGAATGGGGAAAAACTCCTAAAATAAAGAAAATAAATTTTAAAAAAAATCAAAAAGTATGCAGGTGGTTATCTATTTATGGCTTATCTCACATTGAGGGTTATCATTCCAAATCCACAAAGAAGCACCAACATTATTGAGTGAGAGTAGCAATATTCCTCTGAGGTGTAGAGAAGCTGCGATATTAAGGAGCGAAAATTCGAATACTAATGTTGCTCAAAGTATGATGTTTAATATTAATGTTAACTAATATAAATATCATAATATAGTATTTGCTTTGTTGCTGTGCTTTGTGACTTTGGATATTAAGACTGCAAAAGGAAAGTTTTCAAATGAGTTAAACAAACTACACAGTTTTTAATACAGGTAAAGCTATGAGGAAATAATTCAAAAGGTCTTTGGACAAAGGACAACAACAAAAATATAAGGTTTTATTTACATGCCAAAAAAAATGATTCACTCAAATTCAGCGCAAAATCTCAATAGAAAATATTAAAGCTCCTGAGATGAATTTTTGGAAGAAAAAAAAACAGGCTTAGTCAAACAGTGCTGTGTCTCTGTGGTGTTCAAATAAGACAGTTAACATCAAGGTTATCAATTCCGTTAATATCTTTTTTTAAACCTGTACTTGCTGTGAGGTGGTCGGTGCTCTGAATGAACAGCCGTTGTCAATTTTTCCACAGCAGATATTTACAGTGACTAATTAATTTCAATGTAAAATTAAAACAGGAGTTTTCTCTGTCAATTAAAACCAATTTACAAGAACAAAACTGAACCAGCCATGATGTAAGGGTGACAATTTTTTCCAAAATCATCACAGATAGAAAGTTCCTCACAGGAGCCTTAGAAGACCCATTAATGAGTGTAACTAAATTCAGAAATATAACCACATGAAATGAGGAAACAGTCTAACTAAAGTAAAATATTTTGACTTCTATTTCTTCACACTGGAGTACACACACTCGCTGGTCGTGTTTCTCTGTCTTCTTGATGCGTTGGGCTTTTTAACCCTCACATCAGCATAAAAGAGGTTGTCAGCTTCTCTATGAGCCTATGAAAGATACACATTTCTCATGATATGGACAGTTAAAGTAGCTCAAACCATGTCTAAAGAACAAACTGTTTTGTGAAGTTACAATACTTTCAAATAATCTTTGACCTTTACAAGAGAAAGGGAAGATTCTTACCTCCAGGTTTCTTGAAAATCTTGCTACAGCATCTAGTTAAGAAAAATCGCAAAACACCCTTTAACTTCAAATTCATGGAGTCATTAGCAGAAAAAAGTGTAGTTACTGTACCTTGAGATTGGGAACTGTTCCTTTTGTTTGACTTGTACAGTAGGACGGCCAACACAACTACTATGATAGCCACAAATATCAAAGCTCCACTCAAGAAATGCACCAAGACTGTGCTGCTCACCCGGTCTATTAAAAAAAGAGTAGTAGTATTAATTGTAGTTATAGTTTATTTCGGCTTTGAAACAAAGTCAAGAGTCAGATATATCAAAAGGAGCCACAAGCTTTTATCAATATAATCATGTTGTTTCAACTATATGGCTCACATGAAAATCTGTGAACACAGATTACAAATCCACATTTACGGTTTATAAATCATACAAATAGATTCAAAACCATGTACACCATAATGGCAAATTAGCAAGTATAATTTAACTGTGATTTCAGATATGTGATCCAGGCACGTGGATTTGCATGTACACCCTTTTTCTTGACCTGGCAGCTGGGGAACTCAAACATCAGATGAGATTATTTGTTACCTTTAAAGTCCGGTTTGGTCCCGTTTCCAAACAGTATGTGTCCACATGAGACGACAGCACAGTAGTAGGTCCCAGCATCAGACACATTCAGGTTCTTCACTGGTAAACTGTATTCACAGGTGCGTGTTTGTGAGTCTGGTTCTCTCACACACTGCTCATTTCTGCCTCCATTGGTGTAAAGGAGTCCTGGTTGAGACTCTTCAGAGTTTTTGAACCAGTAAACACTGTGTTCTCCATCACAGGTCTCAGTTTGAGTCACAGAGCCTCCAAACTGGTTGGTCTCAGACTCTGACTGATGGACCACAGCTGGGATGTTCAAACTTGAGCTCTTCACACTGACATGAATGGTCTTCAAAATGTTCAGGCTGTAGTGACCTGAGCCTAAACAGTAATAAGTACCTGAATCTGATCTTCGCAAATCTGAGATTGTCAAATGATTGTTGATATTTTGAGCATCTAGTGAGAATCGTGAATTGTTCTTGAATTCTCCATGAAAATTAGATTTTGTTCCAAAGTAGGGGAAGGTCGAGATGAGCCTGAGTTCCTCCCCAAGACTTTGCTTCAACCAATAAACCCGTGAAGCACCAGAACCTTTGACACATTTCAAACTTATATCCTCTCCAGTCTCTCTTTTTTCTCGATGAACAGATGAAGAGGATTTCAGAACAGTTGTCTGAGCTGAAGTGAAAAGAGAGGGGACATAAATACAGTTATTTGCTATGATTTGATTAAAAGAAGAGGATCATAAGAGAAAAACACAACTTACTGATTTCTCCCAGGACCAAACATATGAAGACGATCTTCAGAGATGTCATCGTGCTTCAGTCGTTGTACCGAATGAAAGAAAACTGACTGTTTCACGCCTCTTAACAGAACAGGCTGCCTTTTCATTGGCTGACATGTAGTGGTCTCATTTGATATAGGAAATAATCACATGCTCACTGTTGTGAGCTGCAGTACTGTGTGTCTGTTGTTGAGGTTTTTCTATCTCATTCTCACCCAGTGATGGTAAAAGGTCTGAGCTCACTGGTTTCCAACCCAGACAGAGTATAAAGAAAGATTAAAGCCAACCATCAGTGGGTCTTCTGGTCACATGTGTTTGATGTCTCTTAGCACCCATGCACTTTCTTGTTTGGGGGGGTGTTGTTTCTTTGTGCCTTTGTGTTTCTGAAGAGGTATACAATGAAATTATAATAACAACAGAACATTAGAAATAGAGCTATTTTCCAAGCACATAGTGTTTAAAAAAATTACCCTTGTACAAGCTCAGAGAGTAGGAAGTCATGCATATAATAGCAGTTTGCTGGATTGCACAGTGTAGCTTGATCAACTCTGCATTATTAGCATTGCACTTTTAGAATATTGAAGTTTACCCTACCATGGTAGGGTCGTTCGAGGCAGATGTCACATGATCCAACCAGTGCCTCTATTTGTTTACACATCCCTGGCCAAAATAAGACATGTCTCGCCCACTGCTTGCATTTTTCCATGCCCAAGAGGCCTACGTGGTTGCGTGCAAGCATGTCAGACCTGAGTGAATGTGGCACGATTATCTTTTCTCTTTTCAGTAGAATGCCATTCACTTTAGTGATTTCATCCCTGTGGTTCAAATATTCAGCGAAGGTAGGGGGACATTGTTTCACTGTATCTGGCCATCCTGACCAAATCATCTTCTGTAAGGTTGTGAGTTGAGAGTCTTGCTGTCGCAGCCCTGATGTCTTCCATAATGCTCTTGTCCTTGTATAGCTTCATTCCTCTCTGTCTGGTTCGCTCTAGCATGGCGTGCAGGTTGACATTGTGCTCCTCTTGTGTGCAGCCAAAGACTAGGATGTCAGCCACAATGGCGGCGACGCCTGAAAGCCCTTCATAGGCCTCGTCTATCCGTCTCTGGAACTCATCTTGTGCGGGTACAATCCCAAACAGGAGGCGTCTGAACCTGTATCTGCCTTAGATGGTGTTGAATGTGGTCAGGATGGATAACTTATGGATCGGTTTTATTGCCCAGTACCCAGACCTGGCATCTAGTACACCGAAATACTGTGCACCTGCTAGTCTAGGGGTAATGTCATCTAGAGTAGGGAGAGGATAGTAGGGTCTCTGGATGGCGTCATTCAGGGGGCAGGGGCAGTCCTTAATTTGTCCTCCAGGAGGTGGCGGGTCCCCCTCTGGAGCACGCGCGCCGTAAAAATGTGCTTTTTTCTTGGGTTTTTAACGCGTTTTTATTGTCTTTTTCACCTCAATTTCCGCGCCTACCTAGTATAACATTTGCAGCAACATTTGGCACACCATGTGGCCCATCAGAACACTTGGAATCAATTTGGAATGAGCAATATAAATAACTGACGTATTGCAAACATACATATTTTTATTGTTAACAGATTTCTTTGACACCAGTATAGCCAGTCTTTCTCTTAGTGTGTCACTGTCACCTAAGCACCACATCAGAAAAATAAAATACAATAAATTTAACAAAAACCTCAGAATATAAAATAATGAAAAAATTACACAAAAAGGTCTCTATTTAGAAGGATGAAATTGAAAACATAAATGACCAAACATCACTAGAATGATGAGTTGTGCACACTGCACAGTAATAATGTATCCAACCAAACTTGACAGGCAGCAGATACAGTTTGGTTAAATGTCCTGTCTATTTGCCACGTTGTTGTGTGCTTTGTCCATGAATAACTTCATGCTTGTTGACCAATTGTCTTCTCTTGTAAACTGTAGTCACCAGAAAGGCCTCCTGCTGTCTCTCTGACTCACTGGCTCTCCTGTCCTCGCTCCATGTAGTTTCCCTTCAAATGGCGGGGAAATGGACTTAGGACTGAATGTTCTATTTTAAAAAGAAAGCCTAAACAGAGTGTCACACTGTCACTGTGACGCGTTGTCAATCACGCTGCAACTGTATACACACACACGCGTACACGCACACGCATCCACATGGCACCAAACAGCGCAGCTTGCTCTGTGACTGTCCAAGGTGTTGACTGCAAAATGCCGATATACAAATGTAGCAATGATGGGACTTTACACCATGTTTTCACTCGCTAAACACTCATTATTTCACCCAGCACAAACATCGCTCCTAATCAATAACACTGCACAACAGAAAAATAGCAATAAACAACGTGTGCTTACCTGTCAATTTATCTGTCGAAAACTGCCCACACAACATCCATGGAGCCTCCTGATCCTTATTCTTACTTCTTGTTTTACTCCTCTGGCTTAGGGCGCTTCTATGTCCTTTAGCAATCCATGACTTCACATATGGCATGGGGTTGAAACGAGTCAGTGGTGGTCCAACAAGACACAGAAACAGTAGGGAGGAGATGGTGGACGTGTTGAGAGATGCCCTTTCTGCAGTGCAGATTAGATTAATTTGAGAAAAACCTCTTTCACACTCTGCACTTGAGATGGAGAGAGTGTTGACCACAGCAAAGAGGCCCTTCAGTCCATCTGGGATCATTTCTCCGTCATTGTCACGGTATTCTCTGTATGCCCGAATGACACTTCGCAGATCATCATCAATGCCAAGCTGCTGGCAGAGCGCCTCAACTTCATGTTCCCTATACAGTGCGCTTGCATCCTGTGGCCAATATTGCAGGTACAGGACTTTTAAGTCGTCAATTAACTTGTTATATGACTTGGATCCTGTCTGGTGTTCTCCCTGTGACAGCAAACGTTTTTCCAGATTGCGTGCCAGGCTTTCAAAAAAATTGTGTGGTCCAGGGTTCGATCATTGGCTCATCCTGCATGTAGTGGGACACCTTGGAATGAGATCTCCTCAATTCCCTTCTTAGTCAGTTCGCAGTGATGTCCTGGTCGTGTTGACATGGCTTTGAAGACCCGGACCTGCTGACAGTTGGCTTTATGTGCCATTATGATTGTGCATTCTTGTTTTTGGAGCTCAAGGGACAGTTCCGACAGTTCTTGTAGTGTATCATACATTATTCCCAAGTTGTTGACAAATGCATATGAGGACACTTTTTTTTCCATGCCACTGTAGGTGTCCCTGGAGGAGCAGTCACGTGCCCCATCCTCTGCTGCATGGGCAAAGTGTTTGTGGAGTGCAGGATAATTTTTCCACACAGCTTCAACCATTCTGAAACTGGCTGCGACCTATCTATTGTCCAGGACCCGACCAATTTTACACAACTGCAGGTCTAAACTGTTGGCAGCACTTTTCACTTCCAATCTGTTTTTATTTGATGTACTGTACAGGCTATACAGCTTATCCATCAGCATTTTGAAGTGGTTAATGGCCCCTATTTCTTTCATCACATAACCGACAGCTAGCTCAAGACGATGGGCAGAGCAGTGCCATACTAATATTTTGGGGAACAGTGTTTGTAACCTTGCTGCCACTCCGCTATTACGACCGAGCATCCATGACGTGCCGTCACTAGTGAGACCGATGAGCATGTTTGAGAGAAAGGCTTCAGTTAACTTGGCATCCTTTAAACAAGCCAGTAGTTTGTGGACAATGCCTTCAGCACTGAAATCTTCTAACTTGACAAGATCAAGAAATAATTAATGCGCTCTTTTTATTTAAGCTGGTTGCCTCATCCAGGCTGAGCGCAATTTTTGGAGCACATTCAACTATCTTGTCAAGCAGTTTTTCTCTCATTTCGGATGAGATGTACTGTTGTATGTTGCAACACGAAGCGTTGGAGTAAAGAATCTTCCCTATCTCCACACCATTCAGCTGCTGGCAGTCTATTTCGTGCTCAAAGCCGTACACTGGTCTGTGACGCTTGGCCTCCTTATAAGCTGTACGGAAAACCCTTGCAGTTGTTTGCATATGCTCGGACTGGTAATTGATCACTGCAGTTGGCAATGTGTCATCTTTTGCTCTCTCCAAAATATGCTCTGCTGCTCTGTGTGCCTTAGTCTTCCCATGTTCACAGATCTTTTTCCTTGAAGCCCTTTTTTGCTTCTGTAAGCCTGTAGCGGAGGATGTGACAGAACTTGTGACCCACTCTTTTGCCAGTTTCATGCCTGCAGTTTTTTCTGGGCCCAATGACTCGACTTTTTTTACATGTTTTACAGCCAAAACCTGACTTGTCCACTGTAAGCCAGGAATAAAAACTTTGTTTAATTTTGAACTCAGCTTTAGTCTACACACCCCATGCAGTCTGGGTCTCTCCTTCACCCGCAGCCACGTCCTCCTCCTCCTTCTCGACTCCTTCATTGTTACTGTCACTCTCTGATTTGTCCTGGTTATCTATATCATCCTCTTCACGCACCCCGTGGACTGACATCACTGCTCCTCCTCATCCGTGCTCCTGCTGACAGCGCAGACCACATCTGCAGCGGCTATTATGCTGTCACCACCCTGGGTATCCGCAGAGCTGGCATCTGCCTCCAAAACAACTTTGACCAGTTTGGGGTCTGGCTGACCAACTGGTTAAAAAAAGTTGACAGTTTTGTTTGTCTCTTCGACATTTTAGCAGTAGGCTAACAGTAACAGTAGTTTGTGTGTTGTTAGTCAACTGGCTGTTTAGTGTTGTTTACCTATTTGTGCGCGGTGCCGGTACGGAAACAAAACCATCCCAATGCGCATTGCGTTGTGACACGTGACGGCATAAATCACTTTTTCCCCCTGTTTTACCTAATTTCTGAGAAAAAACATAAGAAATAAGCCAATAGGTGTAACTTCAGAGAGAAATAAAACACAGAGAACACATAGATAAAAACACAGTTCATTATTGACAGGGAAGGTCCCATAGCAGATCAAACAGGTGCTGGAGCGGCTGAAATAGGTCCCAGATTCGATCAAAGAGGTCCCAGAGCGCACTCTGGCTTGCTCCGGCACAAATTAAGCACTGGGCAGGGGTCTAAAAAAATCCTGAGCTTTCTTGTTTTGGGCTTTTCTACAACCACCAGCGCATTAACCCAGTCTGTTGGCTCAGTAACCTTCTCGATTATGGCCATCTTCTCCATTTCCCCCAACTCGTCCTTGAGCTGATGGCGTAAAGCATGTGCACTCTCAGAAAAGAGGGTATGGCAGAAGTTTAGTTTGGTTCTCTAAGGTACAACTGCTGTTGATGTACCCTGAAAGGTTCTCAGTTGATCCACATGGTACTCATATGTCTGTTATTTGGGTCAAAAGGGTACATATAAGTTCCACAATGACCAGGGGTCCACATCTGTACCATTTTTTTCCCCACAAACGGGGGTAGAATGATGGGGGGGGGGGTCTCTATTTTCAAGTAAACCCCAGACAACACCAGTGAATTCAACATTAGAGTTGGCCCAAACATAAAATTGCAAGGCACACAGTATGATTTATAAACAAACAATTAGAAATTCTTCTATTATCTTAATACATACAAATGATATTGTGTGTGTGTGTGTGTGTGTGTTTTTGTGTGTTTGTGGGTGAGTGAGAGAGAGAGAGACAGAGAGAGAGAGAGAGAGAGAGAGAGAGAGAGAGTACCTGCTCCCTGGTGCTTGGTGCTACTTTTTAGTACCTGCTTCACTGGGTGTCGAGAGAACAAGCACCAGGAAAAAAAGAAAAACAACATTCGGCACCGGTACTAAAAGGTGACATTGTGTGGTGTGGTGATTGAAAATGTACCCCGAGGGTCCACATTTGTACTTCTACCTCAAGTCAACTCTTCCCGCTGAGGCTCCGTTGCTCCGTTTGTGAGCCTGAGTTGCTGTTGCTGTTTCCCTGATAGCTTCTGCTGCTGTTGCTTGGTTGGCCTCTATCCTGCTGCCTGTTCTGCTGCTACTTCATTGTCAGTGGACCGAGTTTTGGTGCATAAAACGCAGTCTTATCTAACAGCCGTTCGGCGACTGGATGAATGATCACAACAAACAACATTATGGTGTATCCGTTTTGGTTGCGTTTACCACATTCGACCGCAGGCATACAGCGGTGCGGGAAACAGGTAGCTTATGGCTAATGACTCCTCTCACAGTAGTGCTAAGATGCGATCAGTAGCGGTTCTAGAACAGGGCAGCCGCCCAGGGCGGCATTTGTGTGATAACTCATAGGGGGTGGCACGAGCACCTCCAAAAAAAAAAAAAAGATTATAATAATAATAAATCTGCACCGCAAAGCGGTTTTGTTTTAACTCTTGTCAAATTGGTGCCCCCTGCTGCTGTAGGCACCCCTGCTTGCTGCGAAGGTGCTGCACAGAGGCTGACAGAGTGTATGAGACGAGATGAGGAGGGGGTCACGGGGGCAGCTCTGCTCTCAGGATTGCTCTCACTCTGCCAGGATTTTGCATCAAGGAAGGCAAGAAAGGTCAGGTTTTAGTTTTAGTTTGTGTTTTCTGTTCATAGAACAATCACATTTTATTTAGTGTGTTTTCAAATTTGTGTGATTTGCTATGTACGATTATTAGTTAATATTTTATTTAATATTTTATATTATTCTTCTGTTCTTGTGCTGTCTTGTTACATTTTTGTTAAATATTTTGACTTTTATGTATATAATGTATGTTTATTATTTAAGCTCTGATATCCTGTTTTATGCAGAATTGCCCCATTGTCTTTTGCAATGTTGGAGGTGGAGAATATGCACCATAAAAATTGTCTTGGATGGGGTCTCCCCTGGGGAGTAATTTAGTCTAGAACCGCCACTGGATGCGATACATTTGATTTAAAAATGTACAAACAACCATTCATGGACAACCATGTATTCAGTGCTGCCAAACATGCAACAGTAAAGTGTATATTGGATTGCGTCCCCGGACATACAAGACTCATGATAGTTCCTAGCTTACCAGGGTCAGGTAATTTTGCTTTTGCTCAAGATGTGGTAAATGTACTCACTTTATGCTCCTTTGTATGTTTTGTTTTCTCTCTCTCTCTCTCTCTCTCTCTCTCTCTCTCTCTCTCTCTCTCTGTAACAATTCTTTCAGATAATGAAGTGGGTGGAGAAACAGTGGAGTGTGGCTTGACAGATAACATGATATTGTTCGCAAGCAAAGTTCCATAAATTTGTTCGGGAGCTGAAGAATGAATTAGTTACACTTACATTAGAACCAGTGCCTGAAGAATTTTATGTACAGCCACAACCTGTCACTAAAGAAGGGTGAGTTTGGCAAAGAATTAAAATTGTGAGTTAAAATGTATTTCAAGGTGTCAGTGAGTAGAATGTTGAATACTGTTGTCATAAGTGCTAATAATTATGTTTGCATTTTCACACCTTATACTTCAGTCATATCATATTACTAAAAATGTGCACCTTCTGCATGCAAAACAGTACACATTATTAGCAAAATGATCTAAGAGCATCCCAAGCATTTTGAGATGACGATGTCCATTTCAAAATAATAGTAGGTCAATCAAAAGACTCCAGATGATTACAGACAACTCAAGAATCAAAGGGGAATAACATTAGCAAATCAAAACATATTGGGGAATAGTAACATATTGGGGAAAATTATATGTTTGGCGACAAGCAATGCATTATTAGAGCCGGCATTCTCTGTGCCCCTTTCACTCTCATTATGTGGATATGCGCAGCTCTCCATTTGGTTCTAAATATCTTCTGAAGTTCTTGTAATAACACCTAAGATATATGAGTAAATTATTTTGTGCCAGAAATAAGGTCCAGATTTAGAAAAAATAGAACTTTTCCTTTGAGCTTAAACTAATCAAATCATAAAGAGACGGTGGAGTAGTTTGATCTACAGCAATGCTTCATATTCAGAAGATCACATTGTGTTTGAAACATGGCTAACCAGTTAGCTCCATTAGAACTCTCTCTGAAAGGCCTAACTGTTTCAGCTCTGTCAGGCATTTCCTAGTGATCCCCCCCTTTTTGTAGTAGCACATTGCTTAGGAAACTTCAGTCAATATTTAAGGGAAAATCTTAACTTCACATCTGGAGATAATTGATTTTCAGAGAACAGGAAGGGTATAAAAATTTTAAACCTTAAAGTAACATTCACTTCACTAATATGAAGTAGAGTTACAAGTTGAAATTGGCAAAAGGGGTAATAGTGGAGTAGAAGCAGGCTATAAAGAAGCATAAAATGGAAATACTCAAGTCAAGTGCAAAAACCTGCAATTAAAAATGCTTAAACATATTGCACTACTAATTTGTTGCTTTTGTGACATCCTGTTTACTGGTAACACAAATTTCTTTCTCTTTCACACCCTGTCAGAAATAAGGCAAATGGGAGACTTCCCGTTGTGTTTGTTATTCCTCCTTTCCCTAAACACCTTCAGAACAGGCTTGATAACAAGGAAGCATGTCAGAGGTCATCCCGAGATCGACATAGGATCATTCATGTTCTACAAGAGGCAATGTTAGAATACACAATGTGAGTCAGAAATGTCCACAGTTTAGATGTAGCTCATTAATTTGCTGCAGTGTCACTGTCATTGCTTTAATAACATATTTCAAGCAGTTACATTTCAGAGCCAAATTTACTTGTACCTGACAGGTCAAGGCTCATGTCATGATGAACTTTGATTCTTACTTTTAAATAGTGGCTATATGGTGAAGTATTCATAGCATTATTCTTTAATCTATTCCCTCTCACAGGTATCCTACCACTGGATGTAGTTAAAGCACTTGTCACACAGTACCCCTTTCTCAAGGATCTGGAGGGAAATGGCTATGTAAGTTACACAGTTTGGTAGTTTTGATGTTATGCAACTGTATATTGTATAATGAAATGGGGGGGGGGGGGGGGGATTGTGCTCCATTTTGGCTCAAACGACACGTCCCTTAAGCAGTCCAAAATCCCAAAGAGGGAATTTAACCTGCTTTTTAACGTTTTAAAGGACACTGGAAAGACAGTTTTTATCTCTGGCCCGATCCCCACTCTCGGTCGTGGAGCAGAACGTTTTAGCAGGATCCTCAGCCTCCATACCTGGCTCCAATCCACATGCCCCACCCACAACTTCGGTTTTATTGACAATTTTAATCTGTTTTGCGACCGAGCATCACTTTTCAGTCCTGATGGGATCCACCCCAACAGGCGGGGTAGCCGAATGCTCTCTTACAACATCCAGTATATGATCCACTCCTCACCCGTCTGACAGTCTGCACTCAGCAGCCCATCTTTCCACACCCAGGCCACCCCCCCTCCTCCTCACAATAACCTCTGGTCATCTCATAACAGTCCCACAATCCCCGCTCATTCACCTGCCAACCCCCACCTTCCTCTGCCCCCCCAACAAATAAATTACTATCTTCCGATTTAACTCTTGTTTCCATGGTAACAATCCCAAGGTGGTTATTCTATCTTGAGCTTCTTGCAGTGTGACTGTGGACCCATCTACAGCATCTCAGCAAGTTTCACCTTTTACAACTAAAAATCAGAAAGTTAGCAAGTTTCACTCAAAGTCAAAAATTCACAGCAAGTCAAAAAAAGAAATTCAACTTTTACTTACTACAGCTACAAAAAATATATGGGTTGGTAAGTTTGAAGATACAGGTCATGATTTTAAGTGCATTTTGTCAGTTCTACAAATGATCGCAAACACATAACAGCGTGGGTTAAAACTCAGTGTGTCTGTGGTGCAAGGATTCACTCTTACTTCAGAAACACAGAGCACTGATCACTTTGTTTCTTACTCAGGGGACATGAATTTCCACACAACAGATGATTACATGATTATAGTTGAGATGAATAGTTATCAAACGTTATTTCAACTCAAAAGTCCAAACTTGTCCACCTCTACTCTGTAACACTGAAGTACACACATTCACTCCAGGTGTTGTTCCTCTGCACTCTTGATCGGTGGGCTTTGTTAACCTGCAAAAGGGCATGAAAGTGTTTGTCTGTATTTACTTATTTAACCTCTCGGTCACTCTTCTTTTTTTTGTGTGTCTGAGTCATGGGTTCAAAAGAAACCTGTAGATTCCCATGAGATCACAAACTCTTTACACAAAACTTTGAAAAAGTGGCCCTGACTCAATCATGAGACAGTTCATATTAAATAAGTCTGGAAAATCTGCAATAAATCAGCCGTTACTTTAAACAGATGGTATTTACCTTTGCAAATGTGATGGGGGCTCTTGTTTCCTTGCACTCTGTTATGAAATGAAAAATAAAAAACCTCAGAACATTTACATGCCATCTTCAGTAAATACTTCTTTGCAGATATTACCACTTACCTTTGCATTGGTGGCTTCTTTTGTTCATCCTGCACACCAAGAAAACCAGCAGTATGGTGGTGATTGTCCAACCTCCGATCAGAAAATACACCAGTAGATAGGGAAAGTACACCTTTTCTGTTGATTGTGAGATATCAGGAGTCATACCCAGTTAACATGTCAGGCTAATACACATCTATATTGAACTTTTCTGTATCTTTCTGAGAAGTGCAAGCGTTATTTTCTTCCCCTTTTCTGAAGTGTGCTCAGGTGCAAAGGTGGTTGAGTGCTGTCTTGAGGAAGCTGAAGACATCTGCACCTTAGACCACAAATAAGCTGGTCTTCAGTACGCAATCTCAAGATTGTTTTATTGGTACAACAATCTTGAGATTTTTAGAGAAGGCTTAGAAGTGCCAATATTTTTCTGACCTCAGGATGTTCCTGAAACACCTGCTTTATCTGAGAGTGGCGTGACCTAAAAACTACAGCCTGAGTCACCACCAAACTCTGCATTTGTGGTCTCGTGAATGCAACTGAAACTAACAGAAACGCACAAAGCTAAGCCATGTGCACCTCTTTTACCATCTTTTAGTAATAACTCTCAGTGCTAATGACCACAGTACCCCAAAGAATAAACATTTTTCAATGTAAATCTAGCACCAAATACAGCCAAGTCATTAAGCAGCAAAAGTGATGAAAGGTTTATAGCCCGTACATTTTTGATCAAAATGCTAGTTTGCATTTAGCTTGGCTTGATGACACTGCTGTTCCTCTTGTGTAAAAAAATGTCTTTTGGAAATTACTGTAATTACAGAGAGGTTTATGCCTCAATTATCATTTTTGTCTCCAAAACTTTGTACTTACTCGCCAAGTCCAGTTTGGTCCCGTTTCCAAATAGTATGTGTCCACATGAGATGACAGCACAGTAATAGGTCACAGCATCAGACACATTCAGGTTCTTCACTGGTAAACTGTATTCACAGGTGTGTGTTTGTGAGTCTGGTTCTCTCACACACTGCTCATTTCTGCCTCTATTGGTGTAAAGGAGTCCTGGGGTCCGTTTCACGTAGCAGGTTTAGTGGAAAATCCGAGTTTGTTAACCCTGAAATCAGGGAAACTCTGAGTTTTCCGTTTCACAAAGGAGGGTTAGTTAAACCAGGGAGAGAGGGGTAACTCTAACCTGTTTCACAAAGAGAGGTAACTCAACCTCGCGGTCAGTTACCACAGTAACAGACTCCGTGAACCTAACCTGCTCGGGAGCAGGTTTAACTCAGTAAACCCAGAGTTTCAGGTGAGACATCGGCATTTTCTCATTTCGATCATGTTTTACATTGTCGACTAAGTATTAAGTGACAGTTTGATCCCTTAAAAAATGCTCTTTTCACACTCAAAACTGAATTTTACTCTCTTATTATGTTCCGTTAAATGATTAGGAATATTAAACTAACACAAAAACGGGTGGTGGTCCAGCAGCCCCACCTTTAACGGAGGCAGAGGAGCTGCCCCCCACCCCACCCCGTTCGACGATCGCGGCCGGTCCGATCGCAAATCCCCCCCCCCCCCCCCCCCCACACACACACACACACACACACACACACACACACACACACACACACAGACACACACAGACACACACACACACACGCACACACACTAGTCCGACGATCGCTGCTACGGGGTGGGGGTTGCGATCGTCTAAGGGGGGGGGGCAGCTCCTCTGCCTCCGTTAAAGATGGGGCTGCTGGGCCACCACCCGTTTTTCTGGCATCTGCCCTCTTTCTGTTTGCTGAGTGAAAGTCTAATATTGAGTGTAGTGTGTGTTAGTTTAATATATGTACATATACATACTGAGAGTTAGTTTAATATTCCTAATCATTTAACGGAACATCATAAGAGAGTAAAATTCATTTTTGAGTGTGAAAAGAGCATTTTCTAAGGGATCAAACTGCCACTTAATACTTACTTGACAATGTAAAACATGATCAAAATGATTCAAGCAGTTTCCCTGCAACAGTCTGTCATTGTGTTTGCACGAGACTAGATTTAAAGTTACGCATTGACGCGAGCAGCGATTTCCTCCCAAGCCCTGTCCCTCTCCTTTGCAGCTGCTGCTGTATTGCACTTTCTTTTAAAAACGTGCTGTCATTCGCTGTTGGCTTGCTGCTGCCCCCTCCTTCTCCCTGTTTCCATTGGTTGATCATTGAATCTGCGCTCCACAGATGCTGGCTGTTTATGTCTGGCGTGCACGTGCTTAACTCCAGGTCAAACTACTCGGAGTTGTTAAAACCGTCTCAAATCAGGTGTTGTGAAACCGGAAACTCAGAGTTTCCGAACTCAGAGTAGATCAACTCAGAGTTAAGGATTTAACTCAGAGTTTGTTGAACCACCTACGTGAAACGGACCCCTGGTTGAGAATCGTCTGAGTTTTTTAACCACAAAACACTGTGTTCTCCATCACAGGTCTCAGCTTGGACTGTACAGTTCAGAGTCACAGAACCTCCAGGCTGGTTGGTCTCAGACTCTGACGGATGGACCACAGCTGGGATGTTCAAACTTGAGCTTTTCACACTGACATGAATGGTCTCCAAAAATTCCACTTTTTGGCCGTTGAAGCCTAAACAGTGATAAGTTCCTGAGTCTGACCCTTTCAAATCGTCGATTGTCAAATGATTGTTTGTATTTTGAGCATCCATTGAGAATCGTCGATTGTTCCTGAATTCACCCTCAAAAATAATTGTTCCATAGTAGACAGATGAGATAAGCCTGAGCTCCTCATCAAGAGTTTTCTTATACCAGGAAACTTGAGTAGCACCATAACCTTTGACACATTTTAAACTTATAGCCTCTCCAGTTTCTCTGCTTTCTTCTAAAACGGATGAAGAAGATTTTTGAGCATTTGTCTGAGCTGATGTAAAAAGAGAGAAGACAGCAATGTAGTTATTTGTTATGGTTTGATTGAAATAAGAGGATCATAAGAGAAAAACACAACTTACTGATTTCTCCCAGGACCAAACATGTGAAGACGATCTTCAGAGATGTCATCGTGCTTCAGATGTCGTACTGAATGAAAGAAAACGGACTGTTTCCCGCCTCTTAAAAGAACAGGCTAACTTTTCATTGGCTGACATGTAGTAGTCACATTTGATATAGGAAATAATCACATGCTCATCGTTGTGAGCTGCAGTACTGTGTGTCTGTTATTGAGGTTTTTCTATCTCATTCACACCCAGTGATGGTAAAAGGTCTGAGCTCACTGGTTTCCAACCCAGACAGAGTATAAAAAAAGATTAAAGCCAACCATCATTGGGCCTTCTGGTCATGTGTGTTTGATGTCTTTTTGCACCAGTGCACTTCCTTGTTAGGAAGTAAATAAAGCTGTTTTCCAAACACAGTGTTTAAAAAAATAACCCTTGTACAAGCTCAGAGAGTAGGAAGTCATGCATATGATAACAGTTTGCTGGATTGCACGGTGTAGCTTGATCAACTCTGTATTATTAGTACTGCACTCTTAGAATATTGAAGTTTTAACTAGTTCACATATAATATAATATAATATAATAGTTCATAATATGATATTCAGTTTAGTGAGCCAAAGTTATTTTATATGCCAACATCTATGAAAGAAAGAGCCAGGCCACGGAGCGTGATGCGTCATATACGCCCAGATGGTTCCGATTTTAATGCCATGGAGTTCATGTTGTGATCTGTGCGCACAACCCACCTTTGTCACGTGAGGTTTGAATATGTGCAACTTTATGTGAGTGTCTTTATTTGTGGAAAAGGGTGTTTGTCTTACCAGTGGGTCCAGACGTACACACACCAAATCCATCTGTGCTCATATGAGAGAGTGTGGAGGACGCCCAATGCAGCGCTTACAGCGACACTTGTTGAGGAGCTGCCCTCTGTCGCCATCGTGTGGCAATACTGTCTTCAGACATATCTTGATCTCTTTGACTGCTTCACAAAAATAGTAATACGCCTCGCCGGTGGCGGATTTAAAGGCAAGGAGAGGAGCTTATGTGATTGGTGAAAACAGGTCTCGGCTGTGTCAAACCCACTCCACACCCTCTCTCCTCCTTCGCTATTACTTATGCCGCTTGGAGGAGCTGAGTTAGGGAGGGGGGATACTTACGCCACGATTCTTACACCAAAATTCCAAATTGTGCTTGGGAACGCCTTGTCGGCGCGGTGGACCTGACTTACACTGCGCCTGGGGCACGTCTTCGGCGAGGCACAAAAATAGAGCCCATTGTCTCCAATTTCCACCAGCCTCTTTCTGGCACCCTGCGCTTCAGTGGGCTTCGTAGCCAATCACCAGGGTTCTATTTTTTCCAGCAGTGCAGCATGCCACACAAATTCCGTTCAGATTAGCCTGTTCTAGAAAATAAGTCAGACACAGACACAAAATAAAACATTCGATTTCTTTTCAGGTGGATCGTATTTCACACTATGCAAACGTGGGCGGGAATGAACAAGTCAAAGGTTTTCAGACTGCATCTCACCCCGTTGACACCATGGATAGGGAGATGCTGATCCTGGAAGTCCAAAATCACCAAATAATTTATGACCGGTCTCATCCCTTATGTATTCCATCCCAGGATTAATGGGACTGGATGGTAAGTTACAACCTAGTACCAATATATGTTGTCTGGACAGAGTGGATGTTCTCCTCTGGAAGGACACAATCTGCTGCTCATATGGCAATGTGGCTATCTTTATAGAGACAACTAATTATCGTGTGATTGCATGTGAATTTGCAGATTCTTGTGAGTCCTCGTCATTCCTGCTGTCTGAAATTTACCACGAAATTCACTTCACAAACGCATCCAGAAGGAATTGGCAGATGGTGAAAATTTCTGCCATTCTACAGCAGAGCAGTTCCAATGCGATAGAAATTGGGGGTAATGGTGTCCAAAGCACTGGAGAGGTAAAACAACATGACCCTCACAGTGCTCTCTGGTTTTGTCCAGGTGAGCATATACACGCTTCAGCAGGAAGGTTTTTATTATTTAGCCTTCATTTAAAGGTGGGGTAGGCAAGATCTAAGGAAGTGCCAGTTTTTAGGGAGAAATGTTGAATGTGAACACTACCCCTCCCAACCAGTTTTCCCCTCAACTTCTCCTCTCCCCTCCCTCTCTGCTCCAGCAAGCCCCGCCTACAAACAGCCCGCTCGTGCTCGCTCGTATCGTTCCAATTCAGTTCAGATATAATGCAGATAAATACTCCAGATAATTACAAATGGAGCCCAGTCAATGTGAAAGTAAAAAAACTTTGGTGCTACTGTAGATGCCAACAGACTACCAGCAAACACAATGTTTGCAGGACTTCTAAAACTAGCATAAAGGGACATAGTCCAGGAATGGAGGTCAAAGGTTTAGCAGCGCTACAACATGCAGCAGGTCCTGTTTGACAAGAAACACTTCTGTTACAGACACTTGGCTTACTTTGTTGTTTCCAGCAGAAAGGTTACAGGGTCTGTAAGATCTTGAAGCCTCCCCCATCATTTATGCTGATGTTGCCGGCTTCTAAGCTCTTGACCTGTCTATCTTTGTTTTAAGAACTTGTCAATCTGCCAGGGTCTCCAGTATTTACTTTGTTTTCTTGCTTGTTTTTTCTGTACTTTCTAGTTGGTTTCTACCATCCAATGTTGTAGCACGCTTTGTTTGGGCTTGTGTAGTAGAGACAGTCACTTCTTTTGACAGGTCGTTCCAAAGTCAAGCAGCTCTGATTGAGAAAGCTCTATCACCTTTAGTTTTGAGTCTCGACTTTGGAACGACCCGGAGGCCTTCGCCAGAGGATCTGAGGCTGCGAGTTGGCTCATATGGTTTTAAAAAGCTCTGAAATGTAGCTTGGAGCAAGTCCTTTGAGTGCTTTAAAATGATGTGATGTGATGCCATCTACTAAAACCAGTTAAAAGCTTGGCTGCTGCATTTTGAACTAGTTAGAGGCGGGAGAGTGATTTCATATTTGGACCAGGGCGGAGAGAGTTACAGTAGTCCAGCCTTGAAAAAATGAAAGCGTGCTTTATTTTTTTGAGATCTGGTGGGGTGAGTATTAGTTTAATCTTTGAAATGGAGCGCAGGTGAAAAAAAGCAGGACTGGATGATCTTATTGGTATGGGTGGAGAGGGTTAGGCCTGAGTCGAAGGTTACTTCCAGATTTCTGGCTATTAGTTTGATGATTGCTGAATGTGGACCAAGACAAGACTGTATGAGGGGGGAGTTTTGTATGTTACAGAGAAATATTTCAGATTTTGAATAATTTAGTTGAAGAAAATTTTGTGCCATCCAATTTTTAATGCCACTGAGACCGTCTATGACAGCAGCTAGGCCTGGAGAAAATTGGACCTAAAGCTGAACCTTGCGGTACACCACAGGCGATAGCAGAAGTAGAGGAGGTGTGATTGCCTATAGTGACCAAAAAGGTTCGCTGTAAAAGATACCACTGAAACCAACCAAGTGCAGTGCCCCTGATACCCATCTAGTTTTTCAGACTAGCATGATCAACTGTATCAAAAGCTGCACTGTGATCTAAAATAATCAAAATTGAGCCCTCCCTTCTATCTGCTGCTAAAAGAAGGTCATTGGTCACACAGAGGAGGGCAGTCAGTTTGGATAAAAATGGAAGTTTTGTAATTGGTCTGAAATTGTTAAAATCAGAGGGGTCAAGGTTTGGCTTCTTTAAAAGGGGTTGGATCACACTGTGTGTAAAAGCAGAGGAAAATACTCCCTTTACCAGGACTATTAATAATGGATAAAATGCTGGGCCCAACCGCGTTAAGAACCTCTTTGAGAAATCTAGTGGGGATAAAATCAAGACTGCACGTAGCTGGTTTCATTTTGGCTAAAATATCAGATAAAAAGGGTAAGGACACTGGTTCAAAACTGCTGAAATAGTGCTGAACTTCTGCACTTATGAATACAGAGCGACTGGGAGAAGTGATTTGATGCCTGATGTCTATAACCTTGTTAAAAAAATAAGTTAAAAACTTCTTGCAGGTGTCTTGAGAAGCATCAGTAAAATAAGAGGGAGGGGGGTTGGAAAGCGACTCTAAAACCTTAAATAAAACTCTGGGGTTCAAATAATTAGCTAAAATCAAATCACAGTAAAATGCTGCCCTTGCATCCTTAACTGCCTTCTGGTATTTTCTCATGGAGTCTCTTCAGATTTCAAGGTAAACCACCAGACCAGTTTTCTTCCATTTACATTCATTTCTTTTTCCATTTTTCAATTGTAACATATTAATATGTTCATAGCAGCTGTAAATGACACTCATGTATTTATCTTTTTTTATATCTTTTAACTCTTAAATTTCTTTATTCTTTAAAGTCCCACCCCAGTCATTGTTATTTACAACTTGACGCGTTCTCAGTGGTCATTAAATTGTGATTATGAATTTTTTAGCCAATACTAGTGTCATTTTCAGGGCCTCTTCCTCCGCAGAGCTCCAGTTGCTCATAAGCAATTCGTCACTGAGTTGTGGGTGGTGACAGCGCTGCCCTGCACACTCGTCTTCACACTAGCTTGTAGCCTAACATTGCTTGTGCAGCAGAAGTTGCAGGTAACATAGGAGCTATTCAGCTCACAGATACTAATGTCTTGAGGAACTTGATGAAAGGTAATTTCATAACTAGCCTTCTTACGAGCTTTGCAATCTGCTATTGTCTGCATTGTCTGCACGTGCTTGTTCCGCGATCATCATCTCTATTTCTCTGAGTGTGACCTGCATAGCAGAGCTCCGGGGGTCAGAGTTTGGATTTGCTACGTAGGAAATCTCACTGTTTCTGAACCTGCCGATTGGGTCTGTCAGAGATTCACAGCGATTTGAATGCAGAAATACTCAGAAATGAAACTGCGCACTTATATTTCTCATGACATGTTATGTAGCATCAGAAAAAAACCCTTGTATGAACATGTAGAGAACAAGAAAAACATGATTTTCATCAGAGTCTGTCTTTAATCTCGCTTTTGTATTTATCCCTGGTGTAAATTTAGAACTTCCCCTTGTGGGACTAATAAAGGAATATCTTAACTTACTTTATCTTCTCTTAGGAAACACAGTCACACATTTACTGTGACACACAGCATGAGTGCACATCTTTGGCAGGAGGGAGTTGTTACCCTTTGCCTCTGTGTTTCTTGAATGGAAACTAAAGAGCCTCCTTTTTCTTTTTTCTTGACACGAATGTTTACAGCTGTCAGCTTTTCTCTGTTGAGTTGATATACACATCATATAACTAATATAAGAAAAAAGGGACAACAAACAGCCAATCATGTCCCAGGGATGGGGCTGGGCTGACTTTGGGACATTTGAGGTGGAGCAGAAAGAAAGCTGAAATAAGCAATAATGACTCTGAAGCCGATAATCCACGGGATGCAGGTTGGTTATGTCACGTTCGGCCTCTGTCAGATAGTGCACGTCATCACCCACTGGAAGCTTGTTTGGAGTGTCGCAGCAGACGAGAGCTGCAGAGCTACAGGATCACATTAGAATATTGAAACCACACAATGAGAACCTAACATATAGGAGAACAGATCTCAAAGGGGTTTACTTGGCATAACATAATGTGATTAATTGTTTCTGTGATAATTGTTCTGTGATTGGTGTGTTTCTATCATGGGTGAGTAATCTGAAACATTTCAAGTCTTCATGTTTGAATTTTAAGTATGTCAACCAAGCAAAGCCCATTTGTGTATTTTTGTGATGTAACACAAAGTAAAAAGTTAAAATTTCAGTTGTGTAAAGGCTGAGTGATTTTGTTGGTCTTGTTGGATTACTAAAGACTAAATGATTACATTAAAAAGAGGGAAGTTGGAAAAAAAAAGAGGGAAGAGGCTGTGGGTGTGGGTGCATCCCCTTAACCAACCAAGACAACAACAAGGGGACTTTTACCATCTTGTGGCTAAGCTGAGGCTGGACAGCCAGCACCATCACCGATACTTCAGGATGACTGCTGAGCAGATAGATGAGCTTCTATCCCTTATTGGATATGGACTAGGCAGTCAACAACCTCCAGGGCTGTCGTAGAGACTAAACAGAGACTAGCTGTTGGACTGAGGCCAAAAGCTCATTCAAAAAACAATTAAATCATAAATTCACTGACCAAATGCTCCCTTAAAATATAATGATTATGACAATTATTGATGTTAACTAATATAAATGTCATAATTCAGTATTTGCTTTGTGACTAAAGACTTAAAAGGTGAATTGTCAAGTGATTAAAACTAACTAAACTGTTTGTATTACAGGTAGAGGTATGAGGAAATATTTCAAATGGTCTTTGAAAAAACAACAACAAAAATAAACAAACAAACAACAAAAATGTACGGTTTTATTCACATGCCAAAAAAAAAAAAAAAAAAAAAAAATTAACTCCCATGAGAAGTTTCAGGACATGAACAAAGCAGACTAAATCAAACAGTGCTGTGTCTCTGTGATGTTCAAAGACAGTTCACAACAAGGTTATCGATTTCTATAATATTTTTTATATACTCGTACTTGCTCTAAGGGGGTAGGTGCTCTGAATTAACAGTCTTGGTTAATTTTTTCACAGCAACTACAGTGACTGATTAATTTCGATGTAAAATCAAAACAGGAGTTTTCTCTGTCAATAAAACCAATTTACAAGAACAAAACTGAATCAGCCCTGATGTAAGGGTGACCACTTTTTCCAAAATCATCACAGATAGAAAGTTCCTCACAGGAGCTTTAAAAGACCCCATAATGAGTGTAACTAAATTCAGAAATATAACCACATGAAATGAGGAAACAGTCCAACCAAAGTTGTAAAAGTAAAGTATTCTGACTTCTATTTCTTCACAATGGAGTACACACACTCGCTGGTTGTGTTTCTCTGTCTTCTTGATGCGTTGGGCTTTTTAACCCTCACATCAGCATAAAAGAGGTTGTCAGCTTCTCTATGAGCCTATGAAAGATACACAAACATTTCTCATGATATGGACAGTTAAAGTAGCTCAAATCATAGAACAAACTGTTTTATACATTTACAATACTTTCAAATAATCTTTGACCTTTACAAGAGAAAGGGGAGATTCTTACCTCCAGGTTTCTTGAAAATCTTGCTACAGCATCTAGTTTAGAAAAATCACAAAACACCCTTTAACTTCAAACTCATGGAGTCATTAGCAGAAAAAAAAAGTGTTAGTTACTGTACCTTGAGATTGGGAACTGTTTCTTTTGTTTGACTTGCACAGTAGGATGGCCAACACAACTACCAAGATAGCTGCAAATGTCAAAGCTCCACTCAAGAAAAACACCAAGACTGAGCTGTTCAACCCGTCTATTAAAAAAGAGTCAGACATCAGAAAAAGAGCCACAAGCTTTTATCGCTATAGTCATGTTATTACAACTATATGGAGTCCCCCCGAGGTGCAAGGTTAAGGAAAAAGAGGCTCACATGAAAATCTGTGAACACAGATTACAAATCTGAATTCACAGTTTGCAAATCATACTAATGGATTTAAAACCATGCACACCATGATGGCGAATCAGCAAGTATCATTAATAAACTGTGAATTCAGATTTGTAATCTAGGCACCTGGATTTGCATGTTCCCCCTTTTTTTTTCTTGGCCTGACAACTGGGGGGCTAAAACATCAGATGAGATTATTTATTACCTTTAAAGTCCAGTTTGGTCCCGTTTCCAAACAGTATGTGTCCACATGAGACGACAGCGCAGTAGTAGGTCCCAGCATCAGACACATTCAGGTTCTTCACTGGTAAACTGTATTCACAGGTGTGTGTTTGTGAGTCTGGTTCTCTCACACACTGGTCATTTCTGCCTCCACTGGTGTAAAGGAGTCCTGGTTGAGACTCTTCAGAGTTTTTGAACCAGTAAACACTGTGTTCTCCATCACAGGTCTCAGCTTGGACTGTACAGTTCAGAGTCACAGAACCTTCATGGTGGATGGTCTCAGACTCTGACGGATGGACCACAGCTGGGATGTTCAAATTTGAGCTCTTCACACTGACATGAATGGTCTCCAAAAATTCCAGTTTTTGGCGGCTGTAGCCTAAACAGTAATAAGTACCTGAGTCTGACCCTTTCAAATCTGAGATTGTCAAATGATTGTTGATATTTTGAGCATCCATTGAGAATCGTCGATTGTTCCTAAATTCACCCTGAAAAGTAATTGTTCCATAGTAGACAGATGAGATAAGCCTGAGCTCCTCATCAAGAGTTTTCTTATACCAGAAAACCTGTGTAGCACCATAACCTTTGACACATTTTAAATTTATATCCTCTCCAGTTTCTCTGCTTTCTTCACAAACAGGTGAAGAAGATTTTAGATCATTTGTCTGAGCTGATGTGAAAAGAGAGAAGACATCAATGTAGTTATTTGTTATGGTTTGATTGAAATAAGAGGCTCATAAGAGAAAAAGCCAACTTACTGATTTCTCCCAGGACCAAACATGTGAAGACGATCTTCAGAGATGTCATCGTTCTTCAGTCGTCGTACTGAATAAAAGAAAACTGACTGTTTCCTTCTTCTTAACAGAACAGGCTGCCTTTTCATTGGCTGACATGTAGTAGTCTCATTTGATATAGGAAATAATCACATGCTCACTGTTGTGAGCTGCAGTACTGTGTGTCTGTTGTTGAGGTTTTTCTATCTCATTCACACCCAGTGATGGTAAAAGGTCTGAGCGCACTGGTTTCCAACCCAGACAGAGTGTTAAGAGAGAGTAAACCCAACCATCAGTGGGCCTTCTTCCCACACGTGGTGATGTCTCTTGGCACCCATGCACTTTCTTGTTAGAGGGTGTTGTTTCTCTGTGCCTTTGTGTTTCTGAACTAATGTGTTTAAAAAAATAACCCTTGTACAAGCTCAGAGAGTAGGAAGTCATGCATATAATATCAGTTTGCAGGATTGCACGGTGTAGCTTGATCAACTTTGTATTATTAGTACTGCACTCTTAGAATACTGAAGTTTTAACTCGTTCACAAAGAGATTGCACAGTTGAATATAATTATTTGAAGTGGAGAAGCTTACAGTTACTGCAGTAGAAATAAGTCCAGAGACAGTCAGAGTGTGAGCTACTCAGAGGGAGGAGTTATAAAGTTTGATGACCACGGGTAAGAAAGACTTCCTGTAATGCTCTTTGGTGCATTAAGGGGGAATGAGTCAGTCACTGAATGTGCTTCTTTATTTAACCAGGATTTTATAGAGTGAGTGGTGGGTGCTATCCAAGATTACATGTAACTTTGACAAAACCCTACTCTTTATCACCATCGTCAAAGAGTCCAGCTCTACCCCACAACGTCACTGTCCTCTATGATGAGTTTGTTGAGTCTGTTGGAATCTGCTACCCTCAGTCTGCTGCTGCAGCACACAACAGAAAAAAAAGGATCACACTGAACTTTACAGACTCAAAGACCATCCTCAGCATGGTCCTGCAGATGTTAAAGGACCTCAGCCTCATTAGGAAGTACAGAGGACTTAGGCTCTTCTTGTAGACAGCTTCAGAGTTCTTAGACCAGTCCAGTTTGTTATCCAAGTACACCCATAGACTGTATATAGAATGTATATAGAATGGACGCTGTCTGCCTCCTCGCAGGGTGAAGCCACTCCGGGAACAGCACCCTCTGTTGATGGGCTGCAGTATAGGTCATAAATCCCGCCTCCGCCAGCAAAGCTTATGGAACGGTGGACAAACTTTATAAATTTATTACACAGAATATAAATTTTTCTCCCCCCTGCTTGTGATGTTGACATGTAGTTATTGTAAGACTGGTTTGTGCTCAAGTCCTCTTTTTTTCTGTGAAGCTCTGTTTTTAAAAGTTATTAGGGGGTTCATGTTTTCTATGATTGACACCTGATACAGCCTATGGGCGTTCAGGGATTGAGTAGCTCTCCCGGGGGATATGCTGTTTGAGCCGAGCGTCATCACAGTGACTCTTTGCAACTGCGCAGCCGAATGCGCACAATGCTACTGCAAATCTGTATACAGGCGGTAGGCGGAACTAGGTTGTCCATAGTATATACAGATTATGAGTACACCCTAATGTACTTGGAGCCCTCCACAATGTCCACACTGACCCACTGAATGGAAACAGGGGTCACTGGTGCCTTTGTCCTTTGCAGATCCACAATCAGTTCCTTAGTTTTTGTCACATTGAATTAGAGATAGTTCTGTTCATACCATGTGGCTCATACCAAGTTACCCCCCTTAGTCCTGCAAAATAAGATAAGAAGGACTTTATTGATCCCCAAAGGGAAATTTAATAAATGGATTCAGCCTCATCACCATTCTTGATGCATCCAACTTTTCCAGTCATCAGAGAACTTCTGAAGGTGTCAGGACTCTGTGTTGTAGTTCAAGTCTGTGGTGTAGAGGGTGGAAAGAAAAAGAAACAGGACTGTTCCCTGCAGGCCTTGGTGTTGCTGACCACTCTGTCTGACACACAGTGTTGTTAGTGTAGGAACTGCAATCTGCCAGTCAAATCACCAACAATTAAAGACTAAAGAGGAGCTTCCACCTGCATCGCTGTCAGGTTCTCCGCCAGTAGAGACAGCCTGATGGTGTTCAAAGCACTGGAGATGTAAAACAACATTATCTCTGGTTTGTCTAGTTGAGTGTAGACACGGTTCAGCAGGAAGGTGATGGTATTCTCTACTCCAAGGTGGGGCTGGTAGGCAAACTGGGGCAGATTCAGGAGGTGTCTGACCCTGAGCCTCAGCTATTCTAGGATGAGTCTCTACAGGATCTTCATTATGTAAGACATCAACCCCACTGGGCTGTAGTCCATATTCTTCAGCACTAGAACAACGCAGGATGTCTTCCACAGCACTGGGACTCCTTGAAGACTCGGGATCATGATGAAGCGCTCCACAGAGCTTGGGGGACAGGCTTAGAGCACAATAGGGCTGACACCTTCATGGACCCACAGTCTTTCCTATGAGGAGTCTCATCAACTGTCTTCTCATCTGGTCAGCTGTGAAGGAAACAGGCAAATAATATGGGCTGAACTCCCACAGCTTATAGTTCAATCTCCAGGACTCTCTGCAGGAGTACAGACGGCTGACGTGTGTTCACTACACCAACAGAAAAATAGCAGCTTCTGATATAGAAGTACCTGGGTGTTCACCTGAATACAAATTGGACTGGACTCATAACACCAATGCACTTTACAGAAAAGGACAGAGTGTATCTGCTCAGGAGGCTGAGGTCTTTTGGGGTGCGGGGGGGCACTCCCGAAGACCTTCTATGACTCTGTAATGGCCTTTACTATTTCATCTGGAGTTGTCTGCTTGGGGAGCAGCATCACAGCAGCTGACAGGACGAGGGTGGACAAACTCATAAAGAAGGCCAGCTCTGTCCTGGGATGCTCTCTGGAACTAGTTGAGGAGGATGGGGAGAGGAGGATTACAGCCAAGCTGTCCTCCATACTGGACAGAGACTCTCACCCCCTCCAACACACACTCACTGCACTGAGGAGCTCCTTAAGGGACAGGAGGCTCCACCCAAAGTGTGTGAGGGAGAGGTATCGCAGGTCATTCCTTCCTGCAACTGTCGGACTCCACAAAAAAACTTCAGTCTGCAATAAAACACATTTATATGTACATTCTGTACACACGTGTGCTTATTCTGTGTATATGGACATACATAAAAATATAATAATAATAATAATAATAATAATAACTTATTTGTATAGTACTTTTAAAAAACAGATGTTTACAAAGGTCTTTGACATGTAGTCATAGAGCACATGGAAAAAGATAGACGAAAACAAAATGCTCAGTAAAAACAGAATTGAAGGCCATTTTCATGTCATAAGGAACCAAGACAATACAAGAACGTGCAACATATCACCTTTAGTTTTGAGCCTCGACTTCGCCAGAAGATCTGAGGCTGTGAGTTGGCTCATAAGGTATTAAAAGCTCTGAAATGTAGCTCAGAGCAACTCCTTTGAGTGCTTTAAAAGTAATCAATAACATCTTAAAATTAATTCTAAAACTGACGGGAAGCCAATGCAGGGAGGCTAAAATTGGAGTGCTGTGATGCCGTCTACTAAATGCAGTTAAAAGACTAGCTGCTGCATTTTGAACTAGTTGGAAGCAGGAGAGTGATTTCTTATTTGGACCAGGGAGGAGAGAGTTACAGTAGTCCAGCATTGAAAAAATTAAAGCGTGCTTTATTTTTTTGAGATCTGGTGGGGTAAGTATTTGTTTAATCTTTGAAATTGAGCGCAGGTGAAAAAAAGCAGGACTGGATGATCTTATTGATGTGGGTGGAGAAGGTGAGCTCCGAATCAAAAATTACTTCCAGATTTCTGGCTATTGGTTTGATGATTGCTGAATGTGGACCAAGACAAGACAGTATTTTATGTATGTTGTATGTTATGTATGTTATAGAGAATTATTTCAAATTTTGAATAATTTAGTTGAAGAAAATTTTGTGCCATCCAACTTTTAATGTCACTTAGACAGTCTATGACAGCAGCTAGGCCTCTTGGATCCTCAGGTCTCAAAGAAACGTATATCTGTGTGTCATCTGCATAGCAGTGAAAGGAGGCTTTGTGGCGCTGAATTAATTGGCCGAGGGGCAGCATGTTGATAGAAAACAAAACTGGACCTAAAGCTGAACCTTGCGGTACACCACAGGCGATAGCAGAAGTAGAGGGGGTGTGATTGCCTATGGTGACCGAAAAGTTTGCTCTAAAAGATACGACTGAAACCAACCAAGTGCAGTGCCCCTGATACCCATCCAGTTTTTCAGATGCTCAATTAAAATAGCATGATCAACTCTATCAAAAGCTGCACTGAAATCTAAAAGAATTAAAATTGAGCCCTCCCCTCAAGCTGCTGCAAAAAGAAGGTCATTGGTCACACGGAGGAGGGCAGTCTCAGTGCTGTGACCTGCTCTAAAACTAGACTCAAAGAGGTTGTTTTCAGACATAAAACATAAAACCTTCTCTAAAAGTTTGGATAAAAATGGAAGTTTTGAAATTGGTCTGAAATTGTTAAAATCAGAGAGGTTGTGGCATGTGGCGTATTTTGTGGACCCAGAAGCAGACTCAGAGGCAGGTAGCAAGTTAAAAATGTATTTTTTTATGTCTGAAACACAAGGTAAAAGGCACAAGGAAAGTCCGGTTGGCTGGCTGACTGTTGTGTGGGCTGGAGACACTGTGGACAAACAGAAGAGAATGAGGTTAGAAGTCATACGAGGATTCACAGGGAGCAAAAGTCACAAGCACTTAGCCGAGGAGAAGGCCAGGAGAAGTGTCTGTACCACTCAGGAGTGAAGACAATACTCAGTTGTGAGACTGAGGGCTGCTGGATTCTTAAAGGGCCTTGATGGCAAATGCAGCGCAGGAATGGAGTCTTGCTCAGCCTCAGCAACCGGGGAGAGGGAGCGTGCTCTGAAAACAGTCAAGCCAGACCAGGGAAACAAGGAAAACAACCAGAAGTTAAACCAAAATAGAGCAGGAAGCGGACGCGTCTCACCGCAGGGGTCAAGGTTTGGCTTCTTTAAATGGGGTTGGACCACACCGTGTTTAAAAGCAGAGGGAAATACTCCCTCTACCAGGACTATTAATAATAGATAAAATGCTGGGCCCAACCGCGTTACAAACCTCTGAGAAATCTAGTGGGTATAAAATCAAGACTGCATGTAGCTTGTTTCATGTGGGCTAAAATATCAGATAAAAAGGGTAAGGACACTGGTTCAAAACTGCTGAAATAGTGCTGAACTTCCCTACTTATGAATGCAGAGAGAGATGCCTGATGTCTATAACCTTGTTAATAAAATGAGTTAAAAACTTCTCTGCCTTCTGGTATTTTCTCATGGAGTCTCTGCAGATTTCAAGGTAAACCACCAGACCAGTTTTCTTTCATTTAGGTTCATTTCTTTTATCATTTTTCAATTGTAAATTATTACATTCTAATAAACAAATAATTGTTTCTTCAGTGTACGTACAGTGTCTGAGAGCAGGAGGAAAAAACTTTTGTTCTTCTGATGGTCATGGCTGAGAAAAGAAAAAGAAGAGGGATGAGGCTGTGGGTGCATCCCCTTAACCAACAAAGACAACAACAAGGAGACTTTTACCCTCTCTTGGCTACGCTGAGGCTGGACAGCCAGCACCATCACCGATACTTCAGGATGAGAGCAGATAGATGAGCTTCTATCCCTTATTGGACATGGACTTACTAGGCAGTCAACAACCTCCAGGGCTGTCGTGGAGACTGAACAGAGACTAGCTGTTGGACTGAGGCCAAAAGCTCACTCAAAAAACAATTAAATCATAAATTCACTGACCAAATGCTGCCTTAAAATATAATGATAATGAGAATTATTGATGTTAACTAATATAAATGTCATAATTCAGTATTTGCTTTGTGACTAAAGACTGTAAAGGTGAATTGTCAAGTGATTAAAACTAACTTAACAGTTTCTAATACAGGTAGAGGTATGAGGAAATATTTCAAAAGGTCTTTGAAAAAACAACAACAACAACAACAACAAAAACAAACAAACAAACAACAAAAATGTACGGTTTTATTCACATGCCAAAAAAAATGAACTCCTATGAGAAGTTTCAGGACATGAACAAAGCAGACTAAATCAAACAGTGCTGTGTCTCTGTGATGTTCAAAGACAGTTCACAACAAGGTTATCGATTTCTATAATATTTTTTATATATAGTCGTACTTGCTCTAATGGGGTAGGTGCTCTGAATTAACAGTCTTAATTTTTCCACGGCAACTACAGTTAGTGATCAATTTCGATGTAAAATTAAAACAGGAGTTTTCTCTGTCAATAAAACCAATTTACAAGAACAAAACTGAACCAGCCATGATGTAAGGTGTGACCACTTTTTCCAAAATTATCACAAATAGAAAGTTCCTCACAGGAGGCTTTAAAGACCCCGTAATGAGTGTAACTAAATTCAGAAATATAACCACATGAAATGAGGAAACAGTCCAACCAAAGTTGTAAAAGTAAAATATTCTGACTTCTATTTCTTCACACTGGAGTACACACACTCGTCGCTGGTCGTGTTTCTCTGTCTTCTTGATGCGTTGGGCTTTTTAACCCTCACGTCAGCATAAAAGAGGTTGTCAGCTTCTCTATGAGCCTATGAAAGATACACAAACATTTCTCATGATATGGACAGTTAAAGTAGCTCAAACAATGTCTGAAGAACAAACTGTTTTGTGAAGTTACAACACTTTCAAATAATCTTTGACCTTTACAAGAGAAAGGGGAGATTCTTACCTCCAGGTTTCTTGATAATCTTGCTACATCATCTAGTTTAGAAAAATCACAAAACACCCTTTAACTTCAAACTCATGGAGTCATTAGTAGAAAAAAGTGTTAGTTACTGTACCTTGAGATTGGGAACTGTTTCTTTTGTTTGACTTGTACAGTAGGATGGCCAACACAACTACCAAGATAGCTGCAAATATCAAAGCTCCACTCAAGAAAAACACCAAGACTGAGCTGTTCACCCTGTCTATTAAAAAAGAGTCAGATATCACAAAAGGAGCCACAAGCTTTTATCTCTATAGTCATGTTATTACAACTATACAGAGCCCCCCAGGTGCCAGGTCAAGGAACAAGAGGGGCACATGAAAATCTGTGAACACAGATTACAAATCCATATTTACGGTTTATAAATCATACTAATGGATTCAAAGCCATAATGGCGAATCAGCAAGTATAATTTAACTGTGATTTCAGATTTGTGATCCAGGCATTTGGATTTGCATGTTCCCGCTTTTTTTCTTTACCTCGCAACTGGGGGGCTCAAACATCAGATGAGATTATTTATTACCGTTAAAGTCCAGTTTGGTCCCATTTCCAAACAGTATGTGTCCACATGAGACGACAGCGCAGTAGTAGGTCCCAGCATCAGACACATTCAGGTTCTTCACTGGTAAACTGTATTCACAGGTGTGTGTTTGTGAGTCTGATTCTCTCACACACTGCTCATTTCTGCCTCCACTGGTGTAAAGGAGTCCTGGTTGAGACTCGTCAGAGTTTTTGAACCAGTAAACACTATGTTCTCCATCACAGGTTTCAGTTTGGACTGTACAGTTCAGGGTCACAGAACCTCCAAGCTGAATGGTCTCAGACTCTGACTGATGGATGATGGCCGGGATGTTCAAAGCTGAAGTTTTTACACTGACATGAATGGTCTCCAAAATTTCTAATGCAGAGAAACTACTACTTATACAGTGATACATTGCTGAGTCTGACCTTTGCAAATCTAAGATTGTCAAATCATTCTTTCCATTTTGAGTCTCCAGCGAGAATCGAGGATGGTCTTTAAATTTACCATTAAAACTATCATCACTTCCATATTTATTAACAGATGAAATAAGCCTGAGCTCCTCCCCAAGATTTTGATTGTACCAATGAACGCCTTTCGCATCAACTTCACCGACACATTTTAAAGTTATATTCTCTCCAATGTTTCTGCTTTCTTGACGAACAGATGAGGGCGGTTTCAGAGCAGATGTCCAAGCTAAGATGAAAACAAAAAGACAAACAAACAAAAATCACAGCTGGGGTTTGCATGGTATAAAATTAAACTATATTAAATTTAGATGGAATATGTAATTAAAAAAAATGTCAAAAAGTAGCACAGTAAAAACTCACAGATTTCCCCCAGAAACCATGTCAGGTACAGGGCAACCTTTGGAGATTTCATCATGCTCAGGTCGTTGTTCTGAATGACAAAATACTGACAGCTTTTCCACTCTTCAAAGACCAGGTGGCGTTACATTGGCCAACATGACGCGGCTGTAGGAAATGTAATCACATGCTCATTGCTTGTGTCAGACTGTCTTCCTCTCTCTCTCTCTCTCTCTTTCTCTCTCTCTTTCTCTCTCTCTATCCTGTGTTCAGCAGTAGGTGACAGAGTTCACATATACCATTTCGCCAACCACCGTCCAGAGTATGAAAAAAGACGGCACACAGTTTCCAACTGGCCTTCAAGCTGTGGGTGTGTCTGAAGTCTTACAGCACTGATGCTTACTCCGTCTTTGACAGACAGCTGGTCTCCAGCACCTTAATGTTAATGTCATTACATTTTTCTTGATTGAACTTGATTGAATTTTTCAGATCAGATTTTTTTTAATTTATTTTTTTTACGTGTTGTAGGTTTTCTGCAGTTAGTTGGTTTCCCATTACTTTATTGGCCCTCCATGATATTTTCATCATATTGTTACCCCCCTCTTAAAGCAATTTGATGAACCATATCCATAGACACCAGAAGAGTCATGTTTAGTTATAAAGTAATTTACAGATAGATAAATATGACAATATAATCCAGACATTACACCCAGAATCAGTGGAAAAAGTCTGAAAAGTCTTTCTTGGTTGGGGAATATGAAGAGACTGGAAAGGTGGGGAGCAAAGAGCTGGGTAAAATGTAGAAGAGGGTCATGGCTGGAGGTCAAACCATGTGTCTGTATACAGGGCTTGAGCTTTAACAGCAAGGCCAAGTCAGTTCCTGTTTACATTCAAAGATCTGCTGAGGCTTATTAATCCACGTGGAAAGCAAAGGCCAGTCCATGTGGTCCAGTCTGACGGAGGATCTACTGGAGCCCAAATTGCTTAAAAAAAGAGTTTCTGCTGGTTTTGATAGAAAGCTGGCAGACCACATGGTATGTCACAGTTTGTTGTGTATGAAAAACGCTGGCATCAGAGGAGTTCCACGAGTTAAATTAGCCTCCATGTTGCCTAGGTCTCAATCCGGTTTAGCAGGTTGTGCAAGTGGCACCACCCCGTTGAATTTCTCATTCTTCTTCTTCCTCTGCATCTCAGGTTGGATCACATTCTATCTCTAATTATCATTTTGTGGTGTTTGAAATGCTGTTTCTGTCACTTCATATAGACATTTGGATTTTTTCTCCATTTGTACTGTGGTACTTTTTCACCTCAACCCCACAAAAACAATCGTTTTGTGTTGATGAAATGCTAGAGATTATTCTGGTCTAAAAACAGGCTTAAGTTGAAACACCTCCACATCCTGTTAAAACCACAAGGGCCACTGCAAAGATAAAGACAAGGCAAAATATTTGGGTCCACAACAGAAACATGCAGCGACAAAGAGACAATTAAAGAGGAAGTAGATAATAAAGCCAATTGAATCAAATTGAGTGTGATATGGGGATCTGTTGACTGAATTCTGGGCAATCGAGTATACTTCCATGGGTATTGTTTTATCACTTGACGGTCAGTTTTGTGGTATTTACCTTCATATTTACAATGGGAGCATGTCTCATCAACCATGTCAGCATACAGTGGCTCAAAACAGACAAACCTAACATTAACGCACAGGCACACAGACTTTTGGATACAGTGCTACAAGTGAGCGTCGTGAGTGAAAAGCAAGCAAACAGGATGAACACGACAGCTTTGGTGTCTAAACTGAACGCAACAGCCCAAGTGTGGGAATATTTCGGCTTTAAACCAAATGAAAGAGGTGAGCCCACAAATACGGACGAGCCGATATGTCGTATTTGTTCCAAAATTGTGGTGACAAAGAAGGGGAATACGACGAACATGCATGTGCACCTCAAGCACAATCATCCCCTCCATTTTTCCCAACTGAGCAAAAAAAGTACAGCCGGAGGTGCTGCGGAGCCATCGTCCTGACAGGTACCGTTTACTGAAGCATTTGGTAAGCAAAGCAAATATAAACAAAACAGTGCAAAATGGTGCGCGCTGACAGACAGCGGAAATTAAAGTTTATCACTTTTGACATGGTGTACTCGCATTATTACGCCATATATTATAATTTTCTATAATTTAAAAAACTGTGTCAATAATATCGTTTATCGGCAATAATTTGTAGCACAATTATCGTCCAGCAAATTTGTTATCGTGACAGGCCTACTCTAAGTATAGTTTTTTAAATATAGTTTAAGTATAGTTACCTTAACAGAAAATGACTTAAGTCAAAGTGAAAGTCTCTCATGAGAATTCTACTTGAGTTGAAGTCTTAAAGTATGACACATTCTCTCTACTTAAGTATCAAAAGTACTCAAGAACATGTACTCCAAGTACATTAGTCAAAGTAAGTAAAAAGTCAAGTCAAAGTACGAATTACATTTTTTTATTATAAAGTATATTTTTATACATTTTTATTTTTTGTGTAATCTAGCATGCCAATGTTAGCCAGAAAAAAAAAACATTTTCCGGGGAAAATAAGGCTAACAGTTTATATTTAAGTTAGTAAACCTAAGCTAACCAAACGGCATAGTGGTCTTGCCTTGACATGTTTCCTGAGGGAAAATTTTTATATGAAAGGATTTCCACCTGCCTTGGGGTGCACAGCAGACATTTCATTCTGAATGAATCCTCCTTAACCTCAACATAGCTAAACAAAGAGTGGAGGTAAGGCCACAGATGTTCGTCGTCCTGTCTTGAGGGGTTCTCTTCATTTGTACAATAGGAGGTTTTCACTTGACATCACTTCCGTGTTACGCGGCACGCGGGCAATACAGATGGAGACCAGGAAGTGAGTTGCTGCTATAGAGACCAGCAACATGCCGATGTTTTGCTCCATTTACGGCTGCTCGAATCGATCGAACAGGGAAAAAAACTCGTTATCAGCTCGTTATTAAGCCGTTTCAGAGCTTTTTAACGAGCTGATTATTTGAATCAGGTGTGTTGAAGCAGGGAAACATCCAAAACATGCAGGATGGGGGGGCTCAAGGACTGGATTGAGAGCAATTGGCCTACGGTCTGGAGGAGCTGCGTCGGATAATGCCCATGTGTGCAGTAACCACTTTGTCAATGGTAATGACCCATTCCTAGCCCGTAGTTAAATTCTTTTATTTCGAAGTTGAGTCGTGTCAAACTGTGTAGGGAGGGGGGTGCGGAGCAGCCGGATGCGCCGGGAGCGCCCCAGAGCTCTGGAGAGGGCGGACAGGGAAAAAGGGGGTCCTTTCGGCCCCCTATCCCCGTTAAATTAAAGCCACAGGCACAAAAAAGAACTCCAGTAAAGTACAGATAATTCAAATTTATACTCAAGTACTGTACTTAAGTATCGCTCCTACTTTTCAACATGTACTGAAAGAGAAAAAAACACTTCTTTGCCTGTCTCTCTCAGGTTTCCCAATGCCACAACTCCTCTGATGCTGAGCAATCTCAAAATAACAACTGTCACTCTGCTAAGTGTGATACCTCCACTGTCCATGCTGCAGATGATCTGCAATGAAGGATGCTTATCTTAAATATAGCAGAAAATTGGCCAGGATCTGTGCATGGCTCTTGAATCATCAGACCACCGTCTCTGGCCAAGATGTTTGCAGAAAACAAATTTCAAGCTAAGAGTCTTCACTAAATATGAAACAAGTATTAAATGTAATGAAGGATAAAGTGGGCAGGATAGTAATTGGACATGTTTCTGCTACAGACTTAATACCTTATGAACTTGAATGTTATGCACAGAATATCTACCCTCTTGGTTTGCAGGAGGTTTCAATCGGATACTGCTCAGGGACTTATTACATTTGAGAGACTGGCTCCTGGACTGAAGATAGTGGACTGTACCTACTAAGTTTTCGGAGAATGATTTCTGTTACCACCTTCCCTCTGTTCCTTCCACCTGGGGCCATCCTTGTTTGAGGCTCAGTTTCAGCTCCCCTGCAGGTGTGAGAACCTCAGGTGTCCCAAGCCTTGTTTTTTGTGGCTACAATTACACGTATTTAGGAATTTTGAAAAATATTGTTCGAAATTAACATTTCATTAAAGGCTACTCAAAATATATGTATATTTTAGCCTTTTATTGTTTCTGTAAACAGAAATATTTACTGTTTCTGTGCACTGATAATGCTTCTGTTCTAAATAGTAAAGGAAACCCTGTGGTCATGCATGAGTATGTTTCTTTATTCATCAGTTCTAACTGTCAAACACTCCAAAATTCTTCTCCACACAACAGCAACCACATTCTTCTTCCTCCTCTTCATCTTCCAATCAGTGCATTTGACTCACTGTATGTAAAACTGTGCATCACCTTTTACTACTTTGCCTTTTATTTGCTATTGTAGAAATAAAGTGGTGCAAGATAGTGGCCTCTGTGTTCCTTACATAGGCCTCGATATAAAACACACATACAAAGTTAAAAACATATATTTATATTGAGTGATGATACATCAATTTAAACAAACAAAGACATTTTTATTCCATTTCTTTTATGTATGCCACTAACTATCACACACTATACTTTTAATAGAATGCATTGTACAAGTCAAAATGGGGTTAAATGAGTAGTTTCAGCAATGACCCTTCATTTATTGATTCTGTCAGATTTTACTGTTTTATTTTCTATGCATCTTTGTCAAGCAGGGAGTTGAATCAGCAACCACAGCTGTGAGCACTGCAGCCTCAGTACACGGTACATGCACTTGAACTGCTGGTCAGTTCCAGGTCACTCAAATGTGTATGGTTCTACTGCCTGATGATTTTTTTCTTGCACAGCTCGACCCTTCCTACTGCTGTTGCAATGCTGAACAGATGTTTTTTTTTTTTTGTGATCAGATGAGTTATTTACTTCGAAAACTTGAACAAAACAATAAAGGATATTTTCATTCAAAATTACATGTTTATCTGATGTTTTAACATCCTTAAAATTCTGTGAATATTCAATTTGGAGTTAGGCCTACATACGAAAAGTGATATTCAGTTGCATGAGCCAAATTCATTTCACATGACAACATTAGTGAAAGAAAGAGCCAGGCCACAGAGAGTGATGCTTCCTTTAAGCACAGGTGGTTCCGATTTTAATGCCATTATTGGAATTTATGTTGTGATCTGTGAGCACAACCCACCTTTGTCACATGGGGTTTAAATATATGCAACTTGATGTGAGTGTCTTTACTTGTGGAAAAAGGTGGTTGTCCAACCTTACACACACCAAAACCTAGAACCGTCACTGGTTCTCAGCTCTTAAAGAGGTTACTGCTTGGGATTGACTCACAAGAAGTAACACTGACTCTTCTGTTTTGGAAACTAATGTTCGCACCCTCCTCTCTTACCCTGGGTTGACTCTTGAGTAAAGCCACTTGAAGAGAATTTAGCTCCACCGTGTGTTTCATGAGCCTAAGTATCACGTTTAGAATGAAATCAAAAGGGAGGACCCACGTGCAGAACTGAAAAAGTTTAACTGAACTTGAAACAACAAAAACCTACTTTAAAAAAGGCCCAACAGAAAAACACAAACACCCCCCTCAAAAAATAAATAAATGAATAAAATACAAAAATAAATAAATAAGAGCAAAACCTACATTACAAACACAGGAACAAACTAAACTAACCAACAGTTTTTCTGTTCATATCTTATTTAATTTTCATAAGAACACATCCTGACAGGGGGTCAAGATTTCAACACAAAATAGGGTCGTATTTTACACTGTAGGATGGTCTGTCACTCTATACAGCCTGTGGCTTTTTAAACTACTTTCTTTTAGATGTTAGCAGACTAAAGTTAGGTCTTTAATGCACATTTATTTCTACATGCTTTGCAATGATTTTTTTGTTTGCTAAAATTGGACTAACTGAAAATCATTCGTGGGATTGCTTACATGCCCCAGCATCCCTCTGTCACCTCCATGTACTAGTGGAAAGTTCTGTTAGTGCTGGGCACTGACAGTGGGAGATTAACTTTGTGTAGTTACCCTTATGACTAGGGTTCTAAATTAACTTTTTGATCGTCAGCCAATGTGGCTGGTGACTCTCTAAAGTTACCAGCCTATCAGAATTTCCATGAGACATTTTTTTTTTCAGAGAAATTAAGAGATTATGAATGCTGTTGAGTGCATTTGATCATTTTATTAACATTGTTGGCATGAAAATGTGGTGTGTGTGCAAAGACAGGACCCAAAATGCAACCAGACCAGGGGTAACAGGTTTAACAGGTTTTATTCTTTCAGTGAGGAAGCAGAGGGTTAAAGGGAGAGAGTAGTAGGTAGTGGGCTGCTGAGAGGCTCAGAGGGAGGCACTGGGAAAAAAAAGGGAAAGACAACGAGGGTCAGCACAATTACCAAAAACACCAAAGATACTCATAGGAGATTTACTTAATCTAGAAGTTCAGAGGGGCCATTGTACCACTGAGTGTAGGTGACAATACTCTGGCACTAAGGCTTCTGTCGGCAGCAGTTTTAAAGGCCAGCTGATTGCAGAGTGGCAGCAGGTGTGCTCAGTCAGCCTCAGTGCCACGGGAGGGAAGGGAGCAGCCGCTGAAACAGATGACAAGCAGCAGCCCACACAGCAAAACTAAGTCCAACCAACAAAATGAATGAAACAAAAGTCCATGCTCACCACAGAAAAACACACAAACTACAACACAAACTTACGTTAAACATTCTTTTTTTTCATTTTGCATGCTCTGTCACCGATATCCTCATCTCCTCCATCCTTCTTCTTCTTCTTGCCCAACCTCATCTGTCCCAAGTTCAACCACCACCACTTTAGTTTAGTTTTACTCAAGCTAAACTTAAGCTCCGCTGTTTATGAAACTTTCTGCTCTCACTTTATTTGTTTCTCACACTGGTTGTACCGTAGACTGTTGCAGGAAATACCAACATTCACGCAGCCAATAGGCATACAAAATGTCATTATGTAGCATTACAGCACAGTATTTATAGGAAATGTAGGAATTACTGCCAGGGGGACAAATTACTGAGAGCAGAACCTATGTAAAGCATATCTGACTGACACGATTGCCTCATGCATCACCAGCCAAACTAGAACCCTGCTTATGCCATAAGCTATCCCATACTACAAGCATGATTGTAGCCCAATCCACCAAGAAAACAGTGGTTAAACCTGTCTGCATCAAACTTGATCCTTTTCTCATGTAGTGTGTCAGTGACATTATGGACTGTGCTTTCAATAGAGGCCATTGTGTTTGATAAAATGACTGAATAAGCAGTTTCAAGGGTGAGATTTTTATTGATTCTGGCAGATTTGATAGTTTTATTTTTTCAGGCATTTTTGACTTTTTAGATAGGGCAGGAGAAGATAGACAGGGATGCTGGCCAATAAAGGTTGGGGGCTGGGAATTTAACCAGCAGCCCACATCTGTAAGCACTCTAGCCTCCAGGGAGGGGATAGACAAAGTCCTTAGGAGATGCTACATTCAAATTCACACTAGTTTGCCGTGATTACCAACCCTACCTTTAAAACTTGAGAAAAAATCCAGGTGATTAAATATGTGGTTCTACTGCCTGACCATCGAGTAAACACAGTCAGTCCTGGTGTTGTTCCTTTTTGTTCTTGCTCTGTTGACCCCGTGGTCCTTCAAGGCAGCATAATGGAGGTTATCTGTATCCTGGTAAAATAGAAAATTTGATTCATTGCCATGGTCGGTGCAGGTTTTTAGCTTTTTAATATCTTTCTTTTCTATAATAACTGCCAGATAATCATGAAAATGTAAACTTAGTTATCAACGCACCACCTTCTGCATGATAACACCAGTTCCTGTCTATGATAAGTATGGCTAATTCTATATGTTAAATTTGATTTTAAGCAGGTTATATTCACCTCTGCAGATGTTGTGTTGGAGTCTGATGCTCTTTGAGACTCTGTCAGGTAAAAAGAAAAGGCTATTTGTTGAAGTCAACATCTTCCGTGGATACAAGCTGTTAAAAAGATTCAGTACCACTTACCTGTACAACGACATCTCCTTTTGTTTGTTACATAAACTGAAATAGCCAGGACAACAATCAAGATGATGGTGAATGCCAAACCTCCACTTAACAAAAGCACAAGAGAGGCTGGAGTTTTCTTCTCCGCTGTAGATGGAAAAACACCCACAGACAGTAAAACCCTCTTAGGATGTTAACAGTAGATCAGTTATAGAGTAATCAGACTGTGACCCAGTTGCCCTTTCTGACTGACACTACTGACTCACATAGACATGCTTTCAATTTATCAATAAGAACAAGTATGCAGAAAACGGAACACTTTGCATCTAAAATAGGCCTATTTTTATGATCAGTTCTCTTGCTGGAGCAATTCAAGCTTTAGTCGTTGGAGCCTTGCTTTGATGGCTTTGTCTTCAAACATAAGTTTTTAAGTACAGTTTGCATATTAAAAATCTGCATGTTTAACCCTTGGTTCCTACTATATCAGCTTTGCAGACATTTGTCTTTTTTTTTTTTTTTTTTCATTTTTATTTTGTGCTGACAGTCACATTTTTAAAGATCCGGGCATCAAATTTGGAATTTGGTGAGAGTTCTTATTTTTCTTTATATTAAAAAAACGTGTCGCCTGTAAAACTCTGTCGCCATATTTTAGCTCCATTCATCCTACTTTGTCTGCAAAACAGACAAAGGCTTCCATTAAAAGCATTTTTTTGACAGTGTGTTTATGTCACCATAACAACAAATTCCACCCTTTTTTTTTGCAGTCACTTGATCACCAGGGGCCTCATGTATCAACGCTTGCGGCGCAAGAAAACCTTGCGTACGCCAAAATCGGCGCACACGTCCAGATTTATCATCGCGAAACGAGCGTCGGTTCCAGCGCTAATCAACGCAAAGTCAGGAGGTGGTGTAGAAATTGGCGTTGAGCCGAAAACTTGCGTTGACTGTGATTCGCACTTTGGCGACGCTGTGTGGCGGTGTTTGGTGACTCACTATGTGACAAGCGTGCACCACATCCCCGTGGCCGAGCAGCACGTCGCCCCACATGACGAACCAGCAGCAGACGGAGGGATGCGAGCTGATCCCTGCCGGGCCGCCGTTCTTGCGTGGGAGAATCTCATCGCCACAGTGTGAATGGGTAAGAAGTGAATACACAGTTGTTCAATGAGCCAAATTAATTTATTTTCTCCACCAGACGCTCGAGGACATTTACGAGCCGGTCCAGCCGCTCGTTGATCCCCGTGATCCCCCTGATGATTTCTTCCTGCGATTGCAGGACCCCCTCCGCGAGGACCCTTCCACTGCGTCCGGGTGGTCCAGCGGAAGCGCCGCGGCTGGTGGACGCTCCACCGCTTGTCGGCGCGCTGGTGCTGATGCTGGTGCTGGTGCTGGGGCCGGGGGCCGGGGTGGCCCGAATGCCGCTGGTCCTGGCCGACGACTCCGAGCCGGCGGACGGGCTGCCGCGGGCCGGGGTTCCGCAAGCCGGCGACACGGCCGACACATTGATTTCTGTGACACAATAAAGATATTGGTTCATTTCAATTCCTGCTTCTGTGTATCTGTTGCGTTTACATCCTTCTCCACGGTATCATAGGTAATGTAATCCAGTATTTTGAGGTCAGTTATGCACATTACAGTTGTTTATTGCATAAAAAGTTATCGAAAAATGAAGTTAAGGGCGAAGTATAAATCACGTCTAAAAATAGACTGAATCCCGACGTTGAAATGAAGTATAAACTTAGACTAGACGTCTAATATACGTCTTTTGCTCAGTGGGATGACAAAGCATGTGGACATTTGTGTGACACGCCACTTACCCTATAATAATAATCGCCATCACTCGCTGCTCAAACGGTGTGAGGGTCTCCTCCCCCGGACCCCCACCTGTCTGGCCAGTACTCCTCCGGAGGGCAGCTGTACGCCGCTTGACTTCCACCTTGTGGTCCGACCACTTTTTTTTAATCTTCGCGGGGGTGCGTGTCTCGGAACCCACCGCATTCACCCTCTCGCAAACTTTCTCCCACTCCAAGCGTTTACGTTTTGCACTGACGCCACTGGACAGGCTGCCAAACAAAACACACTGTCGCTCCTCCACCTCTGCCACCAGCACCTCCACCTCGCACGCCGTAAATTTAGTTTTTCTTGTCATTTTGTCTGCGTGCGAGGACAGGGAGACCCTATTTAAATAAATCTGCATATTTATAGGAGGGCGTAACGGGGACGGGCCCAGTCACTCCGACATCTGCGCTCAATTCCACGCTGATTGGGATTTATCAAGGAAACACACGTGGATTTCGGCGCCCGCACACATTGATACATACGGATTTTTTTCAGCGTGACGGACCTTGCGTGCGCTCGTTTCTGGTATGAGTTCCACGCAAGTATTGATACATGAGGCCCCTGGGCTCTAAATTTTCCCAACTTTCCGAAAGTGATACAAGAGATTGGGCAAGGACATAATTTTAAGCCCTTTGGTGCCGCGTAGAAAGGTCTTCATTTATGGACTGAGTGTGTTTGAAGCGCTATTTCAGCCACTAAACATCATCAGAATTAAAAGAAACTTGACGTGCCACCAAAAATGGATGTCGAAGAGTGGGCTACGTGTGTTAGGAAAAATTTGTGTGCTCTTGCATGTATGCAGGGGACAAAGAGAGGGGGACATTTGGACAATTTCAACTTTGCTCTCATTTTGGCGAGTGGAAGGACATGCATGAGGATGCACAGGTCCTTCGGATTATTAGTGTGAAGATATAACATCTCTCATTTATGGTTGTGTGTATGGGATGTGTCGAACTATTTTTTTAATGGTTAAAGCTGAAGTCGTTCAACAAATTTGAGTAAAAAAAAAAAAAGAAAAAATGTAAAAAATGATTACTGTATGTACACTTATCTGTATGTCCATTTTGAGGACAAAGTAGGCTAGATGGATCTTAAAATTAACAGGATTAAGGGTTAACTGTTGTTGAACCTCCATATATTCTTCAACTAAACAATTCTGTCAGTTTTTTCCACTATATTGCAGTGGAAAAAATCTGATTTGGGTAATATCGAGTTTTACATTTTGATTGATAGGAAAAAAAGTTGAACAGGAATTTTTTTTTTCCAGTCCCTTGATTACCAGTCAGCCTGTACTTCATCACTTTCTTGAGATAAAGATATCACAGTTATTAATTCAAACATAATTGTACTGACCTGCTGAGTCCAATTTTGTCCCGTTTCCGAACAGTATGTGTCCACATACGGCAAATGCACAGTAGAGGGTCAGAGGATAAGTGAGGTTCATGGACTGAGTTGGCAGTTTGTAGATACAGGTATTAGTTTCTGTGTTGGATTTCCTCTCACACTGATCGTTCTTGCCTCCATGGGTGTAAATGAGTCCTGGTTGAGGTTCTTCAGAGTTTCTGAACCAGTAAACACTGTGCTCCTCAGTACAGGACAAAACCTGGACTGTACAGTTTAGTTCACCTAGAAGGATGTTCTCTGATGCTGACTGATACACCACAGCTGGGACATTTGAACCTGAACCTTTTACACTGACAGTAGTCCCTTCAGCAAACTGAAATTCATATGCATAGCTACTCACACAGAAATAGGTGGCTGAATCTGAGGGAAGCAAATCTGAGATTATCAAGTGATTTTTAGAGTCTTGAGTCTCCAGTACAAAACGTGTATTATCCTCAAACTCCTCACTAAAAGTCCCCTTTCTATCATATCTATAGAAGCTACAAATGAGCCTGGGCTCCTGTCCCGGTGCTTGCTTGTACCAGAAGAGCATAGCTCCAACATTTCCTTCATAGAAACATTGTAATGTCACATTGTCTCCAACATTTGCTGATATAAAACTACTCTCCTGACGCACAGATGATGTCAATCTTCGGTCAGATGTGAGGGCTAGAGGGAAAAGAGACAAAGAAACTGAATATTAAAGAAATAAAGATGTATCTCTGTGGAACTGAAGACAAATTAGTGAATAAACTGTTTATTCATAAGAACACAAGGACAGTCAGAAAAATTCAACTTACCTTTGCCGCACAAAAAGACACTCATCAGGTGCGCAAGAAACTTCAGAGATGTCATCATGAGCAAGATATCTTGAAGAATGACAAGAACCGTCACTGGTTCTCAGCTCTTAAAGAGATAGCTGCGTGGGATTGGCTCACAAGAAATGACACTCCTATTTTGAAAAGAAATGTTCGCGCCCTCCTCTTTTACCCTGGGTTGACTCTTGAGTAAAGCCACTTGAAGAGAATTTAGCCCCACCGTGTGTTTCAAACACCTCAGAGTCAAGTTAGGTTAAAGTTTGGTCTTTATGCACAATTAGCCCTGCATGCATTACAATGATAGGTCATCCCATGAATTACAGGTGTGATTGCAACCAGAGTTTAGAAACATGCCAAGTGGGACCTGTCTGCTTCCAAATCAAACATTTTATCATGTCGTTTGTCATATCTAGGGACATTCAATACCACACTGAAACTGTCTCACGACAGTTTGACAGGAATTTTGCTTGTTTTTTGTCCTGCCTTCAACAATACCTCTGTCACATCCTTGAATTTAACTGATGTGAGCACCCTGCACTCACGAAGAGAGATGAGAAAAGAAAGAAGAACAATGAAGTTAGTGCTGCAAGATGAAAAATGAACACATAAGCCCAAAACCCCAAGATGCGTTTTTGTCACATCAGGAGTCTATCAAGAGTCTGGAGTAGCTGGACTGAGCATACAGATAACAACATCCCTTAACTTGTTGCTTTGTCTTCTGGTGGTTATTTCTTGTTAATTTGATTTTATTTTGTGACTGTTGTGTTACTATTTATGAACAAGCAACATGATTTTAAAGTTTCTATTTTTGCAGATTTACTCGTTTTAGGAGAGTAAATTATGTTTCACTTTTGCTGTTACCTGCAGTCCAAGTTAGCAGTTACAATGGCCTTGAGGCTTTCTGTGTTAATCCATAACCAAGGAGGATTCTCATCAGTATGATCTGGTATACAGTATGGAGTCTGCATATGGTGCTTTGATTTGTAATTTGGATGGCATACACTGGTTATGTGGTTGACATCCTGGCTAGGTTGATCTTTTCTGTTCAGCTTGACAATCCTGGGCGCGCTCCATCCCAAATACACTCTACATATGTCTTTCACAAAGCAAAGCATAGAGACACGTCTGGGGTGCAGCTCAGACACACTGCAGCGCTTCAGGTCTAACATGTAGCATTGACAAGAATGGGAATGTATTTGCAGAGTAGTAAGTGACACAAAAGTAACACAATAAACACAACCTGGGGGTTTCAGGCCTCAGTTGGTAAAGCTTGAGGCACACAAGGCAAAGTCAAATACTATGTAAAAAATCAGTTATTTACAGTATTTTATTTTATTTTATTTTTTTATTTTTTGGGGGGGGGGTTTAATCTAATCTAGTCCTGTACCTGTTCCCTTTGGCGTCTTTGTGTAGTAGTAGTCTGCATGTTAAGGCACTTTAAGGTACAAATTCAAGGCTCTGTGACCATGCTATCTGACACAATAACAGACAAATAAATGTAGTTGGACTCCAGTCTTATGATATGTAACATACAGTGGTCTCAAAAAAGCCACCAAAGTCAATGACATTCTTTTATTGGAAACCAGAGGCATAAGGAGAAGGACTAAGGACGAGCAAAGACTAGACAGAATAGCCTCGAATGTATGTTTGTTTTTGTTTTGTGTGGTGACACCAACTTGCCAATGGGACTGGGGGTGAAAATTAGCTACCTGGCTATGTATTATCTCATGTATTTATATGTAAATGTTCATTAATAATTATTGTATATTGTCGATTAAAGGTCCCATGGCATGCCAATTTCACACAACTTAAAATAGTCCCCTGGGGCCTCATGTATCAACGCTGGCGGCGGAAGAAAACCTTGCGTACGCCAAATCGGCGCACACGTCCAGATTTATCATCGCGACACGAGCGTCGGTTCCAGCGCTAATCAACGCAAAGTGAGGAGGTGGTGTAGAAGTTGGCGTTGAGCCGATACTTGTGTTGACGGCACCTTGGTGACGCTGTATGGCGGTGTTAAGTGACTCACTATGTGACAAGTGTTCACACATTGCAGTGGATTAACTGTTAATCCGACAGGTGTTCGTGTGTTAATTGTGTTAATTTGTAACACATTAACACAAACACGAACACCTGTCGGTATGACTGGGGGGGCTATAAAAGAGCGCATACAACTACAACTACAAATAGAGAAGACAACATTCAACAATGGCAGCACTTGCGCTTGAGCGTCACTTCATGGAGCGGAAGGACCTGCTCCAGAACTCTGACGAGTGGCTCATGAGCCGGTTCCGGCTACCGCGGGCCATCCTCCTGGAGCTGTGTGAGGAGCTCCGCCTGGCGCTCCAGCGAACAACGGCCAGAAGCCGAGCGGTGCCCGTGCCAACGCTGGTGCTAGGCACACTCGTCTTCTTGTCCACAGGGTCCTTCCAGCGGGAGATGGCGGACCGTTCTGGGGTGAGCCAGCCCACCATCAGCTGGGCCATGCCCACGGTGGTGGACCAGCTGATCCGCCTCTCTAACAGGTTCATCAAATTCCCCTATGGTGCGGTTGAACAGGCCAATATTAAAACGCAATTTGCAGCAATAGCCGGATCCCCAAACGTAATCGGAGCTATTGACTGTACTCATGTCGCCATAAAAGCGCCGTCCGATGAAGAGTACGCTTACGTCAACCGTAAAGGCGTTCACTCCATCAATGTGCAGATCATCTGTTATGCACAGATGAATCTGCTCAACATTGTTGCGAGGCGGCTCGGTTCAACGCACGACTTGCACATCCTGTACAACAGCACTGTTGGGGAGAGGCTCCAGGCAGGTGCAGTGACAGACGGGTGGCTGCTGGGTGAGTAAATATGTAATGATATAATGTTATTCAAGAAACTTGACGTGCATCAGTGACTTTAACCAAATGTGTGCAACGCTGATGTATTGTACTCTGTGTTTGATTGCGAGTACTAGATGGATGTTGTGGGTTATTGATTGCTTATTGCAATTATTATTCAGCGGAAGCGCTGCAGCTAGTGGACGCTCCATCGCTTGTCGGTGCGCTGGTGCTGGTGCTGGTGCTGGGGCCAGGGCCGGCAAGAAACTCTTAGCCACGTTCAGACCAAACGCGACTTGAAGCGACCTAGTCGACACATCCTATGTATTATTCAAAGCCGCCAGCAGGGTCACGCTTAAGGAGGAAGATATGAATGTCGAAAAAGTTACAACCAGATCTCTGCTACAATGTAAGATTTTGGTGCTCTAAAACTTCTCTGAAGCCTTTGCTAATTAATAGGATGGCCAACCGTCCAGCATTAGCCGGGACGTCCCGTATCTGAGCCAGAAGAGGTGCGTCGCCGCACGGGTAAATGCTAAAGCTACATGCTGCTCTGGAGGGGGATTTTGTCCCCCGCCGCCGGAGTTGTCGGGGAAGAAGCGAGCGGCTAAAATGCGGGAGGATCCGGTAAAACGGCGCGGATCCAGTGTGTTTATCAAAGCGTGGTGGCCGTGCTGAGGCACTGGGGGGAATTTAGGCTAAATAGTAAGTCAAAATAAAACATAACAGATGCCACGTTTGTAGTAGGATCACGGATAGTTGGTACGGATCCATTCTTTATCTTCAGACATCTAGCAAATCCAGCGTTGAACTGTCCCTCGTTGATGAAACAGTCTGAAGGGAAATGGTGCGCACATACATACAGATATGTTGGAAGTGCTGCGGGTACATTCCCATTACAGTACGATGACAGTTAACCACCCTGTGATTAGTTATTTACTTGGCTGCAGGTGCACCTTATTCTTAAAGTGAATTGGAGCAGACACTGGTTTGTTTATTGTCTATTTTAGTTGAGAATTTCATAGTCAACCTGTGCAGCTAGGGCCTGCTGTTACCAGAGCCATTTTCACTGGCATATAGATCTGAAACTGTTGTTTTTGTAAATGTTTTCATGGTCCAATCACAGTCCTATATATAGTATGAGGAGAAAGGAAAGGTAATACTGAAAAGACCAAACAGCGACTTATCATTGGTTAGTGAGGTACTTTTCCTCCTGATGCTGCTGTCTGTTCACAATCCTGTTGTTATGCACTGTTACATGTTCCTTTATCTGATTGGTTCCACTTTAACTTCAAGATGTGCTTCAAACCACTTTTACAATTGAGCTGTTTTGTGACACCGGCTCATGTGGCTGCTCTGCATGAAAAATAACTTCCTGGTTGAAACCACATATGAAAAAAATAGAGGGGGAACCTTTTCTTTGCAGGGTCTCTTATCTTGATATTGATTTTTTTAAATGTTATTATCCAATGTGATATCGCTCCCAAATATCTGAAACTACAGGCACCAAAAGACACAAGTTATCCAAACATCTCACTTTGTTGTTACGCAGACAGTAGAAACACAGTGCAGACTACACAATCGCATGAGCCGCTCTAGTGAAAGTTCTTAGTAATAAAAATAATGCTCCAGGTTTTTTTTTTATAGCACTTTATCAGAGACCCTCAAAGCGCTTTACATTGGATACATCATTCATCCGCTCACACAGTCACACCTTGGTGCCCTGAGGCAGACTGATGGAAATGTGGCTGCCAGTTTGCGCCTACAGCCTCTCCGACCGTCACCAAACAACACTCAAAATCATACACCAGTGGAGGACACACACTGGGGGCAAAGTGGGTTAAGTGCCTTGCCCAAGGACACAACATAGGGGGAATAGGGGATAGGGGGGAATTGAACCACCAACCTTCTAGTTAATGGATGGCCACTCTACCTCCTTAGCTACTGCTGCCCCTTGGTTTATTAAAAAGCAAAACTGTACATTTATTGAATTGAGATGCCTTCTGACAGAAAAACTCGTTTCTCCAAAAAAAAAAGGGTTGATTTTGCCTCATTGTCACATTTATTAAAGCACTTCCTTATAAAATGGTAACTGCTATAAACCCAAAATTAAACAATAGTTATAACTAAATGATAGCACTTTTTGTAACAACAGCTCCATAAAACAATAACGCAGGAATGTAAATACAATCAAACAAGTGGATGAATTTAATTAGTGATTAAACATTCAGATTCAAATGAAATCACTGCAGAAAAGCTTTTATGTCAATAAAGGTTTATCTTGAGCAGAAAAAAGAAGTAAGGGACTGATTCTGCAAGTCTGATCTCCTCTTACAGACTGTTCAAAACTCCAGGAGCTCAGGTGACAAAAACTGGGACTCTACTGTCTAACAATGGAGTACACACATTCACTTTGAACATCATTTCTGTGTCTTGTGGATCTGTTGTTGGCCTTTTGAACCCTCAAAGCAGCATAGTGGATGCTGTCTGTGTCTTGGTTGTCCTGCAATCCAAAAAGAGATGACTTTGATTGTAATTCAGCAAAACTGAGCCATACAACAATAATGCTATAACAATGCACATGCAGAGTTTAAAGTAAGTGATTTGCAGTAAGTGATAAATTGCAGTGTAAGTAGACATCAGGAGTGGATTTTTCTGACAATTAGCAGCACTTTTATATGGCAAAGACAAAATCAGCAGCATTATAAGGTCCACCAATAGCGCCAAAGTCAGCATTGACAGAAAGTTCCTCACTTTATATTCAGTTTTTGGGAACATAACTTACTTTGGTGGTGATGGTGGTGAGAGTATGAAAGTTAGAGCAGCTGGCTGTAATTTTTCTCATCCCTCATATATGATGGGGGGGGGGGGGTCTGTGCACGTGACCTCACTAGCCTCCCAGCCCAATAAGCTTAGCCTCCTGTAGCACTGATAGTCATGATGTTCAGGTGGATCCAGAGCACAGACTCAAGCCTCGCCCTCCATTTGTCACTTGTCAATTCAAGAGTGACACGGAGGTTATTTATTCAATGGTGCACCATAATTTTCTCTGAAATAGGGCTGAACGGTTTATTGTTTTCTGATGCAATTTCAGACAGCACAATCATGTGATTGCCAAGCTGCTTTTTTTTTTTTTTTTTTTTTGTTATGCTGTGCTCCTGACTGACTCAGTATCTGTTGTGTCAACATTTTACATATACATGCCGTCTCCCCACCGTCCCAGTTAAAGGCAGCATATGCTACTCATGGACAGGTCACATTAACCACTCAGTATTAACCTGCTCTTCATATTTTGAGAGGTGAACGTCTTTTTAAAATGGCTTTAGCGCAACCACGAGCGGAGTTAGGGGATTTAATCCCCGAGAAAAGAGGCACAGCGGTCATCTGGGAGTATTTTGGGTTTGAGGCTGCAGATGCACACCAGAAACAGGTGGGCTACTGTGCAAAATATGTTGTGCTAAAGTTGCTACATTGAGCGGAAACACAATCAACTTATACCAGCACTTGAAAAACCACCACAAGCACTTGCATGAGAAGTGCATGACAAAAAGTCAAGTGAAATGTCTAGTAAACATGAGCAAACAGACGATAATTACAACATCTTTTGCCAGTGTAAGCTTGTGTGACGAGAGCAGCCAGAGACACTGGGAGATAACGACTGCCATAATACTATGGGGGAGAGTGGTTTTTACCAGTTTTTACTTAGCGTCCGTAGAGCAATTTTGGATCTTAAATGAACGGTTTGAGAAATATAGCTTTAGAAAAATACTTATTCTTGTGGCACAACTTGCCCCCAGAGTGGAGTAAAGTGTGCCAGATTGTTGAAGTAAAACTCATCATTTTAATTTTGCAAACAGTAATGCTAAATAAAAGTTAGACAAATTTAATACCTATTACTTATTTAAATTACTTGTTTAACTTTTATTTAAAGGTTTTACAACATCAGAGCCCAATTCTCTATAATAAGGCCTATAGTGCCACATGAGCATGTTTAGAACATAATCAGCTGCAATTCTCCAAACCAAGCTATAAATCAACAATACTGCAGGGGAATATCAATTTATGCTCCCTTCTGGTTTGATTTGTAAATGTTACTGTAAACATTGTCAATGTTGCACTGCAGTTTGGTTTTAGGAAAATCGTAAATTGAATGGAAATGGCAATTTCTGCCAGAAAAATCCCAATTCAATATTTTCCAAAAATCGTTCAGCCCTACTCTGAAAGCATTATCACAGCATTAAAAGTGGGGAAAACACTGGGATATTGATTGAATCAGTGCATACAGGATGAAGTTCTCCTTTTAGAAGGTATTCAAAGTATGATTTAAACACCAAATTGCATCATACTCACCACTACATTAGCAGTCAATGTCGCAGAAGTTCCTGAGTCTGGTTCAAGAAAGAAAAAAAGAACTGAAAGTGTCAAACTCACTAAACTTGGGTTAGAAGGACAAACTAATTTCTCTTCCTGATATCTTACTTAATAATATCTTAATAATAAATCTTAATAATACATCAAAAAGTCATTCTTAAAATTTGTAATACTGTCAGAAACAATTGCATAAAAAAAATAAGGGCCAACAAAAGTTAACATTACAACTGACCATTGCAAATTGACAATTCAAGAGTTGTAGTTATACGTTTTTAGGTGATGAAATTTAGAAACTGTAAATGTACAAATAGTTTCAACGGTGCATTATGTTGTGGCACTCTTCCTGTGATTTTATTCAACTCTAATTGATTTTGCTTACACAACAAGTATCAAACCTTTAAAAGTACTTAATGACGATAAACCTACCTGCACAATGGCAGCAGTCTCCTTTGTACACCCGTCTTGTTGTGTACGCCAGCAAAACAGCCAACATGGTGGTGAATGCCAAAGCTCCGATCAAGAAATGCACTAAGACAAAAGGGTCACTTTTGTCTGCAGATTTAGAAAGCAGGAGAAAACAGAGGCTGTAAGGACTCAGGGAGGCAGAGGTCATAATCACAGTGTTTCTGGTAAATCCCCAATAATGCTGCTTACGCTCTGTGTCCAACTTTTTCTTTCTTCCAAACAGTATTTGGCCACATGAGACAACAGCACAGTGGCTCAATGCATCAGATGGCTTCTGGCTCTTCATCGGCAAGTTGTAGACACAAGTGTGTGTTTGTGGGTCTGGTTTTATCTCAGACTGATTATTTCCTCCACCATGGGCATAAATGAGTCCTGGATGATGTTCTCCAGAGTTTCTGAACCAGTAAAAACTGTGTTCTCCATCATGGGTTCCAGTGTGTATTGTACAGTCCAGAGTCTCAGAGTCTCCTATCATGGTGGTCTCAGAATCTGACTGACGGACCAAAACTTTTGAGGTAGACCCTGAACCCTTTACACTCACAGTAGCACCCTCTACAAATTCAAAGTCATATTCATAGCTGCCTGTACAGTAGTAGGTAGCTGAATCTGATATGTCTAAATTGTAAATTGTCAGGTGATTTTTACCATTTCCTACATCTAATCTTAAACGAGGAATGTTCTTGAACTCATTTACAAAGATGCCACTCTTCTCATGTCGGTAAAAGCTAGACATGAGCTTTGGTGTCCCTCCCAGACTTTGTTTGTACCAGTAAAACATTGTAGCACTATCTTTATAGAAACACTGCAGAGTCACATTGTCACCAATATTAGCCACTATAAAACTGCTGTTTTGACGCACATGTACGGATGATGTCTGAGCAATCATCTGAACTGAAGAGAAAAAAGATCAAAACAGAACAAACTTAATTCATATCACATCTTTAAGATACTGAATCAAATATACATAAAAAAAATAACTTACATGATCCTCCCAAGAAGAGATACGTCACATATAAAGTGAACCTCATGGCTGTTGTCACATTTGATTTACAGCACTGAATGAGCAGAATGACAGTTGGGTCTGCACTCTTAGAGAGAAGAAGCATCCTCTTGATTGGCTACTCAGAGGTACCTCCTAAATCCTGAACAAGAGGTACCTCCTAAATCCTGAACAAGAAACGATGGTCACATGTTCAGTGCTGTATGGACTGCACTGCAAAAAGACTGAACAACAAGTTTGATTGTTTTCAGAGTTTACTCTTTTCTATTTTTTTTTTTCTTAATTTAATTGCCCTGTTGTTTGAAATTGAAAATCTGTGGCTCTATTATCAGTTGGCTGGCATCAAGGAAAGGGCTTTATCTGTATTACCTCAAAGTAGTAATAACAATATCAGGTTGTAAATGGAAATTAGCCCAGAGGATGGTTCAAGGTTATGTATATCAAATAGAACTATCTTACTTTAAATCTGATGAACAATCATGTGACGTGTTTGTAATTTACCTGCTTTGTGTGTGAGGAATCAACTGTGTTCAAATCCAGGAGCTGCAACCTTTAAAGGACCCAACCTTTAAAGCTATAATGTGTAACTTCTGCGTCTTAATGCGTCCAAGCCCCTACAAGAGGAGATGACACAACACTGATTAAGCTGTTTGGCTCCTCTAACAACTCACAGTATTTTTTGGTATTTGTATTGTTTTGTATTTAGTGTCGAGGGGCGACATTCCCGCTCTGGCACACAGCAAATGACGCGTTTTACTCAGTTTTACCTGACAACGAGAAGGGAGGGGGGAGGAGAGCGCTGCTCGTAGCATCATGGTGGAGAACCTGAAGAAGCGACCAAGGGGTTCAGAAGTGGATCCTACTCAAAAGAAAAAGCCTGTGTGTCTGAGTCTGTGTGTTGGGACGAGTAACTTTTGTAGCCTACATGGGGTGTTACACGATAGCTACAGTCCGTGTACCATGACGAACAGCATACAGTGAGTTGCGAGTGTTTCTCCATGTAACATGACAAGCACACATTTTGTAGCTAGTATTACTCTGTGTACCGTGACAAACAATATGCTGTGTCTAGTGTTACTATGTGTGATGTGCAAACGTCATACTAAGGTGCCGGCTGTACTGTTGTAATAATGGAAAAATCCTCTAGGGGGCAACAGAAGTTACCTACTATAGCTTTAAAGGACCCAGCATTTGAAGGACTCAGCCTTTGTGGTCTGCATGGACTGATCAGGCAGATTTGAATTGATCCTTTGACGGATGACATGTTTATGTCACCTGTATTTCCAGTCCTTACAGGGTCATGTGAAGCAGCCAAAGGGTTTCTCCAAGGCTAGCTGGCACAGCTAGCATCATGACTCCTGAATACCATGACCAACATTTCATAGATGGTCTTGAATGTCTTTTATTTTTATTTTTGTACATTTTATGGCTCACTATTAAATCAAAACAAAATATTATTAATTAAAGTGTGTTACACACAGCCCAAAATCCCAGGATATACTGTATTCACCATATGTGGCTGCAAAGCTGGTGAAGCTACCAGTAAAAGACTTGTTTCGCCAACTCCAAAGAAAGCTGTTTACTTTGACAGCCTGGCCAAAGGACCTTTCTTGGAAAATGGACAACACAATAAATCTGATCTAGTGGCGGCGATCCTATGCTGAAAAGCATTTCCCTTTACCCAATGTGGCGTATGATTAATGGCCAGGGGCCTTATGTATCAACGCTTGCGGCGCAAGAAAACCTTGCGTACGCCAAAATCAGCGCACACGTCCAGATTTATCATCGCGAAACGAGCGTCGGTTCCAGCGCTAATCAACGCAAAGTCAGGAGGTGGTGTAGAAATTGGCGTTGAGCCGATACTTGCGTTGACTGTGATTCGCACTTTGGCGACACTGTGTGGCGGTGTTTGGTGACTCACTATGTGACAAGCGTGCACCACATCCCCGTGGCCGAGCATCACGTCGGATGCCAGCTGATCCCTGCCGGGCCGCCGTCCTCGCGCGGGAGAATCTCATCGCCACAGTGTGAATGGGTAAGAAGTGAGTACACAGTTCAATGAGCCAAATTAATTTATTTTCTCCACCAGACGCTCGAGGACATTTACGAGCCGATTGCAGGACCCCCTCCGCGAGGACCCTTCCACTGCGTCCGGGTGGTCCAGCGGAAGCGCCGCGGCTGGTGGACGCTCCACCGCTTGTCGGTGCGCTGGTGCTGATGCTGGTGCTGGGGCCGGGGGCCGGGGTGGCCCGAATGCCACTGGTCCTGGTCGACGACTCCGAGCCGGCGGACGGGCTGCCGCGGGCCGGGGTTCCGCAAGCCAGCGACACGGCCGACACATTGATTTCTGTGACCCAATAAAAATATTTGTTCATTTCAATTCCTGCTTCTGTGTATCTGTTGCGTTTACATCTCTCTCCACGGTATCATAGGTAATGTAATCTAGTATTTCGAGGTCAGTTATGCACATTACAGTTGTTTATTGCATAAAAAGTTATCGAAAAATGAAGTTAAGGGCGAAGTATAAATCACGTCTAAAAATAGACTGAATCCCGACGTTGAAATGAAGTATAAACTTAGACTAGACGTCTAATATACGTCTTTTGCTCAGTGGGATGACAAAGCATGTGGACATTTGTGTGACATGCCACTTACCCTATAATAATAATCGCCACCACCCGCTGCTCAAACGGTGTGAGGGTCTCCTCCCCCAGACCCCCACCTGTCTGGCCAGTACTCCTCCGGAGGGCAGCTGTACGCCGCTTGACCTCCACCTTGAGGTCCGACCACTTTTTTTTAATCTCCGCGGGGGTGCGTGTCTCGGAACCCACCGGATTCACCCTCTCGCAAACTTTCTCCCACTCCAAGCGTTTTTGTTTTGCACTGACGCCACTGGACAGGCCGCCAAACAAAACACGCTGTCGCTCCTCCACCTCCGCCACCAGCACCTCCACCTCACATGCCGTAAATTTAGTTTTTCTTGTCATTTGTCTGCGTGCGAGGACAGGGAGACCCTATTTAAATAAATCTGCATATTTATAGGAGGGCGTAACGGGGACGGGCCCAGTCACTCCGACATCTGCGCTCGATTCCACGCTGATTGGGATTTATCAAGGAAACACACGTGGATTTCGGCGCCCGCACACATTGATACATACGGATTTTTTTCAGCGTGACGGACCTTGCGTGCGCTCGTTTCTGGTATGAGTTCCACGCAAGTATTGATACATAAGGCCCCAGGATTGGTTGTGTTCTGGTATTTTTTTTTCGTTCAACTACAGTGAGGCTAATGCAGAACTCCAATATACCATAAAAACATAAACGCGGCTGCTATGACCATGGTAAGTACATCCACTGTCACAGAAAAAGAGAGAGAGAAAGAGAGAAAAGTGATTATTGAAAATACCATATCCAATAAATTGAAAATATTCAAATGTTTGTTTTTTAATTTTCTATTATCATTATTATTATTATTATTATTATTTGTACGGCTGGTTCCTCTTCTGTTTGAGGACATTTAACAATAAATGGATCCATAGAACTGGCTCACACAAGAACTCACTACTACAATAGCCTGTTTAATGAGCAGCTAGCTTTTACCAAACTGAGGACACTGAAAGAAAGATCATCTACTGAACTCAACTTAAAGGCATGGTTGACGATTGGAGAGATTGGAAATTACTATGAACCTTTATATTGTGATCATGGTCCTATAGTGTGATCTCCACAAAGTAAAGAGAAAAAAGAATGGAAAAAATCCATTCACCCTAGCAGGTTTGGGGCTGCAAAAACATTGACCAATGGGAGCCATCCGTCCTGGACAGCTCCTATTGGTCAATCTCCTGCTCTGCCTCTCCATCCAATCACCTCACTGTATTCGACAACCCCTCTCCCAAAGTGCTGACTCATCCCCTCCCACTCTCCTGGCCCTCCTAGCTCAGAGCGGCTAAGAGTGGCGTAGCAACTGGGCTACAGGAGCTGTGATGGTGAAGGATGCAAAAAAAAACAAAAAAAACACTCCTGCTTGCCCCAACGCCAAAGTTCGAGAAAATGCAAGCCTAGAGAAGAAAGGGCAAAGACGAAGAGGAAATGTGACCAAGCGAGGAATCTAACTCAAATAAACATCGGTTCATCCTTTGAGCGGTGGAGTAAGCTCTGCCAGGATTTGAGCCCGAAAACAGACGCCGAGACAGCAGAGTTTTTGTTGAACAGGTAATTTTTGCCTTTTATCATGGCACATGTTACAAAAATAACTCTTATTAGTCCCTGCAATGTCAACATGGTAGCTGTCCAGGCAGCTGCAGAAGGTGCTCGCTAGCAGAGCTGGTGTTTACTGCCGCTAGTCACTAGCAATCCAACATGGTGAATCCTATTTGAAGCTTGTGTAGGATCTTCTGAGCTTCTTGCTCTGCCGGAGGGGGTGTGTCGTGGGGAGGGCAATACAGGTTCATAGGGGAGTTATCATGGAGCACAGAGGGGAGAAGTTTGTGTGTGGGGGGGGTGGGATGCTTTTTTCCTTACTCAACGGCTCCGTTTTTTCAACTGCTTCTCAGATCGTCAACCATGCCTTTAAGGTTTCTGGCACTCAGGTCAACAATGACCAATCATCCTTGAGTCTGGGTCTGGAACCCTTTGGCCTCAAACCTCAAAAGCTTTAATTTGACACAGACATGAAGACTGCAGGCCTGAGCTTAGACTTGATAAGGCCTGGAAGCCAAAGTTGAGAAAACTGAAAATGGTACTTGTACTTTTCTTTGTGTGTGAGCAAAGGCAAACTTTATATCAGGGATACACTTAAACCACATATACAGTAAAATAATAACACCACCATTCGTTTGAGGATGAAGTAAGCAATGATGGATGAGTTTGAGCATTTGAAATTGATGTTAGAGGGAGCTGGAGACTTGGGTGGATTTGCTTAGATTGTTGCTCCCAGAACCTGACCCATAACAAGCAGAGGAAAACGGATGGATGGAAGTTAGTTTGACCAGGCCAAGTTTGATATAGTACAAATTCAGTCAGACTGACGTGTTTACATGTACTATAAAGGTCCAGTTTCAGTCAGACTAAGACAATAAATCTATTTTTTACATATTTAAATGATGGACTGAATCCCAAACAGCCCCTGGTGCCTGTGCCAGTTGTGTATGAATGGGTTTAGGTGCTTCTGCCAGATATAAACTTGGTGTGAATGAATGAATATGAAATATAATGCAATGTAACGTGCTCTCTGAGAGGTCAATCGACTAGGGGAAGTACTGCATGATTACAGTTTATTTTCTTGCTGCTGCTTTTATAAATGCTAGTTGCTAATATTGTTAACAACAGCCATTTGGCCAGTTTCTCATCACCTCCCTTCAACCAAACATACCACAGTCAGTGTTTGGTAAGTGTAACAGTAAGAAGAACACTTTTGTTTCACCTCATTTTGTACTGAGTTATCTAAAAATGTTACCAGCTAACTTCATGTTTTATTTCCTCTGAATTTCCTCTTCTTTTGTTTTAGTAATCCTCTGGGCATTACAGTATAACAGGGGGGCTGCTTTGCATGAAGACACTGAAAACATTTCCTGAGTGAAACCACACAGACAGAGAACAGAGGAGCCAAATGCACAAGACCAAATACTTGTGAGCGCTAGCTTTTGACGACCAACCACACATCTGCAAAAACCTGACACCTTTTTGCTCTTGTGAACAATGAGCATTGGCGGTAAGCAGCAAAGGACTTACTAGTTCACAGGGGGTGGGCCTTTGCTTTCAGATGGATTAAATCAAGCGATTTCCTCATTTCAGAAACTGGGCGATCTGTCACCCTATTCATCATATTTGTGTGGTAGTTTGTTTGTTTAGAGCTTCTCGATCATACTAACGAAACTAAGTATGGCTGTTTCCATAGAAACATGTCTTGTTGGTACTTAACAGCATGTACAGCATATTGACCTTGTGTAGGTCACATTTGAGAATCTTTTCACTAATGTTAAAAAAAGAAACTTGGTCAACTCTGATCGACAATGTTGGTCTCTTTCTTTGCTGGTGTTTTTCATTTTATTGCACACATGGATCCCATTGCATGTTTTTTTTTTTGTTTTTTTAAACTCAGTACTCTTATTTGTGTTTTTGTTAATGAAATCTTAAGGACATGGTTTGCACATTATCGAAGGCTTGAAACCTGCATGCATTGCTTCTACTTCTTATACAGTATGCAGCAATGATCAATGCATCAATGCTGCTGTTTGGTCAACCAAATAAATAAATGGACAATATATTCAGTCAACTACTTAAACGACTTAAAGTCAACTATTTCATGCAATTTTCCTTTAATTAGCCTAGTTAAGAGAGAGAGAGATAAGGGGGAGAGGTGCAGCAACAGGGTCAGGACTTGGAGTCAGCTCAGGGAGTTAGTTGTCTATGTCGTAGTCTTTGTACATGGGGCACATGCCAAGCCTTCAGGGCCAACAGGTGCCCCTCGAGTTAGCTCAGTTTAATTTGGTGCATAAATGATCTGTTGAACCATCTGCCACAAACTCATTTGCAGTTGTTGTTTTTTTTTTTTGCATCACTTACTTTTCCCACTTTGTTTCTACCATTGCATTTGTTATTTGATTTCTGCACATCTTTATGAAATTGTATTACTTCTGGAATTACAGCAAATGATCTTTGGGCTGTTGCAGATCAGTTCGTCTTGTCAGCCATCACCACACCTCAAACAATGCATGAACAGGAAGGATGAACAGATATACTCTCTCTCTCCCTCATGACCTGTCTGCAGAGCTTGTGTCATCACGCTACAGTTCATATACTGGCACACACTGCAGGGGAGAGATCATCTTATTTATTGAAGCGCTGATGATGTAAAAATATCGGGAAATAAATCCAAGCTTTGACACTAGTCAGCCTACCGTACCTCCATCCTGTTTTAACCCTTTAATATAACATTTAAATCTGTCCTCTAAGCATGTTATCTGTGTGTTGTGCCAAACTAAGGCTTGCTCCTGTTGGTTTACTGGTCAGAGTTTCTCCCAGAATGTTCTCATTAAAGTGACTGACTAAAAACTCTCTGTCAGTTGAGTTCAAGTTATGAGAACATCATTTGAATGAGTTTCTTGGAAAGCCTCGCTCAGCTGAAATTTTGTTCCTGTAACTAAAAATACCGAAAAAGGAACCAAAACCGAACCACCATCATTGTTTTATTTCAAAGAAAGCTTAAGACTAGTCTTCACATGCTTGAATCTGGACTGTTGGAGTTGCAGGTATGTGGAAATTGAACAAGCTCTTCTTGATTTGACTTTATGAGCTTTACTGTATTTGCAAAGCCTGCTTGCTTTCTCTCTCGTAGATTGTCTATTTGTTTGCGCTGTCTGTTTTCTGCATCACAGGCATGCTGTTTGCTTCTCATCGCTCTGTGAGAAAAGTCCACAGAGGTGAGAGATGCTGTGGCCTGAAGCTGCAGGCCAGTCTTCCTGTGTTAAAGCTCTGCTAGGACTTAAGTTTCCACCGATGGAAACTTACAGTCTTGAGCTCACACCACCTTCACCGCATGGGTGAAAGGTATGTGGTGAGAAAAGGCTGTGGACCGAAAGAAAGAGGTTATGCGAGCATTCTGGTGCAAGGACATATTTATAGATCACAGGGGAATTTTTGATGAGCATGTTTGTCTTTATTTTGTCTATGGACATGTTAAACCCCTCCAACACTCACACTTTATAGATACAATAATTGAGAGAGAAAGCTGTAATGACGTTGAAAACAGACGTTTCCTTTCAGTGCATCTCCTCTTTACAGTTTCTGTGCCCAGGTCCACAGATAATGTTTATCAGTAATAAATTCAAAGGTGAATTTCTTCCTCACTCTTTCCTACTCTTCACTCTGGAGTACACACATTCTGTCTCCACACTCTCCTCTTGGCACTGCTGCTTTCTGGTTTTGTTCAGACTCAGAGCTGCATAATGTAGATTGCCTGCATCCTGGCTCTAGTAATGACAAAATACACAAAGGCAAGTTATCTGAATCTGATCAGACTGGAGAAAAAAACTTCTTTGAATTTGGCTCTTGTCATGTGAGTGTTTTACCCACCACAGCGTCAGGTGTTGCAGAACCTGCCGGATAGGAAACTGTTCCTGCAAAACAATACACATGTATGATGAAGCCAGGCCTTAGCTGAACAGTTCAAATACTGTTACTGTAGTCATACCTTTGCACACGGAGCATGACTTTTTCTGCAGTTTGCACATGATGGACGCTAAGATGAACAGCACAATAATGGATACTGCCAGCGCCACACCAAGGCAGGATACCAGGAGTAAAGGGACTTTGGCTGAGCCTCCTAATATGTCAAAGAGTCAAGAAAACTGTGTCACAGATACTGTCTTCAATTTATACTGAAGTTTAAGTTTTTAAAAATGTAAAACAATAGATTTAGCCGATTTGAGTTTTATCACTTACCTTTAATCTTCACGCTTGTTCCATTTCCAAACACAGTCTCCCCGCAAGAAGCCAGAGCACAGTAGTACATCCCTGCATCAGAGTAACTCACTGACTTTAAAACGAGGTTCAAGGTACAGTTTTTCACGTGGGACTCTGAGTCAGACACACATTGTCCCTTTTTGTGATACATGACAGCAGACTGAGCAGCACCCTGTCTGAACCAGTAGAAGCTCTGCTCTCCTGCACATGCGGCTGCGAAAACTGTGCAGCTCAAATTCAAAGAGTCTCCCACCTGAAGAGGCTCTAACGTTGGCTGTTGGACAATAGCTGGGACGTTGGATGATAGAGGTTTCACATGAAGAAAGACTCCTTCTCCAAACTCAATCGCGTTGAACTCTAAAATCCCACAGTAATACATCGCTGAATCAGACTGTTGAATGTCTCTGATGGTAAGATGGTTGGTGCCTTTTGCACCTCCTGCTTCGACTTGAAACCTGTCCGCATAAGCAGGGGAGATGGTGGCCTCTTTGTTGAGCTTCATCCGAGTTGATATGATGTCAGGTTTATCTCCCAGGTGTTGCTTGTACCAAGATAGGAAGTTCACAGCATCATCCTGATAAGAGCAGTGTAAAGTTATATTATCCCCAGCTCTGGCTGTTATGAGCCCACTGTCCTGTTGAATATTAGAACTCTTTGTCACTGCTGCCACTTGAACTGCAGAGAAATGCACTCAATTACATTCAGAATTTGATCAGAGCAAAGAAACTGTGAAAAAGGGGATTTTAGATACTTACAGATCTCACTGAGAAGAACAATAAAGATGTAGAGTTCCATCACGGCTGAATCTATGCAGTGTCTTTCCTGTGTGCAGATGGAGGCACCTGACTCTTATAAGAAACGAGGGCTGTTTGTGATTGGCCGAGCTCTCAAGACTAGCGATTTCTTCATTAAGAAAAAAAACAGTCATCAAGTGACAAGCGGTTGTCTCTTGAGGCTTGTTCACTCACTGACGAGGTTTTGTAGCCTAAAATGTAGACTTTTTGAAGCCCACTTTAAAATAAGGGCATAGAGGTTACTTTAATGTGTTTGTTTTCTACACTGTGCCTGCTGTTCACCGAAAAGGCAGTTCTTTTGTAATGTCGCTCTTCCTTTGCATCAGTCCTGTCACTGCTCATCTTGGCTCATTCAACCTCCAGCACAAATAAAAAAAGCTAATGTTTTTTTTGTTGTTGTTTTGTTTTAAATTTAAGTAAAGCCTGTCGATTTCACTCACCAACTGAAATCAGGTCAGGAGAGATCGAATCCAGTGCTATCTCACCTTTACCCAGTCGTCACACCAGGACTGTTTGGTTTATATTAAAAACCTTTGGTCCGGATGGTATGAACGCGCAAGCGAACCATGGTCCAGATCAAGCAAGCGGACCATGGTCCTATTGAGTCGTCAGTCAGTTTTTTAGCTGTACCAATGCACCTCCCGTGTTGCACCTTATTACCCTGACTGTTTTTTTTTCAATTTGGTGAAAGTCTCTTTCACATAGCAGCTCCTTATATGTCTGAACGTCCCTCACTTGTTTAGCACTTTTTTCCCACTTTTGATCCTCTTTCTTACTACACTTGTCTGATCAGCCTAATACCACCAATCTGAGTTTTGTACCTTTCAAGTACATTTAAATGATATTAAACTCACCATGTTGGATGTCAAAGAAACTGGAACATGAAAAAGTTGTGGTATTGTTACCAGAAAGAGGTGAAATCCTGAACAGTGCTCTAGATGCAGTTCTATCTTGATTTGATATGTGTGACATGATCAGGATGCCCCTTAAGTCACATTCATAGAGACACCAACTCTGCAGATTATTTCAGAAAACTACATTAACTACCATTTGGGGGCCACAAGTCATTTTACACTTTCTTATACTTGTTATGCGCATTACCAACAGCATTTTGCTGAGACTTTGGAAGACCACAGTTTCGCTGTTCACTGCTGTGTCACTGTATGCCTGTGAAGATTATGCAGTTGTTTACCAGTTGTTTTTGTTTCAGTTCCCTTTTAGAAACTGTCACTGTTTGACCAGATTGAGACATTGACACTTTCTTGGTTGAATTTAGGGAGGGTTATGGTTTGGGCTATACCGTGAGTCAACATAGACTTACATGAGAAACATGAACCAGCTTCTGGGCTCTGCATGGAACTAAATCTGCAGAAAACCTTGAAAACAAACTTTTAGATAACTAAGTCAGACCAGCCCTAAGGATGCATGAAACTAGCACCACAGAAGTTTTGTTTTTCTTCCCTTTATTTACATAAGAAACTGGTCTCCCCCCACTGCCATCTTGCACTGCCATGTTTCTATGGCAGTACAGTAGGGACAAGCTAGTATGTAGGTTAAAACCTATTCCCCAGGACATGCTATTGTTGAAAGACAAAGAAAATGAGAGGGTTTGTGAAGAGGAATATGTATTGATAGATATTTTTGATCATATTTTTTGACTAATGGATGATTATACATGTCATCATCACATTTGCCTCTCCACTTGTCCTTGCAGGTCACTGTTGCTTCTGGAGCTTCACCAACAGAAGGGGTGAGCAAGGAAGCATTTCAATCCAGAAATGAACCTTTATGCTACATTAAACTGTGGTAGTTCTCAGACACACAACTCCAGAGTTTGTCATTCTGTGGTCTGACACTACCTCCTCTTCTCTTATAACAAACCTGCCCCACTGAGTAACTGTCACTCTAAGTGTCTCTACAGGCTTAATGCACTTTCAGTTGCATTTTCCCTTGCAAGAGGTTTCTTAGTTTGCTTTTTTCCATATTTATTATCTGCAGTGCTTTTTTGGCTCATACATTTTTTGCATTGTCTGGTTGCATTTGTTTTGGACTTTTGCATTTGGTTTCAATGGAGGAAAAGTTTCTTTTCTTTCATGCACTGCAAAACATACATGCAATTCTTGTGTTCTACACTAAATGGAAAGTCTTTGTGTGCAGCAATTAGAAAGTTAGACCGACAAGACTGGCCTAATGAATGTAGAAGCGCTGTAAACCACAAAGAAGATGAGCAAGCTGCCTCTTATAACTTAAACATAATGTTTTCATGTTTGTGGTCTAAATATCTATGCTTAAAAATCTGGACATAAAGCTACACTGTTCAGAAGAGCTCACACATTTCTCAGCAACATTAAGACGCACTTCCTGGACCATGCATCTGAGCGGAATTGTTTACTGTGGTTTTGACAGGTTGTGTCTGCGTGTGAAGGTCTGGTCTGGTGTGTGTGCAGTGTCACTGAATTGCCTTTAGATGTTTGTGCTTGTACTGTCCTGTTTGTGTGTCTGATGAAGAAGCTATTTTATCAGACAGTTAAAAAACAAAGCTGTTGTTCATTGACTCAAAATGAAACGAGAAGCATGTTGCACACATGCGTTTAGTAAAAACAATAATGCTCATCATCTTTGAATGATCCAATAAGCATGTCTGAAATTCTTTCTAACACACTGCAGAGCAACTCAGCCAGCTATAAGATGGCTGCTAAGCAGAAAGCTGTTGTCTTTCTGCTAATAAGCTGCTAAGCTGCTAAACCTAACCTAAATCTCTGAACGAACTCTTAATCATCTTTGAGTATGGAAATTACATTTCAAGGTCTATAATAAGTTTAGTGAAAGATTAAAAGATCTGCTGGAACATATTTTCTATTTTAATCACATTTTCTGTTCTTCATGTTTTCTCCTGTAATTATCTGCAACACAACACTGAACAGTGTCCAGTTTGAGGTTGTATGAAAGACTTTCCCCCAGCTTCTATCATACACACGTGTTTGAGCAGGGGTGGAGCCAGACTTCTTTTTGTCCGGGGTGGCCAGACAAGAAAAGCAATAGCCCTTACAGCTTTATCAGTAGGGTTATCTCCACTAATCACATGTATACTCAACCTTTGAAGAATTTTAAATATGTAATATTTATACAAATAAATAAACAGTACATGTGTCACAAAGAAAAGTAAAGACACTATTAGTGTCTGAGACAACACAACTCAAACTATTGATTTCAGATTAAGTGACACCTTTAACCAGCCAACCGTGGTTTTGGTTGAGAAGGCAGCCACTGTAGTAGCCAATCAGATCTCCAGGGTGGCCATAGTCACACAACCTGACCGAATCAACACAGCTAAAACCGCATTAAATTAAATAAAATATCTAGTAAATAGACACACATGATGAAGTTAACATGATATGTAATTCGTCTCCCTCCTTTTCTTCTTCCTCTTCCTCTTATTTTTCGCGCAGCTCGACCTGGACATGTCTCCGTGTCCTCTCCCCTAAAGCTAAACAGATGATTTGTTTCAGTGATCAGATGAGTCATTTACTTTAAGCCTACATACAAATATTATAATATTCAGTTTTGTGAGCCAAATTTATTTTATATGCCAACATCTATGAAAGAAAGAGCCAGGCCACGGAGCGCGATGGTTCCAATTTTAATGCCATTTTTGAAGTTTATGTTATGCTCTCTGTGCACAACCCACCTTTGTCATGGGAGGTTTGAGTATATGCAACTTTATGTGAGTGTCTTTATTTGTGGAAACGGTGTTTGACTTACAAGTGGGTCCAACATTACACACACCAAATCGATCTGTGCTCATATGAGAGAGTGTGAAGGACGCCCTCTGCAGCAATACTTGTTGAGAAGCTGTCTTCTGTCGCCATCGTGTGGCATTACTGTCTTCAGACATCTCTTGATCTCTTTGACTACTTCACGAAAGTAGTAATACGCCTCGCCAGTGGCGGATTTAAAGGTGAGGAGAGGAGCTGATTTTATTGGTCAATACAGGTCTCAGCTGTGTTAAACCCACTCCATGCCCTCTCTCCTCCCTTGCTACGACTTTTGCCGCTGGGAGGAGCTGAGTTAGGGAGGGGACATACTTACGCCGGGCAGCACCGCTCACCAAATTGTGCTTAGGAACGCCTTGTCGGCACGGCAGACCTGACTTACGCCGCGCCTGCGAGGCACGTCACCAGAGAGGCACGAAAATAGAGCCCTTTGACTTTAAACTTTACTTTTCACTTTACACTACAACGTCAAACTTTTCTCTACTCAACTGTTATCTGTTTTTACTTGACTTCAGTCTTTTGAATTTATGACATTATGACATTTGTGACCGAATTCTTGCAAATTTTTGAATTTAGTCATGCAGTCCAACATGTTGTTTCGATTTGAACTTTACTCTCTAAATCTCACTTTTCTAAATCCTTACTTTGGCCCTAATCATTCCTCAGTGAATAAACTCACAAACCTGCAGTGCATCCGTGGAAAGTGACTTATTATTTCTGAGGCCCAGCTCAGGTTGACTATCATGTCGTAATGTGCCTCCTCACATCAAAGTTACAACCCCTGAAAGCTTCAGTGCAACTTCAAGTGTGACTTTGTTTTTTTTACCTGTTCAAAGACAAGTAAGTGTGAAGCTATTTAAAGCACATTGAAAAAAGAAAGGTGCTATTGTGAGGCAACTGAAACAAACAACATGATGAGTTAAACCACATAGACATCCTGTCAGGCGAAGAGGAGGGCCGTAAAACCACTCAGGCTGAGTGTACATGAGTGAGCTTGACCAAAGCGGGGACTCAGATGAGAGAGATCTTTTTTTTTTTCTTGTTCAGGACTTGGCCACAGTAGTTAAAAACACCTCGCTTTCTTTCTGAGTACCACTGCAGAGATGAGAAAAACATGCAAAACTTGCTATCAAACAGCTACAATTTTCATTTTGAAGTAATCTCAGATTGGCTGGGATAAAGGAGGGAAATGTATCCTGTTTAATTTACTGCTCTTAAATCAGCAGATTCATTTATTTTTGATCAAAACCAAGAAGAAAAACCACAAAACTAGCTTATTTGACACCATGACATAAAACTGACATTGTGCATCAGGCTCCGGTTGATGAGATTTTTATGTTGGTCAACCACAATAGTCTACATACACAGAATAAAGTCTGAAATGTTGAAGCATTGATTTTTACTGGTAATACCTTAAGTGTGTGTCTCTGCTCTACTGTGGTCACTGCAGTGTCTCATTGCCGTGTCTCTATAAATAATCTTCTGAATGTGGTGAAAAGCAGCTGATGATGCGCTTGTGTGATGTTAACTCATGGTGAACTGCTGCCCCCTAATGATTAAGAGCTGAATTGCTCAAACTCAACCAGGCCTAAGAGCAGATTTAAAGCAGCAGTACACTAAAGAAGTTCACAGAAAGAGCTACACAGCCGTTGAAAACATGTATTTTGTCCATGATATTTCCACAAGGCTTAGAAATGAGAAATGATAAGTATAGTTACATTATGAGGGATTTTGGAGTAGGTGGGCTTGTCTTTGTGAGTGCTTTATAAAATTACAATAGCCTCACCCCTCTTATTTTTTAAATTCTTAATGTGACCCTAATCCTTAGAGATGTACAGTAAAGGGGGTATTTAGGAGGAAAAAGTGATGACATCATTTCTACTTAAGTGTGATTTATTTTGAAATAAAGATATGATTTTAACAGTGAAGCATAAAAAAGAGTATATTAATGTATTGATGTAATTCAGTCATAATATTGCAGATGAAACTAAAGTAGCCGGAGTAAATAGATAACAGCGCAACAGAGGTAAATAACAGAATAAAATGTGTTCTCTATGAACAAAAATGAATCACTTCAGTTTGTGTCTCTTAGACCAGAGTAGATTGTCTCCTCTTCTGGTCCTCGCTGTCTTCTCTTGCTTTGCCCCTTTTTGAAGTCCAGAGCCACGTACTGCAAAGCATCCACATCTGTATTCTGTCCGAAACACAGAAGAGAAAACTGAATTATATTAAAGACAGCTGATTTTAGATTAGTTATGGAATGTGGCAGTTGGAGGAAATCAAAGCATACCTGACTGTCAGGAGTGAACTCCTGGATGCACTGAAGCTGCAGTCCTAGAAAAAGAAGCAAAATTATTACCCTTTAAAATTAGCTGTTATACACAACAACCAGAGCTGTTTTAAGGAGAAAGATGGATGAAAAAGACAAGAGAAACAGGCTTACACTGTTTCTTAAAAAATAAAAATACATTTCAAATTCCACAACCAGTTCAACAGAATTTTGTTTACCTTTATCTTGAACTTGAATTCTTAAGACAAACTGTACATCAATGATAGTTACAAAACACATCATAAGGCCTAATTCTCTGTACTGAAAGAGGTACAGCTTATTAAAACTATTTTTTTTCTCACCTCTCTTTTTTTTTTTTTGTTATTGCCCTAAAACTTAAAACAATGGCGAAAACACAGTCTTTTTTTTTTCTTTTCATTTTGAAATTAATCTCAGAAAATCACACTTTCCAACTTTAAACTCAGAATTCTCTGAGAAATGTCATAATGCTGAATTTAATCCGAGACATCTGACTTTAATCTCAGAATTCCTGAATCCAAGTCAGTCGTCTTGTTTGAATTCTGATTAGGAATTTGATTTTGAACATCAGACTTTTTATAGGAGTTCTTGAAAATAGTTGTTATTATAAATTTAATATTTGACATTTCATTGTAACGTCATTATTTTGAGATTGAAGTTAGAGATCTGGTTTTAACTCAGAAGTCTTGAATTTTCGAAGAATTCTTAAATTAGAGTCAAAATTGTAATTTTTAAAACGAAATCCTGAATATAATCTCAGACATATTAACTTCATTCTAGAGTTCCTTGAATAAAATCAGAATTTCAATTTAGATTTTTAATTTTGAGAAAAAAAAAGTCAGCGTTAAAATAATTTATTGACCTTAATATATATATATATATATATATATATATATACATATTTTGCCTGAATCCTTTTACATAGACAATGAGTTAAATCAGCTATTAAAACTTTAATAACACGTCTTTCTCTTTTTCTCATAAAATCCATAAAAAAACTTATTTTTAATAAGCAAATAAAACTCGTTCATACCTTCAGAGAGGAGAAGTTTTTTCCTGTTCGTTTTGCAGAGGATGATGATCAGGATTAAGTTCAAAGTAATCGACACAAACAGAACAGCAACCATACAATACACCAAGATCTCGTCATGTTTACCTGTAAAAAACATTTCAAATATTACGCTTGCTAAAAATACAAAAGAGAAAACTGCATATTTAATCTTTTTTACTTACGTTTAACATCCAGTCTTGTCCCTCCACCAAACAGTATATCACCACAGTGAGCCACAGCGCAGTAGTACGTCCCAGCATCAGACCTGCTCACGTTCCTCTTTGATAAACTATAGACACATCTGCGCTCAGGAGGCTCAGACCCACGGTCCAGTCCACACTGCCTGCTGCTCTGTGCAGGGATGTACATGATTCCAGTGTGGGAGCTCCCGGAATCCTTTTTGAACCAGTAAACACTTTGTTCTCCATCGCAGGTCCCATTGTGGACTGCACAGGTCAGAGTCACAGAGCCTTCTTGTTTCACCGAGTCAGAGGCCGGCTGCAGAATGTAAGACCTGTGGCTAGACCCTAAAGACAATGAGCATGTTGCGGAGAGGTTTATGATATGCAAGATCAATGAAATGTCATGTAAATTGTTTAAATTGTTGAACTGAAATCAAAACACAGCAGAATACCTCTTAGGACCAAATAGATGCCCTCATCATATTTAGTGGCTGATATGAGGATGTGTCCACAGTAATACATCGCTGAATCGGAGTCCTGCACATTCAAAATGTTCAGATGGTAGAAGTCTTTTCCAGTTTGAACAGAAAAGCGTCTGTTGTCTTTAAACTGCTCGTTGAAGCTGTGAGGATTAACTGAATGTTTGTAGTAGTAGGATATCATTTGTGGCTGCTCCCCTGCCACTTGCTTATACCAGCACAAATGTTGGGCTTCCTCTGCAGGGAAGCAGCGCAGAGTCACATTTTGTCCGGGGTCAGCGTATAGCAGAATACCCTCTGAAACACAGTATGTAAATGTTACTCTAAAATGTTACATAAAATATCACTGAAGCCTTTAGGTCACGTTTTGCAATACTACTACTTTGTTTTCCAGTGTGAAAGGCAAAGTTCGTAGCAACTCACCAGCTGTACGGAGGAGAAAAATGAAGAAATAGAACCCGAGCATCCTTCGCTCTCAGACTCCTCCAGTGCGATGGTGCAATAAGCAATGGGGTCATGAACAAAAAGCTACACACTCAGCGGAAAAAACATCAATGTGACCTCCAGGACAGATTTTTGTGGGTGTTTGAATATGCACGAAAGGAAATGAGCAGTCTAGATTTTCCCCTGTATGCTGAGATTGTACGATCATTCTTCTTGTAGGGCTGTCTTTGTGCTTTAGGTGCATTTTTAGATTTGAATAAGGCCACCTTACTGCTGGTTTATGCAAAACATGAGGCTTCACAAATGTCCTTCTTTTAAACAACACACCTGTCAACTAGATAAGGGAGCACGAGCCTATTCTACGAAGCTAGTTTGACCTAGCGATGTAGCCTTGGAGCTACCTCGCTCAACTTAGCGCGGTAGCCAGCGGTCTTGCTAAACGGCCTTACGACGCTGGTTATCAACCTCATTAGTGGATTCAGCTTTGCTATGAGCGCGTGCACGCATGTAAGGTGGAGCCCGCCGCATCTGACCAATCGCGAACATGGACCAGTCTAGAGCATCAGAGCAGGCCGGAGAGCGAAGGACTGCATACTTTACAAATGAGGAGCAGGAGACGATCATGAGAAAGTATGAAGAATTCAAATCTATCATAAACCTCAAAAGCAACACCGTCGCCGCTGCAAAAGCACGGAAGGAATGCTTGCAGAAAATTGCTGACAATCTCAATGCGTAAGTATAGTGCGCAAAAAATCTTTGATGCCATTTTTACCCTGAAATAGCACTGTTCAACATGCGCTTTTAACATGCACCAGACATGTTCAATTAATTTCCAAGATGAATTCATTCATTTGTTCATTCCTATCGTGTTTACATTTTGTGTGTGATATGTAGGCCAACTGAGCCTTTCATAAAGGTGGTCATCCGGAAAAGTAAGTGGGTCCGTGCGGTCCCTGAAAACTCTCGCGCGCCGGAGTGCTCCTCAGACAATGCGAGCACCGAGGTCTATAGGATCCTCCAAGAACGGACAAGCCATTTATTCGAGAGAGCTCATTGGTCAGTGGGCGGGGTTTTTATACTTGGTGAGTTCAATCTGGAACCTAACCTGCCCTGGAGCAGGTTAGCCGTTCAGCGTACGTTGCCATGGAGACTCACCTCGCTAAGAAGTGAACCCGCGCCGTAGAACAGGAAACCCCGAACTTACCCCCGAAGTTACCTCGCTAAGCAGTAATCCTGCTTCGTAGAATAGGCCCCTGTACACATAGGTGTGTTTCAATCTTATGCACCACCAACACCTGGCTTAGGTCCTTTCATACTCCTTTTCAACTTGGGTTTCCCTGGTGCAAGTTCAGGGCATGTGCAGGAGCTGATTCAAACTGTTAACTGGCCCAGAACCACTTTCGTTTTCACTGGTATTAGGGCCACATCATTATGCTGGCTGCATACATCAGTGCACACCCTGTAATCCCAGAAACCTGCTGCAGAGTTTACAAACACTAGTTACCATATGGATCAGAACACTGTTTTTTTTTTTTTTTTTTGAGGAACTGTGATTGTCTTTTGTTTTGAGTTTGTTAACCAGTTGCAGCAGGGAAAACTTCTCTGTTGATTTTAAAATGATTAGAGATAAACTGTCAGCAAAAGTTGACTCACATACCAGCTAATTGAGAGGATCAACAGTCAGCTAACAAACACAGATTCATACTACGTTAACATGTGCCCAGCTATTTTCATAAAGTGACATTTCACCCTCTCTGTTTACAAAAAACCCTGCGTGCACACCACTACATTTTCTGAAAAGTTTTTGTTTACACTAATGCGTGTATATATGCCACCTGACAGCACCGATGCCCACAACATCCTGAAATTTTCACGCCACTACTCTGGCAGAACCACTTCATTTTCAAAGTTCTCCCACCAGACAGCAGTGCGACCAGGTCAGACCCAAAATCGGCGAGGCTGGTGGCAATACGGACGCACTGTTCGTGTCGGAGGGAGAAGTTGCTGCAACGTTGCTGACCTTTGAGCACTCAGTCTTCTATGCTCCTCCACATAGTACAGCACTTGTATTTGCAAATGCAAACAAATACAAAGGGATTGCACCAGCATAAGTGCGACTGCTATTCTGCATGCATCCATGATCACCGTAGATTGCAAACATAGACTGTAGATTGTAAATGTCACATTTAACCCAGGTTCCAGCCACCCAAATCATAGTTTTTCTCTGTTTAGATGCAAATGTGCAAATAGAGTTTTCCAAAATCTCCATGCTGGCTAGAGTTTTTGAAAAACCAGAATTTCCAGGGGCGAATTTACCGTTTATGTCTAAACTAAGGGTGCAAACAATGGTTAATGTCTCAGTTTGTAAAAATTACTGGGTACTTATAAACGGGGCCTGAGCCTCTGGGCTCTATTTTCGTGCCTCGCCGGTGGCGTGGCGTGGCGCAGGTGCAGCGTAAGTATCCCCCCTCCCTAACTCAGCCTCTCCAAGTGGCGTTAGTCGTAGAGAGGGAGAAGAGAAGGCGTAGAGTGGGTTTAACACAACCAAAACCTGTTTTTGCCAATCACATCAGCACCTTTCCTCACCTTAAAATCCGCCGCCGGCGAGGCGTCTTACAATTTTCATGAAGTAGTCAAAGAGATCATGAGATGGCTGAAGACAGCAATGCCACACCATGGTGACAGAAGGCAGCCCCTCAACAAGTGTCGCTGTAAGCGCTGCAGAGGGTGTCTTGCACACTGTCTCATATAAGCACAGATGGATTTGGTGTGTGTTGTTGTACCCACTGGTAAGACAAACACCCTTTCAACAAATAAAGACACTCATATAAAGTTGCATATATTTAAACCTCACATGACAAAGGTGGGTTGTGCGCACAGATCACAACATATATTCCAAAAATGGCATTCAAATCGGAACCATCTGTGCGTAAATGACGCATTGCGCTCCGTGGCCTGGCTCTTTCTTTCATAGATGTTGGCATATAAAATAAATTTGGCTCACAAAACTGAATATTATAATATTCGTATGTAGGCTTAAAGTAAATGACTCATCTGAGCACTGAAACAAATCATCTGTTCAGCCGCTGCAGCTGCAGCAAAATGGGGAGAGGACACAGAGACATGTCCAGGTTTAGCTGCGCAAGAAATAAGAGGAAGAGGAAGAAAGAAAAGGAGGGAGACGAATTACATATCTAGTTAACTTCATCATGTGTGTCTATTTACTAAATTTTTAATTTAATTTAATGCGGTTTCAGCTGTGTTGATTCTGTCAGGTTGTGTGTCCAAACGTGTGCCAAACTCGCTCAACAGATCAGATATAGATCATAATATATCTATATAGATCTAAATGTATGTGCTGACTCAGAATATTGGCTGTTGTTGATTATCTATTGCACTGAAATATGCTTGACACTGTGGAAACCTGCCGGTGAGGCATCGGTGACTGATGCGCACTATGCTGCCGGTCGACTAAAATACTAGACCAGCAGCACTCTGCCTGTGCTGAAAGCTGACTAGGTTTAAATCGGTGAGCTTTCGGCGCACTTTCTACGCTGCCGGGGAGAACGAAAATGTCACTTCGGCAGCTGATTCTGTAGACACCTCCCCCTACCGCGCCACAACGTCCTTCTTGGTGGACCTCAGAGCGCCTCAATCCACAAAAATACCAAACTGGCTGTGTGCCGGGTTCCGCCAGAGGAAAATATCACTGTGAGGGGTGCGCTACCCTCCACCACACTGCGGCGGGCACGAAAATATAGCCCCTTGTCTCAATCTTTAGATGAAAAAAAACAAAAAAAGTTAACGTCACATTTGAACCACTTTTGCCCTTTGTCGTATTCTATTTTGATAGAGTAAGAGTCGAATCACCTTCTGGTAAAAAGTTTGTTGACATACATTTGCCATCATATCTTATATTGATGAAGTTAAAGCTGGTTTAAAAGCAGTTTTTTTTTTTATCGTAGCTGGATTCTGCCCAAGTAACTGATGATCATTCCCTTGATGTGCTGAGGGATGAGGTAATGGTTTAGTGCTGCATGGATGAGAGCATGAGGGATTGATCCATAGGCATTGGCCAAATCCAGTCAAACAACTGTCAAGGTGCCTTTGCTGACCTTGGCCTCCCAGATCATCTGACTGAGAACTCCGGTGTGTTTCAGACATCCAGAGAAGCCTGGGATCCCACCTTTCTGGATAGCGGTGTCAATATATCCATTCTCTGTCATGTATAGGGTCATCCTCTTGTCCAGTACAGAAAAGAAGATTTTGCCTTCTACACTTAACAGTGAGATTGTTCTAAATCGGTCTATGTTTGAGGAGTTCTTCTCTTTTGGCACAAAACAGCCTTCTGCCTTTTTCCAGCATGATGGAATAATGCCCTTCTTCCAGATCCTCTGCAACACCCTCCACAGTCTCCAAAGGACCATTGAGCATTGCTTGTGTACCTTATAGGGTATACCGCTTGGACGGGGGCCAATCCTGTTCTGGCCTTCTTCACCACCTCTTGGACTTCCTTCCAGGATGATTCACTGATGTTGAGCTCTTTTCCAGGTTTACATTTAATCATTTGAAAGATAAATATGGTCTAAATCAGAAGGATCATTTTAAATATTTACAAATCAGAAGCTATCTTATGTCACATAAGGATTGTGATGTACTGAGACAAGCACCGTCCCCATTGGAGTCATTATTAATTAGTTCTAATTTAGAAAGGGACACCATTAGAATAATATCCAAAGTGTATAAATGCTTACAGCAATTTTTAACAGGGAATACTTCAGATATTAAGGAGAAATGGGAATCAGAATTAAACGTAACTATTGAGGGTAAAGAATGGGAAGAGGTGTGTGAGAGAGCCCATAAAGTCACCAGCAGTCCAGCCTGGAAAGAATTTAGTTGGAAAATGTTAATTAGATTTTTTAGAACCCCCAGTATTGTTTCTACATATGATCAAAGAATAACAAACTTATGTTGGAGAGACTGCAAACAAATTGGAGATCATTCACATATCTTCTGGAAATGCCCAAAATTAAAACCTTACTGGCAAAGTATCCACTCCAAGGTACTATCCATACTAGGCATTGACTTAAATCTTGACCCCAGGTACTATATTATAGGCTTGACCGCAGTCGGCTTGGTGAATAACCAGAAAATATATGTATTGCATACACTCTTACTGATAGCAAGGAAGATGAGTGCCTTGTCTTGGCACAACCCACATCCACCTGCAATACAAAAAATGGCATAAAAAGAATCGCTACCTACTCGATGGAAAAGATAACAGCTAAAATACAACTAACCCTATAATTGCCTATTTCAACTTCAACTCTCTATACCTATATTTACTTATAGACCAAATCCAGGGTATTTTAATGGTTAATGGAGAGATTAGAAGAAATTAGCCTTATTACGAGATGTTTTTTTTCCTTTACCTACTTATTTGGTTTTATATGTATGTAAACGATGGCACATGTGTGTATGAATTTAGGTGCACATTTGTGAGTTTGTGTATGTACTCATGTGTGGATGTATGTATGCATACTTAGTTGCTAACTTTGGACCAAGGTTTACTAAGGCCAAATATATGACGCTTTTTCTGTACTGTGTATTAATTTACCTACTTTATCAGGAGGAGAAGAGATATTTTATGAACTAAGTGGAAATGCTGAATTTATGAACCGTAGCTTGAATGAGTTTGGATATATGTGTACCTGAGAGAGCAAGCATGAGTGAGAGAGAGAGAGAGAGCGAGCGAGCGAGTCCCTACTTCTTAAGGAGACTGAAGCGCTTCACGAGGCAAATAAAACAATAACCATCCTCAAACTTCGTATTCAAAAACTGTCCGAGGAGCTCAAATCAAAATCCACTCTACTCAAAACTTGTATGGATGTGGCCCACCAGCAATCCCACGACCTGTTCTCCCTCCAAGCAACCCTCCAGGACATGCTACCCTGGGAGCCTCACAGCCCGAGGGCCTCATCCCGACCGCCATCCACCACAGCACCCAACCTGGACTCAACCTGGACCAAAGTAATTACCCGAGGTAGGAAAACCACCAACACCATCCCCTGGAAACCGGTCGGGCCTACCTCAAGCTCCACACCAAGCAATCGGTCCGATTGCCGGCGGCAGGACAAATCCCTCCAGCGATGCCTCTACAGTCCGGCTGTCCTTCTCTAACCGCTTCAAGGCCCTTGAGCATCCTCCTAAGCCTCCAGCCCAAACCAGTCCCCTCTCAGCGGTGACATGATGGCGTCCTCCACAGCGGTTGCCGGAGCTCCCATGGCTCCTACACGGCCACCCGGCGGAGCCCCCGGGCCTTCATCCTCGCCTTCCAGGGCCTTCGCGGTGTGCCGGCCCAAGGATCAGGTGGCCTCCTCTCTTCTGGCGACCAGCTCTTGGGCATCACCGGGCGCTGGCGCGAAGAGCACCTCCCTGCCTGTGTGCGGAGGGATCCAGTGTGGCCTGGCACTGACAGAGGGGACCCCCTCTCCGTCGGTGCCTGGTCATGCGCGGTGTCCCAAGATCCGCCTTGACCACCGCTCTGAGAGCCGGACCGCGTCCTCGGCCACCCGCCGCTGTTTCCCCCCACCATCTTGATCGCTGGTGACAGCATTGCATGAGGTATCTGTTTTTCCAATGCCATCACTCACTCTTTCCCCGGTGCAACTGTTGCCGACATCACAGCAAAACTCCCGGGTCTTCTCCAGTCACTTCCTCCCTCTATTCACCGTATCATTGTTTATGTCGTCACCAAGGACACCGCTAACCAACAGTCTGAACTGACCAGAAGGGACTTCAGAACACTTCTTCACATCCTTCAGTGCAGCGGCAAATCTGTTTTTATAAGTGGTCCGCTACCAACGCTGACACGAAGCATCGATCGATTTAGCCGCCTCCTCAGCCTGAACTCCTGGCTTCGATCACTCTGCAGTACCTTCTCCACCAACTTCATTGACAATTTTAATCTGTTCTGGAACCGATCGCCATTTTTCTCCCATGATGGACTTCACCCAAACAAACTGGGCCATTACACACTTGGCGCTAACATCCAACACTACGTGCACACCAACTGACTAGCATTTTTTACACCCTCCCTGTCATCTTTTTCTTCCTCGCCAACCACTACCCCACCTGGAAACAGCGCCCCCCAGAGCCCCCCCTCCGGAACCCTCGCCCTCACCACCCCACCACCAGCTCCCCCAACAGGCCCCAACTGGTACTGCACACTAATCCCATCGCCGCCACTACAGCAAGCTCCCCCTCCCAACCCAAATAGCTACTGCACCCTCAAAACACTGAGTCTCCTTGCCAATCTGCCATCTCACCAGGATCTCGCCACAGCTTCTTCATTCAAACAGTTACAACTACTAGATCCTCCCACTCAAATCCCATGCATGCAAAACAAAGGTCAAAGAAATCAAATAAACCTCCGCTGCCTTCCCCCTGCCTCACTGCCCACCCCATAGCCCCCTCCCCTGAAGATGGCCCCTCAAAACACCAGCTCCCTCAATAACAAAGGACACATCCTGGCTGACTTCATAACAGACAATAACCTGGATTTCCTCTGCCTAACTGAAACCTGGCACAATCATCTCGACCTCTTTCCACTCAACCAAGCCGTGCCCCCCGGTTACTCCTACCTGCACCAATCCTGCCTCACTGGACGAGGTGGTGGCATCGCATTCATCCACAAACAGACCCTCAAGACCACCCCCGTCCCCACCCCGTCTGTCCACTCATTTGAAAATATTTCTGTCAAACTCCCCGGCCCCACCCCTCTGGTCATTGTCACCATCTACCGCCCTCTAAAGCCCCACCCATCATTCCTCTCTCGTTTTCTCTGACTTAGTCACCCACCTAAGTAGCATCACATCCTCTGTCCTGCTGCTTGGAGACTTAAACTTTTACACCGACAACCCCACCTGCAAACAAGCCTCAAATTTCCTGGATCTGCTCGACACCCTCAACCTCACCCGGCATGTACACTCCCCCACCCACTCCCATGGCCACACCCTCGACCTTGTCTGTTCCACCGACATCTCCATCCACCATCTCTCCACCATCAACCTCTATATATCTGACCACCTGGTTGTCACTTTCAGCGTCGAACACTCCACCCCATAGACAGCATCTCCATCACCTTCCCCCGGAAAAGTGCAACACATTCCTCTCCTCTTTTCAATCCAAAATCAACACAATCTACAACTCCCTTCCCCCACCCTCCATTCCCAGCTCCTACCCTCATTCCATCAGCACTCTCTCGCTTCTCACCTGTTTCTCCAACTGACGTGACCAACATCATCTGCTCCATGTCATCATCCACCTGCATCCTGGATCCCATCCAATCCTCCCTCATCAAGCACTGCCTCCTCATCATCTCTCCTATCATCACACAGATCATCAACTCCTCCCTCAACTCCGCCACTGTTCCCCCTTCACTCAAACTGGCTGCTGTCACCCCCATCCTCAAGCCTGGACTCAACCCTGACGACATAAACAACTTCCGGCCCATCTCCAACCTCCCTTTCCTGTCGAAAATCCTTGAACGTGTCATTGCATCACAAATCAAAGCCTCCTTCAACAATAACAATCTTTACGAACAGTTTCAATCAGGATTCCGCACCCACCACAGCACCGAAACTGCCCTCATCAAAACCACCAACAACCTCCTCATTTCTGCTGACTTCGGCCAACTCTCCATCCTCATCCTTCTTGACCTCTCCGCCACTTTTGACACCATCAACCACGCCATCCTCATGTCCCGCCTTCACTCCCTTCTCAATATCACAGACACCGCTCTCAACTGGATCCACTCATATCTCACAGACCGGAATCACTTCATCCACATTAACAACTGCTCCTCCACAACTGCCCCCGTGTCCCAAGGTGTTCCCCAGGGTTCGGTGCTTGGTCCCCTCCTCTTCATCATCTACCTCCTCCCTCTTGGCCACATCCTCCGTCAACACAATCTTCACTTCCACTGCTACGCTGATGACATTCATTTGTACATCTCTTCCACCTCCATCACCCCCCAGACCCAACGCTCCCTCTCAAACTGCCTCTCTGATGTCAAACACTGGATGGACAGCAACCTTCTCAAGCTCAACTACGACAAAACAGATCTCCTCATCATCGGCCTGAACTCCCTCACAGCCACAGACTTTCATGTCTCCATTGACAACTTCACCCTCTCCCCCTCCCCCTACTGTCACAACCTTGGTATTCTCTTCGACAGCAACCTCTCCTTCACCCAGCACGTCAAGCAAATCACCCAAACAGCCTACTACCACCTCAAAAACATTGCCCACCTCCGCCCCTCCCTCTCCTACCCTGCAGCTGAAACCCTCATACATGCATTCATTTCATCCCATCGAGATTATTGTAACAGTCTCCTCTATGGCACTACCTCCACTCTCCTCAATAAACTTCAGCTCATCCAGAACTCTGCCGCCCGCCTCCTCACTCATACACGCTCCCACCAACACATCACCCCCATTCTCCAGAACCTTCACTGGCTCCCCATCCCCCATCGCATTCAGTACAAAGTCCTCCTTCTCACCCACAAAGCACTCCACACTCCACCACTCCACTAACGCCAACCTCCTCACAGTTCCCTCGATCAAACACCGAACCTGGTGGGACAGAGTCTTCTCAGTCGCTGCCCCCACCCTCTGGAACTCACTCCCACTGGACCTCAGAAACTGCACCGACCTTACCAGATGTAAGACCCATCTCAAAACCCACCTTTTCCACACTGCCTTTCATCCTCCATGGGTGTTAGGGAACACATTAAAAGTTAAATGTAAATCTATTAAATCTTTGGATTTTTGGACTGACTTTGGTGGGTTTTGAAGGGTTTTTTTTTACATTTTACATTTGCTAAAGATTAAAATCATATCTTGATTCTTAGGGAAAGAGGGTTGGTGCTTTTGTCTGCTGACTAACATCAGTTCATAGATATAACAGGAAATAGTTCATCATTTCTCAAAACTGCATGCACAGACACATTGCACACCCTAACACATTCAGCAGAGACACCAAAAGAAGAGGTCAGCCCATGTCACTTCATCTTTCCTTCTCAAAACATGCACATAGTATAGGCCCAGTGACAAGCATTTATACTCACTCAATAGTAAAAGCCATAATGGTGTTCTTTGAAGCTTGCCTTTATGCATCATGGGTAATATAAGGACAGCTTCCAATAAAAATGACCCGCATGGAGTAGTTTGGATATTTGTGTCAATTACACAAAGCACCAACAGGTGTCAGTGTAAGCTTGCAACAGTCCATATGGTATGATTTAGACTCACCAGAATGTGTTTGCATCTTTACAATGGGAGAATTAGGAGCTACAAAACTACATTTTCACAGCATTGAAAAGAGACATAGAGAGAAAGAGAGAGAGAGAGAGAGAGAGAGAGAGAGAGAGAGAGATGTGATGCAAACACAGGTTTGGTTGCATCATGTGGCAGTAAATAGTGTTAATAAACCACTTATTTCTGTCCTTAACTTCTGCTTTGCATCATTTCTCCTTTCAACAAGTGTTTTCCTGTCTTTCAGTCTTTCAGTCATTTTATTTTTATCATAAACCTTTAGTTAGATATATGGTATAGATATGGTATTGCTAGACATTGATGGCTTACAGTAAGACTTGTGCGTGTACATGTGTGTGTTCCAGCACGCTTGTACATAGAAGTAAATTAAGAGGAAATGTCTATTTCTGTAACATGTCTCCACTCAGACTAATACCCTGGCTGTAATTTTTTGAGAAGTTAACTACAGATGTGCAAACTGGCAAGACGCATTTTGAAAGTGCCAAAACCACAGTCCTCAGACTGATGCCTCTGTAATGCTTCACTTATGGTAATAAGCTAAGCACATAAAGATGGGCTGATCGCTGTTGACATGTAGTGACTGTCCGTAAACAAGCATAACAGAAAATGGTAGAAAACCAAGTAAGTGAGTGCTGTGTGGGGTCAGAGTATCTTAATGGTGTTTGGGTGTTTATTTGCTTCTGTATGTCGTGGTGACCCTTTTGTCACACTGTGGTATCACATGACACATTTTTTGTACTTAACATGTGTTTTCTATATGCTCACTATGTCCTGATGAAGACTCTGAGTCAAAACGCATTGATGTGAGCCCACTACAATAAAGGATTTTTATTAGTATCAGAGTACCTTCAGTTTTGACGGCCATGGATGTTTTACTGACAAAAGGCAAGTCACAGAGAATGGCTTTGAATCTACTGCCCACCAAAGCCTAAAATAAGATTAAAGTCACAGTGAGGGGTATTTAACAGGTCAAGAAACAGACTGAAACTGATACCGATGCCTCTTTCTGAACCTCAAAAGCAAACAAAACCATCGGCAACAAGATTGACAATTTCTCTGTAATACTTTGTATTGGCAAAGACTGCTGAGAGGGGGTATGAGTCAGATCAAATTGAAGAAACAGCCATTGTATTTCTCACTTTTCCCACGCAGTTAACACCGACATTTCACTCATAGAACAGAAAAGGGTGATATTTTTGTTGACAACAGGACTTTCATTAACACAGAACAAGAGAGAAGAGACACCACCATCTCCTCAGGGGGAGCCAAAATCAACATAAACCAAAAGCTACTCACTGTAGCGTTTAATGAAATGTAGAATAAACATGAAAATTGTTATTTATCCCTGTTTGGACCTTTTAAGATTGTAATTTTTTTTTTTTTCTCTCTGTGCACTTTTTGAACACAATGGTCTACTTTTTTTCCCTCAGAAATATCATGTTTCTGTATAAACATGATAAATAAAATCATGTTTTAAATAAAATAAGATAAAAATTATGGGGATAAATACAATTCTTCTTATCTAATTTTATTTTATTCTATTTTATCTTATTGTTGTTTTAAATCTGGCATGCTAGACATCTAGTAGCAATAAATATCACCCTTATGACCTCAAACTTCAGTTGTTACAGTTTTAAACATACTTAAATGAATGAAGGACAGAGTGACCTATCACTGAATTCTGCCTGGCTGTAATTGGCTGCTCCTTTGTTGTTGTTTGAGCATTTAAAGGTCATTGTTCTGTGATCAGAGCTTGTTAATTCATCTGTTATTGAGATGTTTTTTGGGAGCTGATCAGACAATTTTTTTGATAGTCCAAAATATGTACAGCTGCAATAATAGTATTTTTGCACCACCAAATCTTTGAACTACAAAACTCATTTACTCCTCTAGCTTTTTTTTATTTGTTTATCTGTTTTTTCTAAGACTGTCAGAGGTCTGATTGGGTTGGGTTCGCACCTAGCTGCACTTCGTGAGAAGAGTCTTTGAGGTTTCTGACTTCCTATTATGGCTGTTAAACGGACCTGAGAATAACACTGGGTTCAGTCTAATTCAGTGAGGTACTATGATAGAGACCTAAGCAGATCTGACAGAGTTGCAGAATCTGGTGAGTGACTTTTTTTTTTTTTTTTTGCAAGGAGAAGGCCTGTAGCTTACATAGATATTCATCGAGGATAAGCTTTTTAAATGACAAAGACTTGCAGTTTCGTGCAAATCCACAAGCTTTGTGTTTGCACTCATTGCAACTTCTAAAAACCAACTAAATGGGCAGTGTGCAATAGTATCTAAGAGAAGGGTTTTTCCCCCCATGGCAAACATAGTGCAAGATTTGTTGCAATAAATAATGCTGTTTTGATTGTTTCATTGTTTCAGCTGGACTTTAAATTGAGTTAATATTTTATTTGCTCAGGGCTGAAGCCATTTATGAGCACTCAGCATTCAATGTAGGTTTGATTGTGTGCATTTCAGTCCTCAAGATTTGGTTCCCCCAAATGAGCTGCTGTCTGTCACTTTATTGATAATATGAGCCTTTTTCTTCTGTCACAATGTAGCTGAGATATTTTAGCACAATGTGCCATCATGAGTTATCTGACTAGATGGGTATCAAGTGACCTTGAACAACATTTGTAGAAATACGCATAGGATGTATATGTGTGCAAGATAAGACTGCAAAAGACAGAGTGGCACCACAGAAGCTGCATGCAAAACAATCAATTCCTGTTTTAGCCAAAGATCCGCCTCAGAAAGAAGCAAATGCTGCTGTTCATGTAAATGATCACACATGAAAAGTGCTGCGGTTTTCCAGATCAGACTGATCAACCTCACATTAAGTGTCAGTGGGTCAAGTTTGAAGGCTTTGTGCAAATGTGACTGTTCAGAAAAAAAAAAAGTGATTTATATGGAATCAGATTTGTGTCAAAAATAATCAAACAAACTTCTTTAATATGAAACAAAAATAAGAATTTAAGAGAAAATAAAACTCACTGAAGCAAAAAAATGGCATCCCAAAAGTAAAACTTGTAACTTGCAAACAAATTATTTGTGCAATTGTGTAAATTACTAGGCTTTTACTTTTTGTCATATATCCTTTTGTTAACAGTATCCTCTGTTTCTTTCTCACGGCTCAGACTTTTGCTCTCACTGTCAGTTTTGCAGTCATGCTGCCAGCTCTCTTGTTTGGGCTCCCTGAATTTTTGTTTGCGATTCTGACACAAACTGAAAGCAGATTTTTCATCAAAATAATCAAAAGAAAATAAGAATTTGAGTGAGAATGAAACTCTCTGAGGATAAAAAAAATGCCATCTGAAAAAGTAAAACCTTTAACTTGCGAACAAATTATTTTTTACTTTGCTCTCACTGCCTGTTTTATAGTCTCTGTCAGCTCTCTCGTTTGCGCTCCCTGAGTTTTTGTTTGCGATTCCCAAACAAACTTCTCCCTGGGTGGGACTTTCCTGGGGTGGGGTGCCATTGGCTATTGACTTTTTGAGAGACAGCTCAGTGGCTGGATTTTTTTTTTTTTTTTTTTTTTTTTTTTGCTACAGGGAGTTTTATGCTGTGTTCAAGTTACCACGAAAGTCAGAAGTCTGAGCTGAAAATAACGTCACACCCGAGTTACCGGCGTTTCAGTAACCAAGTACGAAAAAAAGTAAAAGCTGAGGCAGAAGTAAGATGGTTAGGCAAGTGCTAAAATAACTTTCGTAGATGTAACCATCTTGTTCCAGGCCTCTGATTTTGCTTTTTTCCAACTTGGTAGCTGAAATGCTGAGAACTCCGGTGTGACGTCATTTTCAGCTCAGACATCTGACTTCTGAGGTAACCCGAACGCAGCATTAGTCTCTCTCAAATTTTTATTTTTGTTTGATAATGAAGGAGTTTTGTTTGATTAATTTTGAATTAAATCTGAATACATAGATTTAGCATTTTGTTGCACAGTTTGCACAGTTCATACTTTGCTAGGTTCATTCAAGAGGATAGATAGAGTTTTAATCTTGTACACACGTAGGGCTTGGAGATACGAGATGTCCTTGTCTCTATACATCACAATACTGCTCACTGCTCTCTCTCCTCATAACCTTGCCCTGCTGGGCTCTAAAGCTGCAACTTGAGAGATTACCAAGCTTTGTGTGCGCTCTCAAATACGTGCAGAAACAAAGACACTCTCACTCACGTCTGAGGAGTATTTTTAACAGTGTTGAAATATAACTGTCAGTGACACTGACCATGCAGCGCACTTATTGGATAGGAGCACATGGTCAGTTGTTCTTGTTTACTCTGCACAATACACTTTAGACAGTTTAGTTGGTGAAATAAGGCTTATACTGTATTGTGTAAATGGTGGTCGGTGTGTGAGCTAGTGTGCCAGCCAACTCTCTGCTGCTGCAGAGAGTTGCTGCTGCAGAGAGTTCAGTAGTTACTGGAGTGCTCTTGTTGTAAACAATATTAGCCTATAAAGTTTGTGCTAAGTGAGCAGATACAGAATTTGCTCTTGCCTGTTAAATGTTTGAGCTATATCTTGTGAAACCTAACCCTATTTCATATACTGTTCTAAGTTGTGTATAGTAATCACCATCATGCAATATTTTGATCAACTTTTCAGACATTTACGTTATTGGTAGAGTTGAGTTGAACAATTGTACGTTTTCTTTTGATTTTCTTGCAAAACATAATTGATCTATAAGACAGCTCCCAAACATGTGTTAGAGGTAGATGGTGGTTTTAGGGGTTGCATTTGTATGTACACCTACTAAAGGGATAACCTGTTAAATCAATCACTAGATGCATGAACCTGACTTTGAAAGCAAATGTGTTTTACTGATCTTCAAAACCTGCAACCCTAATCCTTTCACACAAAGAAGGGGAAGGAAGTATGACAAGCTTCACAATGCTGAGTCATCAGCAAACCAGCCCAACAATGCTCTTATCTCCTTTCTTTTATCTCTTGTGGGAAATGTTTTGGTTATAAGCTCTTGACTCAGCCTGAAATTGATTAAGGTGCCTGCTGAGAAGCTTCAAAGACAAACAATAACAGATGCAAGCCAAATTATTTCTTTACACTTATGTAAGCACAGTTTTTACGTTTTTAAGTACAGAGAGCCATCAATGACATTTTCTCTTGCTAGTTCTGACTAACATTTAGTCACCCATTACCAACAGACTTACTGTATTATATCAATGACTTAGAGAAAGAAACTCTAATGCTGATTCTTCTTGCTTTGTCTTACGGGAGTTTTGCTTATTAGTTTTCTAAAAGCAGCAGACTAAATATAATTTAATTATGATCACTCAGCTTATTGACCATGTGAAAAGAGCAGATCAAATCTTATTATTTCTGTCTCTGTTGCAGACCCCAGCAGTGTGAAGTGGAAGTTCACATTGGAGGACATCAGCTTTAAGTGTCTCCTCCAACATGGCGAATCCTGCTTATTCCAACATCAGCTCATCCAACCAAACAGCCAATGAAAGCTCAATAAATGTTTTCGCCATTACTCTCCATGGCTTGTTCTCTACCATCGGTATCATCGAAAACCTCCTCATTCTTGGAGTAGTGGGTTTCCATGTTCGCCGCTCTGTCATCAGCATCTGGATCCTAAACCTCGCCGCTTCTGACCTGCTGGCCACCGCCTCCCTGCCTTTCTTCACCCTCTACATGGCCCGCGGTGACACCTGGACGCTGGGCAACACCTTTTGTCGAATTCATTCCTCGATGTTCTTCCTTAACATGTTTGTGAGTGGTTTCCTGCTAGCGGCCATTTCTTTGGACCGCTGCTTGGTGGTTCTGAGACCTGTTTGGGCCCAGAACTACAGGACCAACCAGCTTGTAGGGAGGGTATGTGGGTTGATTTGGGCCTTGGCTGTTCTTTTTACCATCCCCTTCTACATTTTTCGTGGTGCCATTACTATATCCAAGCATAAGACCTTGTGTTACTATAAATATTCACTCCCTGGTGAGTTTTCCAACCCAGAAAGTCTAATTCAGCAGCGCAAAGAGGCTTTAGCCTTCATGAGGCTCTTCCTCGCCTTCCTGACCCCTCTGGGCATCATCATCTTTAGCTATGCTGCCGTGACTTACCGCTTGGCACGCAGAGGCTGCAGACGCTCTTTCCGTTTTGTTCGCCTTGTGGTAGCTGTGGTGGTGAGCTTTGTCCTTTGCTGGGCTCCGTACCACATAATCATCACTATTGAGGTGGTGACACAGAAGGGCCAATCTGCACATGCATTTGCTATGAAAGCACTCCCGACCGCAGCAACCTTTGGCTTCCTGAACAGCGTCCTCAACCCTATTCTCTACGTGTTCAGCTGCCCCGACCTGTGTAAAAAAATTCGACATTCCCTTGGTGCTGTAATGGAGAGCGTTCTGGCCGAGGATCTGGCAGAGCTGAGCCGACGCCGCAGCACTGCTCGCTCCATCAACACCACTGAGATCGTGCTAAAGCAGAGGACTTCCATCTCAGCTTTGTGTTATCAAGGAGATGAATCTAAGCAGGACGAAAGTCTTGCAGACCAAGCTGAGAACTAGATGCAAACATTTCATTACTCATCCTACAGTTGTTAAGCTCTTGTTTAGCGTTCCAGTTCCCTCAGGAGTCAGATGTCGGAGCTGGGAATGACGTTACACCTGAGTTGACAGCGTTCCACTAAACAATTCAGAAAACCAAGATGGACACCTGCTGTTAGCCATTGTTAGCTGTTGTTATTGACTGTCAGCTGTTGTTAGCCATTGTCAGTTGTTGTTAGCCATTGTCAGCTGTTGTTAGTTGTTGTTAGCTTTACCAGTTGTAAACAATGTATAGAACAGTATTTACTCTTACAAACACCATAGCACTGTGTTCACAGTTACACATTGGGCAGTACAACATTTACCACTTATTTCTTTTAACAAAAACAAAACAGAGCTAATAGATAAAACATTATGAGAGCTTTCACTGTTACTCTTTACTGTTGATGCACTGCGCTGCCATCTTGGATTTTGACATTATCATCAAATCGAGGTTGGTGAGGATCCTCTGATTTTCCAAGTTGGAAATTTGACTTCAGGGAGGCATTCCACTTGAATTTCTGACTCGGCGCTTGGAAATCCCGACTTCCAAGTACAACTAGAATGCACCATTATTATTTTTTTTTGTACAGCATTAGAGGAGCTTTTTCCTGGAAGAAGCGTGTATAGATACAAGACAAGCCTTGTTGTTTGCTTTAATCACACTGTATATTTTTCCTGCTATCCTCCAGATTAAGTTTGTTATTAAAGCTGTATGATATCAATGCAAACACAAACTTTGATCTTCATTCCTTTTGCTCCCATTTCACTTTTTTATGTGTGTCCGGCCCGTGTGTTAATTCATCTGATAACAATTATGACTTTTTTCTATGTGTTATCCGAAGAAGCTTTACAAAAAAAGCTGGTCCAACCATAATCTATTTAAAAAGACCCAATAAAAAGATGGGATAAGATTGAGCACTACCCTGTAAGATCAGATGCATTTCCATCCCATCTTCAACATGAATGTAGTACTTTGGAGCATTTAGCAAGTTACAGAGGAGAGGAAGAACTTCCTTTAACAGGCAGAAACCTCAAGCAGAACCAGACTGATTTTAGACAGTCATCAGCTGAGACTGAGCTGGGTTTGGAGAGGAGAAAGAGGGGGTGGACAGAGGAGAGCTGCAGCAATGCAGAGGAACCCACAGCATGGTGGTGTTTTCTCAGCTTTTTTCATCCACTGACACACTAATGGCAGAGGCTCCTACATACAGGGGCTGCCCATTAGTTTTTGACTAGTTCCATTCACACACACTTGTGGGAGCAGTAAGCAAGGGCAGGTGAGGTCAAATGTCATGCTCAAGGACACTTCTTTGTCAAAGACTTGAGCCTTGGGAATTTTTTCTCGGTTAGTCCATATCAAGTCTGATCCTGACTTTACTCCCTAAACTGTAAACACATACTAAATACTCACACAGTAGCTTTGACTGGAGTTCAGCTCTTTGTCAACACATTGAAAAGAAACAGGGAAGGAAAATATGTGAAGAACTTGTATACTCAAGTCCTCAAGTTGAAAGCTCTTACATTTTGTTTAAATACCTACACTGTCAGAGACTATGGGCTCTATTTTCGTGTCTGTCGGTGAGGTGGCGGAGGGTGGTGGACCCTGCGCAGTGGTATTTTCGTCTGGCGGGGCCTGGCGTACAGCCAGTTTGGTATTTTCGTGGACTGAGGTGCACCGAGGTCCGCCAAGCTGGGTGTGGTGGCGTGGCAGAGGAAGGTGTCGAAAGAGTCAGCTGGCTTGGTGACATTTTCGTGCTCGCCGCCGGCATGTAAAATGCACTGAAAGCTCGCCGATTCAAACCTGGTCAGCTTTCAGCGCAGGTGGAGTGCAGCTGGTCTAGTGGTATTTTGGTAGACCGGCGGCATATCGGCATTCGTTACCGATGCCTCACCGGCAGGTTTCCACAGTGTCAGGCACATTTTAGTGCAATAAATAATCAACAACAACTAATAATCTGAGTCAGCACATACATTTAGATCTATATTGATCTATATGTCCAGCTCGACCTGGACATGTCTCAATGTCCTCTCCCATCCTGCTGCTGCTGCAGCTGCTGCTGCGGCGACTAAACAGATGATTTATTTCAGTGATCAGATGATTTTTTTTTTCACTTCAAGCCTACATATGAATAGTATAATATTCAGTTTTGTGAGCAAAATTTATTTCATATGCCAACATCTATTAAAGAAAGAGCCAGTCCACAGAGCGAGATGCGTCCTTTACACACAGATGGTTCCGATTTTTTTGCCACTATTGGAATTCATTATGTGATCTCTGCGCACAACCAACCTTTGTCACGTAAGGTTTGAATATGTGCAACTTTATGTGAATGTCTTTATTTGTGGAAAAGGGTGTTTGTCTTACTAGTGGGTCCAACATTACACACACAAAATCCATCTATGCTTATATGACACAATGTGGAGGATGTCCTCTGCAGTGCTTACAGCCACACTTGTTGAGGGGCTGCCTTCTGTCGCCATCGTGTGTCATTACTGTCTCCAGACATCTTATGATCTCTTTGACTACCTCACGAAAATTGTACTGCGCCTCGCCGGTGGCGGATCTAAAGGCGAGGAGAGGAGATGATGTTATTGGTCAATATAGGTCTCGGCTGTTTTAAACCCATTCCATGCCCTCTCTCCTCCCTCTGTCCAACTAATGCCGCTGGGAGAAGCTGAGTTAGGGAGGGGGGATACTTACGGAGGGGGGATGCTGCGCCGCTCACCAAAAAAAGCATGAAAAGCACGAAAATAGAGCCCTATATGTTCATGATAATGCTGTTGTAAATCAAAAGTAATAAAGACTTTGTGCACAACAAACCTAAAATACCACCTATGAGGGAAGCATACAGGTGCAGCTAAGCAGACTGATAATGGTAGGAAACAGCATCACAAAAGCTGAAAGAGCATGATATAGGAGTGTGTAATCCTCCGAAGATCTGTGGTTGATTTATCTTGAAGCTGTCTTCTTCCTCTGGGTCATAGTTTCAGATCACACTGCTGCAGTGGTGCAGTATTTCTTTGAACAAGAGTTTAAAAGATCAACATCATGAGATTGCATTCTTCTGATCCACAGATACAGACACGGTAAAATTACTCAACTTGTAAATAATGACCATAAAACTGTTTCGAAATGCATAACTATGGAGTTTATACATTCGATTACATGCAAATAACCAATTGAAAATCAGCACTTTTACCCCATTTACAGAAATGACTCATTTGCCAGCTCTTATCATTACTTCTTCCCTTTGGTGAATTGCTTTGTAAAAATAAAAAAATTAAAAAAGGTTTTGACTGATGTAAAGCTGTGCCTGCAAGTTTCACTCAGCAGTTGCATCTCATATGTTTTACTGCATATTTGCCTTTTTCTGTCTTTGCATTTCTGTAAGGTTTTCTAAAAGCAAAATGAAAATGCACTCTGGTGTGGCACTTTGACACTTGTCATGTAACAAATCGACCATACTGTGTGGTCTGGGTTTCCGTTTAAAATTCTCACCAAAAAACATGTCAAAATGACTGTCAGGAAACACGTGTTTCAACACAGGTTTTTTTTATTGTCAACATGAAAATAGTCTGAAAAACAGTTGTTTCCCACTCTCTCAGGGACTAAAGTAAAATAAAACTGTTAAACAGATGATTAAAAAAAAAGGCGAATTTCAGTTATACTGATAACCAATTCTGAATATGTCTACTTTAAAGCTGATATGGTAAAATTATTGTAAATACAACTTGAGAGGCTCATATATTTTAAATTTGGTTTTAAGTGTTTTCAAGAGACGGCTTGTCCTTACATGATTAAATCTAGATGCTTCACACCTTTTGCTTATCTTGTTCTCTGGTTATGTAACAAGAAGTTGAACCAATGGATCTATTTCCTCAGTGGGCAAGCACAAGGGCTCGTGCATGCTGCAAATGTAGACAAGTCCTCACTTCAAAAAAACATGCAACAGTCCAAACTGGATCTGTGTCTAAAAAGAAGCTCTCAGTGGAACTTTTTCAGAACTTGGCTCCAATTATCCCAGAGCTGGTGCTTATAAAGCACTCAGATCTCCAGAGGGTTAGGGTTAGGGTAAGCCGCCACTGTCCTGCCTTCATCCCCAGTGTCAGTATCTTGCTATAACTCTCTTGGCTGTAGTTTGAATGACTGAATGCTTTTCTTTTACGGTCATGGGTTATCTAAGGCAACATTTGCATTCCCTCATTTAACATGAACTAACATAAAGTTCCTGTGGATATTTTTGAGGTTCAGGATCATACGCATACACAGCTTAAATCATATCTGGATGAACATGATATTCTGGAGGTCTTTTAGTCAGGTTTTAAAATCCTACACAGCACTGTGTCTGCTTTAATAAGGGTTTTTAATAACATCCTCCTGGCAAATGATTCTAGGGGCCTATGTAATTCTTGTCCTACTGGACTTAACTGCAGCATTTGATACAGTGGACCACAATATTTTAGTAACTCGGCTGCAGCACCTTGTGGGCATTTGTGGTAGTGCTCTGGAGTGGTTTAGGTCCTATCTGGCAGACAGAACTATGTATCTAAGCCTTGCTGGTTGTGAGTCCCACCCCAATCCTCTGTCTTATGGGGTTCCACAAGGCTCAATCCTAGGGCCCTTGCTGTTCTCTCTATATCTACTTCCTCTGGGTTCCATTCTTAGAAAGCACGGTATCTCCTTTCATTGTTATGCTGATGACAGCCACTGAAAAAGAAAGATGCCTTTTCTCTGAAACTACTTTTAGAATGCCTTAAAGACATAAAAGCCTGGATGGCTCTTAACTTTTTAAACTTCAATGAAAAAAAAACTAGTGATGGTGTTTGGTCCCAATAGTTCTTGTGATCCCCCTCCTGTTGATTTGGGCCCCCTGGCGTTGTATGTGAAGCCAACAATTTGGGCTTTAACCTGGGCTTTAAGATGGACAGTAATTTTAAACTAGACCAACAGATCAGCGCAGTTGTTAAGTCCAGCTTTTTCCACCTTAGGCATCTAGCAAAGGTGAAGCCAAGCTCCCTCAAGCTTCCTCATTGTCCATTTTTAAAACCTGTCTAAAAACCCACTTGCATTCCTTGGCTTTTGACTCAGCATGAGACGGCTTTTTGTTTTTTTTAAATTATATTTTAAAACAATTATTTGTTTTTTATGTTTTTATGTTATTATGTGAAGCACTTTGTGTCAGCTTTGGTTGTATTTAAAGTGCTCTATAAATAAAGTCAAGTCAAAGTCAAAAGTCAAATTATATACATTAGAGGCACGACTTCAGCAGGTAGAGGACAAGATAAGCAAAGACTGCTCTGCCCACAGGGGGGTGGTAAATATAGCACAAAGTGAAAGTTCCTCACAGGAGCTTTAAAAACAGTGCATTTCTACCATTGCATTTGTTTTGGACTCTTGCTTGTGTTTTAAAAGTTGTGTCATTTCTGTACTCGCAGAGACTTCTTGGAAACAAAGATTTTTCAGGCCTCTGCAGATTGTTTGATTTGCCTCAGGGTTTCATTTGCAAGGGCAGAGTTATCAAAGACAGAACAAACAGTAAACAGAATTTAAACGTGTTTCCACTCAGTTGCACAGCTACTTTGGCATGATATCAGTCTGCAGTGAATCCAAGCTACATTGCGAGAGGGTTATTATGTCCACTCTGACCTTCTATCTGGTTTTCTGGCTGAGCTCTTGTACTAAGCGATGTCTTTTTGTTTTGCCCCCTCCTCAAACAAGGCAGAGATTTTTGCAGCTCCAGCCGGGCATCAGGACACAGAAAGATGTAGAAGAGAGGATCCAGCAAGGTGTTGAGGCTGGTCAGACCGTAGCAGATGCGATAGATGAGAAAAATGGAGCGCTCTAATCCACATGGCTCATCGGTGAGCAGCAGGGACACAAATCTGTATCCACACACCAGGTGGTAAGGTCCAAATACAACCATGAAGTTGACAGTGATGACAACAAGGATGCCCACGATTTTGTTACGTTCATGGACGGAGAGGGACGGAGATCGCCTGAGAGTTACCCCGATGTGGGCAGAGGTGTATCTGAGGGAGGGAAAAATAAAGTGAGGATGAAGTAATCAGGCATTGAACACAAAATGGACATTTTTATCTACTGAAGCATGCACATGTAAGAACAGTATGTCCTCTCTGTTGCAAATGCAGGTTAAAACTGTACCATGCAAGGAGGAAACCAGAACTGTATGATCCAGAAATGTAAGCAACTTTAGGCCTGGGCCTATAAAAGACGACCAGAGTGGAAAAGTGTGCTATCGTTTAATGAATCCAAATGTTACTTTCTAATGAAAATTGTGGACACAGAATCCTACACTTTAACGAGAGGGTCCACCCATGCCTTTATATGGCCTTAAAAAAACACTTAAGACAAGATGGGAATTTATTTATTTATTCATTCATTCATTCATTCAGAAAATACTACTATGCATGTCCAGGACCCGATCATTCAAGATTTTATTGCATCAATCTTGTTCAGACAGGACACCAAATTTGACACAAAGTTCCTGACATGAGCTTCATACTTTCATGTGGGTTATTTAAACTGTGCAGTTTTTATCTGGCCATCTTGAAACAGATTGAAATCAGATGGTGAAAAAATTACTCATAAATGTAATTGGTCACCTTCTGTTTAAGAATTAGTAATGAGATGATCTATCTGCATATTATTTAGCAACAGTCTCTCCAAACAGAGTTCAGGTTTTACATCCCATCTGTAAAATCAACAGTGAGAAACAAGACTATCAGCAGCACTGACAGTTATCATCAGGTGGTTTTGAATGACTCTAACCACTGTGTTTGCATTTTGCAGTTTAAACCAAACACTGCATGATTGAAATAAAAGTTAACTTCAACTACATGTCTTTTTATAATAAAAATGTTCTAAATTAAGGGAACATAATATCTGATCATCTGACACAATGTTTAGCAATTTTTCACTGAGACACTGGCCTTTAGCTGTGCATTAAAGTGCTTTTGAGTCTTGCAAACAATTCCTATATAAGAAAATTTTGGGAAATGGAGAAATCTTGGCAAAAACAGCCTGAGACGGTTTTAAGAACCTTAGGAATGGTTGGTGAAAGAAACAAATCTTTGCTTACGTGTATATTTTGCTGAGTCCTCAATGATCAAATACTATGATGAGCTCCATCAGCTGAATGAAGTGATTTTTCACTCTCTACTACCATCTGCTGGTAAATCATTTTTTAAGCAGAGAGTGTTGTCCTCACTAAATGTTAATAACATAACCATACCAAAATAGTTTTTTCTCATAATTCAGGAAGTGAAACTGGTCTGTGCTCTGTCACTAAACTGGTTATTTAGAAGACTAAATTGCCCTCCAGTGTACCCCAGACTACAAAGGCATACACACTTAAAGTACACAAATCAGCCTCCAATCATGGACTGGGAGATATCCTTGATGTGTCACAGCCGTGTTTGTGCACTTTTACCTTCATTCCTGTAAACCTGTGATCAGATCATTCAGGCTACATGTAAACAGGCCTCAAAATGGTTCCAGTGAATTATCTGATTTCAATTTAGGATATGTGTGTCATCTGTTGTCTTTCAGTGACTTTTCGCAGACGGTCAGATTTCAGTGCATGCTTTGAGTCTTTGAATGTAAAGCCCATTTGATTGTGAACTATATTGTGGATGTAACATATATATGCCTCTCTGCATGCAGTGCACTGATCAGCTATTTAGTCAGCAGGTTTCAAAGAGACAGAAAAGCGACCAAACTCAAAATTCAGTAATTCTGTCAGTGCCGATTATTGTGCAGAAGTTCATGGACTGAAGTTTACGGAGGGAAAGTCACTGATTAAGAAAGTAGAGAAACTTCTCTCTGAATTGGAAAGCAGGAGAAAGCCCAAGAAACCTGGTGGTACAGGTGTGTAAACTATGAGCCGAGAAAAGTACTTGCTGTCTCAAGTGAGACTTGGTCACAACAGAAAATCTGGATCTTTTGGAATCAAAATACACCAGCAGTTCATATAAGGCTTCAGTCTGCAGCGAACGCCAACCAGCTGTAGTTTGTGAGTGACTTTCTTCCACATTTTGGAGTTAAATTGGAAAACCAGAAATACAGACTTGAAGTGATCTTCAACATCGGTCTCATTGTTATTTTTACTACATGATGACACAAACCATGGTCCATGGGCTAAGTCCACCATATTACAACACACTATATTAAATAAGACTAAGCTGGTGGTCAACCAATATCAGTTTTTCAAAAGCCAGTACCGATCAGTATATTACACCGATATCACACTAGTGTTGACAAAATTCAACAGTTTTGTCAAAACAGTGAAATATCCCATTAAACATACACCAATGGTAATATCAAGCAGGTTTACTCACCCTAGTATGGTGCAGGGCAGCAGAAACCCAAGGGCCACTGTAGTGATCTTGAAGCGAGCATAAGAAGGGCTGACAGGGTACTGTTCCAGACACAGCAGTCTGTCAGGATCAAAAACTGTCGGTAGTAGCCCACATAGGCAGAACAGGAAGGTGAGGGTCCAAACTGCCACACCAGACACCGCTGCCACCCTGACAGACCGCACCCTGCGGCTGCTCAATGGGTACACAATGGCGAGGCATCGATCTAATGCTATCAGACACAGGAACATGACACTGGCATAGATGTTCACATAAAACACGTAACCCACAAGCTCACAGGTGAGCTGTCCGTAAGGCCAGCGGTGTCCGCCTCGGAGATAAAGGATCCACAGCGGCAGTGTAAGCAGCTGGAGCAGGTCTGAGAGGAGCAGGTTGAGGATGTAGACCAGCTGGCAACCTCCCCCACCTGAACGACCCAGGTGGTACAGTCCCCAGAGTGATAACAAGTTGCTAGGAAGACCTAAAGAAAAGATCAGGCTGTAGATACAGGTCAGCCCGAGAGTGTCTGTGTCCAGGGGGAGGTCACAGCTGTCATTGAACATGTCTCTGATGGTCAAGTGCCTCACATGGGAAAAAGAGAAGACCGAAAGCAAAGACTGGACTTATGTCTGCAGAATTCATTCGCTCAATGAAAAGTTTCAGGGACCAATCTGATGAAGCTCAGTCATTTGTCCATCATGTGAAGACTGCAGCAGCTTTCATCCAGGATCCATCAGGAGGAAGAAACACCTGCAAACACAGCAAAAGCATTCGTAGATTGTATCATATCAGCAGCTGCATGAATAATTAATAAAGTGATTTTGAACTTTAACTTCTCTCACCTTTTAGGACAGGCAGACTGACTGCTGCTGCCCGCTCTGCTGCTGAGTGACCTGCACTGGAGGAGGGCTGGGAAAGTGTCTCGCCTAAGCCTTGTCCATTCTGTGATCGTTTCCTCCACAGGAAACCCACTTCTTCAGCTTTAAAGGCAACATCCTGAGGCAGGAGAACGCCTTTCTGCCCAGAACAAAAACATACACTCTGCCTTTTCTGTCTGTGGAAGCCCAGCTCCTGCAGCAGACAGAATGATGGAGGTGGACAGGGGCTGCGAGGGTAGGAACTGATGGAGGGTGTCCACTAATGCCCTTTAGATTACAGGTTACTGGCCACATGCCAGTTAATACATTAAGCGAACTGCTATTTTTCTTAAAACACCTTTTAGCAGATTAGAAAGTTGTTCCCTTATGTTCTAGGACACGATTGTGAATGCAAAAATACAGTTTTAGGAGTTTTGCCAGGCCTGCCTCTAAGTGCTGACTTCAAAAGAATACCAACTTCAGAGTCTGAGGCTTTATTTGCAACTATACAAGTAAAATTACACTCTCATTATACTTCTTTACCTAAAGATCTTAAAATTTGATTAAAAAGTGCATTTGGTGGAGTTCAGGATACTTTCAAATGTGTGCCTGGGTACAAGGATGGGAAACGGAACCACCTCTACCTCCCCCTCCCTTCCCAAACAAAGCTGTATGAACGTTTTTTTAACTACTGCTACTACTGCTATGATGTTTGAATGAAAGACTACAAACCACAATTGTCCACCTTATCTCTCTAGATCTGGGTGAAACTGCCATCGACAGACTCCACCCACTGCTACAACACTGTCCAAAGATTGAGCATGATGTCAAAAACACACAGCAGAGAATTAGTTTCTCCAAAGTGAGTTTGACTTATAACATGACTTATAACAATTTTACTGTTTGAGCCAGCTACTGTTCGTAATTTACCCAGGGTGAACTTTTCTCAGGCACTACTGGGAGGAAAAAAAAAAACACAGCACAATTGAAATTGTTTAGTGAAAGAATGGGTACATTTACACAATGGGTGCCAGGCCGTATTTTTAAAACATGGTTTCAAAGGAAGGAGGGTTGAATCACTTACTTTGCTTCCTTAAAAGTTACAAATCTCTGATTTATTGAATTATCCAAGACTCCATCTAATAAACGGACCGATCCCCTGAGAAATGTTCCACCTTTGTGCTGCAGAGCTTTGCTTAAAGGTTTCCATTACACTGTTTAATCCACCCAAACTGCTGTACTGACAGGATTTCTTTCTATTTTTTTTTCGCTTAAATGATATAAAGTCAAAAAGATCTGCAAAAGTATGCACACATAGATTGGAAGGGAATTTGCAGAGGCCATGAACTACATTTATAAGCTCTCTGAATAGCTAGAGTATAAGTGAATGTGCTCACAAAATAAAACCAGCACAGCGATAATGCATAACACTTTATCTACAGCCCCCTGTTACTGAGGCAATAATGGCCCTCATGAACAAAACACCATAGACGCAAGCAAGTAAACTAACTGCTTGTAGGGATGAGGTGGTCACATTTTTGTGTTTATCTAAATAACTATTGTTGACAGCTCAGTTCTGAAATATCTATTATAAGTTTTTCATTGTTTAGTAACACAAGTTCACAGTACAAAATAATACTGCACAAAGCTCACAATTCTCATGTACGACAGAGCTTTTATTCCCTTCTTTGCATCATTTAGCCCTCTATTTATACATGTACTTTTCTAACTTGGCTGTACAGTCCGGGAGGTAAAGGAGAGGTAAAGGATTTGTCATTGTCATACTTTTGAATTTGTATTGTACTTACAGACCCTTAAATGACACACATGATAGCTTTGTACTCGTAAATTTACTCGAAAATTTAGTCTGAAAAAAAAAAAAAAGATTAACAAGAAGATGAAATCAACCTACACAAAGTAAATAATAGCGGACCAATGTTATGGAATTATACTGGCTTCTTGTCAAATCATGATTTGAACTCCTTTATCCTTTACAATGTGACGGTGCAGAGTTCAGCCTAAAATGTACAAGTAGTGTATTGTAAAGCTGGAAGGATACCTGGTGGGTAGATGACAAACTGGAGACAGTCATGCTGACCATTGCGGTCCCTCAGTGGGAGAGAAGATCAATTAGGGATAAACATTTCTGTGGACAATGCGAACGATAAATAATATCTTTATTTTAAAGCACATGTGCAGTGAATGCTATGACAAAGGTTCTGATTTGACACAAAAGCAATTCTGTGCTGAGGGCTCTTTGATTATCTCTACTAGTGTGTATAACAGTGGGGAAATGGAGTTTTTCACTTTGTCAGTTAGAACCAAAAGTGTTGATACATTTTATGAATACATAATCCAGTTTATTTTGCAGCATTTACAGCCATTAAGTTGAATTCCAGTGTAGACAGAAGAATCTTATAAAAGATTTGCACTTTGAAAGAGGACAGAGATCTAAAGGATGAAAACAGTGATCTGAAATCATATTCAATGCAAAGATTCTGTGTGAGAATCGATACAAATGTCTCTTCCAACAAGTCTTTTTCTTCAACAGTTTAAAAGAATTTGTTAATCTGCCTTAGTCTTTCTCCTGGACTTTCTGCAGCAGACATTCCTACAGACTGCGAACAAGGCCCAAACTACAGCTGCAGTTACAGCCGTGAAAAAAACAGCCACATCCAGACAGAAATAGGAGTACCAAGGAAGACTAAAACCTGCAGCCTGGAGATGGGCAGCCCCCTTATTCCTGATGACATACTCAATCCAAAAGACGGCAGTGTCCATAGGTGACATTGGCAGGTCCTGGTGCAACTGTGAAAGACGTTTCATGTTGTTGCGGTATGATGGAGTCTCCAGGACATCCTTCAAAGCCTCCAGGAAACCTTCTTCTGTGAGTGATCCTGCCTCAACCATACGAGCTGCCCCGCGCACCTTCAACCTAAGAATGTTTTCAAATTGGTCAAAGAGGAGGGGAAGACCCACAACAGGAACACCATGGTAAATGGCTTCATACAAGCCATTGGTACCACCGTGGGCTACAAAGGCACGAGTCTTGGGGTGTCCAAGGACATCATTCTGAGGCAGCCATTTCACCAAGAGTGTGTTGTTCCCCAAAGATGAAGGCTTCTCTCCAACAAACTTCCACAGCACCTTCTGAGGCAGTCGAGCAAAAGCAGCAGCGATGGCCTCCATGGTTTCACGAGAAAGCGCCGACACCAAGGTCCCCAGAGACATGACTACCACTCCATGATTCCCAGAGCTCTGCATGAACTCCTCCAGCTCAACAGGAAGGGGACGGGCCTCTTTGCACTGGAATCCTCCTATGTAGACCACATTGGGCATGGTAGGGCGAGGGAACTCAAAGATGAAATCAGCTCTTACAAGCCACATATCAGCTGCAAGCTGCAGAGACATCAAGTCTGATCCAGGAGGGAAGTGCCGCTGGAGCAGGTCTGAATAATAAGGATTTATGATGAAGTGCTGCTGAGCCAAGTTTTGCAGATAATGTAACGTATTCTTGGTCCTCTCCAGGAAATCCATTTGATCACTGAGTTCGCTTCCTGGGAATGGTATATAGGACAGAGGAGAGGGAGCTATGGTGAAATGGACGTCGCCAGTATCCATCCAGCGCACATTATAAACCATTGGCAGCTTGAGGTAACTACCCAGCAGTAGCCCCACTGGCAAGCAAGGGTCTGTTAACATCAGATCAAACTTGGTGTCTTGAAGCAACTTCATAAAAGCTTGGTCATCTAATATTCCAGCAACACTTTCAGAGAGGAACTTGTGGCCAACATCCAACATAGATCCAACTAAATTGTTTTGACAGAAGGTGCGCATGAAGGTGGATGACTTGCGACATTCCAGATAATTTAAAAGCATTCTGTTGTAGAAATCCTTGTCCTCGTCGTCCAACATTTGAACATTAATGGAGGTGAACCACGTAGAGTTATTCGGGATGTACCAGCTTGTAGCGGAGTGCATCACAGTGATGTTGTGGCCTCTGGCGTGCAGCTCTTGGAGGATAATCTCCATGTTGATCCAGTGACTGCCATCAACTGGCACTACCAGAATATTGCTGCAACTGCAACAAGTGGGCCTGAACAATAAGAGGCATAGACCTGTCAGGAGTACAGGGATCACCCTGGACATTTTCTATGAGAGACGCATGACAAATGAATGTTAAATGAATAAATGTTACACAAATATGTACAAGCTTAAATTAGCCATTCAACTTTTATACACAAGATAGTTATAGGCAGTAATATAGTCAGTAACTTATTGATACCAGTTACGTATAAAAAAGACAGATGACACAAGAACAGCAGGACTAAAAGAGAGAATCTTCTCTCAGCTACTAAGGTTAAAGGGATATTCCAGCATGATTAATTTAGGGTCAAATACAGTGTAACACCAAATAGACACTTGCTTGAGAGATGAATGTTGCTGACAGCTTGCTTCACTAGTTATACCAATTTTAGTAATGACCGATAGCAATACACAGCAGTCTCAGGAGCCATAAACAAACCTCAACTAAAACGCCACTCTATGGCCACAAATAATGCTCAGAACAGCACCTAACTTCATCAACAGTACATATAGGGTGCTAGCCACAGAACTAGCCACCAAACATCTTTTTAACTTTGCCTAATTTCTTTAGCAAAGAGACTAAACACAACTCACCTACCCTTTTCCAGCAGTTGTTTGTTTGTAGCCTCAGGCCAGTCCATAACGGACTGCTGCGGGGTGCCGCAGCTCAAGGAAGAACAATTATGATTATAACTTTATTATTTCATTGAAGTAAAAATCCCCATATCAATCATTTTGCTCTGCAGACATGGTAGTTCTTCTGCCTTAGTGTCTAGGACTGATTGTATTTCCATGAAGAAACAAACGGCTGCTGGAAGAGAGTAGGTGAGTTGTGTTTAGTCTCTTTGCTAAAGAAATTAGGCAAAGTTAAAAAGATGTTTGGTGGCTAGTTCTGTGGCTAGGAGCCTCTATGTACTGTTGATGAAGTTAGGTGTTGTTCTGAGCATTATTTGTGGCGATAGAGTGGCTTTTTGGTTGAGGTTTGTTTATGGCTGAGACTGCTGTGTATTGCTATCCTGCAGTCATTCCTAAGTTGGTGTAACTAGAAAAGCAAGCCTCGGCAACATTCATCTCTGGAGGGGGTGTCTAACTCAGCGTTACAGTGTGATTAACCCTAAATTAAATTTACGCTGGAATATCCCTTTAATGTTAAAAGGTTAGTCACGTGACTGGGTATGAAAAGAGCTTTCTATAGAGTCTGAGTCTCTTGGAGGTAAAAAAGGGAAGAAGTTTATCACTCTGTGAGGGACTGCACCAGCAAATTGTCACCAGATGTTCTTCAGCATCATCTATAGTACATTATATCTTTGAAGCAATATTTGTACAAAAAGGACAAGGCAGAAAATGAACACATGAGGAGTCTGCACCTCAGGCCCACAGGCAACACTACATTAAAAAATAGGCATGGCTCTGCAGTGGTAATCACTGCATGGGCTGAAATTACCCCCTCCCCCAGATAAAAAAAAAAAAAAAACTGTTAAAACTGTACTTCGCAGAGGCAAGACTCTGTATTAAGATGTACAGAAACACCATTGACCTAAGGACCATTTAAGAGACACCAATAGATCAAATATTGAATTTTGTAGAAACCACAAGTGCCTCCTTCTCTAAAGAAAAGAGGAAATTTGTGCCTTGTTATAAGCACACAGTTTAATTGTTTAATTAGGATGCATAATGTCCATCCCATCTGGGATCATGAACACTGAACAATATTTACAGTCAAAGCAACATATGCAGCCATCCAGACTCTGCATATTCTAACATGACAATGTTAAACCACAGTCTGCACACATACGTAGAGACAGCAAGGCTCTGTGAAAGAATAGAATAGTAACGCCATTAAACTGGTCAGCCGGCATCAAGACTTCTCACTCATTTCAAAACATTTGACACAACATAACACACACACAAAAAAAAAAATGCTGCACAGGTGACCCTGAACTGTTGACCATCTGAAATCCTGTATCAGCAACAGGGTCCTATAGTCTCACCCTGAAAGGATTCTGTTTGCATAACTACTCATTCACCAAGCATTAACCCCTTACTTTATCTATGTTTTCAGTGTTTATCTTTCAGTCAAAAGTAAATAAATAGACTCACCAGGTTGTTGTTCATCAAAATCCAAAAAGTTCCCAATTTTGAAGGAGCCAGCGCACTGTGTGATCCTCGATAAAGCTTCTGTATTATTCAGCCCATATTCTAACAGGCCAAAGTCCACCTTACTGCTTATGCAAGTAGAACAACTGAGAACAAAGATCATGTTTTACTATTGTTTGCATCTTCTTTGGTCCCAGTTACATTGCACTTGGAACGAGATAGAGGCATGACAGTTTTAGGGTATGATAAGAAAAAAATTGTCAAATGGAAACCAGCTTCCCATGGAACCAGAATTTGGTATCAGAAGTTTGCTTGTTTCTGTTTGCAGTTCTAGTTGATGTTTTTTGCTACCATACAGGGTAAGAGTATATATGGAGCCTTACACTGTGTAAGGTGGTACAACCCCATCAAATCATCCGCCATGCAACAGAAATATGGCTGTAATTTGTGTCTCTGAACTGTGCGGCTCTTTAGGGAGCTGACTCTTTAGGGAGCTGGCTCTTTAGTCAAATGTTACGATCTGCGGGATGTGGAAACTCCAGGCAGAACTGGGCACAAAGCCAAACTGGGACAGAGTGTGTCAAAGTGTGTGAGACGGGAGTGGCAGGGAACAGGAGAGACGAGGGAAAGCAGCAAGGTCACAGAGCGGAGGGGAAATCAAGTGAGCCGAGGGTGATTACAACAACTACAAGAGATTGAGCTGAACAGTCATATCAGGGAACTGCAGCCTTCCCCTCCTCTCCTCTGCCTCTGTGGAGTTAGACAAACCTGTGCCATGAAACAACAGAGCGCTGGGGTATCACTAAAGATAGGGCATGCAGTCATGATACAAAATTGTGAATGCAAACCCAAGCCAAAGTCTGCTGTTGTAACAGTAAGTGGAACATTACAGTAAAACCTTTAAATCTACAGGATTTAGCCAAATTTACAGCAGCTTGTGTCTGGAGTTCAAGGCTTGTATGTGTGATTACTCATGAGATTAACCATAGAAGTCTTATCCAAAGTCAAATACAATCCCAAAAGATTCATGTCACTTTTACTGTTACACAGTTGCAGCTGTAATCTCTTCAGGAAGCTGTAAAACTTCAGGAACTTCAAGTGGTCACATGATTGAACATGTGTGCCCAGAGCTAGGATAGCCAATCAGAGTTTTATCAACAGTTCACGCTTTACCCCAATGCACACTGTCAGTGATACTCTACAAATCCTGTTTACGTGGAGTCATGGTAAATACCACCAACAGTTACTAAAATAAAAAGCTAAGATTTTTTATTTTATTTTTTTTTAAATAAAGGAAAATCTGGCAGGAAAAAAAGTCCTTTGAGCCCCTTTCTCTCCCTTTACACCAATATCAGTGAAGTTAATCTAATCCTGTGAGTCCATCCTGTGATGTCGCTGTTATTGTAGTTTTTTACTATCTTTTGTGGACTTATTGTTTACTTTATGTAGTCTAAAGGTTCATTAAGGTACTGGCATTGTAAACCAGCCTTTGCTATGAATGTTGTAGTGTGAGGCGTTGGTTTATCATACACATAAAGAGTGCATTGAATAATAAATGAATGACCATCATCATTGTTTTGGGCCTTTTTTAAAACGTATGTATAGCTTGTTGAAAAGTTTAACAGTTCTGCTGTGCACCCCAATAGACCTATAACTCCTCTACTTTGAAGTCTGGATTTTTATGCTTTTCACTTTACATTGTTTGCTGTATTTGCTGACTCTTTGATGTTAATGCAGCATGTTCCTTCATTTGCAATGCGTTTTTGTTCCTGCATTTATTTTGGATTTCCAAATTTGCTTTTATTGTCTATGAATTCATAGCTTGCCCCTTTTGGTAGCTTTTTAACTGTATCATTGAAATGCTATTGCTCCTGATGGCACCTGTACTAAAAAGATAAATATATTATTTAAGATAAGATAAGATATTCCTTTATTAGTCCCACAGGGGGAACTTGCAACCGGTATTTATAAGTCCCAGGCCCTGTGACTTTGACAAATCCCTTAAAAGATCACCTGGATGAAAGAAATAAAAGCTCTGTCTTGCAAAAAATCTTGTAACAGTTCATAGCAGCTAAAATACTTGTTCCGTTTGTCCTTGTGGTTAAAGATCCCCAACCAAAGATTCCTTTGATATTACGATGTAAAAAGAGACATAAAAATACCTAACTAGGAGCAGATTTGGGACAAAGGCCTCAGATGATCAGCTGTCATCTCTCCTGGTGCAGACATGTACAACAGACAGGCAGTAATGAGAAAGGATGTGAGTGTGACATCTCTCAAAAATACTGTTTTTCAGATAACCCTTCAGGATTCAGACCCAATCTTTGTGCTAATCATGCAATCAGACAAAACACTCGACAGTGAATGAAGAACAGATTCAGTACATCCAGCAGGGGGAGTCTGAAACCCTTTTTAAGCTCTGCAATGATTTTGCAAGACCAGGTTGACTTTATTATGGTGGAACAGTAACAAGCCTCTTCTCAGTGACAGTGGTTCATCCTTTCTCGTGGATACAGGCAAAGATAATCTCAGCCATGCACAATTTATCATGACCTCAAATAAAAGGATGTCAACAATTTATGGATTCAAAAAGCAGGTGATGAATTAAAAAGCAGCCATGGTGCTACAGAGAGAGCTTATTAATAAAGCCAGGATGACAGTCATGTTGACTGCCACTAAGGCAGCACTGGAAAGCTATTAGCTGGTGAGACCAAAGCTGATAATTGCTTAGGCACTCCTTTGTTGCCATGGTGATCACTCGACTAAGGAAGGCCTGCAAACAAAACAAATACGACTGTTTTGTCTCACGGGAGTCTTTCTACATTCATTAAACCTTTTCAAAGTTGAACTGAAGCCCAAAAATCTGAACAAAGCTCCCGGGACACATGCCGTTTCTGAACTTTTCCTTCCTTCAATTGTTCCGTGTCATGATATGGCTTATTTAACTCCTTATGAACGTGTTCACGCCATTGAATCACATGTCCTGCATGTACTATCACTTGGTGACAGCTGTTTACCAATAATCCAAACACATTTTCAAGGTCCTTTTGAGAAAGTTGTTTTCATGTCCTTGCAAGCATTCCATAAAATCTTTCCCACAGAGAGCTCTGATCTCAAGCCAGTTACATAAAGCCTGAAACACAATCAGATTCTACACTTTATACAATGTAGTATACAAACAAAATAAAGTTTAATGAAAGTATCTTGAGTTCAACCTACTTTGAGGGGTTTAATAGTACTTCAAAGTAGCAGTTTAAAGGGATTTTTAACTGGTTAAGAAATATACTAAAACTGGTTCTGATGTGCCTTTATGACCTTTTAAAGTAAACAACACCATGAGCAACATGACTGATAATGTCCTTGCATTAATTTTAAAGCCTGTGAGAGGATGGGTGTCAGGCTACATAACTGACAGCAGGCTTTTTATTATATTGGACAAAGTCTGAATTTCCTTTACACTTTGCCAAGCACTGTTTTATAAATGAGTCTGGCATGATACCCAATTAATCCTTATTTTCTTGGCACACACACTTCCTTGGGTTTTTCTCTTGTTCTGAGAATGATAGTATAATAATGTTTACCATACTCTGGAGCATTCAGCCACACTAGGTGGGTACAGGTGAGCAGTTCTTTTCCCACATCATGCAAACTGCATAAGCTGTACACGCTTACAAACATCACTGACGTCAAAGGTCTGTTCCTCTGGAGAGGAAATTATCCAGTCCGGTTATGAGTGTCTTTAAGGACATGACTCCAGCTGCTGACTGAAAAAAATATCCATAACAGTTTTTACACCTGCACAGACTTTCCTGTAAAATGATAACAGTAGTGTACTATGGCTCATGATATGACAATGTGTCTGATTTGTTTTTTCCAGGTAGTACCTGGATCATGATAATAATAATAACTTAATTTTTATAGCTCTTAAAAACAGGGGTTTACAAAGTGCTTTGACAAATAGTCATAAAACACATGGAAATAAAGACAAATAAAAACAAAAAGCTCAGTTAAAACAGAACTGAAGGCCATTTTCATGTCATAAGGAAACCAGACAATACAAGAACCATGCAACATAAAATGAGACCATGTGGACCAACATAAAACCATAAAATAGGTAAGAAAAAGAAAATGGAGTAAAAAGGGGGGTTAAAAGTAGAAAACAGAATAGTAAATATAAAAGACAACAAATACTTATTCTTATTATGCTGTTAAGTAAATTTAAGGGGGACCTGCCATCAAAATTTCATACCCATTTTTATCATTTGTTCATAATCCTTGATGTCCTCTGATCATGTTTGCAACATAATTTTAGCTGAAAAGTTATTTGATGGTTTGTTTTTAGTATGCCTAAAAAACCTTACAGGAAAACCAACTGATTTTGGCTCATTAACATTTATGGTAATGAGCTTTGCTCTGATTGGATCGCTGCTGTGAAGCCTGCTGTGCTCTGATTGGCTCAGCAGTGGAGGTTCGGATTTTGGTTTATCCATTTTGCTAATGTGTGCTAAAGTAAGGTGCCCAGATGTCTGTAATGATATCCGGGGATATTCGGTGCGGCGGCAGCGGCAGGGAGGGTGCAGGGGCTGTGTGATCACAGACAAAATCTCGGTACTATTTAGTAGCAGCGCATGCCCCATGTAATAACCTACATAAGAACTGTTGTTCGGGACTGCTTACTTGTGCTTCCTACCCATTTGGCTACTGTAATTACTGTTGTTTGAGCCCACATGCAACATTTTTGCTCTCATTCATGAAACGCTTAAATCGGGGACATTTTCGGGGACAGCTTTTGCCGGGGACAGGTCATCCAGTACGTGGACTGTCCCCGGGAATTGTGGACGTCTGGTCACCTTATGCTAAAGGCTAAAAATGGCAGGTATTAAACCATATATTTTAGACCCTGAGTCTGAAGAGGAGTGGAAGTTGAAGAAGAAGCCGGAGATCTCCAGCGGTGTTTTCGCATTCATTCTGCCCAGCTTTAAGTTAATTTTCACGGCAGTGAACCCAAGGAAACACCGGTCGTTTGGAAGAGACCCATAGCGGATATAGTGGTAGCTGGGTCTCACTCTGGCTGGAGAGTGACGTTGACTGTGAATGAGTACGAGAATGAGAGAGTGGGCGCGGCTCAGCGAGGACGCGCTCGTGAATAATAATGAGCAAGGTCAGCGTGACGTCAGAAGGACCTGCTTTTTCAATTGGCCTGATTTACCCGTTCTTTTATTTTAAACCTTTACAGAATGCAAACAACGTAACGGTTTGTTTTCACATTTACAACATAAGACGAACATAATACGGACCTTATCTGACACAAAAAACACACAAAATTACATTTTTGATGGCAGGTCCCCTTTAAGCAAAATCCCAAGCATTAAGATCACAGTGAACTGAAAGCTGAATAAGTGTCACTCTTCGAACTCTGGAAGTTTAAACACATGAAGTCAAACTGATGCAGCCAAAGAGAGAGGACTTATAACACATATGATATGAGAGTTTATTCCCACTTGGGGGCACTATTGCTCAGGCTAAATATCAGAGTGGAGCCTGTGTTGAATTCAAGCTTTATTGACAAAGGGGTCTTATGTTCACTTTGACTGTCCAACAGCTTTTCTACTGAGCTCTGAGTTATCTGTGTTCCCGAACGAAACAAGGAGTTATGACTCTCTGGCCAAACATCAAGACTCAGGAGGATCAGTGTGTGTGTGTGTGTGTGTGTGTGTGTGTGTGTGTGTGTGTGTGTGTGTGTGTGTGTGTGTGTGTGTGTGTGTGTGTGTGTGTGTGTGTGTGTCAAATTTGTTGGAACAATTGTTCTAACAAGTTTAAAAATGTGCTTAAATCCCAACATATTGCATGTTTTGTTGGTGTAGGCGATGGTTTAGAATGAGGGTTTGATGTTTTTTACTGGTTGAGATCATAAAGAGTTTGGATAGAGAATGCTTATTTTTAGTTTCATATTTATTTGTGTAAGTGTTTTTTTTTTTTTACATGGGATACTGTCAGGATCAAGACAAGACAAATTTTCTCCAATAAAAAAACTTTGTTTGAGCTAATGCTTGCATTATTTTTACGCGGCAGAAAGCTTTAGGACAATATCTTGGCTGTATGTTACCATGATGACATAGAATAAAAAAATAAAACTAATTGATACAGCAAGAAAAACTTGTTAAAATCTCTGAGGTCAGTGGGAATTTTTGAATCAGTTACTCAGCTTTCCTCTTCCTTCTTGATTTGTGGCAGAAGAGATTCCTGTAGGCTGTGACTGAAGCCCAGATAGCAGCTGCAGTGATAATTATGAAAAAAACAGCCACATCCAGACAGAAATAGGAGTACCAAGGAAGACTAAAACCTGCAGCCTGGAGATGGGCAGCCCCCTTATTCCTGATGACGTACTCAATCCAAAAGACGGCAGTGTCCATAGGTGACATTGGCAGGTCCTGGTGCAACTGTGAAAGACGTTTCATGTTGTTGCTGTATGATGGAGTCTCCAGGACATCCTTCAAAGCCTCCAGGAAACTTTCTTCTGTGAGTGATCCTGCCTCAACCATACGAGCTGCCCCGCGCACCTTCAACCTAAGAATGTTATCAAACTGGTCGAAGAAGAGGGGCAGACCCACAACAGGAACACCATGGTAAATTGCTTCATACATGCCATTGGTACCACCGTGGGCTACAAAGGCACGAGTCTTGGGGTGTCCAAGGACATCATTCTGAGGCAGCCATTTCACCAAGAGTGTGTTGTTCCCCAAAGATGAAGGCTTCTCTCCAACAAACTTCCACAGCACCTTCTGAGGCAGTCGAGCAAAAGCAGCAGCGATGGCCTCCATGGTTTCACAAGACAGTGCCGACACCAAGGTCCCCAGAGACATGAATACCACTCCATGATCCCCAGAGCTCTGCATGAAGTCCTCCAGCTCAGCAGGAAGGGGATGGGCCTCTTTGCACTGGAATCCTCCTATGTAGACCACATTGGGCATGGTGGGGCGAGGAAACTCAAAGACAAAATCAGTTCTTATAAGCCAGATATCTGCTGCAAGCTGCAGAGACATCAAGTCAGATCCAGGAGGGAAGTGCCGCTGGAGCAGGTCTGAATAATGAGGATTTATGATGAAGTGCTGCTGAGCCAAGTTATGGAGATAATGTAACAAATTCTTGGTCCTCTCCAGGAAATCCATCTGATCACTGAGTTCACTTCCTGATACAGGGACATATGAGAGAGGAGAGGGAGCTATGGTGAAATGTGCCTCTCCTGTGTTGATCCAGCGGACGTTGAAAACCATTGGCAGCTTGAGGTAACTGCCAAGCAGAGCCCCGATTGGCAAGCCAGGGTCTGTTAACATCAGATCAAACTTGGTATCTTGAAGCTTCTTTATAAAAACAGGATCATCTAAAATTTCAGCTGTTGCTCCCGCAAGGATCTTGTTGCCTTGACCCAACATGGATCCAATCAAGTCATTTTGACAAAAGGTGTGCATGAAGGTCCATGACTTGCGGCACTCCATAACTTTCAACACCATTTTATTGTAGAAGTTCTTATCTGCTTCATCCTCCATCATACGCCTGGTAATGGATGTGTAAAAGGTAGAGTTATTTGGGATGTACCAGCTTTTGGCAGAGTGAATCACTGTGATGTTGTGGCCTCTGATGTGCAGCTCTCTGAGGATTATCTCCATGTTGATCCAATGACTGCCATCCATAGGCACTACCAGAATATTGCTGCAACCACAGCAATAAGGCCTAAGTGACAGGAAGAAGAGCCCTGTCAGAAATACCAGGGCTATCTTCAACATTTCCTGTGAGAGGGAAAAAAGACACAAATATTTAATTATCTCAGCCCCAATAAACCAGTTGCTCATTTCACTGGTCACAGAAATTTTATATCCAGCAAAGACCTATTACCATATGGATTTAAAAAGTGCTGATTTTTGACAGTTTTTAAAAAGTTAGTGTTAATAGTTATAGTGGTAAATAGTAAATAGAGGCAGCAGTAAATTTCATACACATTATTCAGCCTGCTACTAATCTCATCGTTTCTGACAGGCCAACTCAAACATCTTGAATCTTTAAAAAGTGTCATCTATCTGATTGCAGTTCCTAAAATGATCTACATACTAATACTTGCTTACAGCTTCAGCACCACCCACTTGCGACAGTTTATAAGCCTAAAGTGACTGACACTATAAGATTAAACCAAGATTAAAGATGAAACTAAAGTTTACCATGTATTTTTAATGTAAAATAAACCTAAGTCATTTATTATAACCACATCTGTTTTGTAAATACATTCTGTAAATTATTTCCCCATTATCTATGCTTATAATGTGGAGTTTAAAAATAATAATACGTTTGTAAATAATGTGAGAAATACTACAGTCAGAACTGTACTTGTCCTCAGCTGACTTGAGTTATGAATTCAGAACAGGACTGAGGTTTTGAGTTTGAAATAAAAATAGCTTTATCCCACAGCCAAAGGACTAAAAAAAGCTAACATTAACATCAAGTCACTTCAACCTTGGTATCTTATTGCTTCAATAAAGAGCTGCTTTACTCAGCTCAAAGACTCAGAGAACATTTGCTGTCTTTACAGGTAAGTCAGTCGGACTAAGTGCAAAATTTGGATGAAAAGTCATGAAATTCCTCACCTGGTTGTGATTTGAACAGCATCCAGAGGCTTTGGTAGAGCTCCACGTCCTGAGTGAGCCAGCTCACTGGTGGATGTCTGTCAGTTTATGCTCCACAGAGACCCTCCACAAACAGGCTAAAGTCCAATATACTTCACCATGGACAGACCATTTTAGGAACAAAGGTCAGTGCAGGAACATGTAACACATGACTTTGCTTGACTACATATTAAGATCAATTATTTTACAAATTTGTGTCTTAATGTCTTTTTCTTAATTTTGTCAAGTCATTGCAGGAACTATACTGCACTGGTTTATCATTATTTGTTGTCTCATTTGCTTATAGTTATAAAATGCATGGGATATGAAGCCTTGACCTACAGGTTGCAATGATACCTGACTCTAACTGAGCCAACTTGGGCTGATGGAGCTGATCAATTTAAAAAATTAAAAAAAAAAAAATACTTTTAATGGGCGAAGATTGACCGATCTGAAATCAGCCACATATTTATAACTGAACTGCTCCACCAAAAGACCTGTTTCTGTCCATAGAGACATTTGTGCGAAACCCTGCTTTTTCTGATGACCAGCAGGGGGAGCATCAGCAGGTGTTGGAAATGAAGCTGTGTTTGAGCCCTATCAACCGAAATTAATAAAGGTCAAGAGTGAGGCTGGCTGGAGGAGCTGAACGTTAGACTAAATCAGACTTCAAACCTCTATTTGACAGGCAAATGAGTGATGTCTCCATTTATTTATGACATTGTCAGAGGCTGCAATGAGAAAAATAGTTTGAAGGTATTCTTTTGCTACAAATGAAAATGACTTAAATGACTGAATCAGCGGACAGATTTGCATTTTAAACTTTATTATTGCTCCCTGTGACTGATGATACAGGGAAGGTGTCAAAGGAAGTGACTAACACTACACTACTTACAAATGTATAGGACAAAATGATCTGTGAGAGTGACATGCTTCTTTGTCCACTGGGGGCACTAAAGTCAACTTAAACCAAAAGTTCATCACAGAATATATTTGACTAAATAATTTCGGGTCTAACTTTAAATATGCAGTGTGGAGAGTGCAGAGATGGCAACATTGATCAATATTTAGCAATATGTAGCTGTCGTAGTATTGACTGAAACACTCCCCTGCTTGCTTCTTTTATGTGTGAAGCCATGTGTGAATTCTTAAAATTACTTTATTCTATTTCTATCAAGATGGTTTTCCTAAATGCAACTAAATATCACACAGTGTAACTTTAAGTCCAAAAAAATAATGTGAAAAAATCCATGCATGTCAATCATGCATCCCAGTATGTCACCTCTACTTCTGAGTCCAAGACAACAACCAAGACTGGTTGAATTCTCTGTCACTATTTTTAGACAGCACAAGGACAACCATTGGGGTCAATTGTTCCATATCTTTGGAGGGTGCAGCAAATCAATGACATGAAAATGACATGGACTACACACACACACACACATATATATATATACATATGTATATATATATACATATATATATATATATATATATATATATATATATATATATATATATAGTTTGGACTCACCTTCTCATTCAATGTCTTTTCTTTATTTTCTTATAAGACTAGTTACATTGTAGATTATCAATGAAGGCATTAAAACTATGAATGAACACATGTAGAATTTTGTACTTATAAAAAAAAGTGTGAAATAACTGAAAACATTTTTTATATTCTATTTTCTTTAAAATAGCCACCCTTTGCTCTTGATGACAGAAGTACTAAGTAACTGACTCTGGTAGTCACAGAGCAACCCTGACAAAGCACACCTGTTAAGTAATAACCATCTCAGGTGACTACCTCATGAAGATCATTGAGAGAACAGCAAAAGTTTGCAGCGCTATCAAAAAAGCAAAGGGTGACTACTTTGAGGAATCTAAAATATAATACATGTTTTCAGTTATTTCACACTTTTTTCTTAAGCACATGATTCCACATGTGTTCTTTCATAGTTTTGATACCTTCACTGAGAATCTACAATTTAAATTGCCATGAGAATAAAGAAATGGATTGAATTAGAAGGTGTGTCCAAACTTTTGGCCTGTACTGTATATATATATATATATATATATATATATATATATATATATATATATATATATATATACAGTATATATATATATATATATATACATAGATAGATAGATATGGAATAAACACACATTGAATAAAAATATATTCATACATATGAACTTGGATGTCTTCTTTTCATCAAAATATTTGGGTTGTTTATTCGTGCTTATTCATTTCTCTATCCCTCAACTCCAAATGACTGCATGTTGTTCTTAACAGGACAATTTTCCATTTTTTGTTCAGTCCTGTTTTTTTGTTCACAGGTTGGTTCATTGCACCCTTGTGGATATGAAGAAATCAGACAGAACTGGGAAAAGAGCCAAACTGGGACACAGCCAGAGTTTGAAAGAAAGCCACAAGGTTAAAACAGTCATATCAGTGAGCTGCAGCCTTCCCCCCTCCTCTCCTCTGCCTTTGTGAAGTTTTACAAACCTGAGCTATGAAAGTACAATCACCTTAGCAGAGATAAAAACGAACAGCTTATAGAGTGTGTGGGTCAAGGGTTTACAGCTGACAATGCTCACCACATTCACACACCTTCAAAGAAAGGTGAATCTGTTCAGTTAGAAACCTGTGATGTCTTCTCAACTCACATCTCAATTAGAATTTACTAAGTTCATGTTTGGAGGGATATTTTTGCAGATCAGTACCATAGCCTGTTAGAATAATAAGCAAAATCCTTAACAAGTGTAAAGAAATCAACAATATAATGTGTTACAGTTTTACTCACAGTTAGCTGTAACAGCAAGCTTTGATTAAAGCACCTCTAAGGATTTATTTTTCCATTTATTAAACAGGCTAAAGTTTCTATTGATGCTTTTTATGATATATTAATGATAATAATAATAATAATCATAATAATACATTTTATTTGTAAAGCGCTTTACAAAGGGGGGGGGGGGGGGGTCTATGGAGGATGAAAGGCAGTGCGGAAGAGGTGGGTTTTAAGAGGGTCTTGAATCTGGTGAGGTCAGTGAAGTTTCTGAGTTCCAGTGGGAGTGAGTGAGGCGGGTGACTGAGAAGGCTCTGTCCCCCCAGGTTCTGTGTTCTGGGGGGGGGGGGGGGGGGGTTGTGGAGTGCTTTGTAGGTGAGAAGGAGGATTTTGTACTGAATGCGATGGGGGATGGGGAGCCAAAAGCAAACAAGATATTTAGTGGTTGACAACCTTTGTACTGTAATGTGGAATGGCTAAAACTGGTGCAAGGGGGTAGAGGTCCCTGAGGCTGCTAAAGCCATTGCTCCTTTTTTTTTTCTTTTTAACATTTTTCACTTTAAATATTGACAAAAAATGATAAAATTGACAACAATAACCCTGCAGGATGAGGTTTTTTGACAGAAGACACTACCCCTTGTTTTGTACCAAGGGGGCATCAAAATCGACACAACCCAAAAGTTCCTGACAGGCGCTTTAATCACATATGTGCTCATTGCGGGGATAGGCAATAAGAAAAGAGACTTTTATTTCAACTAGTCATGTGTAACATTTCTTTTTGAACAACAATTCATGACTTATCTGAAACCACTATTCTCTGCAAACTTGTCCCGTGAACAATATTAGTTATTTGGAACTATTAAAGGTGGAGTAGGCAGGAATCCGTTAAAGAAGCATCTTTTTTTTTGGTGTATATACAAAAAAGCTTTTAATATCAGTCAATAGCTATTAGTCATTGATGACATTTGGTGATATAACGATATCATTGTGTTTTGTTTTGTCTGTGTAGTCAACATTTTAAGATTTCAGAGTGCTCCGCTTTTTCTGACTGTAAACAAAGCCATTTCCCACCTCCCCCATCCTGATTGGTTGTGAGGCAGACGCTGCTCCCCAGTGCTGATTAGCAGTGAGGCAGATGCTGTTCCCCTGTGACGTTCGGGAGCCCAAACAAAGTTAGAATTCTAAAATATTGGAAAGTAGAAACCAACCAAAAAGTAAGGAAAATTGTCTGAATCCTCCTTTAGCCACGACTGCCGACACAAGCAAGAAAACAAGCTAAATACCGGAGACACTGTCGGATGCTTAAAGAAGAGGTAGACCGGACAAGAGCTTAAAAGCTTGGTCAAGGTCAAAGATGGGGGAGCATTCAGGATCTTGGTGACCCTGTAATGTTTCTGCTGGACAGGTAAACCGCTTTAACAAAGTCAGCCAAGTGTCTGTAACAGAAGTGTTTCTTGTCAAATGGGACCTGCTGCAAGTCCTGCAAACATTTGGCTCTATTTTCACCAAATCCATCTGCGCTTATTTGATTGGGGTGAAGTGCCTAATGGCGTGCGTGTAGGTGTCAGGACAGTTTTGGGTGCAGTGGGTGCAAATTTTCGAGGTGAAGCCCATTTTAAACCTTTTTTGTCCAGTGTAGTGTGTTCTGTGAAGTATCTTATATTGTATGAGTTGTAAGTTAGCATTTTTAGTCATGAGATAAATGTTTTTACAGATCTGTGTCCAGAAGTCGGCATCTGGAGCAATTGACAGGTCTTGTTGCCATTTTTGTGATGGTAGAGATATAATTGTGCTTATTTGAGAGAGCGTGAAGGATGCCCTCTGCAGCGCTTACAGTGACACTTGTTGAGGGGCTGCCTTCTGTCGCCATCGTGTGGCACTGCTGTCTTCAGACATCTCAATCTCTTTGACTACTGCATGAAAATTGTAATATGCCTTGCCGGTGGTGGATTTAAAGGCGAGGAGAGGAGCTGATGTTATTGGTCAATACAGGTCTCAGCTTTGTTAAACCCACTCCTCGCCCTCTCTCCTCCCTCACTACAACTTACGCCGCTGGGAGGAGCTGAGTTAGGGAGGGGGGATGCTTATGCCGGGCTGCACCGCTCACCAAAATATCAAACTATGCTTGGGAACGCCTTCTCAGCGCGGCGGACCTGACTTACGCCGCGCCTGCGCCATGTCTCCGGCAAAAGACGAAAATAGAGCCCATTGTGTTTGCTGGTAGTCTGTTGGCATCTGCAGTAGCACCAATGCTTTTAACTTTCACGTTGACTGAGCCCCATTTGAAATTATCTGAAGTATTCATCTGCATTATATCTGAATTTAATTTAAACAATAAGAGCAAGCAGGAGCGTCTGTTTGTGGGTGGGGCTAGAGACAGAGGGGAGAGGAGGAGCTGAGGGGGAAACTGGGGGAGGGGTAGTGATTACATTCAAGATTTCTCCCCACACTGGCACTTCCTTAAATCCTGCCTACCCCACCTTTAACAGTGAGTGAGGTGTTGTGATTAAGACAATCAGGCAGGAGTTGAGACAGGAACCCTATCCTTAACCCATGACAAAATTAATCATTTTCAAGTCAAAGAAATAGACTCTAAATGAATGAAAGAAGAACTACAACACCCTGAAAATGCATACCTGGCACAATAACGTTTAAAGGTCCTGAGAGGAGCTTTTGGTTTGTGTCAATATTGGTGGCCCCAAAGTGTGCAGGAAAATACAAAATACCATACTACTAATTGAAAAATACCATGCATTTTGCATACAGTTTTATTCAAATCAATTACTAGACTCTGTTAGGAGTCAGGAGTGGGTGTGTGGAGGGTGGATGGATGAGGGGTCTAAAAAAATGCCATTTAAGTGTCTTCTGCACACTTTGGTAGAAGTTAAAATATTACCTTTCAGGTGTTCTTGCAATAAAAATTAGGTTTAAAAAAATGCTCTGGTAGATGCTCACCCCAGTCAATAAAATGTAAATGAAGTACCATCTGAAAGCTTAAATATAAACAAAGTGCCCTTTGGTTGCTCAGAAAGTGGATAAAATGTAAACAGAGTGCCCTCTGGATTCCCATTCCAGTCTATATAATGTAAAAAGAGTACCCTTGGGTATTATTCTTGTGGTACTGCATAAAAAGAGTCCCTCTTCTTTTACTTGATTCCATGTTCGGTTGTCATGAAGGATTTGTTTCTTGAGATTAATACTTTCAAAGTCTTCTAGATCCCATACATCAGGTACACCACCACCTCTGTGGGGTGATTCCTGGTTAGTTTAATCCCTGCAGACACTCTTTGGGTCTGCATTAGATGTGCCCTGAAAACCTACAAAGGAATCATCAAGGGTGCAACCAAATCTATCAACAAGCTCATTATAATACAAATGAGTAGAGGCTCCAACCTCCATCTGGATGGATCACCATCACACATGCGTTTACATTTTCTTTATGTTTTCGGATTTGTGTGTGAAGGAAAACTGACAAAAACTACACCGCCCTTAATAAGAAACAGAGAGAAAAAAACAATGGCTCAGTTCACCTTGTAGAGGACAGAAATCCATCCAAGATTTGGAGAGATAAATCTCAGCTTTTGTATGGTGCTGAAAACTTCTGGGGTCATTGAGTACAATGCATTTTTTATCAAAAGCCGAGCTGTGGTTGAAGACATAAAATCTCTGTCTGATAAAAGTAACAGACTGACTGTGAGATAAACCATTCAGGATCAGTTAGAACACTGCTGATGCCTTTAGATAAAGCAGTTGTGTTTTGGAACAGCAAATTTGATCCAGCTTTATAAAATATACATGTATATGTTTATAATGACTCAGATACAGATCTATTTACAAAAGGCTTTATTGCAGAGCAACATCCACAAGCTATAGCATATACAGCAAAATGTAAGCATAAAGTTGATCCTGCCTCATAATTTAAACACCTGTACTTGAAGAAATTCACGTAGGAATAATGCAGGCTGGTTGCATTAGACAACTGGCATGTCTTAGATTTTTATAGCCCTTGTGTGCTGATCTGGAACCGCTTATGGAGTGACACTGTTTGGCTTAAAAGAGAACACTAAAAAGTTGAAGTACCCCTTTTGCCAGAAAGAACATGATGCTGGTGATGGTGACAAAGAACAATCCATGATGGCTGAGATGGCATCTACGTCAGTGATATCATTTTATCATGCCATGGTAGTGAAAACAATGGGACTCGCTCTTGTTTTGATTTCTCTTGCTATTTGACACCATGTGCAGGGCCCGCAGAAGAAGGAGTACACGCAATCGTTGCAAATGGTCCCCTGTGAAGAGAGGCACAGTCAGGGGTTGTTTGGTTTACGAGCAAAACAGTAAAGATTGTTTCTTCTTCCAGCTGCAGTGGTTAATCATTGCAAGAGTCTACTACTTCAAGAGTGAGCTCTTACAAAGGAACACTGTGCAACAAAAACATCTTTGACGACACTGGATGTTCTTTGTGGACACATCATGTAGAGAAAGGCTAAACAGGTTTGGCACTGATTAGAGATCAGTGTCTTTTATGCAGGTGAGCACTGCTTGTACATACTGTGAATAGGGGCTAAAGTCAGCATTGCATCCATACCTCAATGCCATATCGTTGGCGCACTGACACCCTCAGGGCTGTAGTCATGGGTGGGATGACTCCAAAAGCATCAAGCAGAGGTAAACATAGACACTCTCCTGCGTCACGTGCCGTCTTACAAGTGAAGCAAGGAAGACACCAAAAGGCAAAGCAACCTGAAAAAAAGAGAGTTAACTCTACTGTAGGAATGGGCTGAAATCAAAGAGAGGATGCCCAGAGGACAGGAGTCACTTTGGTCATTGCTCTCATTGAATTTGGCCAGGGGTGTGTCCAGACATCTATTTTTTTTTTTTTTTTTTTGCTTTGGTGGCCCAGCGGGGGCTCTGCAGGGGTGGCCTTTTTGTCAGCATTTTCATCAGTTACAAGGTACCAACAAAAGATTGTGTGCCACATCTAAATGCCAAGGGAGCATCTATCAGCCTGTCACACCACAGCCCAAATAGCTAATCTTATTCTAAGTCAATCCTTGAGGGTGTCATCTTTGGTAACAATTTTCCCGGATGTTACAGTTCTCACCACTCTTGAAAAAACATCAGTTTGGTGTACTGAAGTGGTTGCAAAGGTGACAGTTTTAAAGCTCCTTCTGCTCACTGGCTGCAACTAGAATACTGTATATATAGTATGACTCTATTCTACCTAATTCCTACAGGACAAGTTTTCTGTCATACATGTAGGTCCTGTTTGGAGAAAAAGACTATAAGGAAGGGCAGTTTGTCTCAACTTCAGGTGTGGACTCCTGTGAATGACTGTAAATGCCACCAAATCCTGCAGCATTGTTCACCAATACAATTATTTCTGGTTCAAAAAGTCCAAAAATACCAAATGCAGGGCATCAAGAAGGGTTGTTGGGACACCACAAGTGTCTTTGCACCAGTTTTCATAGCTTTAGACCCATAAGCTGCAATATTTTATTCACCACAGTAAACACTTATCAAGGCAGTTTTCATGCTCACAGCACGTAACTCTGAACTTAACCAGACACTAAAAGCTTACTGTTTTGATCTGACGAAGAATGTGTTTTCTGTAACTCCACTCACTGATCTACAATCTGATATTTGTTGGCATTCTTAAACCAAGATTAGTCTGAATGATAAGTTTGTTTTGACTTTGTGTTGGACAGACAAAGGGCCAAAGAGTTCTTGTCTTCTAAAATGTTCCTGTATCCTTTTTCTTTCAACACCTGCTTTAGCTACCTGATTAAATTGCGTGAAGTGAGAACTTACACTGGGGCAAGTCTTGGAGGCAATCAAAGATGCCTGAAGTCCATTCGTTGCTGATGGAGGTCGTGATGAAAGGCCGCGGCTGGTTTACGACCATCTTTTCAGACATGGTTTCAGCTTCTGACCAAAACAGATCCCATCAGCTCTCAGGGTGATTTTTTGCTTTGCATTCAAACATTGTCCCTCAACAAGAAAGCTCTTTATCCAAATTGTTTGATCAGTTCACTGCAGTTTTTATGTTCCAAAGGATATATACTGCAGAAATCTCAAAACTTGCCAGGTGTTTTGGTAAAAACTTCTACTCAAAATATCAAGTTACAGCATACAAGCCACATTGAGCTAAAGAGGCCACGTGTAAACCGTACAAGATATAAAATGACAAAAATACAGACTTGATTGATTGTAATAAGTATAGATATCTGCTAGTGCTGTTTCTTGACATGTTGAATCTGGCAGCCATTTTTACTCATTGCATCAAATCAAACCCAGGAGAGTATGGTTTAAATAAAGTTAAGAGATATTTGGCTATAAATCTGACAAAATCCCATTACATGATTTAAAATTTTTCAGTGAATTATAAAAAATAAATAACTAAAAATTAAACGTAGCATCATTCTCATCAAAACTTTTAAAGCTCCTGTCAGGAACTTTGTTTGTTTTGATGTTGGCGCCTCCTGTGGACTAAGAAGTGCATCTGATCTGCTCATCTCGTCCTAAACATTAGAGTTACTGTTCTCTGTTGAAAGCTTTAGTCTGGCTGTCTCTAAACAGTCAACTGTGTCACTCACTGTGAAGATTTACTGTGAAAAAATGTAATAAAAAAACAAAATAAAATAAAAAATATTTTCACACTTTACTTTTAAAACAAATATCATGCAACTCTGTCATACTTAATTCTTAATTTTGGTTACCATGGACAAATAACAGGCCATCACATTATTTTGAAAACATAAATTATTGCATTAAATATGTTTGTCTTTGTCTATGTATGCTGTCAGTATTTTTAGTCACCCTCTAGGCTGCAAGTGTTTCCTGTGTCTTACCTTCAGGTCCTCACAGGCAGAAGGTTCAGCTGAGAAATGGATGAGAGGGAAGGAGATGCTTCTTTTAGATGACCTGCAGAGAGGCGAACGTGACAGGGAAGCAGAAAATGTTTGACACCGACCTGTTTGTCCAGTCTGACTTGTGTCAACACCTTCAGACATCAGACTATCTGACCGCCACACATCATTAATGCTGCTAACATGCCACAAAGTGCAGATTCCAGCACGTTCAAAAGTGCATCTCTGTTTTTGGACAGAGGTATTTGATAAGGACTGAGGAAGAATGTCCTACATGACTCTGAATCTGCAGTGTCACAAAGCCCATCATGGTACCACCTCCAAAGATAAAATAAAATAAAATAAAACAATATAAACAAAACAAAGCACAGCACTTTGGAGGGCATCCGTACCTAAGTGGGAAATGGAAAAATAACAAATGTAACACTTTTTTTTCCCCTTTTGAATTGAGAGGACAGAAAAAAAAGTTTGTACAGGACAGCCTCTTAGTGAATGTAATGATAAAATAGTGCCTTCTCGATTTCTTTCTGTGAATGTTATGGGAAACTCTTGATCTGAATGCCCTTTAAGAGCACAAAAAAGTGCATCCTGGTGTTAAATAAACCTTACATTGTGGGCATAAAAGATTAAAAAAAAAAAAAAAAGTTTTCTGGAAAATTACAGAATAATTTATGTGTTTCAGAATATCAAAATATTTGGTGGGTTGATTGAATTTAAAAGAAACACAACATGGCCTACTTAGAAATAAAAAAACACAAAATTATGGAAGAGAAATGTGTCCTTGAAATTAAAAATTTTCTTACAGTTCAGTTTTCTAAAGAGAGATTTAAAGTTTTCTCTTCAATTTAATTTATTGATAATTTATTGTTACTTGAGCCCCCTCTATAGCTGCATCTTATCTTGTTCCCCTTTTCCTTTTTTTTTCAAGAGGATGGGCTCTACAATAAAGAAAAGACAGGAAACAACAACAATTTAAAAAGCAAGACTGCCTTTATAAGTTGTTAACCTTTCAGAATATATGTAATGTTGGTATGGTCCAAAGCTCTTTTTTTTCCACCATTTACATCATTTCATTTCATAACTTGATATGATTTCAGAATTCAAGACATGGAAAAAAAAAAAAAACAACTAAATCAGTAATCTCTTTCAAAATAAACGTCCTTATCATCAGTGTGAGTGATTATGAGTGACTAATATATGAACTCAAAAGTAAGACAAAAAAAAGAAAAGCTTTGCACCCTAAAGATGAGTAATGGGTCTCTTAAATTGTATCATCTTTCCAGAGAGAGATGTTTGCCACGATTATATTAGTACAGGAAAATATGCATTTGCATTTATAAAAGTAGAATATATGATAAATGTCCAAGATTACTATTTTTAAATACAGTACAATTTAATCTGTGGTGAAGTTAACTTTGAACATCTGATGGGTCAGAGCAAGAGTTTGCAATAAGGTCATTTCCAAGTTGAACCGACCAAACAAGCAGCAGCCTGAACCCTCTGCAGACCTGCGCCAAGAGTCCTCGCCTGGAACCAGCATCAGACAAGTATGCCAACTTTGTATGTCTCATACATTCAAAGTTCATGTTACTCATTATTACTCAGGCTTCTCCCATTATTTTCCCCACATTCTCAGCCAGATTTATCAGGTACACTATAGTTAACATAGATTATTCTAATATATTCACTCACTAATCATTAATTCCAATAATTATATACAGCCCAACTCTGAAACTGTCAAATATTCCTACTGTTGTTTTCCTTTATTTGACCTTTTTTATTTGTTATGTAACTATTCTGTAATCAATTCACCATTTAATTTAAAAAAATTTTCTCTTGTGTTTCTTTGAGGACTCTAATGCAAGGTATGAGATTGGCTTAATGTTGAATGTGTGAATCACTGATGCTTACAGCCTAATACTCTAGGTTAATAGCATATATGTATACGTATAAAATCTGATTTTCTTTTTTTCCTTTTTTTTTTTTTTTTTGCTTAATTGCAGGTGGTGTGGGGAATGTTTGTACAGTTTTTTTTCCAGGTTAATATAACATATTAAACTTTGATATTAATCATAAATCCAAATCAGTTTATTTCATTCTTATCCAGTCCTTTTACTTAATCTTGGGACTAACACACTGGGGCACATTGTGCACCTACTTTATCCTCTGAGGTAACAGGGAGTGTCTGCAGACCAGAGGAAGTGTGATTAAATCAGCTCCAGCTCTCCGGAGAGAAGGCTACAGCAAAAGGCTGCAGCAGAGGAGAAGGAGTGTTGTCTGAGTTCAGACCAAGTGCGCCCCCTGAAGGGAGGTCAGAGCGGTGTATCTGGCTGAGGAGGAGGAGGAAGAGGCGTGGGATGCTGCCCTTCGCTTCAGCTCTCTGGAGATCTGGAGCCAAGATAGCGGATAGCAGCAGCATCCGTACAAGCAGTCGCTCCACACACTCCCCTGTAAGAAAGAGAGAGAAAGAGAGAGAGAGAGAGAGAGGCCTGAACACAGGTGGGAGGCTCGAACAAAAGGTGAACATTTACATTCAGCTTCAAAAAAGGAAAGTTTTCTGATAATGCATTGGTTCTGTGCGTTTCCCTGCTCTAGTCAATGCTTAAACCCAAATTCGTTGTAATAAACAGGATTATTTATGGTTAGTAAGAATATCTCAATTTTACCTGATATAGTCTAAAGACCAAATGTTACAAAAGAACAAATTAGGTTAACAAACCAGTACCTAAAAGAAGTAAAGCAGTCAATGTTTGCTCTTTTGTTATTTGTGTCTTTCTGTTCACCACAGCAGCAGTAAAGCGCCCATCAGTAATGCTAGGATAGAAATGTTGGTGGGTGAGTTTTGATGAATCAATAGCCTGAGAATCACACTGAGAGGTCACTTTCTAGTTCTTCCACTCGCAGCTCCGACATGTGACTTCTTCCTCATGATACTGAGTCAGCAATGCAACTATGAACACTTAAAAAAGTTGGAAATACAAATAAAAAAGTTCTGGTTACACATAGCGTCATCGCTCCGAGTCTCCCGCCCAGCCAAAAACGTCTGCGTGCAACACTACTGCGCAGCTCTGGTTTCAAGGAAGTGGAGAAAAACCTGGAATTACCGAGAGCTTTTTGGCTTCAAATCCGTATACAGGCGGAAGGCGGAACCAGGCTGTCCATCTTATATACAGTCTATGGTTTCTACCCTCTATCTAAACCCAGCTCAGTCTCAGCATATGACTCTCTTACATGAGTCTGGTTCTGCTCAAGTTTTCTGCCTGTTAAAGAAAGTTCTGTTTCTCCACTGAAACTTAATAAATGCTGCAAAGTGTTTCACTCATCCTATCCTGTCTTTATGTTGGGTCTTCCTATCAATATCATAGAGTATGATCTCGACCGGCTCTCTTTGTGAAGCGTCTGAAGATGACATTTGCTGTGATTTGGCGATATATAAATAATTAAATTTGATTAAAATTGATTTAAAGATAAGTAGCCATAGCGACAGGAGGCAATTCATTTTCCAAGGACACAAAAAAGCAAATTTAAAAGCAAGTGGAGTAGCAAATCAAATATAACCATGAGTGACTTCATATTTTTGCTCGACCAGGGTGGTGAATACAACAACTTTGATGACTGGTGTGCTGCTGAGGAATACGATAAAAAAATGAACAAAGAGTAAACACCAGAAGATTAAATTCAACTCAGCGATGAGACAAATGAAAACAGCGACAAGAAAACAACAAGATGGGTGGTGAAGACACTGAGAGACTTCCTCGCACAAAAACAGATGGAATCCAACTTTAGTAGCTTCACTGTCAATGTTCTGAATGAAATAATTTAGGTTTCCTTCTGATAGTTTTGAGAGTGAGGACAGTGAGCCATCCTGAGGGCTGTACTGGCAACCTGGCTGATGGACACACATCTATACTACTAAAATCCACTGGCCCACTTAGTGTAGGCAGCAGCCAGTTTAAGCAGTTTAATACTGACTTGAGAGTGGTCAAATTGTGTTTCTAAAAAAGCCAGCTCCAGCCCCCCACTTCCCTCTGTCCTGCTGCCTTTAAAGTTCTACCTGTTGTGAATACTGGAAGCAATGTAAGTAAATTCTGTTTCCACAGCATGCCATCCAACTTTTTGTCTGACAGTTTTTCCCTGGTGGTGATTTTAGGCTTTTAAAAATAAAACAGAGAACTTGTCAGTCTCAATGCTAGCAGTCTGGTTTGAATTTGTAAGTCATAAAAAAAAACATTAGTATCAATTTCAGCCTGTTTCATGAGCAGTTAAAAACTCCTCACAGAAATAAATACTCTAATCATGATCTTTATCTCTGATTTCTGGTATAAGTGAGGCATGTGTTTCAAGGTGATAAGGTAAGCGTTACTCTGTCTATGTGGTTATGTCTCAGTCATCAATTCTTCCTACTGAGCTGCAAGTGTTGGCTGACTGTTGACACATGAAATGAACATTTGTCTACGGTATCAGGGCTAGAATATTACTTAAAATTAATAGCAACATATTAGAGGTCATAGTATTTGCAAAGACAATTCATCAGGATTATATACAATTAGGAACATCAACCAGTCTGAATCCACAGTTTTATCCTGCATTGTCTCCTTCCATCTGTAATTGCCTTGTTTCACAAACAGCCTACATACTTGGACTTGTTTCCACAAGAACTCCTGGCACTCTCTGCTCCTTCTCTGCAGTATTGACAGCGATCCACTGCCCACTCCACCTCCAGAAAAGCCAACATTACCAACCACCTCCTTCTCTGATGGCAGTGCTCCAGCTTCAGCTGGCCTGGCCTCCAACTGCTCCCACCTTCTGCCTTATCTCTGCTTATCCTCGTTGTCCCAGAAACAGTTGGCTTGGCTTGTCATGCACTGAAATCTTAACATGGTAGTGGGATTTTTTTTTCAGGTCCAATATCTGTTTTTGCATTGGTTGTATGCACTGATAAGTGATGGAGCCCTTTTGTCTGTTGGTATGTGTGGTCATGCAGGCAGATGTTTGAGCGTGAGGTGTGACAAACAGCACTCAAGTGAGTCAGTGGGTGGGCAGCCTGAGAGGCTTGTTGTGTTTTACATGGACGAATGGTTTCCTGTTTTTACTGGGGTTATTTATGGCCATAGTGCAGATTTATTTCTTTGACAATCACATCCTGAGTTTATGATTTGACAGCATCATCAGTATATAAAAATGTTTACCTGATGTTGCACTGGCAAGGCAATAACAAATGTCACATTGCATACCCTCTCGACGCTGTATCCTTTTCCCACATGTGCTGTTATTATGCTTCATGACCCAAACTTCCCCATTTCCTCAGCGGTAATCATAATCATTCAACATCTACCCAAAGCCAAAATGAGCCCCTGAGGCCATCATATAGTCTTTATCACCTTACCAGTGCCATCTAATAGGGGGCCTCCATAAAGGCCTTGGACAGTACTGGTTGGGGCCTTGTTGGGCATGCAGATCCACCCAGGTGCCAATCATTTTCACCAAATTTTGATGTTTTAGCTGCAAATGTGAGCCACTCTTATATAACACTCCACTGAACTCACAGAGACAAGTTTTAACATGTGGCTTGGGTTTCAGATGCTGTGGTGATTGGCATAAGTGTGTGCACTACAAACTTGTCTCTACAAAGGGGAATCTGAAACAGACTAAGACATCTTGTACTTTTAGTTTATTTTATAAAACTACCATAATATTTATTAACAAGTGATTACATAAAAAAAATTAAGGTATATAATTTAATTTAATTTAATTTAATTTAATTTAAAAATTTAAGGCAGTGATGAGGCCAGTGTTTCCTTTCAGAGACACACCAAAGCTGAATGCAAGATGGTCACTTTTTGGACTTACTTGATCATCACTTTTTATGAGCATGGGCACAATACTGCTCTTCATATGCTGCTAATGTACAGGCAAAAATAAAAAATCTAAAAACCAGGATGATACTCTTTCTTAACCGTATAATATGTTTTGGTTTACTTCAACTCAAAGTATATATGTTTCCAGGCAGAGTTTGTGAAATAGTGTTCATAAGGGCCTATGTCCACTAACTGTAGTTTTTTTCTGTCCTGGCAGCACTCAGGACCTCAATACTCAACTCAGCTCAACTCAAACTTCATTTATAGAGCACATGTAAAACAACTGGAGTTGACCAAAGTGCTGTACAGATTAAAAGCAGCAGGGGTGATAAAAGTGACCCATACAATGCAGCAATTATAATATATGAAATGAACACTAAAATACATAAACACTGTGCTATAAAATGGAATAAAATAGAATAAAATTAATTTGCCTAGGCAAATTGTCCCAGAGCCTACAAAGACCCAGTGCTATGAAGCTAGGACAGGGGATATGTGGTCCCTCTTGTCTTTGCCTGTGAGGAGACAGGCAGCTGCATACCAGCTGCAGGCGGTGCAAGAGTGAGCGGCAATATTAGACAATATTAGAGTGGTTCTTACCGGGGTGGTGTCATAGCATCAGCAGCAGTATACTGTTGAAATGAGCAGTCCCACCCTTTTCTTAACTTTGACATATAGAAATTGAGATGTGACATTTACTATCTTTCTGTTGTTTTCAGAAGTTTTTTTTTTTTTATCTGAGAGCACCTTGAGCCCAGACAGAGACTTTAAGCATCGTTGAACCTGAGGACTGACTACCATTTGCAGATAGCCTACACTATTCGTGCAAAATAATGCTGCGAGTGGACATGGGCCCTAATGTTTTCTTTTTTCTTTAATGTTCTGCTATCAGTCAAACTACACTGTCACATTTTTTGAGTAAAAAGAGACTAATCCTTTTTTTAACTCTCCTTTAGAAAACCCTTTCTGTCACCCTCAGTAACATATTAGGAAAAGTGTTTATTTCTGTAAGACTGACACTCACACCTCCAGGTTTCAGTGACTCAGAGAAGCTTTGACATACGGTGTTGGGAGGCTTGTAGGGACAAATCCTATCTCAAACTCTCGAAAGCAGTGCAGTCATATCATTTGAAGTGTGATTGAAGAAAATAGTATATTAAATATATTTGTTTAAGCGAATATGACCCAAAATGACCACGATTGATCCCGGCTGTGTAGTAAAAACATAAAAACAATGAAGTTTTATTCAACTTCCCTTCAGGGATCAGTTAAGTTCTTCTTCTTGGTCTTAAATTTTCTCTGTGAATAGTAAAATCTGAGTATTTTTACCTTTATGCCATATCGTTCCCTCACAGATGCCCTCATAGCGAGAGAGGCCGGTGGTACACAGCCGAGACAGTCCAGCAAAGGCAGGCAGGGACATGCACCCACTGCACGGGTCACTTTACAGGTGAACACTGGGAGGCAGCAAAGGGCAAAGCAGCCTGGACACACAGGGGATCAAATTTCAGCACACGTCAACATGACAGACTCTGGTCAAGATTAATCATTAACAACAAAACCAAAGACAATCTATTCGATGAAGTTAATTGTATTTATATGATTTGTGAATATATCTTATCTAGATACGTACAGTCCCCTACGTCTTTATGGCACTCACACAGACCAGTGCTCCATTGACCTGCACTGTGGACCCTGCTCTCCGGCTGGACCAGGATCACCTGTCGGGACATAGGGGAACTGGCCATCCATGGCCATAAAAAAAGAAAACATAGTTGTATGAGGAACCTGTTAGTGGTAAGTGTAAAAAACTTCAGTTGTATCTGGAAAGCAGGAGAGTTCCTAAGTTATTTAATAGTGAAGAAGGGCAAACTGTGAGCCCTTTTTAGGACCTTTCTACACCAAATGATCCCAGCAGTCACATACTGCTGCAGTTCACTCATCAACCAGAGCTCCCTGCCAGACTGTTTTTCCCGCTTTCTTCAATTTTTAGAAGTCAAATCAGAAACCAAAATAACAACATGGAGCAGTTTGTTTCAGAGTAAGTTTTCATTTCTCATTGTTATTTACTGCATACTAAGTTAACCCATAGTTCACACTACATAAAAATACACTGTTAGCTGTTGGAGGACAAGCGTGAGCTGTGATACCAAACTCTACAACCATAACTATGTCAGATGAATGGTGTACAACATTTTTGCTTACAACGATTTAAAACCGAGGTGCAGAAATACAAAAAATCGTATCTCTAAATGTACCAGGCAAAAGTCAAGCTGACTCAAACATGACCTGAACAGCCAATCAGTGCACTGCAGGGTGAGGAACACGTAGCGAAAACCGCGCAAAAAATGTCTGGTCTGTCTTATGGCACAGTAAATCACAAAAAAAATATTGGTATAGAGCGAACGCTAACAAAGACATTCACTTCAGGGTTAGGGTTTCTTATGATGACCTTGCACTAGTATTCAAGATGCAGTTGTTTCAGGAGAGGGAGATACTTATGAGTTTACTACTGATTACTTTGAATGCTTGGTTTTGACCTAATGAGGAAGAAAATGGAGGTTAAAGAGGAATAGGTGGTGTCACTAGATTGGTCTGCATGGCTCTGTGTCTGGCATGTGTTATGCATTAAAGCAGTCGCTTCTTCAGGCGCCATCTCCTGAGTAAAATACCCTAACACAATAAAATGCATCTTTCTGTGTTTTATATACTGGTGGTAATAGCTGATTTTCCAGAAGGCAAAAAGGAGATTAAAAGTGTGTATTATACAGTGATTATAATGTGGTCAAACTGACCCTCTCAGCAGCTGTTGATGGCACAGCTTTAAAGATTCCGCAAAAAAGGCCAAGCTGACTCATGTCCCTGCAAGCAGACACTCATTGACAAGTGCCTCACACAGCTTCATTGAAAAAAAGTAACTATACTATCTTTTAAATATTTTCGTGCCTCGCCAGCGGCGTAAGTCAGGTCCGCCGCGCCGGCAAGGCGTGCCCAAGCACATTTTGGTATTTTGGTGAGTGGCGCAGCCCGGCTTAAGTATCCCCCCCTCCCTAACTCAGCTCCTCCCAGCGGTGAAAGGTCGTAGAGAGGGAGGAGAGAGGCGTGGAGTGGGTTTAACACAGCCAAGACCTGTTTTCGCCAATCATAACAGCCCCTCTCCTCACCTTTAAATCCGCCACCGGCGAGGTGTATAACAATTTTCGTGCAGTAGTCGAAGTGATCAAGAGATGTCTGAAGACAGCGATGCCACATGATGGCGACAGAAGGCAGCCCCTTGACAAGTGTCGCTGTAAGCACTGCAGAGGGCGTTCTGCACACTCTCTCATATGAGCACAGATGGATTTGGTGTGTGTAATGTTGGACCCACTGGTAAGAGAAACACCCTTTTCCACAAATAAAGACACTCACATTAAATTGCATATGTTTAACCCCACGTGACAAAGGTGGGTTGTGCGCACAGATCACAACATAAATTCTAACAATGTCATTAAAATCGGAACCACCTGTGCGTAAAGGATGCATCACGCTCCGTGGCCTGGTTCTTTCTTTCATAGCTGCTGACATATAAAATAAATCTGGCTCACAAAACTGAATAATATAATATTCGTATGTGGGCCTAACTCCGGATTGAATATTCACAGATATACGGGTAATTTTGAAGGAAAGTTTCTTTTATCTTTTTGTTCAAAATTTCCAAGTTAATAATTCTTCTGATCACTAAAATAAATCATCTGGTCAGCCTTGTCGCCGCAGCATCAGGACGAGGAGAGGACACAGAGGCATATCAGGGTTGAGCTGCACGAGAAAGAGGAGGAAGATAGAAAGGGGGACAAATTAAATATCTTGTTAACTTCATCATGTGTGACTGTTAACTGGATATTTAATTTAATGCAGTTTCAGCTGTGTTGATTCGGTCAGGTTGAGTGTCTAAATGCATGCCAAATGCACTCATCAGATCAGATATAGATCAGAATATATCTATAGCTCTAAATGTATTTCCTAACTCAGAATATTGGTTGTTGATGATTATTTATTGCACTGAAATGTGCCTGACACTGTGGAAACCTGTGAGGCATCAGTGACGTATGCGCACTACGCCGCCGGTCTACTAAAATACCACTAGACCAGCTGCGCTCTGCCTGCACTGAAAGCTGACCAGGTTTGAATCGGCAAGCTTTCAGCACACTTTCCACGTTGGCGGCAAGCACAAAAATGTCACTGCGCCAGCTGATTCTGTCAACACCTCCCCCTGCCGCACCACCACGCCCAGCTTGGCGGACCTCGGTGTGCCTCAGTCTACGAAAATACCAAACTGGCTGTGCACCGGGCTCCGCCAGACGAAAACACCATTGCACGGGGTCCACCAAGCCTTCGCCGTGCCGCCAACGGCGGGCACAAAAATGTATAGAGCCCATGTATAGAAAGAAGAAGAAATCACGCCTCAGTAATAAATTCACCTTCACAGATGTATCACACAAATAGTTTAGGGAGCACAATAGTCTTTTTGATCAAGAAAATCTTTAATCCATCACTGAAAATCTACCCTTGCTTTTTCTGGAATAAGCAAGTAAGAACTTTATTTCTATCTATTCATTTCTATTGCTTCCGTTAGGTAATTTCGAGAGAGTGTATGGTTGAAGTGTGGACGGATTACAAACAGATCAAATGAGAAGTTTGATTCTTCACTAAGCATAGTGATAGAAAATCTTTAAAACTCAAAGGCTTTGAGTTTTCTTTTTTATTCAAATAATGGAAAAGAAGAATTAAAGTGAAATTGGATTAAAGTGAAAAATACAGGAGTAAAAAACTACATAATTCTACTTTAACTTTAATGCAGTAAGTACCTAGGCTGCAGTCCATGGTTCTGTTAATTTTAATGTCTTTTTTTCATATTCCTCCTTTTTCATCACTTAAAAACTTGACAGACATCCAAGAAACACTCTGATTTCCTAAGAATATAATCAGGAAACAGAGAGTCTGGCTTGTGTACAAATTTTGATGGGCTGATTCCAATCTAAACATGTCTTAAATTAGATCAAAGAGCAAACATGGCAGCAAACACAGAATCTGACCAATGTCTCTGAGTCACAACCAAATCCAAACTCCACAGGAGACAACTATCTCAGTGAAAAGATAAGCTCAACAAACCAGTGAGCTGAGAAAAAAAGGTCCACGCCCCCCACTCACTGAGACTGAGCATTCACAGTTATTCTTAAGCTCTGCTCACTCTGAACTCTAAGGAGAGAAAGATCCCACCAGACCTCTCTCTCTCTCTCTCTTTCTCTATATCTCTCCTCTGTATGGCTCAGATCCAGCTGTAGAAGAATGATTTACATCACCTTTTCTGGGCAGAGTCAAAGTACAACCAAAAATATTTGACTACGCTCACTTTGATGAAGAATTCACAACTTACCTGTTGAAGTTTAGAGACAAAATCCAAGAAAAGCTGAATACTGGACAGTTACGTGTCATGTGCTGTGTTTGAGGTTTCCTTTTCTCTCTGTCCGCTTGGTTTGACTTTCACATGAGTGCAGGGTTGCAGTGTTTTGGTGTAAATACAGAGCTGTGAGATACACACGATACTCTGCTGACCTGTTGTGTCTTGACAAAGATCATGGACAGAGATATAAGTGTTAGTCAAAATCTGGTTTTGTCACCCTTTTCCAGACACTGGCACTTATTTGTAACTTTTAGTGTCATTCAATTACATTTTTTACTGTTGTTTTTCCTTCGGAAAGAAGAAAAAAAATGTATTTCTAAGAGAGTTACACCACTGGATATTCCAAGTTGAAAACAGACAAGCACCAAAAACCACAACATGTCATCAGAGAGCTTTTCTAAGAGAGTGTTTCAAGTTCCTGAAAGTAAAAAAAGAAACACAATCATAAATCGAGCTTTGCTGTAAATGTGACTCTTAATTTCATTATTAAAAAAAAACAAAAAACAGATTAGACCACGATAGATTCAGGATTTCCTGCCTGGATTTGGCACTAGAACTTACTGCTCCAGGATCCTACAAAAGAGCAAAACTCAAAGGGACAAAATTTGCAAATGCTCATAAATCTGATGTCTTACAGAGGTGAGCAAAACAGGAAAGGCCCAGTGAGATGGATTGTGCCCTTATTGAGTCAATCCTCCTGTTTCATAAGGGCTGCAGCTGACTCAGATGATCAGACACATGATTAGAAAAGGCAAGATTCATGCTGATGACAAGGATTTACTTCCACTTAAGTATAAACTACTCAACCTTAGTCAGACGAAAAGCCAATATGTTTTAGTTGTAACTTCAAGACTAAGTGTTTTCTTCTTGAATTAAACTGATTAGCAAAGAAGACACTGATGTTTTAATTTGTAAGGCAATGTTTCACTTTCTTAAAGGGACAGTTTCCTGTTTTTTGAAGTGGGGTCATGTGAGGTACTGATGAATAGTAAGTTTATTAGGCTTTGTTTACACCTAAGTATCAGTACAATAGGAGCAGACATAAACAACAACAAAAATATATGCAAATTAGTGAAGCTACCAGGATACACATAGAAGCAGGGACTGTCCCAGTCTGCATAGTCTGACATGCACCTCTGAAGAGAAAATATGACGTATGATCCCTAGAATTAAGTTTTTAACTATTCCTGTTGTGAAACAATAAGATCTCCTGCTGGGGTCATATTGGTCCAGACTGATGCGATAATAATCACGGTTACCAATAACAACAATGCAGTCATCATATGAACACTTAAAAAGCTAAAATCTGGGCTGTCTTTGAGTACTTCTGTAGTCCTTATACCTCTGTACAGCTTTGTCAAATCTTTGTTTGTCTGATATAAAGATGTGTGACAGTTTTCTTTAAGAATATGAATGTTATGATTGGTGGTGAATGTGGGTCAATACGAGGGGCACCAGCTAAAATCTCACCAAGCGTACCAAATTGGCTCTGATTGTGTGTTTTGACAGAAAAGACCCACAGTGGTGAAAAATATCATGGGTTCTGAATGTCCAACAGCCAGCCACCACCATTTAGCTCTGTCTTGTCTTACCAAAATAAAAATTAAAAAAACTCTTGTCAGAGATTTTATCGTAATTTATGTATTTGAAGCTCGTCACCATTTCAACTTTGTCATGAAAAAAGGTAACTGGCAAATGTTATCATGATAACTTTGTCTAATGTTACTTTGGGGCATTATTTTTCTGCTAGTAAAGGCAAAAAAGATCACTCTCACATCCTCTTAGCGTTAGGCTGGAGCTAGCTGGTGGCAATTTATCTGTTGTTAAAACCAGAAATCTAAAAAAAACGCAAGTTTGGCCTCTTTTTACACCATAGATTTTTTAGGTTAAGTGTTATATCAAGTTCTACTCATAACATACATCTATTATAATAAATAAACAAATAAATAAGTACTCTGTAGAAACACATTTTTATTAATTACTTGGGAAAGGTGTACATATGTAGGTACTTGAAATGTGTCAAAAATGCTGTTTAACAGGTGATATACTGTATGATGATGATTATATGTGCTGCACCCTAGATGCACTATAGGCTACACAAAGGTTTAATTTAAAGTGGGGTGCTCAGAAAAGGATGCCATGATGTGCAGGCGGCTCGAAACTCTGGAAATTCTACAAAACAAAGAAAAAAACAGCAACAAATTAAATGTTTTTACACAGAAATCAGAAGACATCATCCACCCACACACTGTCCCAATTCACTCACTGTGCCGGTTTGTTTTGCTGCAGAAACATTTTACCAGATCCTGCATCTCTACATGTTTTCCACGAAACAGAGTGGAGCGACACGATATTTTCCCATTTGGGAAAGCTGCAACAAGAACAGAGCCAAGTGAGATACATGCCAAATTCTCACTTAGGAATTTTGAGGACTTAGACACAGTTTCATGACAGCTCTGATGATCAGGCACTTTTTCCACAACACAATAATTTGATCACTTTTTAACCCAAATGAAGGAAAGGCCAGTGGAAACTCACCTCTGCACCCACACTTGCGGATGTGCTCTTTGGACACATAAAATCCTGCCTGTGAAGCTGAGTGTGCACAGTGGAAAAAAAGCAGGAACTCATTAATGTGGAACAGAAATACATCACTCATAAGCTGTTATTCGATCCACGCAATGTCCAGCTGAATACCAAAGCACTTATGACTCATCTACATAGACAAAAAACAGTGATATGTAACTCACCTGTGCTGTCACTGAAGTTATCCACCAAAATGACGAGCAAGAAAATAACACCTATGATCTTGTACATGATGGAATTATCTGTGCAGGAGAAGAGAAACTTGCCCTTTTATACCAAAATCCATGTGGGTCTAAACAGTGCGGGTAGAACAGTCTTGGCAAGGCTAAGGGGGGATTTTTTGAGTAATCTTTCAACTGTGCATGCACTCATCGCTGGGATGTGATTCTCACATTGATAACATATACAAATTCATACAGGCATACAGGACAAGTACGAAAAGGCAGAAAATGGCATGAACTATGTCTCCAGTTGGAAGCAAAATATTCCTTACACAGTCACCCAGGCATTAAAGTGGTATTTTTGATATGGGACCTTGTTTGTTAAGTGGACCTGAACGTAGCCTTTACTGGAAAACATACAAATACACTTTTACCTTGTGCCATTAACAGAAAATATATGTTTAAAGCTGGATCCATGTACTAGAAAAAATTAAAACACATTTACAAAACATAAAGTGATAACATGTATTATTTTAAAAATTTAGGCCTTAAATTAAAGGTCATTTACTTTGACCAGAAACACATAAACTAATTCACATGTGACAAACAGAAGAAGCAGAACATAAAAGTGCTCTTTTAGAAATCAAGTTATGTCAAGCAAGCAAAAAAAAAAGTATGGTATCAACATGTATTTCAGAAAATAATGTAAGATTACTCATGTTTTTGTGTGACCCACTTGAAAAACGATGAAGGATTTCAGTTGCTTAACAATTCATAGTTCATGATGCATCAGATGTTGTCACTGAGTGACAAGTCAAGACTGCAGCCAGGCCAGTCTAGCACCTGTGCTCCTATGTGCTGTTTTAACACATGCAGGATGTGGTTTGGCTTTGTCTGGTTGAAATTTTTAAAGGTTTTTCATGAAAAACTCTGGAAGGCTGTATATGTCGCTCGAGAACCTGTGTCAATAATTCAGCCTTAATGGTGCCCTCCCAGATGTGTAAGCTACCCATGACATGAGCACTTCTGCAGCCCCATACAATCAGGTGTGCTGGCTTTTGAACTATGCTGCAGTAACAGTATTCCTAGAATGCAATGTCCATATTCTCAAGAAGAATCAAAATTTTGATATTTTGGAAGTGATTTATGCCCATGCTGTAATTTCCACTATGGGGTGATTCGTATTTTTGGTAAGGCCAAGATTCTCTGAATCTTTTCATATTACTTATGCTGCGTTCGAGTTACCTCGGAAGTCAGATATTGGATTTGGAAATGACGGCACACCTGAGATACCAGCGTTTCAGGCTGTTGCTGTGTCCGAATTGCCCGCTCGCATACTACATACTACTGCTACATACTAAACACGTTGGCCCAATTCGGACACACTAGACGAGCGGTGGGGAAAGACGACCCCCGCAGGCAGAGAGTAGGTACTGTGCCCGTGCAAACAGTTTTAGACTCTTTGAATGGTAATTGTGCAAGTGATGGATGCTGCTGTATTATATTCCTGCACTGCTTTAGAAATTCAGAAAGTAGCTTTTCCATTACTTTTAGCCTTCATTCACTCACGTGGTGATCGTTTGTTCAATGAGATCTGCCTGATTACTGCAGCTGTGCAGTTTAATGATGGAATAAATGAGCTTTACCTCCATGATGTCGCCACATATTTGCTCATAAAATGATTACTTGGGCAAATATGACACCATGATATGACAAAGAGATACAACCGCACATTTTTTAGGACAGTGTGCGAAGTTACATGAAACTTACATCTGTACTGCTGCGGTGCTGCCTGCTGCTGCTGCTGCTCCGTCATGGTGCACGCTGCTGTGGCCAGCCGGCGTTCGCGATGCATCTAAGTAGGCAGCAGCTGGTGGCGCTAGCACCACATGCGCTTCTACAACTTTTAAGAGGACGAAGAAGAAGCCCGCGGTGCATTTTGGGTCAGTAGCATGCCCGTAGGATGCACCGCGACCTTCCTACAATGTGGGCGTGTCTGGTATCTGAAGTAGTATCTGAAGTAGCATGCTACTCGCTCCAGTGGCCATTTCGGACATGCTACATACTACTTCGACTACTACTTCGACTACCACTTGGCAATTCGGACGCAGCATGTGTCTCATTTCAGAGACCGCATCAGGATAAAGCTGAGCGCACTGCCGTCATGTGGACTGGAGTACCCTGAGTGAGATTGTCCGGTTTCTGTGAAATGGGACACACTACCCTTCGGAGGACTTCCAGGGGCCTGTTCTACGAAGCAAGTTCAACCTAGCGAGGTAGCCTTGGAGCTACCTCGCTCAACTTAATGCGGTAGCCAGCGGTCTCGCTAAACGATTTTACGACGCTGGTTAACAACCTCGTAAGTTGATCCAGCTTTGCCATGAGCGCGTGCACGCATGTAAGGCGGAGCCTGCCGCATCTGACCAATCGCGAACATGGACCAGTCTGGAGTGTCAGAGCCAGCAGGAGAGCGAAGGACTGCGGATATAACAAACGAGGAGCAGGAGATGATCATGAGAAAGTATGAAGAATTAAAATCTATCATAAACCTCAAAAGCAACACCGTCGCCGCTGCAAAAGCACGGAGTGAATGCTGGCAGATAATTAATCTTTGATGCCATTATCACCCTGAAATAGCACTGTTCAACATGCGCTTTTAACTAAGGTGACCAGACGTACCCGATTTCCGGGGACAGTCCCCGAATTGGATGATCTGTCCCCGGCGAAAGCTGTCCCCGAAAATGTCCCTGATTTAAGCGTTTCATGAATGAGAACAAAAATGTGGCATGTGGGCTACAACAACGGTTATTACACTGGGTAGGAGCACAAGTAAGCAGTCCTGAACAACAGTATTTACGGGGTTATTAAAAGGGGCGTGCGCTGCTACTAAATAGTACCGAGATGTTGTCTGTGATCACACAGCCCATGCAGCTCATGCCCATTTATTTCCAAGATGAATTCATTTATTTGTTCATTCCTATCGTGTTTACATGTTTTGTGTGATATGTCGGCCATATGAGCCTTTCATAAAGGTCGTCATCCGGAAAAGTAAGTGGGTCCGTGCAGTCCCTGAAAACTCTCGCGAGCCGGAGTACTCCTCGGACAATGCGAGCACTGAGGTCTATAGGATCCTCCAAGAACAGACAAGCCGTTTTTCGAGAGAGCTCATTGGTCAGTGGGCGGGGTTTTTATACTTGGTGAGTTCAATCTGGAACTTAACCTGCCCCGGAGCAGGTTAGCCGTTCAGCGTATGTTGCCATGGAGACTCGCCTCGCTAAGAAGTGAACCCGCGTCGTAGAACAGGAAACCCCAAACTTACCCTCGAAGTTATCTCGCTAAGCAGTAATCCTGCTTCGTAGAACAGGCCCCAGGTTGAGTCGCCAAATGTCCCCACCCTCAGGCTCTCGTCACGACTGACTTGAAGAAAAGCCGCGAAGTACAGCAGTTATTTTTTCATTGTGCGACCTTGCACAGACACAAAACTATAGATACATACAAGCACAGATCATTCCCACAAAATTCATCCAATGATTTTTTTGTATGAAGGAGTATGAGGGCCATATTGAGAATTATTTTTAAAGACTTAGAGTCGTGAATTTACGAGAATAAAGTCATTTATTTATGAGAATTAAGTCATAAGGTTACCTGTTATTTCAGAGGAGAGTTGTTAAAATCAAGGCCATGAAGCATTTAAAGGAACTGTGCTTCAGTATAGGTTTCACAAACAAGGAGATACTTCATCCTTTGGCACATCAGCATTACATTGTCACAAGTATAAAGACTTAAAAAAGAATATGTGAGAAATACGTCTTTTCCACGGGGAACAAAAACAGGTGGACTTAGGGGAAATCACTGCTTTTGTGGAGGCAGAAATGAATATGCTGAGGATATATCTGTCAATGCAGTCATAAGTATCCGTGAATGAGCTTTAGTTCATGATATGAATCCATATGCCATAATAAGGAGTTGGTGTCTCTGCAGGTGTAGGTTGCCGCCGGTGTCCGAGACGTGGTGCTCGTCGGAGCTCGACTCCCTCTGGATCTTAAATGTTGATCATCAGTTTGATTGTTTTTTCAGAAACCACAAAAACTCTCTGAATGACCCGCTTATACATCCACCGATAACCCTCCAGATGACCAGTTTCAGTCATTTCTCCCTCCACAAAAGGAGCTTTATGACTTTATTCTCCTAAATTTACAACTTTCATCTCTAAATCTTGAAAAAAAAGAAAAAAAGAAAAAAAAAAAACTCAATGTTGTCCTGATACTCTGCTGTAGTTTTGTCAGCTTTCTTATTTCTAATGTTTTTGATTGTTGTAACACAGCGGATCAGTTCTTTTCTAAAGACTATAATGTTTGGTTTGCAGCTGCAGATTTTAGTGAGTTCAGAGATCATGCGCTCATACAGCCTGAGCTGATTGTCTGCTGTTTTTGGATTTCTTATATTTTCTTTGAAGACTATGGAAGCGATTGTGACTCGTATCTCAAATTCAAAAGCATTAGCAGAAATGCTTTTTCATTTCAAAGTCATGGCTGCAATATTTGACTCAAAAATCAAAATCAAAAGCAATATTCCAAAATGCATTTTCATTTTCTTCTCTAAGACTGCCCATTCTGTAACTAAATTAAAAACAAAAACCAAACTAAGAAATGCATTTTCGTTTTCGTGCTCGCCCCGCAAAAAGTGTCTCATAATTCAATCTGAGTTCGCAATCTTAAATGGTGCCGGAGAGTGATGTCACGGACCCCACTCGTTCTGGCCCCTCTGGCCGATAGGGGGCAGTGAATCCGTGTATCATTGAATGAAATCAAACCACGGCTTGCGGCTATCCGTTTTAGCGGACTAAAAGACTTTATACCTCCTCATTTTTCTCATCACTGATCGATGGATTTGGGATATTTTGCAAATAAAGGGCCATAAACACAGTGAGAAACAGACAAAATGGTCATAGAGATGCCTTAAAAATACATGGCACGGAGACAGAATCACCGCAGTCTCTGTCAGTGTTAACCTGTGACTGTATGCAGATGTCAGCGGTGTGTCAGGTGTGCTGGGGCCTCATGTATCAACACTTGCGTGGGACTCATACCGTCACGCTGAAAAAAATTCGTATGTATCAAGGTGTGCAGGCGCCGAAAGCCACGTGTGTTTCCTTGATAAATCCCAATCAGCGTGGAATTGAGCGCAGATGTCGGAGTGACCGGGCCCGCCCCCATTACGCACACCTATAAATATACAGATTTATTTAAATAGGGTCTTCCTGTCCTCGCACGCAGACAAAATGACAAGAAAAACTAAATTTACGGTGTGTGAGGTGGAGGAGCGACAGCGTGTTTTGTTTGGCAGCCTGTCCAGTGGCGTCAGTGCAAAACGAAAACGCTTGGAGTGGGAGAAAGTTTGCGAGAGGGTGAACACGGTGGGTTCCGAGACACACACCCCCGCGGAGATTAAAAAAAAGTGGTCGGACCTCAAGGTGGAGGTCAAGCGGCGTGAAGCTGCCTTCCGGAGGAGTACCGGCCAGACGGTGGGGGTCTGGGGGAGGAGACCCTCACGCCATTTGAGCAGCGGGTGGTGGCGATTATGGGGGGTGCCTCTGTGGGGGGTAAGTGGCGTGTCACACAAATGTCCACATGCTTTGCCATGGATGTAAACGCAACAGATACACAGAAGCAGGAATTGAAATGAACCGATATTTTTATTGTGTCACAGAAATCAATGTGTCGGCTGTGTCGCCGGCTTGCAGAACCCCGGCCCGCAGCAGCCCGTCCGCCGGCTCGGAGTCGTCAGCCAGGACCAGCGGCATTCGGGCCTCATGCTCACAGTTTGTGCGTGTCATGCTGTGCACAGAGAAGTGATTTCGCAGTAAGCAATGCACTAATCGTGATGATATCGTAAACTGTGATATTTTGGGCCACCAAGATCGTGATATCAAATTTTTCATATCGGCACATGCCTAGCATAAAAAAGGAAAATGTGTCTCCCACTCAAAAAACGTAGCCTATAAGCGTCTCAAAGTGGTGTCTCGGCACAAATTTAAAAATTGGATTTTACCTAGGGTTCAGAAAAGCCCGCATTTGTGTCCTTTCCTGTGGTTCTTTTACTTACACTCTGTGCAAACTTCTCTACTGGCGTGACCTGCTGGTTTAGCCTGAAAGCATTACATGTGTTATGTATTGAGATTACTCAGCTCCGCCTGCCATTGGCTGGCGCCTTAGTCACTCTCTCGTGACTGGGGAAGCGTCATCACGCACTGCAGCCTCGAACCTTTGGCACACCTCCGCTGTATAATCCGGAGTGCCAGCACTGTCCCTTATATCAACCACACGGTGACGTTCACCTGCCGTTATGAGTCAGGACACAGGGCGAAGAAATCCCCGAGGCCGACAAGACGACGAAAGGCCCCTTTAAACCGACGAGAGAGAGAGAGAGAGAGAGAAGAGAGAGACAGAGAGAGAGAGAGAGAGAGAGAGAGAGCGAGCTGATAAACAACAACACCGGACAGAGAAGCTGCTTTTACCGGATTCAACGATACTGCGGCCTCGCTGGAGAAGAGGTGAGGTAGCTCTTTACATATTTACAGGATTTTTTTGAGAGATTACAGAATGAGACTCAAGTTCATTTAGATTTTTGAAGCCAGGAGCCAGTTTGGCACAATGAGTGGGTCAGTACCATAGACACGCTGCTGTGTGTGCTGTTAACCCACTGTCACGGTCATGTGAGGCGGTTTACCTGTTCACCTGTTAGATGATACTGGAGCGGAAATAAAAGGGAACATCGCTTATGTCAGGGGAAACAGCGGGGGAAGTGTTTGTGTGCATTCTCCGGACTCTGGCCGCTCTCTGACGTATCAGGGCTATTTTTGACGGACATATTCACTCTCTCCCACAGGCTGCCAGGACTTTCTCCCGATTCTTCTCCTGAATTTTATCGTCTGTTCTCCATACATTCATTGTTTAATACCATTGCGGAAGTGAGAAGGTCCTCGACAGGACACAGGGCTTAGGCAGTGCTGACATCTAGCGGCCGATCAGTAGAACTGCTCCATCAGTGGAGATGTACGGAGCTTCAGGGATCCCGGAGCTCATCCCACCCAGTGGGCCGCCACGACAACCCGGCCCGGTGGGGCAGTTCAACCCGGGACATCCGCAAGTTAACGGACACGGAGGTGGAGCCAACCCACAGAGGCTCGGACAGAGGGCTCCAAAGCTGGGCCAGATCGGTCGCACCAAGAAAGGTGAGTGACCAGTACCGTTATTATTATTATTATTATTATTATTATTATTATTATTATTATTATTATTATTAGGGCCCGAGCCCAGGCCCTCTTGTTATTATTATTATTATTATTATTATTATTATTGTTTTTGTTGTTGTTGTTGTTGTTGTTTTTTGTTGTTGTTGTTGTTGTTTATTTATTTTCTTAAATTGCGCAGTATCTGACTGTAAACTCATTTCAAAGTCTATCTCTAGATTATTTTAAAACCACAACCATAATTTATCTGTCAAGAGTGGGGACAACATTCTTTTGTCAATTTATGATAGTTAACTGTGTGAAAACAGACATTTGTGTTGGTATTTTTATCCAATATGTGTATTTTTCTAATTAGAACTATCACTAAAACAGGGAGTAGCTTTTGTGATTTGTCTCTAAAATACAGTTTTTAATACCTGGGGACTGAAGCCCAGCAAGGCTACATATAGTATAATCTGTATGCTAATTATTTCCTTTTGTTGGGAGCTTATTTATGTGGTAAAAGTAGAAATAATATTGTGTTGAATGTTTGAGCAAGCAAGTCTCTCCTTCAGACACATTTTTGTTGTACTACGATGACTCCTCTTTTAGACATACACAGACCATAATATGAAGAAACAAATTTTTACCTCAGGCACATGTAATCAGCGAAAACACATCATGATATCTCAGTTTAAACATGTTAGGCGCTCAGAGGTGCATTTACGATCTGATCTGATCAGTTCAAAGCAATTGTGTTTCCTAATATTTGAACAAAACATATTTCTGTAGTTACCCCAGGCTACTCTTTTTCTTAGAAAGAGTAGGTAAGGTGAAGATAATTGAATTTATTCCCAATAGTTGCATCATCAGTATAAGCATGCCTCTGTCCATGGGTGGTTTTGTTTTCTGAAGGTGATATTTTGATAATTAGCTGATCCATCTGACGTGAACCAAAAGTAAGGACTGACCTGTTTTTGAGGCCATGACTCTTCCCTAAACCAAACCAAGTAGGTGTGGTGCCGAAACCCAGACAGAAGGCTGGCAGACAGGTCTGAAAGCATTCAGACCTGTGTGAGCAACTGTGTGAGCATTCAGTTTAAAGGGATAGTTCACTTTTTTATTTATTTTATTTTTTCAAGTGTGGTTATATGCGGTTCTGCTCAATAATACATATTTTATCCGCAGAGGTTGGCCCATCTGCTCTGACTCTTTGATTTTTTTATTTTTATATATTAATTTGGGTGTTTTTGTCTTCAATAGACAGAAGTGGTGAAAAGGGACAGGAAATGAGTCAAACCAGCAACCGTCACACAGAAGGCTAAAGCCTCTGTTCATTGGGTGCACACTTAAAATGCACAGCCAATCAGCGCCCTAGCTCAGAAACAGCCCAGAGAAGCTTAAACAGAGACAAAGCTAGGCTGTGAGACGAACTGCACAATGTCATTTAGCTTAAGAAACTCTGACACAAACACTGATGATGTTATAAGCATGAACTATGTTTAGACATTTTTGTCAGAAAGTTGTTTGTTTTTACACTTTTCTTGACTGTGGATGATTTGAGTCCCCCTTCCTGTAACACACTGAACTTTTTAAGAGTCACTCACCTATAAGTGTAATTGTATTTCTTTTTGAAGCTCATAGATGATCATGATCATTGTGTGTGTGTGTGTGTGTGTGTGTGTGTGTGTCCTGATGCCCAGTCCTTACTAATATTGGTGTTAATACCACTTTTCTCTTCATTGTCAGTGATCTGATGGAAAAAGTTCTGGGTCATGTTTAAAAAGAGCATCTAAACTCAAATGCCAACATTCCTGACCTTTGACCTTTCCTCCACAGTGGACCTGGAGGATGAAGACCTGGATGACATCATGAACAACAATGGCCAGTGTCCTGTATCCTTGTCTCCTATCTCCTAAACTTCACCACGAAGTGCCAAAAAAAAAGAAAATCCTGTGGGATGCCAAAACCCCCCTGTCAGCGATCTTGGCCTGGAGCTTGTGACGTGTCCTTACAGAAGCCCACATGGCTCATAAAGGCACAAAAACAGCTCACTTAGCGCCAGCTGAAGCCCTTATTGTACATAGTGTTTATTTAACTTCACTTTGGTTGGACTGAATGAAATGTAATGCATCACCCTCTACTCTATACCTCGGTCGGCAGTAGGACATCAGGAATGAAGAAGATTTAGAGACAGTCTGTGTGATTTTCAAGGGCTATGTTTTTAAAGTTGCACTGAGCGGGTCATTAGACAGGAAGGGGGGTTTGTGATGGAACACAAGCCTGTTAATGTGTACCACACGGGTGAAATGTTAAGCTTTTGGATGTGCAATGACTATCACTCTCTTCTCTCACTCTGACGATGCAAGTGGTGTCCTATTACCCAGCCAATGAAAGCTCGCTATTTACAGAAAAAGACAAACTACTGCTTATTATTTATTGTTCCAAAAAAACTGAGACGAAGCAGTTTGTCATGTTGTTATTGCTTCTTTGTGTTTTCTAACTTATGTCTGGATCAGAAATCTATTACTGAGTTTAATTGTTTCTAAATGGTGCACTTTGTGGGAATGCCTGTTATGTGCAGTGATATGTTGCAGAACTCTATGCATGGACTCTGTTGAAGCATCAAAACACGTAACTGGTATCCTTGTATTAAGGGCTATGTTGTAGTATATCACGCTGCACCACCGTTATGCTACTAAGATCATGCAGAGTTGATATTTTTCAGTGCGTTGTTGACTCAGCAGAAAAATATCACTCAAAAATACAAACAATCAAAGATATGTGACTTGGACAGTTGTGAATGTGCTGATTAAATTGCCAAATAATACAAACCACTGTATCAGATTGATTATCGAAATGGTTTCTGATTGGCTTGCCTTGATAAAATAGTATTTTGCACAACCCCAATTTCAAAATAGTTAGGATGCTGTGTGAGAGTTTATATGTCATTAAAAAAGAAGATATTAAAAAAAAAAAAAAAAACACCTCAATTGGTTAAGATGATTTGCAGGTTAGTAACATGACCTAAAAATTTAAAAAAGGCATTTCGGTGAAGAGGTTTCCCACTATGTGCGAGACTGCATGAGCACAAAGTTCAACAGCACCAGCATTAATTTCCTTCTTAACTACCATCTCCACTGCAAACTTTCATAGTAAAATACAGAGAATCTGGAGAAATCTTTGCAAATACAAATACTGGAATGGCATCCCAACTTTTTCTGGAGTTGGGGTTGTGTTGATATTTAAGTGGAGATGAGTACAGCGCTTTGACAGCTACCCTAAAACTAAGTCCCTTTTTCCAGGATCAGGGGAACTCTAAGTAAATGTTAAGGATTAACTCTAAAACTACACTTTGACATAATGGAAAGAAACAGCCAATGATAAGCTCTCACTGCTGAGACAATCTCAACACTGTTGTTTTGGGGGGATTTGAAAGATTGCAGTGGACTTGTGAAATGATATGTTGTCTGTGAAGGCTCATGCTGATGTCATGTTACTGTTCTGGCTGTGAAATTGTTTTTTAGGTCACTTTAACTTTTGTTTCTTCCGTCATGGAAGTGCTCTGTATTTCACTGTCCATCCTCTGACTCATGAAGGTTGTTGTTCAGGTTGTGGCAAACATTTGCATGGAAATGGTCGACTTTTCACGATGCATCTCTGGAAATAAAAATGAACCTTTGTCTCTTTTGTTCACTGAATTAACTGCGACTTCACCGAGTTGTTTCTCTGTTGGTGCACTTTTGCCAAAGATGCACCTTTTCTATCTTCACTGTTCTTTTAACTTTTTAATAACTGATTCAAAAGTCAAAGTCAATGGTGAATTTTATATCGGTACTGATATTAAATGAAAATATTTTATCAGATTCCTTCCCTTCACTAGAACACGCAGGCAAAAGAACAAGCTCAGTCATGAATCATGGATCTTGCAGGTAAATTAAGGCAAGCAAATGCAAAACCAGATGACGCAGTTCAAGATGGGCCTGACATGCTAAGAAGCTCATAAAAAGCATCATGTACTTTGATGTTATTTGCAGTAATTTTACAGCAAAAAACAAGAAGTTCAAATGCTAAGATTAGCATCCATTCACATCAGCCCTGTGTGCTGACTATTCTGACTCAACTTACTATGACAGTGATGTGCGTGATAAGGGTGAGAGTGGTGTCAGATGTTAGCGGTAAAAACTGAAAGCTCTTCCTGTTCCCCAGATCACTGCTTCTCCTGTGTCCCTTTGTAGCATTTACCTGCCTGTGTACCCCAAGTGCCCCTTTTGGTGATTGTCGGAGTAACAAAACAAAACCGAAAATAATAAAGATAAAATGGCTCATGCACCCTATTTGATTGTGTCACATCATGCAACAGGAAAATTTGAACTAAAATATGGCCTGATATCCCTCTCATAATGATGGCTTAAACTCACTAGTTTAATTCACCCAACTTTGAACCAGCTAGATGCTGGATGTCATCATTATGAACATTTTTTGAGCAGTCATAGCACTTTACGCTGAGGTGTTAGTGAAGCCCAGGTCGCTTTGACAGCAGCCCTCAGCAGGTCAGCATTTTTTGGGTTTTGGGTTTCTCATCTTCCCCCACAGATACACTTTGGGGTCCAGGTCAGGCTGGTTAGATGGCCAAACCAAACACAATGATATTATGAATTGCAAACAATTCATTGGGAAGTTTTGGTGCTGTGGGCAGGTGCAAGTCCTGGCAGTTGAGTCGTGCCCCATATTCATAAGTTGTAGTCCTAAAAGCAGGCATTTACTGCTCTCTGAGTCTGTTTCCTTCTTTGTCTACTGTCCTATGTCTAAATAAAAAAACAAACATAAAATGTTACTCTAAATATCAGTGTATGTATACTATGGTAAGTAAGTAAAACTAGGTAAGTAAGCCATGCACACTTTGGAACAGACAGACGTCGCTTTTGATTTTTCCTGCCGGAATAAGTTTTTTTTTTTTTTTCAATCGAAAACAAAACAAACACTTCTAGTGAAACTGGGGAATAACTGAACTCATTTTCCATGACAACTACAAGATTCACAACGTCGTGATATCTTTATTGTTAAAGCACTGTTGAACATGTTAAAAAACCTTCAGTTCATTCCTTATGACACCATTACCTGCTACAGTGTATAAAACAATGACATTTAAAAAAAATAAAAAATAACCCACGGTGCTCAAAGAAGATTATTAAAAATACGACTTCACATCTCTGAAAGTTAGAAATGGGCAGCAGCAAACTACCATTTATATAAACCTACACAGGAGCAAAAAGCTTATCCTAGAGGTGAAAAATAAATAGAGGCAGTATAATCTCACAGTAGCTGATATGGATGCTATTAGAGTGACGGTGACTACTTAATAAAATATTTCATATGCGAGCAGGGTTTGTGACAGTGGTATGAAGAGAGCAGGGTGGAGGCTGTAGTGAGTGTTATAGTAAAATGCCACCCTACACACTCGGCACTGAGTGTGAAGTCACACCCTGCTTGTTGTGACGTCTATTTTAAAATCACCAACAGTCTGGATTAAACATTGTTCGCCTGTGTGTGTGTCTGATATAAGGAGCTCTGGAGCCACTGAACTGAAATTAATCATCTTTAATTACATGGTAAATACTAATAGATGCTAGCTCCAACACAGAGGTGCTATTGTTGGCTCTAATCAGCCACAATTCCAGAATTGGGGCTTCTCTATTAAGTCATGGGATCCAATTATAATGTGTTTGTGAATGCCGCTTGTAAACAATTGTTGAATGTGTGGACGGGATGAGAGACATCATTCGTGAAACAATTGAGCACTGCGTGATAATCAAGGGGTTATCAAAGGCCTGTCAGGTCAAATATAAACAGAATTGAGTCCTGTCTCAGCATTTCTCTGCCTCTCTGTGTCGTAACTTTCCCTACAGAAATCAGTTTGATTCCTCACTGGTGCTTTAAAAGAGGAGGGAAAGTTTTCTGTCAGCTCCTAGGGGGCGCTCTCAGACATATTCTTTAGTGCTGCTCGGTGGACCAGAACGGGAGCTGGCCATGGAGGGGTACTTGGAGACATGTTTTTTTCTTGGACATGAAGCAGCCAACATGACACCACCCAGGACATCCAGGAGGGAGCCCCCCCAGGCGATGAAGATGGCCGCACCAAACTCAAACCTGAGGAAGACAAGATTGAGTTTACACGTCATTTAAAAGGAAATGTTTGAGATTTATAAAAACTAATTTTTCCTGTTCACTGAAATCAAGTTTCTTTGCTATCAGTCTGGTCTGGAAAAGAGTAAAAGAGTCAATTTCAGCACTATCTGCTCTCTAACATTAAGTCATATACCAAGTCATATTCACAGGATCAAATTCATGTATTTACAGCAACGGTTAGACCTTTAAAGAGACTGTGAGGAGGCTTCAACTCATTTTTCATTCTTATCCTGATGCCTCCTTATCAAGCAGGTGATAAAATGAGACTATCAGTGACAACAGTGGTTATTTTTTATGTGTGCCATTAACCTAGAATGTCTATCATTAGAGCACCACAGTTTGGCTGTTAATGGTTAGTTAGTCAGCTGGGGGAGTTGTATTTTCTTTGGACTGTTTTCTATTTATATTGTGTTTTGTATTTGTAGCTGATAATGGAGTGGAATTAGCAACAGGGGCCTATTCTACGAAGCAGGATTACTGCTTAGCGAGGTAACTTCGAGGGTAAATTTGGGGTTTCCTGTTCTATGGCACGGATTCACTTCTTAGCGAGGCGAGTCTCCATGGCAACGTATGCTGAACGGCTAACCTGCTCTGGGACAGGTTAGGTTCCAGATTGAACTCACCGAGTATAAAAACCCCGCCCACTGACCAATGAGCTCTCTCGAAAAATGGCTTGTCTGTTCTTGGAGGATCCTATAGACCTCAGTGCTCACATTGTCCGAGGAGTACTCCGGCGCGAAATTTTTCAGGGACTGCACGGACCCACTTACTTCTCCGGATGACCACCTTTATGAAAGGCTCATATGGCCGACATATCACACAAAAAATGTTAACACGATAGGAATGAACAAATGAATGAATTCATCTTGGAAATGAATTAGACATGTCTGGTGCATGTTAAAAGCGCATGTTGAACAGTGCTATTTCAGGGTTATAATGGCATCAAAGATTTTTTGCGCACTACACTTATGCATTGAGACTGTCCGCAATTTTCTGTCAGCATTCCCTCCGTGCTTTTGCAGCAGCGACGGTGTTGCTTTTGAGGTTTGTGATAGATTTGAATTCTTCATACTTTCTCATGATCATCTCCTGCTCCTCATTTGTAAAGTACGCGGTCCTTCGCTCTCCTGCCTGCTCTGACGCTCCAGACTGGTCCATGTTCGTGATTGGTCAGATGCGGCGGGCTCCGCCTTACATGCGTGCACGTGCTCATAGCAAGGCAGGATCCACTTACGAGGTTGACAACCAACGTCGTAAGACCGTTTAGCGAGACCGCTGGCTACTGCCCTAAGTTGAGCGAGGTACCTCCAAGGCTACCTCGCTAGGTCAAACTTGCTTCGTAGAATAGAAAATAAGTGGCTGGGGGGGGGGCAACAAAGTCGCTGCATTGGCATCAATGAGTCAGAGATGATACAGACTCATCTCTAATTTAGCTAAAAATCAGCACACATCATCATTCTGCATCCTTTAAAAAGCAGTCAAAAGTAAAGTTGTACTGAGATAAAGATCTGTAGTCGCTGTATGTGCACATGAAGAGTTACAAATTTAAGACAGTGGGTGATGGTGCTCATGGGAAATGTAGTCTTTATGATCGAAAAAAACTAGCAGAATCAACAAAGCATTAAAACTCCTTACAGTGCCTTTACAAAGAACCACTAATATAAAAAAGAATGCGAAAAATAGACAGATGAAATAAGAGAACAGTTACAGTATCAAATGCAATGAGATAAAGAAAAATACTATGACAGGAGGAGAAACCACATGTAAAAAAAACTGCCAAGGAGATCTTAAAACACACAAGTAGAAGTGGAGTTGATCACTATTGTTGTCACTATTCAACATGAAAATAGAGAGAAATACCTGTTATTTCTTTCTCTTTTGCTAACCTAGCATGTTTTGAGTCACTTACTTAGTGTTGACTGGAGTGTAGGGGTTGTAGAAAGCTCGGATCACATTATGAGCAAACCAGGAACACGCTACAATGGCACAGAGTCCTGAGAGGAGAGAAAGTGAACATCGAGGATCAATCAGTCCACAAGCACATTATCAAAACCTAACAGAGTAGACAAGCTTTTATCCTCTTTGTATGCACCAGGCAGCTAGCAACTGACTCCAGTGTAATTAGCTTTTAGTGTTTCTCCTCTCTTCAGAGCCATTAGGCCTCTTTTGTTAGCGCTGGTGCCAGGAGGACTGGACGAAAGACCTCTGGAGCTTGCGAGTGGGAGGAAGGCTCTCTGGACAAGGGACCAGACCTCCTCCTACCTACCGTGTGATGTACACAAGATCTGAGCAAATGTTGATGAGGAGGTGAGCTTGGCTAGGTTCAATAGAGCATTATGTAAGACTGAATTCATTATCAGGTCTCGAAGGAGACTGGGTAGTCAGTGGTGTTGCAACACCTGTAAGTTCACCTTTAAGCTTTTGAATAACAATAAGAGAGTAGTGAGAACATTAAAAGTTCTGTTATATAAAGGACTTGGTAATAATTGGCAGTATTTGGCAGTTTTAACATCCCTTTAAAGTAAAAAGTAATCACTTAGGTGATCCGTTTCATGTTAAATTATTTCATAAATGCCAGACTACAATGAATCGATCTATCCCGAGTCACTTCATTTACATGATGTTTAGAAAAATCCATTTGTTTAATGCATTAGCCCAATCTAAAACTGGAGTTTTAAATTAGCCTACAGAGGGAGAAGCTACAGAAGGTATAGAGATATGGTGTTGTACATGTTTTCATTGTTTGAATCGACACACAGTAAGTAACCTATATGCAAACTTGTTGGTTAGTTTGGTTAGTGACGTAATAAGTCAAAAGTGGGCGTAGTGCAGGTGGACATACTTTAGTCAATAAAAGGCTCCTTGCTTAGTGCTTGTGCTTAGTGCTTGTATACTGGGACAGTAGTCTTATTTATTTGCCTAATTGAACTGCAACTGTAACTCGACGTCAATATTCTGGGTGCCTCCTTCAAACACAAGACACAAGACTCTGTTTGTGTGCACTAGTCCAATCTTTGGGATTTTTGACATTTAACTGAAAGTTTGATGGGGTTTTTTTGTTAGAGGAAGGGGTACAACAACATTTCGGCAGCCAGCCACTTCCATGCAGACCTTGGATTCACAAACAGTACTAGTGATGAGCAGATGAAGCCTTCAGAAGCTTCGGCGCTTTCAAGCTTTAGATGCTGCAAACATGGTGACATCTGGTGGCTTGTAAAACTAATGACGGCCTGAAGAACAAATGCTCAGTTTTTCACAGTTTTAGTCTATTTGAGACATAAAAAGTCTATACCATGTTACTATAACTAGGACTTGTTGTTTTACTGGAATACACATTCACCTAAGAAATCAAGCCTGTTCCCCACTTGTACATGGAGCTCTGCATTCGAGGAAAATGGATTTTCATCAACCTTTTCATTCTTACCTCCTACCAGCAGGATGATGCCCCCTGTCATGGCGATGCGGGACTTGCGTAGTTTGTCACTACCTGCACAGGTGGTACACTTCATTCCCATGCAGGCCACGCCCAGCCCTGCGATGGACACTATGATGCCGACTATCATTAAGGCACGTGTGGCCTGAAGAGAAGCTGTGGTAGATGGAGGGGGGGTAAATGGTACAGATTGAGTGGTGTGCAGGAAAACGTGCGCTCGCTCAGCTATGGGAGGCGCTTCATATCTGGACTTTTGTTTTCTGGAATGTGGGAGTGCAGTACAACATGTTAGGCATGAAAACACTTTTGAAACACAAAGAGGGTATGTATTCAAGGGAATCAGTCCAACATTTACAGGAAAATGATAAGGAGAGACTAATAAACCAATGTCCATGTATCAGGGAGGCTTTATATGTGTGTCCTGAGGTTGTGAATCACGTTCACATTAGCCTGTCAGGACATTTTCTTGTGAGCTTTTCCTGGAAGAGAAACCATGGGAAACACATGGACACACACCAGCACACACAAACAGAGAGACAAAGGAACACATCTAACACTCCTCCCATCTGTTGCTGCTCGAGGGGCCTGCTACACTGAAACACTACTGTAGGGGTCCCATCTATCAGTCCCCCCTCCTGACCCTATAAACCTAGCACAGGGAAGCCCCTCTGCTCTTTGTCTCTTCCTCCCCCCTCTCTGTCCACCTAGAACCAGTCTGTGCCAGTCCAGGCCATCCCTGCCCTGCCCAAACAAACAAAACCCTCCAGCAGGGAGGAGAGGATGGAGGGATGGGTAGAGAGAGGCAAAGACGGAGAGGTTTGCAGGAAAGAAGAGGAGAAAAAGTAGAGGGGTGGGGCTACGCTATAGAGCAGGAGAGCATGGGAAACAGTAGGTTGATTATGCAGTTAACACAGATAGAATGGACAGATAGGATGTACTGTATCCTGTCTTCATACTGGTCCCATTATTGCTACAGAACTGTATTTGGCAGATTTGAAGCTGCTTTACAAATTTGACTGTAAAATCCCTGTGGCACATCTGTGATTTTGAGCCAACTCAATATCTATCTATCTATCTATCTATCTATCTATCTATCTATCTATCTATCTATCTATCTATCTATTTATCTATATATATATATATATATATATATATATATATATATATAGATAACACACCACTTTATATATATATATATATATACAATTTGTGAGGAAAATCAAATGTGTTCTTATTTCTCTGTAGTGTCCTGTTTGCTGATATTTAGTCTTGTGTTTAAATTTGCATGATGCTTTTGTTAGATTAATTTTGGCCACAGTACTGTAAAGTAAGTAACTTGATAAAACTCATAACAAGCTAAAGCTACTGTAGCGTTAGGACCTGAGCTAGACATGTTTCTTAGAAACAAGAAATCTCTTAATTGTGCTGCAAATTTGTAGTATGTTCTCGGGGTGTGAAACCTCACAGTTTATTTAATATGACTAAACCAGCAATCAAAGAGCTTGTCAATGGGTTAGCTAAGTGGGGGTAATGTTTGCAAAGCTAGCGGCAGCAGCTTTTGGTCCTTCTTCATGTTAATGTCCAGGTGCCTGTTGAACAAAATAAGTGACATACTAGATACTAATATTTTTTCACGTAGTAAAGAGATTCTCTTAGATAATACAACGTAGACCTGGTGTTTATATTTTCTATCATCCTTGAGTGCCTCGTAAAATATCAATCTAATCACTACTTGACTAAACAATTTAAAAGTTGCTTTTTTCCTCTTTTTGCAGACCTAACAAAGCTGCCATTTTTGCTTATCATCAATCTGAATCACAATGCTGCTATTTCCGCTACATAAAGACTTTTTATATCACTAGAAAATTCTGTTTCTTTCTCAAGTTCCTATCAAACAAGCCAAAGTGAAGCCTGCTTTTACAAGCAGTAAAGCTTACTATTCACAGTAAAACTAAGACTCAGCAGAAACTGATAATAAGTGGCTATTGCTCTAAGACAGCTGGCCATAATTTCCAGACGGATACTTTGGATTTCTGAGCAAAAATAATGTTCATTATTTTTGATTAAAATTAAAAGAGGTGGTGAAAAAATGATTGAGTTTTCCAGAGTACTCGAAAATTTTTCTAATCTACAGAGAATATAAATTTAAAATCTGTGAATATTGCTGAGCTGATGATATTAACAATACCAGTGCTGAATCTAGACTACCATGTTTGTTATGAATTAATATAAATGTTTGCTTTGCATTGTGTGAAAGTGTGAAGCAAAATGAAAAAGATGTGGTGTTACAGCACTGGTGATACCATGGTGACCTTTCCTATAAATACATGAACCCATTACCCTGGATATTACTGTCATCTGGCACCTTTAATTATCATATATAATTTTTTTAAATTTGATGGTTATCCTGAAAATCACAAAGAATAAATATACATGAATAAATTCTGGTTGTTAGCCACCCGGGAATTTTCTCCATTTCTTGGCACCAGGTACTGTGTATGAGGGTTGAGGTGTGAAGAAATGCTAGGTGGGGTGGGAGGGTTTCCCAGAATGTGTAACAATGTAAGTGATGTTTCCAAGAAAGGCTTCAGTAGTATGATTGATCAAACCTCATTACACCTGTCACCTCCTCCCTGATGACACCCTGATGGAGAAGACATTGTCCATCTGTAAGGACAGGTTACTGATTACAGTAATTACAGTAGCGCCTCTGTGTAATTATGGCCTCATTGGCATCCCATACCCTGAGGTAGAACCCTTACAATGTGGTGCTTTGAGGTCTCACACAGGTGAGGGAGCATGTGGAGAGCTAAATGTTAAGTTTTAGTCTAAAAAAGGTCAACATGGATGATTGACAGCTCATGTCCACTCACAGTGAAATACTTACTGTCCAGCTGGAGGATGGAGTCGTAGATCTTACACTGCAGCTGCCCGGTGCTCTGGAAGGCGCAGGACATCCACAGTCCTTGGTACATGGCCACTGCTGTGATGATGTTGTCCCCTATGTAGGCTGACATCTTCCACTGCGGTAAAATGGTCCCGATGATCAGGCCAACGATCCCAATTAACGACAGGAAGAATCCTAGCAGCTGAATACCGGAGTTAGCCATCGTCTCCAAAATTACAGCACCCCCAAATGTTACTCCTGCGCACTCCACTCCTCTGAAACTTCCAAAACTTTATATTTCCGTCAATAAGATCCGCTAACTACCGTAAAATTACGCAATACAGGCAGCCAGTGCTGTCCGAGCCGCTCCTGAGTTGTGTAACGGGGGTCTTCACGCGGGGATGGTCATGATCCGAGAGATGTGGGTGCTAGTGTCAAGTGGGTGTGTAATTCTCCTGCCTGATGATGCGTGGAGTAGAAGTACTCTGAGGTCGCAGCTGGAAATGTCCCTCTGCTTCCAGCAAAGCAACAGGTTGTCTCTCTCCAGAACGCACGACTTCACAAATTTTCTACAGACGCCTTCTTCTGCATACCCACTGACACTGTGTGTTAAACTGAATGTTAAGTTTGTTAATCCTGTTTATGTTGTTTAAAATGCAAATATCGTTAATTCTTTATTTTTGTTTTTGGGAAATATTAGTGGCTACAATTTTGTATGGAAGAACCAAATGGACATATAGCCTGCCCTGGATTTTTTTTCTTTTTAAATCTACAACCCTTTATATCCATACAAAGGGTTATATATTCATACAATTGGCAACTCTTCATGTATGATATTAACTGCAAAACTGTAGGCTACAAAGGCCAAAATTGGACATGCATCCCATCTTTTATTTTAACTCTGAATCCCATCATGCTCTTTGTTAGACTGAATATGTGATTTATTAATGTCTTTTTGAAAGGCATGTTTTCTTAATTCATGTATTTCTTTTTTTAAATGTAAGCGGCTATAATTCTGTATGGAAGCTCTGAGTGGACACACTTTTGTTCTTGTTTTACGCTAAATCCCATCATGCTTTGCATTGGTTTGAGTGTGTACTTTATTAGGCTTTATTCTTACTTTTGTCTTGACAAGATGTTGGTTTATCATAAAAGCTGCCATTCATTTGGAAGCCCAAAATGGACAAACATCCTTTCTTTTTAACCCCCCCCCCCCCCCCCCAAATCACATCATGTTTAATGTTGGATTGTAAGACTTTTAAGTTTTCTTAGGGATTTTAACAACTGCTGATCACAGTAGTTTTCTATGCTGTATTTAAGGTACACTAGGTATAGTGTCTTTTTTGTCAAATAATAATACTAATACTACTACTACTACTGCTGCTACTACTACTACTACTACTACTCCTACTACTACTACTACTACTAATAATAATAATAATAATAATAATAATAATAATAATAATAATAATAATAATTTATACAGTGCTTTTTCTAAAATAAGTTAGGAAGTGTGTTACATTTAGAAATGATTAACAAATAAAACAAAAATACAGCACCATTCAGCAGAGCAGACCAGATAGAAACGGAATATAATATACATCAGAATGTTTGATTAAATGTAAAATCCCTTAACTAAAAAAGTTTGTTTTTTTCTCTATAAGGAGCAAGTCTCCTTCAATGGAGGCTTAAAACTTGACAAATGCAGGATCACACTTGCATGACAGGAGCTTCTTGTAAGGCCACTAAAGCTTCACCAGTGGGAGAGGTGAGCAAGGGAGCAGATAAATTTTCCCATTTCTACCTACTGTACCTTTTCATATCAGTCCATCGTTTAGTAACATAATAGTAAAAAAGTAACCTTGGTATCTAAATGAAAATAAACTTAAAGGGATATCCCGGTATCCCTATTTCCGGCAAGTTGATCCCCGAATGCAGCGGATCATTTCCTTGAAGTAATAATCATAATAATCATTTTGCACTGCAGACACGGTAGTTCCTCTGCCTTAGCATCTCGGTCTGATTGCAATTCCATGAAGTAATGATCATAAATTTTCTTCCTTGAGCTGCAAAACTCTGCTGCGCCCCACAAACAAGCGGCTGCTGGAGGAGAGTAGATGAGTTGTGTTTAGTTTCTTTGCTAAAGAAATCAGGCAAAGCTCAAAAGATGTTTGATGGCTAGTACTATGGCTGGGACCCTATCTGTACTGTTGATGAAGTTAGGTGCTGTTCTGAGCATTATTTGTCGCTATAGAGTGGCTTTTTGGTTGAGGTTTCCACATTGAGACGTAGACCGCTGTGTATTGCTCTTGTGCAGTCGTTGCTGAAGTTGGAATAACAACAGAAGCAAGTGGTCGGCAACATTCATCTCTTGAGGGGGTGTCTAACTCGGTGTTATGGTGAGTTTGACCCTAACTTAATTTTACGCTGGAATATCCTTTTAAGGACAGGCAATTTTGTAGAAATTTAAAAATCTGAGGAGTTGTCGGTTATAAAACAGACAATGATGCCTTGTTATTGGCTTCAAAAGCAAATAAAACAAACAAATCTGTGCATCTCTATGGTTCAACATACAGTAGAGCAAACATGGGGTAAACATCACCCTAATCAGGCCTTGTTCATTTTAAGGTGGTAATAATGACAAAAGCTGAGATGGAGGATAATTCTGCACCTGAGCACCCATGGTGGCCATGTCAATGTTTCGGTTTGGGTTTGAGCAGTTAGTTAACTTGCTTGATTAATGGTTCGGGACAGCTTTCCTCTATTCTTAGCAGATTGGAAATTGAAACAGGATTTAAATAGAGATTCAATGAGGGATTTGCACACAGCTGTTAAAATGTCCTGAAAGTTAAAGTCCTGAGATGTCTCCATAAGATGACCCAGAGAAGACAAGAAGTGTGGCTTTTTTACGTGGTGGCACAATAAATGCTGTAGTAAAATGTGCATCCAGGAACACACACAGCGGAACATACTGCAGGAGAGAGGACTGGTGGATTCTGGAAAGAGTGCAATGTAAGTCTCAGAGGAAGAAAAGAAAGGAAATGTCTCTCATGCTTTGGTAAGACCTGACTGAAACTGCAGTTGTGTTTTGAAGACACCCCCCATATGTGTCACAACACTGGAAACTCTTAAAAGCTAATGCAACCAGATGCAAAAAATCCTCTGTTAAAACTGCTCTGCACAGGCTTCAAACTGTCTTTACAGGTTTTGGTCAAATTGAACCTTGTTACCAATTTTTATCCCATCAGGGAGATTCGGCATGCAAGTTGCGTCCCCTTCCTGCGGTGAACCATCAGACAATGGCAGGCATTGTTCATATCAGTGGTCAGCACTATGTGTGACTTCACACTGAGGCTGAACAATGGTGCAATAGCGATGGGAGAGGAAGTAATAACCCATAATCCTGGAGGAAATCATCCCCACTGCCAGTTTAATAGAAATGTTCTCACCTACTGGCTGGATTAGCTGTTTTAAATGTAATCAAACTCTGCTTTTCCCTCACCACCACCATGTTTAAACTGTTTCTGCCCTCTCCTCCCTCCACTTCTCACCCACGTCCTCTCCCACTATAACTCTTTTCCTTCTATACTGTACCCAGGCGTCAAGTCCTAGCTGCAAAGGCCATTCGCAGCCATTCATTGTTGCTGGGGAGGAATAACCCCATAGCTCAAGGAATGTGTTTCACTTTGATACAGAGGCTGGTGAAGAGGAGGAGGTGAGGAGGAGGCGATTTGAGGGTTGAAAGAGTTGTTAGTAGAAAAAGATAAAGGAAATGTGAAAGAGAATAAATGCATGAAGGTGAGGAAGGTGATTGCAACAAGCGGGGTTACGCGTTTAAAGAGAAGATGAGACGAAGAAGTTCAGGGGCCAGTCTCAGGCCTACCAGTGCTGTTGCTACTGGTAACCTGATTTATCTGATGTCCTCTTGGCTGCGTTTCCACCTTAAACCTGGACTGCAAATAACACAAAAGAACATTGCTCCCCCCTCCCTCAGCTTTTTCTCTTTTTCCCGTTTACAACTCTCTTTTTTGAAGCGTAAACACACATTTGTCTTGCTGGTTTCGCCGTTGCCCAACGCTCAATAGGAGCTGAAAAAGAAAACATCTAAATCAGCCCACTAATAACATTCTCTCGGGGGCTCTCCCTCCCATTCCTGAGGCCTCCTCTGGATCTGAAGTAAGCAAGTGAAGTGCAAATCCAATGATTGAGGCCCTTTAAGTGCCCTTGGAAGTCACTGAGGCATTGGCAATAAAACACGGCAGGCCCACGGCTTTTCCCTGAAAAGCTCAGAGTGTGCAAATGAGGGGGATGGCGCCCTTCCCTACATGTCCTCTGTCTCTATCACCTCCAGTCTACTTATGCAACATGACTCGGCTTTTGTGCAGCAGCAGCGGGACAGGACAAACAGATTGTGTCCCCGGTCATGTGGACTTATTCTTCTCATCTTCCCTCTGAGGCAGTGAGAAAGACATGTTCTTTCTCCCTGAGGAAGCTTGGCAAGAGCTCGAAGTAATGAAGAATCATATTTGGACAGTCTGGGAACAAAAATACAATCATAGTCTGTGGGTACATGCTGCAGCTCAGTGAGTATGAAAACAGCCAGAGTGTACTGCACTGTGCTAGAATGTAATCAGATATGAGGCAGTGCACTGTAAAGACACATCACCCACAGAGACTGACTTATGCAGAGCTCTCCATCCACTCAAAGCACTTTTACACCTCATGTCACACTCATTCATTCACCTCACATTCATGCACTGACCGTAGAGGATGCTATACAGTATGCAGAGCTTTACTTGTGCAGTGACAAACTGTTCTCATAGACAATGCATTTTAAAAGTGAATTTTGAGAGCCCATGCGGTGATTTCCACTACTGAATCTTTCTTTCTTCTGTTAGACTTGTTTCATTATTTGGATTTTCTATTAATGTTCTGTACCGCAGTCAAATTCTTTGCAGTTTCATGCTGAAGGACATTTTTCTGAAATCACTGAATTATTTGCTGTCTCACAGAGTGTTGAACCACGTCCCATTTTAACCTCTGTGAGACTCTCTTGAATGCTCTTTTAAAACCTCATCTAATTACTGGTTTGTGGAAAATTAACCTAGTCAGTGAGGTGATTCCCTAGGGTCTTTTTAAGCATCCTGAAGTGTTTTTTTTTTTTTTTTTTTTTTTTTGTGAACCTATTTTTAATGGTGTTGCTGGCATCACATTTGAAATTCCTGTTATATTTTACGTAAAAATTTTATATGCCATCTTGGCGTTTCCTGTGGTTGAACAAATCAAAGTATGACATTCCACATCTGCTGCTCTTAAGAGAAGAGAGACCCCCTGAACTCTGAGCACACAGTCCAAAAGCCAGCATCCATGCTGGTATGGGAACGTCTGAGGGACCACAGCATGGTTAGCTTACACACCTGGGAAGACTCCATTCACGCTGAACAATTTATAAAGATTTTAAATGCCTTGGACCTTGTATAACACGGCAAGAAAATGCCAAATCACATTCTGCACGTAATTACAACAGCATGACTCTGTAGTAGAAGAGTCTCAGTGCAGTGCTGACTCTTCACCCATTAAAGATTTGGTGCATTGTGACGCCAAAATTACAGTAAGTATTATTGAGCTGGAATCGTAAATCAGACAAGAATAGGACAACATTTCACTTTAAAAACCCATGGACTGTTCATCTGAGTTCCCAAAACATGTTGCAGACAAATTCAAAATAATAATATATTTGTCACACAGTAATAAATTATTTCTCTTACAGTATGTGATGTAAAGTCTTTGCACTTTTTCCAATGATCTGAAAACCTTAAAATTCTGTTTGTCTCAACATTTTACATACATTCTGTTTATAAAAAAGGCTCTTCTTCTGGTAAAGAGTTGGTACCTACTGCCACTCTGCAGTCCTTACAACAATAGTGTAAAGTCACTGCTTTTCATTCATATTACTTTACTACCCTCTCCTGTTCAGAGGCTAACATTACAGTCATCAGGCATGTTCAGTCTACACTCATCGGCCACTTTATTAGGTACACCATGCTAGTAACGGGTTGGACCCCCTTTTGCCTTCAGAACTGCCTCAATTCTTCGTGGCATAGATTCAACAAGGTGCTGGAAGCATTCCTCAGAGAGCTTAGTCCATATTGACATGATGGCATCACACAGTTGCCGCAGATTTGTCGGCTGCACATCCATGATGCGAATCTCCCGTTCCACCACATCCCAAAGATGCTCTATTGGATTGAGATCTGGTGACTGTGGAGGCCATTTGAGTACAGTGAACTCATTGTCATGTTCAAGAAACCAGTCTGAGATGATTCCAGCTTTATGACATGGCGCATTATCCTGCTGAAAGTAGCCATCAGAAGTTGGGTACATTGTGGTCATAAAGGGATGGACATGGCCAGCAACAATACTCAGGTAGGCTGTGGCGTTGCAACGATGCTCAATTGGTACCAAGGGGCCCAAAGAGGGCCAAGAAAATATTCCCCACACCATGACACCACCACCACCAGCCTGAACCGTTGATACAAGGCAGGATGGATCCATGCTTTCATGTTGTTGACGCCAAATTCTGACCCTACCATCCGAATGTCGCAGCAGAAATCAAGACTCATCAGACCAGGCAACGTTTTTCCAATCTTCTATTGTCCAATTTCGATGAGCTTGTGCAAATTGTAGCCTCAGTTTCCTGTCCTTAGCTGAAAGGAGTGGCACCCGGTGTGGTCTTCTGCTGCTGTAGCCCATCTGCCTCAAAGTTCAACGTACTGTGCGTTCAGAGATGCTCTTCTGCCTACCTTGGTTGTAACGGGTGGTTATTTGAGTCACTGTTGCCTTTCTATCAGCTCGAACCAGTCTGGCCATTCTCCTCTGACCTCTGGCATCAACAAGGCATTTCCGCCCACAGAACTGCCGCTCACTGGATATTTTTTCTTTTTCGGACCATTCTCTGTAAACCCTAGAGATGGTTGTGCGTGAAAATCCCAGTAGATCAGCAGTTTCTGAAATACTCAGACCAGCCCTTCTGGCACCAACAACCATGCCACGTTCAAAGTCACTCAAATCACCTTTCTTCCCCATACTGATGCTCGGTTTGAACTGCAGGAGATTGTCTTGACCATGTCTACATGCCTAAATGCACTAAGTTGCCACCATGTGATTGGCTGATTAGAAATTAAGTGTTAACGAGCAGTTGGACAGGTGTACCTAATAAAGTGGCCGGTGAGTGTACATTTCTGCAGTGGATGAGAAAATCAAACACGAATAAGTTTTTCTTTTTTTGCATGTCCCAAAAGTGCAACACTTTCATGAAGAAAGAGAGCACTTATTGCTGCTTTCCTGAAACTTGAGTTTAAGATTCATAACTCAGGTAACAAAGGACATATTGTTTTCAATACACAATTTAGACAAAAAAAAAAGTGTTATCACATGAACCTCTACAGATCAACACATTGATCCTGCAATCACACAGGCTTTGTTCCTGTTCAAATCTGGCGACAGGAAAAAGAAAACTCATTCATGTGTTTAAGAAAAGTCCAATTAGGTGATGTTAGAAATAATCAAAAACAAAGTGACAACAAAAAATCAGGTTTCAAGCTGCAACTGTGTGCAACTGTGTGCATATGTGTGCGTGCATGTTTCATTTTCTATGGAAAGGGGTCTTCTGGCGTGTGGTTTAAGCTTGCATCTAAGAACATGGCCAGGGTGCCCAGGGTGGTGATGATGACGAACAACCAGAGGAAAAGGCGGTCCACCACAAGGGCGATGAACTGCCAGTCCCCTGTCATCTGGAGGGAAAACACACATCAAAACAAATACACACATTCATTCAGAGGCTCTCGGTGTGAGCCCTGAGTCAGCGGTGTACTGTATGTAAGCAATGACACATGAACATGGTGGGGCATGTTGGGAACAGGCTGTGCTCAAGAGCTGCAGACAAACTGAACACAAGCTGCCTGACAGAGTGTGTCGTGTCGAATCGTGCACATTTCTCACCGTGTCATCCGTGTCTTGCTTCTTCAACTGCTCAGCCATGTATGTCACAGCGGCGATGGCAGACTTCAGGTTGGGAGGGAGGATCAAACAGAAGCTGTCAGTGTCTGGGAGCCGCTGGAGCTGCACTGTGCTCTCACATCTTTAAAATGGAAAGATAGTGGGGATTTCAACACAGGAAATATCAGTATGTTCATGGTTTTGAAACAAACTTAAGTTTAACTTCATCTGCAGTTGAAACATGTAACAGTATGGTAAGCTATCTTGTACTTTGTTAACTGCATCCTTGAGTGTGGGTGCAATACAGCAAAGAAATAAAAAGCAGGTATTGTAAAAATCTGTCTGTCAAGGATAAGTAAAAAAGGGTGAAGTGTTCAGTCCCATACTTTAAATGGAGTCCAAGTAACTCCAAGAAACTATCTAAGTTTCAAGGGATAGTTCAGCTATTTTGAAATTACATATCAGTAGGATCTATGTCAGGCACAAGGCTCTCTAGTCAGAGAACACAAATGGATGTTTGGCTATCTAAAGCTGCACAGGGCAAGCTCTACTGTGTGATTTAAGCTCATTTTAACAAGACAGTCTGGCTGCAGACCTCCACTGAGAAGACCCACCACCACTGAGAGGAGTGGAAGTTGATTTAAAGCCTTTCAAAATAAAGCGCTAGCTCTCGTTACCCTAACTACGACAACAGCACTAAAAAATACCCAAAGGTCCAAAAGTCATTTCTATCCAATTGATATAATATAATATTACAAGGCAATATATAGTGGAAAGCACAACTTGTGAATCAAGACTGTTTCTGTTGCTTTGAAAATGACGAAAAGTTGTCACTTGACTTTAACTCACCTTCTCTCTCTCAACTATCTTCATGGCAATATTAAACTGGAGTGCATCAAAAAAACCTCACCTCCAGTCCTGCCAGTGGAGGTCTACAGCCAGACTCCTCTCAATTTGAACAAACTTCAACTAGAGCACTCAGTGTAAGTGTTTGCTGTTAGAAAGCCCAACCATTTTGCACCTTTCTCCAGCACAGGACATACTGTCTGTGTTTTCTGCCAGCAGCGCACTGATCAGCTGTTTGGGTCTGTGTGCTTAATCCAACAAGTGCAACCGAACCAAGAAGTGAGTGGTTCTTGACAGCACCTGCTTCATGTTCAAATAAGGATGAGGCTTCATTTATCTTTACCAGCCTTCAAAAAAAAATCACTGAATCAATGCAGAAAATCAAATATGATATACTGTACACTCACAGCAGCAAATGTGAATGGGATGTTAATATCAACCACTGTGATGACTTAGTATGTTAGATCACGGCACCTGGTGGATTTTTGGTCAAAGCAAAAGTAAAACAAAGGAAAAACTTTGCCCTTGAAAGACAAAATATCATCAAGTCTCTTGATTGAGTTATTCACAGCATGTGAAGAGGTAGTTTATGCATTAAAATATGGGCAATCTGACATCAAAGCTGGCTTTGAGAACGACTGTGAACAACTGTGACACTTTTAAAAAGGGGTTACATCACCTATTCTTTTAGTAATAATCAATTAAGAGCTTGGAACAAAGAAGTCCAGCTTCTCGACTTTTGACAGTGAAATGAGGTCCATTCAGTTTAACATGTTTCTAGTTTCATGATGCATCAGATGTTTTCAAAAGCAGACAAGCCAGGACTACAGACAGGCCGGTTCAACATCCAGAATCATGCTGTTGGAATACATGCTGATTTGGCATTCTCCTGCTGTGTTATGTAAGGGGTTCCTGAAAAAGGTATTCTCTAGATGAACACATATGCTGCTCCAAAACCTGGATGTATTGTTCAGCATTTATGAGCCAGGCCCAGAGAGGTTGCATGTATTTCTAGATTATGTTTAGATATGACTTCCTCTTTGTGTGGTTCAGTTTTAACCTGCAGAGAAAACTAGGATGCATTCCAATTCTAGGCCTAAAACCAGATTTTAGCTGCAAAGGCATGCAGAAAAATGACCTTAAGAGATTTCTTGAGAGGTATATATCATGGTCAGGTGACCACAGATGAGTTTTGGGATTAGGTATGGCGGATACTTTCCATCTGTCTTGTTAGTTTTGACTGATAAATGGTAAGAGTGTTAGATCAAAATGTATGCAATGAATATTTTGAAAGGTAAATTTCTTTAGTGAAAAGTGCTGGTCAAACCTCAACCTGTGGAAAAAGGGTAAGAGATATTGTGATACAACATCATCCTTCATAAATTGTCCCTGAGCTCAGATTTATGTTGAATAAGTAGTCACCAGCACAGCATGATTCACCCCTGCTGAAACAAACCAGCAGTGACATTAGCTGTCCGCTGTAGGACATTCATCATAAAAGAAGATGACAGTGTTGTCACTTTGTAACAAACACTTCGTCCTTGTGTGTCTCCTCTAACCACTGACAAGCATAACTATACATCGGGCCCTTCCTGCAGTCCCTCTGAAAACTGAGTGACAACAGCAACACACTCCTGACACTGACAGGGGTGACATTGACACAACGCTGGGTCAACATTTATGTGACGCTGTGACCCTTGACCCTGTCATTCTTTCTCTCACACAGCTGTTCCATGAAGCAAAACATACGAGTCTTATTAACAGCGTTCCTGGAGTGCCTTCGTGCCTTTGTGTATAACTCTGCAGCAGCTCATGAATACATTATCAAGAACTGTCTGAGGTTTTGTGATAGCACCACTGAGCTCCACTGTTACTGTGTATCAGGACCGTTATTTTGATTAATCAGCCAGACACACAGGGTGAAAGAGGAAACAATGAAAAAAGACTAAAGAAGACCATAAGCAACAAGTATGACTATTTCTTTAACAGTAACTTAAACAACTTAAAACTGCAGCAAGCAGGTACGTGTCAGGCAGGATGATTTACAGCAGGCTAATAGAGCCAGGATCTGATCTTCACATTCTTAACAGCCAATATTTCAGATGACTTTAAGTAGAATTAAATCTTTAGTCTAAAGACAACCATGATAACTTACTGGAAATGATCAGCCAAGTACAAAAAAAGTAGATAAAATAAAATAAGACAAAACACAATTAAATATAATAAATCGAAATAAATAAGTAAATAAAATAAGACAAAACAAAAGAAAATATAATTAATACAAATAAATAACTAAATAAATAATGTTAAAAAATAAATCAACTTAACAAAATATTTTTTTAAAAGCTAAATATAATAAAATAGAATAAATGGAAATAAAATAAACGAAGATAAGTCAAATTAAATTATGTAAACAAAAGAAAAACATAAAATAAAGGTCAAAGCCAGCATCTGTGATGGTCTGGTGTTGTCTTAGTGCCCATGGCTAACTGTCACATTTGTAAAGGCTCCATTTATGCTGAAAGATACATACAGGTTTAGGAGGAACATCTGCTGCCATAAGAGCTTCATCTTTTTCAGGGACATCTCTGTTTATTTCATTTCATTATTTTATATTTCATTATTTAAGACAATGCCAAGACACATCTTTTAGAACAGCATGACTTCAGAGTAAAAGAGTCTGGGTACTAGACTGGCCCGTCTGCAGTCCAGTCTCCGATTGGCCCATTATGAAGCACAGAATACCACAACAGAGACTCCAAATCCACTGAGTAACTGAAGTCGTACATAAAGCAAGAATGGGAAAGAAATCCACCTCCAAAGCTTCAACAGTTAGTGTCCTCAGCTCCCAAACTCTTATTAAATGCTGTTAAAAGGACAGGGGATGTTACACAGTGGTAAACATGACCCTGAATGTGTTTTAGGTGTCAAATTCAAAATTAGAGAACATTTTCAACCCTTGAACATTAAAATAAATCTGTGTCCGGCACTAAAAAAAAAAAAACTGCACAAAAAAAAAAAGACTGCACAAATAGTTTGATAACTGTTACTATTCACTGTTTTTAATGGTGACAGGATCAATTGTTGCCATTGAAGTACCGTACAATGTGTCATATTCGTCATTGAGAATAGTTGGCCGTACATCAATGTGCCCAGGCTTCTGAAGGCGCCACACAGCACCTGTCAGACTGTCACCTCAGCTCATATCTATATGTCAGTGGTGTGTATATGGAGTACATTGTGTATGATGTTTTTAATAACGTGCAGAACCCTCAGCGGTGAGTGTCCGGCGTCACTGAAGGAGCAAGACGAGTCGTCAGATTCACAGGGAGACAGCGTGACAAAAAGCGTGACAACACATGGCCTGCTAGACAATAAAAGGGTACGACTGGCAGTTCCTGTAGTGAAGGTGTTTTGTGTGTGTGTGTGTGTGTGTGTGTGTGTGTGTGTGTGTGTGTGTGTGTGTGTGTGTGTGTGTGTGCGTCTCAGTGTGGTCACAGCTCAGTGCAGAGCTATGCTGGTGCAGTACATACTGCGTGCCGTTCACATTCCAGGCCTTGGATTCATTACTGCGGATTCATGAAGCTTTTTCTCTGTGGTACAAACGCACCCTTACTCCACAACACATGTGTACCTATTAAACCTACTGCACATGTGCACACCTATTTTCAGTAACTGATTCACAATCAACTGTGTTCTCAGTGTGTGTGCTCATAGCCTGAGTTTTAATATGACACAAACACACTTTGTAAAACCAACACTTAAATGCAGATGATAGGGTGCCAAATCTGGGGCCAAGTTCCTATGTTATCATTTAGATGCATTTTAATAATACGAATTGATTATTTAAACCGACAATTAATCCAATCAATTGGACAAAATAATCATTTAACATATTCAGTCTTTCAAACTGTTAGTAGCAAATATGTAAAATTAGAAGATTATTTAAATTCTGGGTCTGATTTTTTGCACCCCTTCAAATCAGACAAGCCCCCACACTGTCCATTTTTAAAACTCGTCTTAATACCTATTTTTATTCATTGGCTTTTAACCCTGCATGAGACTCGGCTCCTGTTTTAGTGTTTTATGGTTTGTTTTTAGTTATTTGTTTCTATGTTTTTAAATTAGTTTTTAAAAACATTGAAACAATATTTTACTTTTTAATTCTGCTTTTATTTTATCCATTGTTTGAATTGTTTTTTGATTGCTTTTTATGTCTGTGTTGTTTTGTCTATTTATGTACAGCACTTTGTTCAGCTGTGGTTGTTTTAAAGTGCTTTACAAATAAAGTTGAGTTGAGTTGAGTCTGTCCCACCCACAACACGATCTGATTGGCTAGACACCAAACAGCGAAATTTTAATTGTTCCTCAAATATAAGTGTCAATTTATATCATTTCCAAATATGATGATTGGTCAAATGAAACAAAAATCATCAGTATCAGTGTTGGCCCTAAAAATTGAACACCAGACAATTTCTAATTTAGTCTCTATTGTTGTTTTAATTCCCTGATCAATTAATCCGTGCAGCTTTAAACACAAGCAGATCACCAAACATGCAGGAGATTCTCTGAAATATGCTGCAAAGTACCGCACCTGTCCTCTAACTAACCCTGTGACAGAATCACAGGATGAGAGAGTTGGATGTCACTGACTGCATGATGGTGCCTGATAGCATGACCACCATCTCTTCCACATCAAACCCCACTAAATCCTCCCCTGCCTCCATCATTCAGCACTGGTCTTCCCTTCCACTCATCTGCCCACTATCTATTGTACACCCTCCCTCCAGCTCCTCTCTGTAGGATTACCCTCTAATGCCCAACCTAAACAGAGGATTAGTGTCTGGCGACTGTGGATGGGGCTGTGGGCTTTAGCTGGGACTGAACCTGATGCCTTTGGAACGGGACGAGAGCTGCCCAGCACCAAGCCTGGTTCAGAAACTGTGGAGCTGTTTATGATGCCAGAGATGGGTGGTAAGGCTGAAGCCTGCTGGCAGATTAACTGGCATGATTGGAGGGACAGAGCAGTTTGAAGGCAGTTTTTAGATTGAAGTAAAAATGTTGATAATCTCTCTTATTGATTGATTCACAGTACAGATTCACTGTTTATTCAGCTTATTAGAACTCTGTGATTTATTGATTAAAAAACAAACTGTATGATGAATTAGTGGGGTACTTCTAGTTTTGACCAAGAGGACTTACAAAATACCATCAACAGTTATAATTTCTTCATTGTAGCAAGTTCAAATCTAACCTTTACAGCTTGGCCCGCGCAGTTGTATTTTCGTCTGGCGGGGCCCAGCGTAAGGCCAATTTGGTATTTTCGTGGCATGAGCCGCACGGAGGCGAGCCGAGATCCGCCAAGCTGGGCGTGGTGGCGTGGCAGGGGGAGGTGTCGACAGAATCAGCAGGCGCAGTGACATTTTCGTGCCCGCCAACGGCGTGTAAAGTGCGCTGAAAGCTCACCGATTCAAACCTAGTCAGCTTTCAGCGCAAGGCGGAATGCAGCTGGTCTAGTAGTATTATGGTAGACCGGCGGCGTATCGACATACGTCACTGATGCCTCACCGGCAGGTTTCCACAGTGTCAGGCACATTTCAGTGCATTAAATAATCATCATCAACTATTAATCTGAGTCAGCACATATATTTAGATCTATATCGATATATTCTTATCTATATCTGATCTGATGAGCGCGTTTGGCACGCGTTCGGCGGATCTGACTGACGCTGCGCTTGCGGCACGTCTCTGGCGAGGCACAAAAATAGAGCCCCTTGTCTCTTAGGGCTCTATTTTCGTGCCTCGCCAGAGACGTGCCGCAAGTCAGATCAGTCAGCGTCAGTCAGATCCGCCGCGCTGACAATGCGTTCCCAAGCACATTTTGGTATTTTGGTGAGCCGCGCAGCCCGGCGTAAGTATCCCCCCTCCCTAACTCAGCTCCTCCCAGCAGCATAAGTCGTAGACGGGGAGGAGAGAGGTCGTGGAGTGGATTTAACACAGCCGAGACCTGTTTTCACCAATCACATAAGCTCCTCTCCTTGCCTTTAAATCCGCCACAGGCGAGGAGTATTACTATTTTCATGAAGTAGTCAAAGAGATCAAGAGATGTCTTAAGACAGTAATGCCACAAGATGGCGACAGAGGGCAGCTCCTCAACAAGTGTCCTCCACACTCTCTCATATGAGCACAGATGGATTTGGTGTGTGTAATGTTGGACCCAGTGGTAAGACAAACACCCTTTTCCACAAATAAAGACACTCACATAAAGTTGCATATATTCAAACCTCACGTGACAAAGGTGGGTTGTGTGCACAGATCACAACATAAACTCCAAAAATGGCATTAAAATCGGAACCATCTGTGCGTAAATGACGCATCACGCTCCGTGGCCTGGCTCTTTCTTTCATAGATGTTGGCATATAAAATAAATTTGGCTCACAAAACTGAATATTATAATATCCGTATGTCGGCTTAAAGTAGATAACGCATCTGAGCACTGAAACAAATCATCTGTTCAGCCGCAGCAGCAGCAAGACAGACAGAGGACACGGAGACGTGTCCAGGTCGAGCTGTGCGAGAAATAAGAGGAAGAGGAAGAAAGAAAAGGAGGGACAAAAATTACATATCTAGTTAACTTCATCATGTTTGTTTTTTTACTAGATATTTAATTTAATTAAATGCGGTTTCAGCTGTGTTGATTCGGTCAGGTTGTGTGTCCAAACGCGCTCATCAGATCAGATATAGATCAGAATATATCGATATAGATCTAAATGTATGTGCTGACTCAGATTAATAGTTGTTGATGATTATTTATTGCACTGAAATCTGCCTGACACTGTGGAAACCTGCTGGTGAGGCAACGGTGACGTATGCCGATACGCCGCCGGTCTACCAAAATACAACTAGACCAGCTGCGTTCCGCCTTGCGCTGAAAGCTGACCAGGTTTGAATCGGCGAACTTTCAGCGCACTTTACACGCCGGTGGCGAGCACGAAAATGTCACTGCGCCTGCTGATTCTGTCGACACCTCCCCCTGCCACGCCACCACGCCCAGCTTGGCGGATCTCGGCTTGCCTCCGTGCGGCTCAGTCCATGAAAATACCAAACTGGCCTTACGCCGGGCTCCGCCAGACGAAAATACAACTGCGCAGGGCTCGCCCCCCTCCGCCGCCTCACCGGCGCACACGAAAATAGAGCCCGTAGTGTTAGTCATTAAGCTTACACTGAGACTCCAGCTGGTGTGGCTACAGACTAATACAGGCAACTGTAACTGGCTGGTTTGACCATCATGTGATTATCTCAGTAAGCCGGGGCCGCTACCAAATTTTGTCAAGGAGACTCATGGTTCTTATAAACCAAATCAAACCAACTTCTAATTTTCCTCTAGTTTTATCATTGGCTTCATGATTTTTATTTTTTTAGTCAAATGTCTCAATCATCAATTTTTGTATGGCAGGCTTATTTAACTTGCCAGAGATGCACACTCATAGTGTCCAAGTAAAATCTTATGTTACATCAGCTGAATTAAGGCACAGATTGAGTTATTGTCAAATTAAGAATGCCATGTTGACTTTTTAAGGGACTGTGTCCACTGACAACATTTTTTGCACTGGTAGTTCCCAAGACTTCCAAAAAACTTCTCACTTAAACGGCTGACTTTTGCTTGATTACTACAGTTGTCTATGGCACCTCTGTTTCTCTTAGTTGTGACTATAAGTGTGTTTCAAATTGCATTAATTTAATGGAAATTTAAGAGAAAACCAAAACAATTCATAGAAATCATGTGGCGGCATTAGCAGTAGCTCTGGACCTGACAAACACACCTAAAAAACAATAGTGGCAAGCTTCTTCACTACATAGACTTCTGTTGTTCACAGAGTTGATATCATAAGCCCTGCCCTGCATGATCAAGATTGGTTGGTGACAGAAGAGCAAAACTGATGAGTGAGGAGATTTTCTAGAAATTAAACCGTTGTCATCTGAGAGTGCTGTGAATGTAACTATGTTAGTTTTACACTTACTACTCTGAGTTCTGAAAATGCTTAACTGCATAGATAAAAGACACTGCCAGGGCACAAAAAAAGCCATTAGTGGACACTGGCCCTTGCAAAGGTAGGAGCTGTCAGCCTTTTCTTAAAGACTGAGCATTGCCATGCTAACATTAGTTATTGTCACTAAAAGATTAGAGCTACCTGTAGTCTTTTATTTTCATCTTCTTGGAAACATGAATGTTTATGTGAAATATCATGGCACTGATGTTGATTTATTGCAGGTTTGACCAAAGTGGTGGTCCAACATTGTTATTGCTTAATCCAAAATCCTAACATGCAAAGAACAAACATTAGGACATTTATATACTTGGTTCATTGGAAAACTGCCATAAACATCCTCACTCTGAGCAATGGGAAAAACTCAGGTACTAAAGTATGAGTCATAAATTCAGTTCTGCTACCTTCATTTAGCCCAGAATGTCAACAATAGTCTGATTTATCATGACTCTTTAGTCATTTTTCCTCTCCTAAGGCTGTATTAGGTTTAACATTTAATGTGTGAAGCTAAAGGAAGTGCATGTACTGCTAGTGTCTTGCCAGATTCTCTAAGCTGCTGTGGCAAAGGCTGTAATTCTGCCAAGCACGCTGTGTACTTTACTATAAAAGCCAGTCTGGCATCGGCTCCGACATTCACACCTTGGCACAGTCTACAAAGAAGATTCATGGCTGGGCTGGCTTTTATTAACATTAATAGAAACACCTTTCTGCTAGTAAAAGGAAGAGGAGTGTCAGGTACAGTACATCTTAGCCAAGAGAAAAGCAGGCCTCTCATGCTGCAGGTCTATGGTATTTAACATGATGGTTGAGAATGCAGAGAGAGACAGTTATTTTCTGGTTTTCTTATTGCTCAAACTAAAAGCTTGGTCTTCACCCTAACGTAACAGAGTTTGATCAAGTCATACCTTTGAGTAAAATGTTGTCTTTATTATTTAGATGAATAGATTGAGATTGAGATTTGAGATTTGATTGATTTGGTCCCCTTGGGGAAATTCATCTTCACTGACTGTACATTATGGGAAAGACAATGACATTGCACATTACAAACATCAACAAACAGTAAGGACAGACATAAATAGTGTGGGACAGTGACAACAGCAAAAGGTGACAGGCTGGTCGGATAGGTCAGCGGGGCCTGCTGTTAAGGGCGGCGATGGCTGCAGGGATCAGGCTTTTCCCAAGACGGGCCCTAGAATAGAATTATATTTTTTCTTCCTCCAAAAAGTAGGCTATCTGATCATTGGGGGACATCTTATCATCAGCGCAAGTTCACACCTGCAGTGATCAGCTAAGCATTATGACCGCCTGCCTGACGTATGACAGTACTTCTCTTGCCAGGTCAATATGATATATTATGTTTTGTTACGTCAGGTTACGTCAGGTTACACCAGGTTACGTTGTGTTAAGTTAATCTCAAGCATCATTGACTCTATTAGCCAGGTGTACTAGAGTAGAACTGTACTGTAACTTTGAAACAGGCAGAAAACACTCATAAGATAGCGGTCGGACCCTGGTCTGCAGCCACATCAGGAATAGATAGTAATGGACTGTGTGCACTGACACCTTTCATCAGATTCAGCTCTGTACCAGGTTTTAAGCAATTTAAACCTCAGTCGCTGCTCTGTTGGATCACACAGGTACACAGTTTAGTCTTTACTTTCCACATGCACGAGTCCACGAGTCCACGCATTCCGAGATGAGAAGGTATGGAACATACGAAGGTACTACAACACAAGCCCTGTTTCCACTTGTGTTGTTGTCCTACTTGTTCTTGTTTTTCCTCCGCTGTTGTTTTACCAGCGGTCAACTGTGACAAGGCGGTGACACACTGATAATGACATCACTATGACAACCAGGGCGGTGCTGTCCTGTACCAGACGTCGGAGCGAAATTCAATTTCTGAAAGACTTTTTGTGGTTCATCTCGTTTTCTGCATAGGGGATTTGCATGGGTGAAGTAATTAGTAATGAGTTACTTTTTTAAATTTAGTAGCCTAACAGTTCAATTACAGTTCAAAGCAGAATCTAAAGTAAATTAACCTGTTACTTTTTTGCCATTGTCAATGGTTCATTACAGACCCCCATGCATAGTTAACTGGAACATTGGGAAAATCAGACCCATTATCTGTCTTTCCACAGATGGACACACATTCTTTTATTTAAAACAAGGCCCTAAAGTCAACTTCAGGTGAGAGGAAATAATAATAACTTAGTTGTTATGTTTTGGTGTGAGGTGAATGGGATGTGACAAATCTTTATTTCCTCCCTTCAAGAAAAAACTTGACATTTAGATTAAGGGGAGGCCTCAATTTTTCCCCCCTCCAAAATGGTCAAAACATGGCATACCATTAAAGATAGTATTGTGGTATAAAATGTGTTTCGGTCATTATTAATGAGGAAGTTCTATGCTGTACCTACAAGGGGAATTATTTGATTTGGGGTTTTGTATGAGTAAGCTATTTACCTGTGCTCACTACTGCCCTCATGTGTCTAAATCTTTCAGTTTGTCCTGGCCACTTAAGACCTGTGACCCCTTGTGCCTGTTCACTTTAGGCCCATTCATTAATCCACACAGAAAGAGACCTGCATTGTTCAAAATAATGTAGATTTTTTTTTTTTTTAAATAAAAGACATTCTAGATGTTATTAGGTTTTTGCTCAAGGATGCATTAGGGCGCATTAAGGTGAAGTATTTTATTGACCGTTTAATTTATTTTCTATTATTTGTTCTATTGTGTGTATGTAAGAAAATGTAACTGGTTTTCTATGGGCATGGCTCATGTAATATGCAAATTGGATGGAATTCACACTCAAAGTAAAACTAATACAGCTCCAACATTTACAAATGTACTCGTCGGCCTCGTTTAGTGAAAAATAATGTGCCTCTGTTAACACTGGGGTGCGGGCTGAGCACCCCTAAAGACCAGATGCTAAAATTGCCCATGCTTGACAGTAACTTTTTTCCCAAGGAGCACATGTGCTACTAAGTTGAAAAAGTAAGAAGCACACAAAGAACTTTAGGGGCACAATGAAAATTGATCAAATAATGTGTCTCTCATTGGTTGACATAAGTATAATTATTTGAAATTAATTTTAGGTCAATTGGTCACATGACATAGAAGCTATGGAAGGAAAACAGCCTTCCTTGAGAATATCAACCGGCAGTTTATTGATGGTCCCTTATTCAACACCCAACATGCTCTTGCTATTCCCAGTTATAGAGTGAGAGGACACCTTCAGATCTGCAATGAATGTCCGTCAAATATCCAACCTAAAACTAACTTCGCTGCAATATGTATATGAAAAAACATTTGCTGCCTTTACAGTTTTTTTTTTTTTTTGTTTTTTTTTTGAGCACATGTGCCCCTAAATACATTTTACAATTCACACACACATCTGTTTTTTGTCACAAATGCTAGTGAAACGGTTGCACTGTTGAGCCCTGGTCTGACTCACCTGCCCCTCCAGGGTAAGACAAGATCAGGGTTGATTTTGCGGAAGAAGTACTCTCCTCCAGGCACTCTGCTGTTGTAGCTCGGGATGGGCATGTCCACACTAGACTCCTCCTTAAATATAGGTTCCTCAGGGTTTGGCCGTGCCATGCCGATGTACTTGGGCAGGAAGTGAATGAAAACCTGCAATAATTAAGTACAAAAAATCTGTGACACATGGGGACTGAAGTAGCCTCATTAGTTGTAGAGTGACTACATTACACCTGGTCTCACCTTTCGAACCCAGTTTGGCATGATGTGTGTGCTGGGTGTCCGGTGATGTAGGTTCAGGACGACTACACTCAAGATGACAGAGAATGTGACCAGGATCATGGTGAACATGACGTAGTTGACAATAATTGGGATGCCGAGAGAGGTTTCGGGGACCTTGTCAGCCAGCAGGAGCATGAAGACAGTCAGAGCGATGAGGACAGAAATAGAGAGTGTCATCTTCTCTCCTGCAGACAACAGAGATCATATTAAGTCTCGATCAAAGAGAAAAAGTCTCACTGAAAATGTATGTATGGAACTGTCAGGAGAATTTGTAAGAAAAATAAATCATTTTGATGTTCCTTAATTTGTATGAACTATTGATAACAAGCCAGCTTGTAGCTAATGGTAATGGTGCAATTCTGAATTAAAGAAGGTGGGCTGCAGGTACACCCGACCTTTCAGGCTCACACACTGCATGCTGCACATCATTTAAAGACTTAGATCTGAGGTAGGGATTGGGATTGGGCCTTTACCATTAGAGCTTTAATCAACATCTGTCTGAATACACTTTATCGCAGCCCTACACTTGAACACTCAAGGAAGGTGACAGGCCTGTATTTGTGCATCACATGATCATAGAAGGTTAACATGGAACAATACCACTGTTATTACAGATATCTGGAAAAAGCATGATTAAACAGGACAAGATAAAATTATTCTGCTCATGCTGGTTAACTCTGTGGGCACAGGTTTGGACTGCTAAACTAACATGACCACATAGTTTTTACTTTTAGCATCTTCACCTGAAGTGCACGTACTGTAGTAGTAAGAAAGCCATGTGCAAAGAAAGAGGTGAGTTCTTTGTTTTACTGCAGTAGTCATTTTTACTCAGTGCTTCACCATGTACTTTCAAACTGAGGGCATAAAGGAGCTGGAGCCAGACATAAACATGCTCATGCTGACATGGGATAGAGGCAAGTGTTTCTAAAATTTTCAGGAAAACAGAGTCGCTTTTGGATAATCCTGTGAGACCCCAAACTGCAAATATGGAAAGCTATTGAAGAGTTGTATTTGGAGCAGCTTTAAGACATGATTTGAAGAGCTTAATGGTCTGTTTAACATTGAGAGTGCAGTCCCTGAATCAAGCACTGACTTTTATCAAAATAATGCTTCAAAAATGGAGCACGCTCAAATTGCCTGTCATCAGTTCTGTTCAATCTATATTTTCTTCTTTGTTGGAGAACATCACTCAAGACCAAAGACTGAGCAAGTTGACTTCCTGCCAAGGTCTCTTTCCTCTCATCTATAATAAATTCCTTAAAGGTCTATGCCACATGTGGTGGTCAAGTATGAGACACATGCTCTTTGTCATGACTTTAGACACTGTATCAAACAGTTGTGCCTCTCTATATCTCATCCTGGCGGTGATGTATAGTCACAGAGTCAGGATGTGTCACATGTGCTGACCTGCTCCTGGAGGCAGGTAGAAGACAAAAATAGCCAACACGCTGGTGAGGATGCAGGGAACAATAATGTTGATGATGTAGAACAGAGGCTTCCTCTGTATGATGAGATAGAAGGTGATGTCCTCATACAGGTCCTCTTTGATGTTCTTTCTAGAGGGTTTGTGGCAAATGGCCCATTCTCCATTTTCTGTCAAAATGTAGAGATGCCGTGAGAGAAACATATCGAGTATCTGCAAATAAAGACTGACTGATCAAACTGGGGTACTCACCAGTGAAAGCATTCTCATCTATGACTATCTCATGAATCTCTTTGCTGTCATCATCGAGAAAGTACTGCAGTTCAACCTCAGAGGCGTCGTAGGTATATGAGCGAAAAATCATGCTGCAGTTCTGCCAGTCAAATGGGAAGTACGAGACCTGTGGGAGGAGAAAACACAAACTGATTCATTATACAAAAGAGATAGAGAACAATGAAAGGAAAAATGGTATTACCAATGATGTCATTTTGACTATTTTACAAACTTAAGAGTGTAGGTCACAAAAAGTCGAAACTGTTAGAAAAACAATTCTTCTGAGTAGTCTTAAAAAGTCTCCACAATAAAGATAGACAGAAAAAATATTCAGCATTGAGCAGCAAGTCTGTTGAGGGGACCTCCTCCTGCATAACTCTTTTCTATGTCCATATACATTTGATTTTTTCCCTTAGGGTTATGTTACGGATTTGTTTTGAGGAGAGCTTTGTGGTGGTGCAGCAGTTTGCATTGTGGCCTTGCAGCAAGAGGGTTCCTGGTTTGATACCCCAGCTGCTGGGGCCCTTCTGTGTAGAGTTTGTATGTTCTCCCCATGCACCCCTTCCTCCCACAGTGTAAAAAACATGACCATCAGGACAGATGGACACTCTTTTTTTTTACCTGCAGGTGTGAATGTGTGTATTAAGGTTTGTGTGTCAGTCCTGGGATGGTCTAGTAACCTTTCCAGAATGTAAACTGCCTCAAACCAAATGACCTATGCTGTTCAACCACCGGCTTAGAGCCTGGCATACAAACACTGGAGCATGTGAAGAACGCTTGAGCCAGTTAAAGTTTAACTGAGACGAATACATGACAGAGAAAATTGATCTCGTACCACATTATTCAGGTTTATGAGTCTGACTATGAGAAGCTCAATTTCAGCGTGATCTTTAGTCAGACTGTTGCAATAAATCAATTTTTGAAGTGCATGTAAATCTAATGACAGATCAAAGTCTTCTAAACCTAGATAGATAGATAGATAGATAGATAGATAGATAGATAGATAGATAGATAGATAGATAGATAGATAGATAGATAGATAGATAGATAGATAGATAGATAGATTGATTGATTGATTGATTGATTGATTGATTCTTACCTCTATAGAGCAGGAGCTGCGGTAGATGGCAGGAGGAAGCCAGTTGACAGTCCCATCGCTATAAACCAAAACATTGACGTAGAGAGCAACATCAAACTGACCGTCATTACTGCAGAGAGAGAAATAAAAATATAAAGCTTATATTTTTGGCATAAAAGCACTCTACAAGCATAACATGACAAATATGAACATTAGGACATATCTTACTCAAAGAAAAATGCAAATGCTTTGTATGTCATCAATAGAAAATGACTTTGAGGACTATCAGGCTGATAAACAACAGGTTGATTCTTAAACTTATAACTCTAAGCCATTTTGTTTATTTTTATCTTTTTGGTATTCCTTTAAACTAGTCCTTACATTTTAGCACTACTGAAAGATACTCAATTCCTTTAGAATCAGTCTTCTTGTTCCTATCACTGGAGGCAAGATTCAATTGCCTATGTAAATTAGGGTGACCATATTCTGAACCCCAAAAAGAGGAAGTGTGAGAGCAAAATTTTGAGGGTTTTTCAGGTCGGGGAGTGTTTTTTACGTGCTTCCATCTCAGTTAAATGCATATTCTGAATTATCAAAAAGACACTCAACCGGGCCTCTTGGAGATACAGAAAAATACTCACACAAAGTTGTGTTTATAAACAATGTATTCATTTATCTAACTGCATTTCTCCTCAACAAAATTATCACATACAAATATTTCTCCCTTTTCTTTCGCTCACTGCTTCGGCAGATAGTCCATGCATGCGTCTCGCCAGTGGCTTTGCTTAGAACTGAGCGGAGCAGCAGATGTGCAGCACTGTTTAATAATGAATAAATATATGTTCCAATGGTTTGGTGTTTCAGGGTGTGTTTCCAAATAAACCATTGAACGTGTATGGTAAATAGGGGGGGGGGGGGGGGGTTCTGTACAAAACCCGAGACATTGGAAGATTTTGTTTGAAGACATGTCCAGATAAAAGAGGACGTGTGGTCACCCAGTATAAATGGCAAAGAAAATTAAAAGTACATATTCGAGGGTTCCTGGTTAACATTCAAGCAGGGACCCAACTTAATGTAGAAACTGATCATCATTAACTATATCTCTAGAAACAAATCAAAGACAAAAATGAAAACAAAGAATTAGCTGTCTTGGCTAAAGATTTTGAAAAGTAAAACGTTTTATCCAATAAAAACTAAAAAACACAATTGTAACCTTGTCCTAGCCTTACAACTCATAGGAATTCATCCTGCAATGACCAAATATCAGAACGTGAGGCTTCAGGTTCCCTCTGAAAATTTCTTTGTCAGTAGAATAGTGGAGATTCATCTCAGTGTGGCACTCACTTGTTTATGAGGTAGATATCAGGACGCCACACTTTATTGGGAGGAATCCTCAAAACAGTTATGTTATCGTAATCCTCTGGTTTCCATGACAACCTGTAATCTGTCCATGCCTGACACAGGTAGGAGGGAAAACAAAAGGAAAGTGAATAAGAAGTATGTAGGGTAAAGGTGACATAAAATCTATGGTGCCTCAATGTCTCTGTCATTTACATTTAACATCCTCCTGTCTTTGCTAATTATAACCTCCACACACACTACCTCACAAATGTCACAAACACTCAAACTGTCCTGATTTCCAATTAGCGAAAGCCAAGGAAAAAAATGAGTGAGTGAGTGAGTGAGTGAGTGAGTGAGTGAGTGAGTGAGTGAGTGAGTGAGTGAGTGAGTGAGCGAGCGAGTGAGAGAATATGAGAATACGAGAATATGAGAATACGAGGGATAAAGCTAGGAATAATTTATGGTTATAGAAAGTGACAAGTCCATTTGAGGGGCAGAGGAACAGAACAGCTGAGGGAGGGGAGACAGGAGTCAGAGCAGCAGAGCGAGGGCGGATGATGAAGATGAATGGTTTCGTGTGTGTACCAGATTCATGAACACGTTGGTCGTCATCTCTTCATTCTTCTCATTCTATAGAGACATACAGGGATGGAGGAGGAGAATTACATACATTAGACATCCCATCTTATCATGTGAAATATGACTGCGCAGTTCACCAGCAATCCAGTTTGACTGAAAGCAAATCAGGTTTGGATGAATGGATGTAACACCAACAACATTGCCTCTGTAATTTATCGAAGTTATTTACTAAGCTGAAATACAATGTGTACATTTTTTTCTGGCTGAAGTGAGAAAGTAAGAAAATTATGTAATAGTTTTAGCTCTTTTCTCATTTTTAAATTTTCGTGTGCATGCAGCCACCATAATGCACGTGTATATTTACCAAGCTGACGAGCTGCGAGAGGGTCATCCCCACTCGAACCATCACCCTCTCCTGCCAGTAACGAGCTGGTCTCACTTTCAAGTTGTAGTTTTCAAAGAGCTTCTTATGAAGTCTCCTCTCTGTTTCTGAGGCCCCTGGATAAAATATGGAAGCAAAGAGGAAAAAAATGTTATTCCTGAAGAACTAAAAGGCCAAACCCACTAAAAGATAAATAAATAAAAAAATAACAAACAGAACAAGTTATTTATATCTAAAAGATGCAGCTATTTTTTTACGCCATCAGATTTCTCTGACAGAGCATATACTGTGAAAATGAACAAGAATAGGTTCAACCACAAGTTAAATATTACATCACATATGTTAAACTTATAAAGGAGCAGATATGCCTCCATGCTGTCAAAATTTTTAAAAAAGTAAGTGTGAAAACATCCTGATAACCATTATGTTGCATTTTCTTTTTTTTTTTCAAAACAAAGACCAGCTTTTGGAGTTTTGACAAAAACTAAAATAGGGTTTCAGCTGCAAAACTGTTCTTTACTGTATTTTTAATTTCATGATAGACTAAATGTTTTCAATTGGTGTGTGTCAAGGCTGCTGGCAGGCCAGCAAAGCACATGGACTCTTCTAATCCATGATTTCAAAGTTGACAGTCAGGTTTTGATTTATAAGACCAAATACAGTTTTTTTGATGTTGTTGATGCAGTGATAAACTTGTGGTTCTGAATCTATGCAGTGAATCACACTACAGAGCCACTACATTTTCATGTAGCCCCGACCATCTTGTATTGATTTTAAGCCTTATTTGATGAAATATCCAGATTTTTTGCAATCTTACATTAAGGAAGACCGTTTTGATTTTTGTTTATATATGCTCACAGTCTCTCACAGAGTTTTCCCTCTGAGAGAGACTTGTCTTTTTTGGAAAGCCATTCACCTGGTCATGTTCTCAGTCTGTTACAAATCAACCCAGTTAGTAAAGAGATGTTCCTCCTGTTTTCCCTGTTCCATTTTTTTTTTAAACCGTCTGACAGCATTAAATTGAGAACGATTATGTAAAATTTAAGCTTTTCGATTTGAAATTTTATGTGTTGTATTTGCACCGTTTTTGATTTAGATATGGGCTTGAGAATATTTGAAAACTCAAACGTGTTTTTGTCTGAACTTTTTAGAATTGGGGTGGCAAATCTGGCATTATCACAGTAATCACTGATGTTGAATTATTAATATTTAGTTACTAGCTGAATTAAGTACTCTGACATGATAGCCATCTGCATAGTTTTGTTTCTATACTTGCCCAATGATGGATTGGCCTTCATCTAAAATATGTGGCAAAATAACACATCAAAAGAAACAGAAAGGGACATGCAAAAGAAGCAGTCAACAGGGCAGGTGCTGAGCAAAGGTGGCTGAGCTAATGTAATTGATACACAGCATGGGGATGGGATCAAAGGGATGTCTGGGATACCAGCTCCATCAGGGACAAAAATAGACCCTGATTAACTAACAATGACTTGTTAATGTGATTCATTATATGTTCCAAGCAGGGGGGTCTTTGATTTTTCGCTTTTCAAGTAAAACATAAGCCTCTTTGACAGACCACAGAGTAAGGTCTTCTTTTCACAGAGACTTACTCCCACTGTGTCTCCTCTATAACTCTTTGTCCTCTTTCTGTTGGACTTTTCCTTCAGGGAAACAGGCAACAAAACAGCCCCAGGTGTAACACTTCAAAATAGGTGACAGAGTGCAACCACCAAAATCCCCTGTAGATGTTCCCGAACAGCACAGGACAACTCCTTTTTCTTTTGAGGCCAGAAGGTGAAAGTCAAAGCCCTTCAGCTGAGCACAGATAAGAACTAGTCATAGAAAATCAATTCCAATTATGATTTTTATCCCCAAAAAGGCAAAGGAAGTGAAATCAATACCAATTTAACTGAACTGACAGAGTGCAGTGGGATTCTGAATGCCTTTGTGTTATCTGATTGAACTGCAGGTATGCTGAGTGCAGGATTACCTCAATTTCCGTGTGCATTTGGAAGTTGCACAGACTCTCTTCTTAGCAGCCTAAACATGTTTTAGAGGAAGGGCAACTAGAGGAATGGAAACACTGCACCACAGATCATACACACGCACAGGGCAACTGTTTATTTTCCAAGCACGACAGGGGGTCACAGGTCAAAGTCAAAGTTAGTCAAGCCGTTTTGGTTTTCTTCTTATATTTTTGCTCTCATATCTCAATGTCACTGCACAGTTCAAAGTTTAAGAATCACCTCAAAGTCAAGTAGGTGGGAAAAATAGGTGAGATGCAAATTTTAGTCAAATTTCATCATTTGATCAAGGTTGATCAAAATCAGCCTTTTTCTTCAAAATATATATTTAACCGAGAAAATCAAGTCATTCAGACAAATGCAAACAAGTGTTCAAAATCATACCTGTTAAAGTGACACAAACGCAGCAGCATATGAAGAGCAATGTGTTCAGCCTCACACAAATGTCCATTTTCATCCTAATTTTTCCAATCATGGCAGTCATGACATTTTAAATCTTAAAGGCCTTCTTCTCCTCTGCCGTTCAGGATCAATGATGCTGTATCCTGAAATCTAGATGAAGCGTCCCAAAAAGGCACACCTTTCCCGTTTAAGCATTCATAAAAACACCTTCAGCTAAATATCAATGAAAAGACCTGTTCAATAGCACACAGCGCTCAGCTAATGTTTCTCCCTCTCGTCCTTTCGTCTCTTTGTGGCCATGGCTCCATGGGTGAAACCACGGCCTGATTGGGTGTGTGTGCTGGGAGTGACGAGTGGGCGGAATGTGTTTGTACTGGGAAGCCTGTGGGGTAGGCACCTGTTTGTGCTCACCAATCCTGAGGTTAGCACTGTGGGGACAGTGGAAGAGGAAGTGGAGGGGGTAAAGGAATGGCAACGAGCTATGGGTTATGACAATGGAGATATTTTTGGGTGGAGAATGAGGGGGCAGGGCGGAGCGAGGAATGGATGGTGTGGGTTTGATTTTTTTGAAGCAAGGGGTGGCATCTCTTACTTATTTCACCTTTAATGCTATCTTCATCCTGTCTTTGACCTTCCCCCCACTCTCATTGAAGAAAATATTCTTTATGTTTGATTCTTTAAACATTCACCTCTTCCCTATCCTCAATTGTTTAATAGAAATGATTGCATTTGAGATGAAGTACGATTTTATAAGAACAATGGCGGCACATAAGCTGTGAATTCTTTGTCTGGGAGTCCTGTCAAATTTTGTCTAAATACTGGAATTGAATTAATTTAATACAACTGAAACTTAGAACTTTACTGGGGTACTTTTCTCTAAATCAATACGGAAAGTCCTTTATGTGGTTTTCCAGTTTTAAGCCTTATCTATGTCAGAGTTGTTAAAATCTATACTATGAATCAATGTTGTGTGTACACCACTAAAAACAGGCACCAGAAATACATGAAGCAAATCAATGTGCAAAAAAAAGGTAGGTCTACTTGAGTTTGGCTTCCAAAACAGGCTGATGTACATGAGATCTAATATTTTAAAACTAAAATCTACAGATGATTTAAACATGCTTCTCAAGCAATAACTGTGGATGCTGTTGTTACTTTTTTATTGATAAATGAATCTACAGGAGGTTAAATTTTATATAATTCTCAGGTTTGAGTGACAGAAAGGGTTAAAATTATGCAAAATCTGTAATGTAACCTTTAAGTAACCATTACGTTCAATTAGGCATGTGCCAGGTGTAACTTGAGCCAATGATCATTCCATGGAGGTCAGATATCAGAGATGGTGATATTCTCACGACTAAGTTGACTGTGTTACAGCTTGAAGTTTGAGCCCAAGTCAGGAAGTTTTCTTGGTAAGGTAAATTTATCTGATGTACTAGCCAATGACAACAAAGGGCGTGATAGTTCAAAGTTGAGAGCAACATAACATGTCCACAGATAAAACTAACACAACACCATCCACGTGGTTGATTAACTCATGCAAAACAAGACTGAGTTGCGAATAAACACTACCAAAACAGTTAATACAGGGGGCAGCCATCTTGGATTTTGTGTTTAGAATTGCTCAAAGTTTCCTTGTGGAAATCATGACTTCAGGGTGACATGAATTTAACAATTTTTGACCTCTGAGATCAAATTTCCAGTTGTGACCATCTTAGCTGTTTGTGGTCTCACTTATCTATTGAGTTTAGATATTGATCGGTGTGCAGCTCCAATTAGCAAGATTAGCTTCACCATAAGGCTCCATAGATATCACAATATTATGGATACCATATACATATATATGGATACATATAATATGTATATATTTATATATATATATATATATATATATATATATATATATATATATATATATATATATATATATATTTCATGTTTTGATTTCATGTTGTTCTACCCTTGCATTTAGGTTGCCTATGTCCTGCGTGGTAAAACAGGGCTTTACCCTTTTAAAGGGTGAGCTATCTCTGGTGGATTGAACCATTACTCTATGGTCTCAGACTCTCAAACTCAGGGTATCACTGTGTGTTTATTTTTCATATCAGTATTCTAAATTTTCTTGTAGTGCTGGACGGTATGCAAAAAAAATAAGATCACAGTGTTTTTTAAGATGGTAGCAGTGTCATGTTTAATCACCTTTCTTTATTTTCTAAAACTTACTTTTAAATGGTGTAAAGTCCATTGACCATGTACTTAGCGTATTACCTTAGAACACAGCTGTGCCCTTGTTGTCTGTTTAACGATTGAACTTCCTCACCCTTGAAAGTCAGGACCAGCATCAGTAGTTACTATCAATATTTTATTACTGAAGGCCAGGAATGTCATATGTTGTATCGAAGCTGTAGTGCAATCACCCTCCACTAGCCGAGGCAGCAGCTCTGGTTATCAATATAGCATTGAGGCTACAAGACTCTCCTACCTGAATATGAATAAGTGCAGATGACAGATGGCATTTTACAGTGTTGTGTGGTTTAGCAGCATTTTGTTTGAAAAAATGGAGATAAAGCAGTGTGCAGGCTATGTCTAAATATGCTGCATGTAATGCATGTAGCAGCTGATATAATACCAGACCTTTGTCTTCAAAACAGCTGTGCACAAACCAGAGATTTTATGTCACTGAGACTCTGGAGACATAGAAGTGGATGAGCTGGGGTTTAAATAGGAAATGCATATATGGGTTGGCAGAGAGGATAGCACTAACTCTGACAACGTCCCTAATCAAAAAAAGAGACTGAGAAAGAGTAGCTACGTTGCTTTTTGAATGATGTGTATCCAAACACGTTCAGATTTACTGTTAAAGAAGTTTTTGTTAGGAGAAGAAGTCATCCAGGACAAAACTGAACCTGAAACAAGTTGCGGTAGTAAGAATGGTTATTCATGAGCCATGAGATATTTCAGTAATATCAAAGTTGTTGTGACAAGTAAAACTATGTGCTTTGAGCTTGCAGGAAGTAGAGCTTAACAGAACTTGGTTGGCTGAGTAAATTTGACATGACATGACTTTTTATGTCTTCAACTTTTAGAGGGAATGTTAGATTGAGAATGAATATGGACGATTTTAAAAGACTGATGCTGTGAAGTGAAAACTCACTGCATTAAGTTGCTAAAGCGGAGACCAGAATTACCAAACTTCTTGGCAGGAGCAGTGAGCTGTTGTTAATAGTGATGGAAAGGTCTTCTAGGATTCATGGTCCTGAGTGAGGAAAGAGCACCTCTATCTCACTTACACTGAGTCTAAAATGAGCTTGAGGAAAGAAAAGATAAGCATGTTGAATGAGGTATAAAAATGGAGATAGATGATGTTACTATAGAGATGGCAAAAGGAGTTCAAGGATACAAAGATCTGAAGTCTTATGACTGATGAGGTGAAGGCCTTGGAACAAACTCAGATCCTGTTGTTTCCATGACCTTCATGCTGCCTTTATGAAGTTGGTGTTAGGATTTCAAGGATCATCAACTTTTTTTTCTGCTGTGCTTACATCCTTCCCATCACTCTTTCTCTACTTTTCATTACCTATCATATCAGAGACCCCTCTATTCCCGCTTTTGGTCAGGGTATCCAGTGCAAAAACACAAACGGGCCATAAATCAGGGTGGGGTCAAGAGGCAGAATGTCTCCTGCTGCCTCTCTGCATGACACCACTACCAGTATAAAAACATCAGAATGGCCCCTGTTTACTTTGGTGGCTATTGATCAACACATCCTCTCAGTGATATAGTTTTGCGCAAATCCATATCATTAGAAACTTCAAATTTCACTGTGTCCCCCCATGATTGTAAAAATGGTATAATTGAGGCTGAACAATACTTGAACTTCATGCTGTGTTACCCTTGTTACATCCTATATGTTGAAAGAAGTGCTCCCACTCAATCTTCTACAACAGCAGAGCACAGGCCAGGCCCCTTTCTTTACACTGCAAGGAAGTAGCAGCTCTACTCTGAGCTCACTCCAAGCTCCTAACTCCTGTCTCTTAGGCTAAGCAGTCAACCTTTGGAGGAGACTCAGCTGCTTGTATCCACTATCTATTCTTTCAGTCATGACACAGAGCGCAAAGTCATAGATGAGGGCTAGAACACAGATTGACAGGTAAATCAGAGGCCTTGCCTTCTGGTTTGATCCCAGGTCCTGCTGTTCACACGCAAAAGTTGACTTAGATCCCTCCCGCCCCCACTGGTTGCAACCAGTGGCATAGGAATAGGATTAAGCCGAAAACATACAGGATCCTTATTGAGCTTGCTCTGTCAGCATTGCGTATTGGCTCTGTCGAGCAGCGCTGTCTATCACCCACAGGATGCGTATTTGGAGCGTGGCAGCAGAGTTGTGCAGCCCGGGTCAGCTGGGCTAAGTATAGAGGAAACAACATGCTTACAACAGGTTGTGTTGCCTTTCTGTGGTCAATTTCCTGCTAATTTGGATATAATTCTGTGACTGTTGAGCCTGTACTATATGTGAAAAAGCAATGTGATTTTACAGTTGCTGTTTTTGCAGGTTTACCTATGTTTAATGAAGTAAACTATGTTCCTCTATGCTGTGCTGTTACCTTTAGACAGAGTTAACAGTTAAAATACCTGTTGGGGTCCACATGGATCAGGGATTGACCATCGGATTGTTCTGTGTTACTGATAAATCCATAACCATTAAGTATTTCTTATCTAAACAAACTGATACACAGTCGAGAGTTCGCATACGGACTGTTATTTTGAAATTTACCTGAGGACATGTGCAGTCTTTGTGCTTGACATCCTGTCTAGAACGATCTTCTCTGCGGAGATTGATGCGCGCTGGAAGCGTGGAGCAGAAAAAATAGACTCGGTGTGTATCTTTATCAGACCCACTCGACACGCCTCTAAGACAGAGGGGCGACGGAGCTGGTACACATACTGTGTGCGATTCTGCATTGATTAGAATGGGAACCTATTTACTGCGTGAAATGCAATGTTGACGGAACGTGCACAACACGGATCCTGTTTGTTTTAGGCTTTAGTCAAAAACTGATGGGCTGAATACATAGCAATTTA